ATGCTAAGAGCTTGGAAGTGGCAGCCTTCAGGCTTGCCTAAAGCACGGCTGGCCATTACCGTGATTGTAGAGTTGGAACTGGCCTCTAGATAAACGGCATTGGGGTGTTTCTGAGAGAGACGACGAAGGGCGTGATCGAAGAAGACGGGCTGGCGCATGTGCTCAGCAACATAAGAAGCTCCTAGCTTTCCTATGTGACCACTTTCAGTGGAGCGCTCAAACGGTATAGTCGGATTCCTGAAGTTGAGAGCCTCCCCAAGTTGTGTGAGCTGATCGACCAGAGGTTCGACGAGTGTAGAGTGAAAAGCATTGGTAACATTGAGCCTCTTGTTCTTCGTACCCTTGAAAGTAGCATCCTTTGCTAGAGTGGTCTCAACTCGGTCGATGGCTTCTACAGAACCGCCTAGTGTGAAGCTCGTAGGGCCGTTGTAGCAAGCGATTGTGGCAGGGGAGTCTGCGTTGTCCCCGTTGGCCACGCTCAGAAGCTCGTTGATAACTCGAAGATCGCCTTCTACCGCCATCATTGCTCCATTATCAGCGCCCCATGATTCCTGGATGATGCGAGCGCGGCCAATGATGAGCCGAAGGCCATCTTCAAGAGAGAGAATGCCTGATACGACAAGTGACGTGAGTTCACCAAAGCTGTGGCCAACAACGGCGGCCACGTTCACACCAGCTTCTATCCAAGCCTTGGCAACAGAGTACTGAATAGCAAACAGCTGGGTTTGGAGATCAACAATATCTTCCACAGCCTCCTTCTGGAAGATGCCAGGGTAGATAGAGCCATTTTGTCTCAGCGCGGAACTGGTGCCATCAACCTGGTCTAGATACTTGCGCAGGATCCCTACACTCTCATAGACATCTTTATCAAGGCCAACAAATGTAGAGATCTGGCCACCGAAGCATAGAATGACCGGTCGAGGGGAGGGTGGCGTAACAGGAGTATATTGTTGTTGTTGTCCCTTGAGGAAAGTAGTCAAGATCTGTTCCAGCTCATCAACGGAGCTAGCATCAAAAATGAAGGCTCTGAGGAGTGTTCGGTTGCTTTGGAGAGATATTTGGAAGGCCAGATTAGCCAACACTATGTCCTTGCGTCTCTGGATGAACTCGAGTAACTTGGCGCAATACTCTACCAAGCTTCGGTCATCAAATCCGCTAATCCAGAATGGAAATCTTGTGGCCGACTTGTAAATAGGAGCCTGCAACGGAATTTTTGTCTTGTTTGTCGGCGCCTGGGTGACAATCATAGAGGCATTTGAACCAGAAGCACCATAGTTGTTGATGAGCATAGCCCGGAACTTGACGTCCCATGGTGTCAACTTGGTATGGATCTGAATCTTGTCCTCCGGTGTCATCTTCAGACTGGGATTGATGGTGTCGTGGCTGGCTTGGGGAGGTATATAACCGTGATGAATCATGAGCAGAGACTTGATGAGTGACGTCAATCCTGATGCAGATTCGGTGTGACCAACAAGACCTTTGACGGAACCAAGGGCGAGGGTGTTGGACCGTTGGGCGCCGCCAAACACTGCACGAACACCTCCATACTCGGCCGGGTCGCCAACCGGGGTTCCTGTGCCATGGGCCTCGACAACGGAGACCTCCTTAGGTTCCAACCCGGCCTGACGCGTGACGGAGCGGAACATATCTGCTAGAGAGGGCGAATCTGGAACAGTGATGGCGGTGCAGTTTCTGTTCTGCATCACCGAGGTTGCCGCGATTATGCCCAGCACCTGGTTGCCGTCTGCAATGGCGTCCGTATACCTCTTGAGGAAGACGGCTCCCACGGCCTCGCCCCTGCAGTATCCGTCTCCCTTGACGTCGAATGGTTTGCACTGTCCGGTGGGACTCAAAAATCCTGCTCCACCAAGATTGTGGTACCAGTCAGGCCCGGTCATGATGTTGACACCTCCAGCAACAGCGGCAACACTCTCTCCGGAGAGGATAGTTCGGCAGGCGTGGTGGACTGCTACTGCGGATGAAGAGCAGGCAGTGTCAAGAGTTAGACTCGGCCCAGTCCAACCAAAGTAGTGGCTAACCTTGCCTGCTCCAAAACTCCTTAGGTTGCCCGTAGCTGAGTATGCGTTGGCCGGGTGGCATGCAATGTTCTTCTCATAATCATCCAGACCAACGCCCAAGTAGAAAGCAATGTTCATATCCTCGCCTTTGGGGTGGCTGCTGAGAGAACTAAAGTATCCAGACTGCTCTACAGCCTGGTAGACAACCTGCAAGACTTGTCGCTGCTGGGGATCCGTAGACGCCATCTCACGAGGGCTCTTTTTGAAGAATTTATGGTCAAAACAATCATAGTCTTGGATGAAATTTCCATACCACTTCTTGTTCTTGTCGGTCTCGCGCCAGATGGAGTTGAATTTTATTCGTTCACTAGGAACCTCAACGTGTTGAGACTTGCCCTCACAGAGAAGATCCCAGTAATCCTGAATATTTGTGGCTCCTGGAACATTGCATGCCATTCCGATCACAGCAATTCGATTATCGGGGACGTTGGGCTTGTTTCCAGAAAGTCGTAGGATACGATCGTCATAATCGGCAACATGGATGAGACGGGAACCGAGCTTGGAGGCCAACGAGGAGGGAACGCACTTGTCGGCACCGAAAACCACGACCTTGGAGTTTTCACTGCGTGCGGATGACGAGTAAACTGCTGAAACTGATTCGTACCAATTTGATGTGTCGACAAGCATAGAACGAAGCGCGATTTCGTGGAGCTTGCCATGCTTTATGTGCTCCCCGTTGTTGTTGGAACGCGTAGAATGGTGGAGCTCAGACGCGTCTGGGAGTTGGGAAGAAGCGTGTGATTCCACAAACCTGATGTATTCGTCCACTTCATCCTCGTGCACTTCGCTATGAAATCGTCCAGATAGCCCAATTTCAGTTGCGGTCACTCGGGCGTCGTTGAGTTGTTGTATCAGGGCGGCGACGGTTTTTGATGAGGTAGTGATGGTTGCGCGCCTTTGGTCGTAGTTAACTGAAATGTATGCCTAAGAAGGTTAGAATCGCAATCATTCGCGTCATTCGGTCTCCCAGATCTCACCTCAGGATAGCTGCTAAGAATAGACTTAAGTGCTGATTCTCCGTCAGTTGACTTCCACGCGGCCGATAGAGAGACGGCCTCCTCCTCAGTGCCCTCAGAGAAATTGTCTGCATCAACAATAGCGCCAATAAAAGCTGCTAGTCGTATGGCAGCAGCTCCATGCTTCTGGAGCTGGGCCTCATCCCGTGAGCTGGAGATGGCAAAGGCGCTAAGAAGACCCGTGCAAAAACCGAGGCTTTCGACACTCCCAGAATTCGATAGCCTCGAGAGTTCCTTGTATTGGATGAACTGCACCAAGTGACCAATTACTACCAGTGGTGTGACCACAATGTTCGGGAGGGGGGTGGGTAAATGCCCAGTCTTAATCCAACTGTCCAGCAGCTTGGCTCCATGCACAAGGTCCAAGTGACAGAACACGTCCGCTACTTCACTAGCCGGAGGACCTTGAAGTTCGTATACGACGTCCAATATCCATTGGAATGCAGAGCTGGATAATAATGTTTCTCGCAGTTCCGTGAACGACTCCTCCCTGGGGAACAGTGTCTGCGAACCGAAGATCAGAACTTTGGTGTCTGGTTGAGCATCCATGTTCTATTGCTCGCGAATGAGTAAAGTTAATGTTGAATGTTGGAGAATTTGATCTGATCTACATCGAATGGCTCTAGAAAAAATGGCCGTGGGTGATATATGGATTACTGAAGGCGACAAAGCACCAAGGACATTGATGAGTATTGCATCTACCTTGTTGATAGACTGCGGTATGGCCTCTTCCATGCTCATCCTCCAGAACTCAATCATGATACAGGAACCAAAGATCACAACTGTCGCCACTTGTCCAAAGTGCCAAGCTGCAGCAACCTGTAACGTAGGATTACTCGGGGCCGCTGCTTACGAAACCATAAAGAGAGCAAAAATTAAGACTCCTGCCAGGAAGACCTGGTCTCATTGCTCGTCATTGCCCTTTCTGTCGAGACAGGGCAGATGATCCCTGCTGCTTAATTGTGATTTGGGGGTTTAGTGGGGTGCTCTTGTTTCCAAGGCCATGATAGCATGCATGGATTAAAAAGAAGGTGAGTTGGCAAGATCTTTCCTCTCCCCGTTACCCGGCCGAGATCGAGATGGAGTAGATGTAGAAGCTGCAATAGGGGACTTTCGTCCCTGCTTGAAACCGATGGAAGAGCACTAAGCCTGCATGGTACCCTGATACTAAAGCTTTCTACTGCCGCTTTCCGGCTGACCGCGTAAAGATCAATGACGTTCATCCGTGCAAGAATCTAGACCGAGGATGAGCGATAAACTGATAAAAGAAAATGCTGGCTCTGCACATGTCCAGCTTCCAGCCAATAGTTCCCAGACGGTTATCCCACTCGGGTGGCCATGGGATGCAACGGTGGCTAGACTGTGAGCTTATCTACAAGGGTTTATTTGGTTTCGATCAAGCTTAGAGGCACCGGGGCCAGTTCCGGGATTGTGTCCTTCCTGTAAGCTTTGACTGACAGCACGCAGTGTTGCCATAACCCTTGATGCCCTGTAGAGAACATCCTGCAGAATGGTCTGATATCCATCACATGCCTGGGTGGCATTCACTCAATAAGGAAAGACAAAAGGATTATCAATCAGTCAACCGCTGCTATGAAGTATCATGTTGCTGTCGAGATAATCTTAGTACTACGTAACTTATCAAGTCATCGGTACCGAGCCAAGCGTCACGCCAGGGCGTAGGCATTATCACCAGCACAGGCCATAAAGGAGGTTTCAAGTCACCAAAACATGCTTACACCGCTATCTCTAAAGTACACAATGATATCTGAGTAGGTTATGCCTTTGGAATTCAACTTCATTGAGAAATGTAGATCAATATACGATAGATTCTAAGATAAGATGCATACATTCGATGGCGCTCGCTATGATGATAGACACGCCCAGGAGGTATTGATACCATCCCTTATGGTGTCTTAGGTGGCGTCAGATTCTCTTCGGGTTCCTTGACAGGTGAGCCCATAGCCTCAAGCCATTTGGGGTCGATTGCCTCGAGATTTACATAAGGAGAGAGATCATATTTCTCCGTGTATCGATCAGACAAAGTGTATCCCAGGCCGAGAAGCCCCCACATGTTGTCCTCATGGTAGTTGATTTCCATGTCTTCCCATCTTACATTGGTGATTGCTTCGCGGTAGTGAAGGGCAGACCCTGGCCACACACTAGATATCCTCATGCGTTAGCAAAGACATTGCGAGTTAGAGACAGAATTGAGAACTCACGCATGGATACGGCCAGTTTCTTGGTTCTTAAACCATGAGCGACATTCATTCTTCCATATGGTATATTTATACCATTCTTGAACATGCTGGTTAAACTTGTCCGTCACGCTTTGCTTGGGGGTCCAGCTCTTAATGTTGTCGGTCTGCATCTTCCGGATGCACTGGATTGCGTATTTGGTGACCTGAGTCAAAGGTCCAGAGATACTGCCATTGGTAACGGGCCAGGCAGGACCAACGAAAATAACAAAGTTGGGAATTTCTAACAGGAGATCATTTTTGTGTTAGACTTCCATTCGGACCACGCACGTTTGATGCTGTGGGTGGACAAAGTAATTGTACTTACCGGGAGCCGCCAGACCAAGGTATCCATTCGTCTCGTTTGCCCACTTATCCTGTAGATTCACACCTCTCTTTCCTATGATGGGAAATTGAGGTCTCCAAGTTGTGTCGAATCCGGTGGCGCAGATGATCGTGTCGCATTTTCTCTCAATGCCATCGTCGCCAACGACGCCGTCTTCAGTAATAGAAGCTACGCCGGTGAAATGAGCGTCAACATTTTCCTTTGTCAATGCTTTCATGAACGCATCACCAGGTGTGATTCGCCGGCCTAGAACAAAGGAGTTAGTTAGGAAAACATCTTGGTGTTCTTTTTTGAATGCTTGTCTTACAGCCAATCGGGAAATCCGGCTTGAAACCTTGGTACAAACGCTCGTCTCCGCCAAAGAATCTCTTCATTCGATCACCGTATTCCTTCTGCAAAATCCCTTGGAGGGGGTTATCTTCAAAGAAAATGGTCCAGAGACGGTTGATGGTGGAATCAAGGTCCTTGGAGACAGCAACTAGCTTGTTGGGATCGGATCGGAAACCTGCCTTCTCCTCCTCAGTGTAGGAGAAGTTATCAGCAAACTCTTCTCGAATCTGTGAGAACCAGACACCAGTGCGGGCAAAAATGTCCACGTGCTTGGCCTTGGGTTGCATTTGCGGGACGATCTGTATCGCGGAAGCCCCAGTGCCAATGACAGCAACTCGGTCATTAGCCCACTTCTCCTCGGTGTAGTCCTTGTCCCACCCGGCAGAATGGATGACTTTGCCCTTGAACTTGTCTAGTCCTGGGATCTTTGGCCAAGACCAGCTGTTTAGATAGCCTTTGGCGTAGAGAATGATATCGCAACTATCTTCGAATTCCCGACTCGCTTGGCCTGGGATGTTCTGTCTAAGCTTCACGAGCCACTTCCCTGTGTCTATCATCATCTTTAGTCACCTGTTATAAAAAGAAGAAAAGATCATATAGAGCCTTACCTTCTTGCCAGTAAAGCCCAATGACTTCAGTGTAGAAAACCATGTCCTTTTTCAGGTCAAACACTTCGCAGACTTTGTTCAGGTATTCCCAAATCTCTTCGCGGGTAGCCAACAACTTGCTCCAGTTGGGCTATTAATCCCTGATTAGCCAGATCCAGAATATACATGAGCTTCTCTCGTCGCAATAACTTACGTTAAGGGCGAAAAGCATAGAGTAAGCATGCGCCGGGATGTCGCCTGAAAATTACATGAGTCCAAAATCTTTGATGTTCCAGGCCTACTACTTACAGGCACATCCGGGGTATGTGTTCTCAAACCATGTGCCGCCTAAGTCACGATTCTTGGTTAGACGTTGAAGCCAAATGCCGACTGGAAAGCAAATAAACTTACCAATATCTGAATTCTTCTCATATGCAACGTGTTCAATGTTTTCAAGTTCCTTCTGCATGTAATATGAATTCATTATAGTGGATAGACCGCACCCGACCGAGATCACCTTGACCCGACGATTGGCGGGATCCTACAATTCGTAAGAATGGCGTACGACGTAAACGTGGATTTTCAGATTCACATACATTAAGGTTCACATCGGGAATGTTGTAACCCTCGGAGCCCTTCTGACTGTAGTCACATATCTTCTTGCCATCAGTTGTAGCGATATATCGGTTGATGGCGATAGGCTTGTTGGTCTTTGAGGCCGACATCTTGGTACTCTTTCTGTTGTTATGTTGCGCAGTTGCCATGCGCCTTTGGGTTGTTGCAGGGTTAAAAGAATTTTACTAAGTGCGAGAAGTCTCCAATATAATAACATTCACGGCCTGTCAAGCATGAGGGCCAAATTCGGCGGATTTTGTTTTATACTGTCAACACCAGCAAAAATCTTACGTTTGACCGGTAAAATCCGCCAGAAATGAGAAGGACACATCCGACCATGAAAAAAGACCTAGTATATAATCAGACCACAAGTCATCGCGAGGAAAATCCTTTAGGTGGCCCGAATATCTCTAGTCAAACTCCACGAAAGAAGAAGGACTTGAGAAACCTGGCACCTTGAATTCCCCAGTGAATACAGAACAGGATGGAGTAGGGGACCTGTCTGAAACGGTAAAACGTCACGAGTAGAAATGCTACCGTTCAGAGTCAATGTAACGCTACAGAGTAAACCCACATACATATACGCCCAGGGGGGGTGGGCAACTTGTCAGTGGGGCAAATCCTTCATGAGTTCAACGTATTCATCACAAAGGTTTCGAGTTCCGATTTTGTGAGAGATTTGCCTATTACAAAGAAATAAATAAGCGTAACATTAGCTATTGCATAAGCAGATAGCGCATATCTAAGTCTAGAAAATATTGTAGTTCGTAGGATATCGTGAGCAGCCCGCTTCATCGCCAATCATGTTGATTGCGCAGGCTTACACAGCTGTCGAACAATCAAACTAATCTTGAAATGTAGGTTCAGCCGTAGGAAACAACTACACTCTTTTTCCAATATGGGGATGCTACGAAATCCGACCTGAAAGTGCTACGCTGTGCTTGCGTAAACTCAGCTGCCAATTTTCCTTGTCTAAGATGAAAACGCTCAACTTAAACTGAAGAGGACAGAGGCGTAGGAGATAGGGTATCAATGTAATTAACCAAAACTGTCTTAGCTTCATGCTACCTCTTATTCAACTGCAGTTGTTGAGTTTGTTCACTGCCATCGTTGCTGACGAAGGTGAAGATGGTGAGAGCGATAATGAAGATGCTTGAGATGAGGGACACGCAAGCCAAGAGGGTTAGTTAAAGAATAGCCAGAGAATCTATGTGGTAAAGGTGGCGTCCCTAGTACACAAGTTAGCGAGCTAGGACTGTGCAATACAGAAGAACAGACTCATGAGGAGGCGGGAGCCTAATAAGGGGCTAAGCTAATATTAAGGGAAGGGACTAATGGCTATTTGCCCGCTCGTTCTAGATTGTGCGGACGTTTAGGAGGGGGCAGGTAAGTAACAGGTGTGAATTGCTGCTGAAGGATGCATTGTATTCAGACGGGGGTAGGTATACTCTTGCGAGGCCTGGGAGTGGATGAAGACGATGCCTATGAGGATGGTCTAGAGACTTTTCAAGCTTGATTCCTTCTGCCACTTGCTGCTTTAGTCCATCAATTACACACTAGGCACTCCCCATGTGAAGTTATAGCATAACCATTTAAGTATTACATCTATGAGTAGTCTATTCTAAAAATTTGTTAAAGGCAATTAAATATAGCATCAGACAGTAACTAGGTGGGAACGGGCTCCACGGCCGTCACCGGACGAGGAACGACATTAGAGCGTGTTGTTCCGCTGCTGGAGAGGAACACCACGTTACCCGTGGTCTGGCTGTCGATGGAGAACTGGTCGTATTGACCGGATTGAATGCTGCAGCCGCCCGGAGTACAGGACACAATTGGTACTGAGCACGTCACGGCATGGTCGTCGAGCGACTGCTCACAAGAGACGTAACGCCGGTTGCTGGCTGTGATCGGGGGTGCCGTAGTGCAGAGAACAAGCCCAGTTTGGTAGCTGTATGCATAGCTTGCGCACACAAAGGCGCCCCCGTTGAGGCGCAGGTAGCCTGTCCCCTCATCAATGACGAAGGTGGAGGTGGAGCCACCGGATTGATACGTCAGATAACTGTTGGCAGCAGCCGGTACTTGGACATATTGGCCAGTTGACGCGGCGTAAAGTTGGAAGGGCGTGATTTCAGTGGGAGCTGGTGCGGCTGAGGATGAAGATGAGGATGAGGTTGAAGACAAAACGGTGGATGTCGACAACGTGGTAGCCGATGAAGGCGTAGGAGTAGAGGAGGTTTCGATAGTCGATGACGATACAATCGTAGATGAGGGTTCAAGGGTCGATGAGGGCGTAGGAGTGGATGAAGATTCGGCGGTGGATGAGGGCTCAATGGTAGATGAGGGTGTAGAAAAGGACGAAGGCGTGTCTGTGGCGCCTACGGCTGACGATGAAGGCGTGGAAGCGCTGGGGGTGGATTCAATGGTCGATGGTGTGGCATCAGAAGGGGTGGCAGATGCACTGGGGGTTGAATCGAAGCTGACTGAAGAGACTGAGACAGAGGATATCGGAGTAGCCGGTGTCTCGGTCGAGGAGACAGCGCTCGCTGGAGTAGTCGTCTCTAGCTTCGAGGTCAGAAAACATGTTCTATCTCTCGCATTCACATTTCAGACTTACTCGTGCGATGCCGACACGTTTTGGCGGCGGCCGTGTCTACGGCAAGAAGGCATAGAGCCAGCGAGAGGAAGACGCGGTGCTGCATCGTGCAACTAGGAGGAACCAACAAAGAACTAGCTTGTTTAGTTCAACGGCAGAGGTGAAGAAGAAGGGAAGGAAACGCCACAAGGTCTCAGAAACAACCTGATCAGCTTTTATAGAAGATCACAAATCGTGCCAAAGATCTCGACAAGGGCGGCACTAATGCAGGACCAAATCAATAGCGCCTGAAGAAAACGTCCATTAGCGGCTCCAACGAGCGGTAGCGAGATTACATTAATGACAATCATTCTCTCGTGAGAAGCTCCCAATTGTTCCGTAACTGAATTGTGTAGGACGGTGGAGTTTTGTTTTGCTGTTTTCACGTCTCGCCCTGCCCGGGTTCATCGCGAAAGAACAAGTCTCTGGTAAACCACAACGTGAAGAGCAACTCCACCAGTCTCAACACAATCCATTGAAAGCCACCAAAACTTGTACTGAAAATAGCGAAGGTCAAAGATGATCGTCTCAAAGTGCAGGTAACACTCGAATAAGAAAGGATCAAAGTTCAAGTCTCCTTTGTTGCCAAAATTCTCTTTGAACTCGTGTATCTAAACAGAGCAGCTCTGATTGTTTACGTGGGGCTCGAGCTTCCGCCATCTTGTTGCTATCAGCTTACGTATTCAGTCATAACTCACCTACCCTACGCCGCATGGGTGTGGCTTGAACGAACACCTGTCCTTGTAAACACTCTGCTCACATGGAATGGTTTCAAATTGAATGTCAAAATTTTATAAAGATCAAAGAAGTCTTGACGTCTATTTCAACTACATTGAACAGCGAGCGTGCAATAACATCTAAATAACCAGAAAAATGCTCCATTTCACGTCCCATGGTATGTGTGGCAATGCCATGAAAACCCAATGCTATTAAAAAAGGAAAGTTCCCAAAAGGTATTTCGGCCGTGACATATGCGTGTATATTAAAATAAAAGTCTAAAAGACTCCGCTGGCACCGCTTAGAGAGCCAGAGCGGCGGCGAGGAGGGCGACACCGGCCCCGATCATGGGCCTAGCGACACCGCTGCCGTCGTCGGTGCTAGTAGCGGAAGCGGAGGAGCTAGTGGAAGAACCGGTAGAAGAAGAAGAATCGGAGCTGGAAGCAGTGGTGCCAGTGGCGGAGCCGGAGGTGGACCTGGAGAGGGTGGTGTCAGTGGCGCTGGAGGAAGAACCAGAGGTCGTGACAGTGACGGAGCCGGTGGAGGACGCAGATCCGCTGGATGACCGGGAGGCAGAACCGCTAGAGGAACCTTCCGAGGTAGGGAAAACGCTGTTGAGAAAGCTTGAGAGTTCGGCACTGTTGGTGGGGATGGCGACGCCGGAGGTAGGGAAGACACTGTTGAGAAAGCTTGAGAGCTGGGCGTCGTTTGTGGGGATGGCGACGCCGGAGGTAGGGAAGACGCTGTTGAGAAAGCTTGAGATCTGGGCGTCGTTTGTGGGGAAGGGGATATCGATCTCATCCGTGGTCAAGGGGGCCCGAGTGGTCTGGGCAGAGACGGCACCAGCGACAGCAAGGAGGACGAGAGTGGACTTCATGTTGGCGGTTGAGAGACGGGTTTGATTTGACGCTGTGTAGAGATTGTAGGGACAGGTGACAAATGGATTTGATCTGGTCTCGGGATGAAGTACTCAAGGAGCTAAGGTGGGATGGGAAGAAGCGGATCTCAAGTCAGAAGCACGGCCGGGAGGCAGGCTTTTATGTATCTGTCCTCGCTCTTGAGTGATGGCTGTGACTTGTTGCCTCATCTTACTTGCACAGCACAAACGACAGGCCGGCAACAAGCCTGCCTGTGCCTTCTACTCTGACGTGTAATGTAAGGTACATACTACATAGGCACAGACCCGGAACACTCTACTATTGTGTGTGATCGACAAAACCAGAAGGCTGAGTATCCATTCACTAAGCCATACAGTGTGGAATATAGACTGTTTCTAAAATTAACCAAACTTGTGGATGTTGGGGTCTGGAGAAAATACCGAAGGCCTTCCGCCATTCCCGCCGTGACCCTGTTGGCATTGATCACTGTGGCAGTACTGTGCCCGCCGAATGAGCTTACTTAGATCCCTGTATATTTAAAAATATTAGTCAAATAAGGATCGATCTAAGACCCCAGGGTTGCTCTGTGACGCAAATCCACGCCCTGAGTTGCTGTCCCCTAAGAAGTGCTGTCGTGTGCTTTGTTGTAAGTATGCGCTGGAATGCTGACAGTATGCGCGAACCGAAATGTGACAGCTTGGGAGAGAGCATTGGTCCATCAAAAACCAAATGCAGCATAATCGGACTTAAAACACTGCAAGACACCGAAAGACCAACCAAAAAAGAACAGCGGCCATGCATAGGCCGTGACCCCGACGTGTCTTACAGAGTGAAGTCATCGCACGCACGGACGAGCGCAGTGTGTAGCCTGATTGGGCTGTGGGAAGGCATTACAAAACAGTTTTATTAGCCCTCCAGAAGGCATGACGCGGCCTGGGCCAGGGCGAAGCAGCTCTAAATTCTCGGCACTGCATCATCTTTCGGTGGATGGTGAACAAGAACAGAAAGTCCACCACCACAGAGGCTTCGGCCCCTGCACTGCCCCCATGGTGTGCTCGTACACAGTATGATATGATGCTCACGCAGGCTTACCAACGTGCGACATGGCTGACCCAGTCTTTGCTGACCTCTCCCCCATTTCTTACTCAGTGTTGCCTGTAAGGGCCATCTTGCGTGCTTCCAGCGTACAGGAGCACCTGGAAATAATATCTTGGCTCTAATGTACCAACACGAACCGCCGAAAGATCCGGCGGCACAACAGATGCGTCTTGTTCTAATTTGAATGCTTTTTTAAATAAGTTTAACCCATGATTTGGAAATAAAAATAAAGCTACCTCGTGATTAACCGGGCCCCTTTTATCCATCCTCCAGGAATACATTGCGTTTCGAAAATAATTCCCTTGATGTCATCCACCACTGCTGCATACATGTACGCGAAGCCCTCAATGTGAGGCGTCGCAATCTGTCAGACAGTGCGGTTGGCCCCTTGCCCCAGATTCCGAGGGTTGTAAGCCCAATCCCAGCGCAGTCCCATGTTGTAATATCCCAATCCAAGCTCCCTTTTCATTGCCAAGAAAGAAAATCCAAACCGAGAAAGCAAGCAAGCACAAAGGCCTCCCCTCTTACCGCGCATTGTGAATGTCCAGCACGAGGATGTCCTGGGCGCCGACGCGCGACAGGTCGTCCATGACGAGCGCAATCTTCTTCGACTCGACCATGGAGCTGACGGCCACCCAGCCGTCGTCGTCGAGCGCCGTGACGGTCGCGGCGCGCTTGCCGGGCGTGATCTTGGTGGCCTCGGCCAGCTGGGCGCGCTGGATGTTGTACTGGCAGAGGACGTACTTCTGCGCGGTGATGACGCCGCGGATGCGCGAGGCGATGAGGTCCAGCGTCTCGGGGTTGGACGGGTTCTGCGACTTGATCAGCACGGCGGTCGACTCGACGACTGTGTCAATGGCCTTGAGGCCTGCGGCTCGCATCGTCTCTCCGGATTCTAGAGGTAGTAACCGTGTTAGCAGCCTGGTTTGAACATAGTAAAGACAAGGTAAGTCAGGCTCCATCCATACCAACAAGATCGACAATGCCCTCGGCGACACCAAGAGCGCACGCAGCCTCGACACTACCGCTCAACTCGATGATCTGGGTCTTGAGCACTCGCTTTCCGGGGCTGCCCGTGTCGCCGGCCTGCTCAGCCTCCAGCTTGGCAAAGTAGTCGGCAGCGAGGCCCACGAAGCTGGTGCCAATCGTCTTGCCGATCAGGTCCTTGCCCGTCCTGTACTCGCCCTTCTCGGGCACCTGGACCTGGAGCTTGCAGCCGCCGAAGGCGAGGTCCATGACCATGTCGCACCCTCCCGTTGTGAACTCGACGCCCCGCTGGAGGGCCGACGCGCGCACGCCGGCGTCGTGCTCCTGGATCTGGTCCCACCCCGTGATGCCGAGATCGACGCGGCCCTGGCCGACAAAGGTCGGGATGTCGGCGGCGGGGAGGAAGACGAGGGCGATGGGGAGGTTCTTGACGAGGGCGAGGTCGAGGCGGTTCTCGCGGCGGAACTGGATGTCGGCACCCTCGAGCAGGTTAAGTGCGGCTTGGTTCAGGCGGCCCTCTGGACGAGATTGGCTGGTTAGCTCAGAATCGACAGTGGGTAGGAGAAGGGTCTGCGGGCATGGGGAGGGACTCACTTTTGGGCACGGCGAATAGTAGCCGGCCTTCGAGGCTGTCAAGATCGGTTAGGGCTGGTCGAGCATGTAGAGGGGTCGGTCAAGGTAGGTCAGGCTGCATTTTGGGCACGTACTGATTTACCAGATCCATGATTGGTGTGCTGGCTGTGAATGTGGTGGGAACGGAGAGCGAGCTTGAAGGACGGGAAGACGACCAATTGACGATGCAAAACTCGCAGCAGTAGAAGGAGTGAGGTTTGGAGAGACGCGAGACCACACGGCGACAGAGGAAAGCGGGATATAGAACGACTGTGACTGGGTCATGATTGTTTCTCTCCGACCGCGGGGCATCAAAATCTCCCGACTGCCCCTCTGTTTGTGGCTGGTGAGAAGCTCTGCGATCGCGGTCCAAGAACGTGCCTGCGCTAAGCCCAAGACAGCAGACCGAGCTGCGGCGCGCCACACTTAGCCCCACCATCATCAGCCACAGGTCCCAAACACTCCCCTGTCGCTAGGCCATTATCGGACGCAGTGACTAACCTTAAGTGGCGTGTTGTTCTGCTGCAGATAAGCAGACTACCCTACAGTCGTTGTAATTGAAAGTGGGTGTTGCTGTCCATGGCATCAACCAAGACTTGTCGGTCAATTGATTTGCTCCTTCTATATGAAGGGAGGAGACTCGTTATATACCTTTTTTTCTTTTCGGCACGCTCTTAAAGTTTTATGCAAAGCTTGCCTGATGAGGTGGAAATTCCTTTTGCTGGGATAAGAACATGTGTATCATGGACAAAAAAATACATCCAGTATCAAGATAAGCCGGGGTTTTTTAACTGTTATGTCTTTCTATTATGTCACTAATTGCTGAAAATAATCTACGTAATTTATGAATCTTCTCGCGATGCCAAGTATGCCGATAATCCACTAAAAGCTATTCTTGTAGGTGGTTGAGGTGCTGTCTCCAAAGGTGATGGTGACATTGTAGTTGGACAAGGTTGGGCCCTTGCTAACGCCATACAGACTGTAGAGGCCAGCAGAAACGACACCCTCACCAGTGGCAATGCTATCAGGGAACGTGACACTCTTCACGATGACTGCTTGCCCCAAGTTGGACTCATCTATGTTCATATATAATTAGCCTCTGATCAATAGAATAGGCGGTATCAGGGTGCTTACCAGGGCCAAGATAAAAAGAGTCGAGAAGGTTGCCGAGAGTGTCAGGGTAGGCGGCTGCCTTGGAATTGTAGCCGAATGCAATGGCGATGTCGTCGACTCTCTGAATATATCCCTGGCTGATAATCTTGAGATCAACCTTGTCTCCGGGCTTAATGGTCTCCGGGACAGAGATGCCGTAGATGCGAGCCTGGGCGGTGGCTGCAAGAGTGGCGGCAACGGCGGCGACGGAGAAGCGCATGTTGAATATTTTGAGGATGAGAGTGGCTTGTGTTATGCAAGATATGAAGCAAAGTGATGGATGGTGATGATATTGGTCTATCTGAGAAGCAGGCGAATATGAGCCTTATATACATGTACTCGGTAGAGTATGAGTGACAGGCTCCTCATCGATGCAGTGGGACGTGTTGCATGGAATCTTCGTATTCAATGACTGCCCACAGTGACATGCGCTGATCTTCGACTGCCTGGAGCAATCACTAAGCATTTACGAATAATTTCCTTCGCCATTGCCATGGGCGCAGTTGATTCTTGGACCAAAGTTCGGTATTAGATGAGAAAATAGTCCTCTTTACCACCAGGAAACCAATCGCCTTGTGTTGAACCCGAGACCACGTTGGCGGGTGATCGATGGGGTAGCTAACCGGGAGTTTCAGACGGGTGATCGGCCATCAGCTCGTGTCCTAAAATTTACAACGGCCGTGTAGATCACCATGTAGATCAGCATGAAAACCATCGGGTATCAAGGCCCGAGGGTGAGTTTCTTCGATGATGCAACTGGGCATTATTTCATCCTGTGGACGGATACGAGATGTTCCTGTAATCGCAGCCGGATTGCCGGTCAAGTTTTTATGTAATCAGCGGTTGGCATCAATTCGTTGGGGGGACAATCAATCCATGGCTGGCTTATTCAGCGTGGTGGGCGAAATGACACGGCTCTGTAATATTTCATTTTTCTCTCGTCTCTCCATCTATGCAATTATCTGCACTCCATCATTGTCGCTCTCATCCTTTTCTCTCAGTCATTTCGCCATTGAGAGATGACATCGCTGGGCAGGTCGCGTCCTTGAATATAGTGCCGAGATGGAGCCCAACGAATTCCTCAAAACTCCTTTTCCAGGACTGCCCGTTCTGCCCCGCTTTGTAACTCCAAGTTGAAACGACGGAAAGCTTGTTGCGGTGAGTGGCATTGGCAGGCGTCCGAATGGAGCAGACCCCCAGAGAGCAACCTGGCAAATAATGGATTGGATTGCATTAAATGTTTTTCCAGGGGACGCAAATGGTGGTATCCCCCGACATCTGGTATCTGGGCGGAGTTGGCGGAGGTAATTATTCCCTCGCCGCATTCAGACCGCCCTCATCTGCATCCTCGACTGCATCCGGATGTCGCGTACCACCAGAGCGGATGAACGGTTCAGCCATCATTCCGGTGCGAGAAGTTGCTAAAAAAAAAAAGGCAGCTCGTGCTATTGACGTATGCGCCCCATTGCTTGTTTGATGCACGGGCAGCCTCTCCTACCGAATGTCATCCATACGCGAGCAAATGAGGATTGAAGGCAGAGGGGCACTGCCATGGCCCTGTGAAGGACTTTGGGGCTTTGCAGGGCCTGACAGGTGGCACCAGCACTACCGGTTGCGCTAGTGGGCCAATCAGCAGGCGCGATGGGGACACCCCGGCAGCCCCGATGCAACCCTGAACCACCATTCGGCCGAGCAATCACTGAGTTCTAGGCTTGCCCTAGCTTGTCGACCGCTGGAGATCTGGTGTAGTGGAGGTTCATGCCATTGTAGGTGCTATTCTTAGGGGTTCCGGGCGCTGGACTGGTTTGTCAGGACAACCTCGGCGCTCGCTTGTGCTACCTGCCGCTTGACGAGATGCGTAAAGCGTCGTGAGATCACTTCAGCCACAAATTAATTTTTCGGCTCTCTCCCTGCGTCCAGGATCGCGGCAATCTCTGGGTCGTCTCTCGCACCTCCCTGCCATTGCGTCGCCTCCCTCTGCTCCATCCATCGCGAGCCCTCAATCGCATCGTGCCGCTGCCCATGTACCCGGCGCCGAATCGCATTCCGGGCCACCAACATGTCGACGGGTCGTTTAACGAGGACGGCGACCTCAAGCCCATGATGGCCCCTCTCTCCGGCAGCGCCCAGCACCAGCTCCCCCTTCCTCCAGCGCCGTCCTCCGCGATACCGTCGACTACCGCTTCGGCGGCCAAGCCAGCTGGCCGTGTGGACCAGCCGCCCATCTCCACTGCCTGTATTACCTGCGTGAGTCGATCTTCCGTTGAATTGGACTGGAATGCGCCGTGGCTGACCCTGGTCGTGGTGGTTTGCTCGTGCAGCGCACAAGACACCAGAAATGCGACGGCAAGAGGCCGTGTTCCCGCTGCATCATCCAGGAGACAGAGTGCACGTATGTCGCATCGCGTCGCGGCTATAGAGGCCCTCGCGTCGCTGCCATTTCCAAGTCCAAGAAGCAGCAGCAGCTTCGCACGCTGCAATCCGTTACTCCCGAGTATGTTTCCAAGGATGTCGCCATCATCGGGCCCTCACCGCCGCCATACACCATCCTCGGGTCGGCTCCCGCAACCCAAGCCGTAGATTATGTTCCCTTCTACGCGCCAACCATGGCCGGCGTCTTTGACTCGGACTCGTTTGATTTTGGACCTGTTCCCCCCTTCGCCTTCCAGGCCAGTGAGGTGCCCTTCGCCCAATTTAACCCTAGCCTGCCTCACGGCTACTCGTTTGTCGATGACGGCTTCAGCTTCTCCGCGCCTTACTACAGCCTCCAGCTGGACACGCTTGGGGATGTCTACCTTGATTCGTATTACCACCACATCCACGGCGCCCACGCCTTTGTACTCCCAAAGCACTTTCTCCTTCGTTTCATTGAGGAGAGCGCCATCAAGCATCTGCTGGCCGCCATGCGATGGGTTGGATCCATTTACATCGAAACGGCAAACAGCGTCAATGCCATCACGCTCTTCAACGAGGCCTGGGGCCTTATTCTCAAGCCGGACGTTCCGAAGGACGGGTTCCTAATCCAGGCGATGATGGTCCTCATCCTCGGCCTCGACGGGACGCGCCAGAGAGACAGGGTCCACAAGATTTTGAACGACTTGGAGACGACCGCTGTTGAGATCGGTATCAACACCCGCATATTTGCCTCGCTCCATGGGCAGGGGCTGCCGGTGCTGGAGGAGAGCTGGAGGAGGACTTGGTGGAATCTTTACATCATCGACGCGCTGATTGCGGGGGTTCATCGCACTACGGCCTTCAACTTGTACCATGTCCCGACCACTGTGGCCCTTCCATGCGAAGAGGATCAGTATCAAGCAGGGGTAAGCAGACCATCGTGCATCCTTTTTCTTTGGAGACAAACATGTCAACTAACATGCTCTTTCAGACCATACCTCCACCCCGGGAGTTGGAACAAATGGAAAACAGCGGTTTCTTGGACGACATGCAGGAATTTTCGTCATTTTCATACCTGATTCAATGCGCTCGCTACATCGGGCAGATGATGACCGCGCGCATCGTGAGCCCCAATGATGAGAACATCTCCAGGATTGAGACTCTTCTCTCGGGCTGGCGTTTGAACCTGCCACTATCCAAACGGGAAGGGCTCTTCAACGGGACGAAGCTGGACGAGATGATGTTCCAAGGCTACATGACCCTGCACGCCATCTCAATCCTCTTGCACCAGCCTCATTCCCAGCTCGACACGACCCCGACCCTAGCGATTGATGCCTGCGCGCCCAACACGCCTGCTCTCACCAGCTCCGGCCTCAACACCCACACCAAACACGCCATCCAATCTGCTAACGAGATTACGAAGCTCATCACCCTGCGCGTTTCCCTGTTGAAGCATACGCCCTTCTTTGCGTACATGATCACGCTCGCGTCCACCGTCCAGCTTAGTTGGTGGACGCTCCCGTTTGTACGGCACGATGACGACGTCGGCCAGCGGATTCGCCTCAATCTCGGCGCATTATCCAAGTACGCAACCGTGTGGCCCTCATCCGAGCACCTGGTTGGGCAGGTCAAGGGCATTGCGCGCGAGGTGTACAAGATCAAGCAGTGGCAGCAACAACAGATCTGGCCCAACCCGGTGTAAGGACAGCACAGCTTTCGATGTCTCAATGGAACCCAGCATTTATTCTACTGTTTATTGGCCCCTTGCGCGAGTTTGATACTTGCAGCTCTTTGGTATATATTGTGTATGTCTGGACATTATTCTTACGAGGAGTTTTTGATATCTACGGTCGACATTTTTTTAGTTGGGTACATATGCACACATTTAGAATGTTTATTAAACTACAATATGATCTCTTGGCAACATGAAGTCGTACGATTAGCTAGCTTTAGTCGAATGTCACGTATCGACGATTTCTCAACATCCAAGCGAACTCCAGGCCCATCGCTGACACATCTACATCCATGAAATGTCGTCGGTTGGGCGAGAAATACGACAAGGCTATGCGCTCTAGAAAACCAGGAGGAATAATGGCACTGCAGGCCCGGACTGCAAACCCCGAACCCGACACCTGCCGAGGAATGGGAGAAACCCAATCTGTTCCCTCATCCCCAGACAACTGAAGCGCGATGAGGAATCATTAGATGCTTGGTACGACGAGTCCAAAGCAGCAACAGATAGACTGGCAACTCGGATCAAGAGAACTGAAGAAGGCCAGTTAATCCAGAGACTTTCAGGCTTAAAATACGATTGTCGTCAAGCTTAACTGCACACCCGTGCTCTGAACCGGGCTCTTACGAACGCGCGAACGTGGACTACCTGAGCCTGGTCTCACATCAGTCTCGGATACACAGATCCCAGCCCCCCTAGAGCGCAGAAATTTCCAATTCGCAACTCGCCATGGCAGACAAGGCACAAGCACCGGCATCATCGCCAGGTAGATAGCAGAGCTCTACTGTACTTTCCCTGGGCTCTCATCGCTTTTCGGCTGCCAAGACGTACCGGTAGGCCCAAGCCTCAAAGTCTAACCGAGGTAAAGCGTCCAGCTGAACTCTGACATCTTTGCATGTGTTTACTCCCCTCGACATTGTAAGGTTCTAGCCATTATCAGTGTTAGTTTACAGTGGCTGCATGTGGCTGCTGTCACTTGCCCCCATTGTATTCACGCTCCACCTCTCTTGTCAGACATGCGATTAATGTGATCCCCAAGGCTTCCTGCTATCTGGGTCACTGCTAACCTTCATCCTTTGTTCCCAAGACATATTTTGTATCTCATCACACGAAACATTCAAGAAGTGATGATGTGGCTTTGCTAAAGGTTGGTCCTGTTCTCGCACTAACCTTGATAGTGGATGCTAAGGTTGACGTTCATATGCACTTGATCAGAGAAAAATGAGGGCTTCGCCACTTGGTGGCTGAATCATAGTTACCCAGTTGATGAGAGATCTCGTCGAAGAAAAAAGTATGAAACAATTAAGCTGGCAGGGCGGATGCATTGAAGGAGGAAAAAAAAGGAAGGTAAGGGTACAACTCGGAATATAGATATATATCAGCTACAATGTTCAACACCCTCCCAAACATCTCTTCCCCCAATCTTCACCTCATCCAACCCATCTTAAACATCCAAGAAAGCCTCGAGTCGAAGGGTTCCTAATCGATAACCATTAACCATGGCTGCGTACGACACCGTCAAGACACCGCAGCGGCTGACGCTGGCCTCGCTCCCCGGGGAGCTGCACCAGCACATCGTTTCCGACCTCGACGCGATCGGCCTCATCAGCCTCAGCCAGACGAGTCAATATTTCCGCTCGCTGATCAAACCGAACAAAAGAGAAATAGGCGAATGGCTTCTCGCCATAGGTAAGGACCGTGCACTACCTCGTTGATTCATCTGCTGTTGTAGCTAACCATTAATAGAGAACCACCGCGAGCACGAGGCCCACGCGCGTCAGTATAGCGAGCAACAGTCTCGCCCAGAGCATTCCCGGGTGTACAAGGAGAGCTGGGAGCTCCATAAGTGGGCCTGTACAGGTTGCTTGCGGATGCTATCACACATCCATTTCGATACCAGGTCCTTGTGGTCGGTGTCAAGAACGGCGAGATGGAGAAAGTGTGGCTACATCCAGACGTCGTGGACGCCATCGCCTTCGCGCGGGGAAGGGGACTCCCCTGCGTGGGAACGTCTGTGCAACGAGTGCCAGTATCGGTATGGGATCGTGCCGCCGCTGTCTTCCTATCATGATGGACAACGGCCAGTGCCCGTACAGAGCAGCCGCACTGCCTTGTTCAGATCGACTCTGGATCGCTGGTATCCCGGCCTTGAACAGGCACTTGGGGGACCGCGATCCGTGTCGGTCCATGCCAAAGACTGTTCCCACTGCGAGGAGAGAAGGTCTAGGCGCATGTGGCATCAGTGGCAGTTGTGCATGGCCAGGTGCCCCCGGTGCGAGCGGTGGCAGGAGTTGAGGGAGTTCCGCGACCCCCCAATGATCGATATGACCTTGTCGCCCGGCGCGCTCTGCAACTCCTGTTACGCCCAGGAGTTTGACCGGGAGGCTCTGGGCGAGGACCTGCTGCCACATGTGCAGGGCTTGATTGTTGGGAAGATGGAAGCCCTGGAACGCCAGCTCACACTTCACGAGCGGCTCTCAGGGTCCATGTGGGATGTTCTCAGGCTGAGGAGGCCTTTGCTTTGGGTGATTGACAATGTGGTTCGAATGGGATACATGGGGCACTTTTCTCACGAAAACATTGACTGGCTCACCAAGTATCATGAACAGTACTCGGAACTCAGAGCTGAAGCGGTGACTCACCAAGCGACTGGGCGGCTGTTAGGCTCTTTTGTATCACTTGAAAAAGTGCTTGGTTTTGAGGAGTGGTTCCACTGCTTCGGCGAGTTAAAGGCTGAGTGGCTCTGGCTGGCAGCGTTCGAGGAGAGGATTGTCCGGCACCCTGGCTTGTTGGCCGATTGGGCACTGGGGAGAGATGGTGCTTCGCTTGAATAGTGCAATAGACGTCTAGGCGACATCTAAGTTAGGAAATATGCCAAGAATATTATCATCCAATGCTTCAAAGTAATCCTCGTGGCTGAGTCCTTGATGTGGGGTTACTGAGCACTCCGGATTCATATTTACAGGGTCTAAGGACAGCTAAACGGCACGTCAGCTTCTCTCTGCATTACATAAGAACTCGATATTCCCTTACAGAGATGTCGGGTTCTGGCATCTTCTATTGTTGTTTTTAACTTTACACCTAAACTCTCCCGTACAGCTACACGATTAGCAAAACCCAGTCTCATCAAATCTTAACACCAGTATAAATCGATTCCTCTTCTTTCTCTTGAAAAAAAGGAAGAAAAGAAGACCTGCTTGAAAAAAATTACCGTCTGCGTGTGCGTTGTTTCACCCCTTCTTGACATTGGATGCGGCTAAAAGGTACCTAGTAAATTAGCAAAGGACATATCCCGACAATGGCGAAGCGCACACTCTATCTTGTTACCTACGACCGCGGCACCTACCCAACCACTGGCAAAGTCAAGCCCTATCATTGGTCATATTTCATACAAACAGACCTGCGCGGCAACAAAAACTTGGGCATTGCACACCAGTTGCGTGGCATGCCTGGAGGCTTCTATTACCCAGGCCCGGAACAGTTGGATCTCGTCAAGTCCGGTTCTCCTAAAGAAGAATTGGAAATTGGTGAAGTGGACGACTCGAATTTAAAGAGGGTGCATGAAATTCTGAGTAGTGTGCGGATCGAGACAAGCGAGTCGTCCGGATGGAACTGTCAGGACTGGTCTCTGGCAGGATTCGAGATGTTGAAGGAGGAGGGTTTCGTGTATAGTTACTTGACACGGGACAGCGTGAAAAATTGGCTGAAGGAGGGTTGAATGGTGTGATTGTAGGGCATGACATACTGTTATGTCTAGAACATTTCGAGTTCTATGTCAGCTTCAGTTTCGGGCTGATACTCCTGTATAATCTGCTTTACAACTTTAATCCACCATTGTCGAGGCCGTGAACCAAACAGGGCCTTCCTGTATTCCCACCACTCAGGCCAGAAACCCGCTATTTCCCAGTCCACGATTCCGGTGATGGAGCCTGTTATAGGGTCGAGAAGCACATTCTCCCTTGAGAGATCTGTATGCGCAAATGTTATGTGATAGCTATCGGGGAGCATGTTGCGATATTTAGCTACCTATTTAGGCTGTGGACAATTCTTTACGGGGCTAACAAGGAAGTCGTGAAACTCGGAAACGGACGCGAATGGGCCACATGTAGCTATATTATCTAGTCGATGGTTATATGAGGGCCCTCCGGAGTAGGAACTAATCCAGCCAGGTCCAGGTGGGCGAAGGCGGCGTAACTGGTATAGGTGTGATTGAAGCTCGGAGATCGTCTGTGCTCTTGCTGTTTCCGATATTATCGGCCATGCTTCGTCCAACTGTCGCCCGGGGACTCGTTCCATTAAAATCCAGCCCGGCTTGTGGCCACTCGCGCCGAAATGTACGTTGAGAATTGACGGTACTGGGATCGAGGTGTGGCTTCGGACGTAGTTCATGGCTTCGGCCTCTCTGCGAAGCCGGAAGGGTATCGTATGATGGCTAGCGAGTCCCGTTTCGCTATGAGGCGCGGCGCTGGATAAGATGGCTATTTTCTGATTTGATTTATATAAGATGAAGATGAATAAGTGTTGGCGAGTGGAAAGTACGGACCTACGCGACTTTCTGTCTGTATGTATGACTAAGCCGAGGTCAGTGGTGACGATAGATCTTTGGCAAGAATGAAAGACTATCTCTGTATCTTCCATATCGTTATCTCGACCCCTTTCTGGACCTTTGGTTTTTGCCTAGATTTTTAATGGTAAATAAAAGTGAACTTAGGTAATGTCAGCGATCGACAGAGCAGTCAGGCCGCTAGCGCCAGTTCATGCAGCATTGGATGCAGCACGTCGTGCGACATTCGAGGACCCAACGAGGCAATGTCCCGCATACTGTGTGGGCTGCTCAAACCAAGTTCACCCTCAAGACATCTCGACCAAGAAACCATGGCGTTATTCATCCGCCCCAGAGCCTCAACTTGCCCGGTAAACTAAGCGGGGGTTTTAGTCTATCTAGAACTGGCCCTGGTCTCCTCATCTGAAGCCATTTGGGAAGCCAATGGTGACAGTTTGACCCACCAAGCGAAGACCCGATTGACCACTTCTGGTCCATGTCTCCATGTTTCTTCACCGTTCGACGTGGGTCGAGATAGAGAATGCTGTCACTCGTTAGTCAGTCGCGCGAACAGTTGCTCCGCTTCTTGAATCGTACGTTGCGTGCTTTAATGAAAATCAAGGAACTCTGACCGAACCAGTCCCTGCCCCCTCGTGTCGTTCAAAAACACACGTTTCCCTTGTTCTCTTCTGATAGCTGTCGATTGGATATAGGCGTAAGCAGGATGGCCACTCCTCTCACCACCAGGCAATGGAGCCTTGCCGCTTATCCCAGCGGAACTCCTACCCTCTCTGGCCCCGAACCAACATTCAAGCTCGAGACCGTCGAGCTGCCCCAACTTCAAGATGGCCAAGTCCTCGTCAAGATTCAATACATCTCCAATGATGCCGGTCTGCGCACATACATCGGTTGCTCCGTGGATAACGACCGCATGTACGTGCCCCCCGTGCCACTCGGCGAGCCCATGCGCGCCGGCATGATTGGCGAGGTGCTCGAGTCCAAGTCCCCCAAGTTCAAGGTCGGCGACATCGTCCACGAGACTCACCGCGCGCCCTGGGCTGAGAAGGTGGTCATCAACGACTCGGATATCCAGGCTCTGGCTCCGCTGCCCGGCGGTCTGTCCAATATTCATTACATGGGCGCGTTTGGAGGGACTGGCCTGACCGCATATGTCGGCCTTCTCCATATCGCCCAGGCCAAGAAGGAGCATACCATTGTCGTTTCTGCGGCCGCCGGAGCCACGGGATCCATGGTCATTCAGATCGCTGCTAAGATCCTGGGTGCTAAGAGAGTTGTCGGCATTGCAGGAGGTGCAGAGAAGTGTTCCTGGGTCGTGGAGCACCTTGGGGCACACGCGTGCGTAGACTACAAGAGCCCGACCTTCAAAGAGGATCTGAAAGCCGCCACCCCCGATGAGGTCGACATCTTCTACGATAATGTCGGTGGCGCGGTCTTGGACGAGACTCTGGCACGTATGAAGCGACACAGCCTGGTTGCCGTGTGCGGTGCCGTCAGCGGATACAATTCAAGCGAGCCAATGACCCTCCGCAACTGGTTTGAGGTCGTTTCGCAAAGGATTACGTTGAAGGGGTTCTTCTTGTTTGACTACCTGGACCAAATCCCGGCCGCCATGGAGCAGCTTGTTGCTGCTGCTGTGGACGGCCGGATCAACCTGAACATCGAGGAGGTTCCTGCTACGATCGAGGGTGTGCCCCAGGTTTGGATCGATATGTACACTGGATCGGCCAAGGGAAAGGTGATCACCAAGTTGGAAGGCTAGAACACGGCAGTGCCTCTGGAATTTGGTTTAATGGCGGATGATAAAATGAATAAACACCCTCAGTATATCTCAGGAGAAAGGGCGAAGATTGAGAACGGCGGACCGAAAATATACCATAATAGGAAAAAGAATTTAATAAGCATAAACCTATGCCCTGAATAGATTCTGATCCGTGATGTGAGCTGGCTGAGTGAAGCGGCTTTCATACCCATTTGTCGAGCGACTCGTGGATAAGGGATGCTGGCGCGGGGTTATCTGGTTATCTGGTCTGTGAAATTCACGCAGTCTGGGCGGCTCATGTGCACCAATTGAATTATCTGCATCATCTTCCATGTCCGCCAAACCTCATTTCTACTGAACTTGGCGCTGGGATCGAGAAGCAGAAGTGAGCCTGAACAACAAGAGTGTTCTGCGTAAATTCTCCCAGTTGAACAAACCATCACTCAAGATGGCGCTCCAAAGGGCCTCCCTCATGTCCATTGGAGACGTGCCTTATTACGTGCCAGCTTCATCGCGAAAGATCCCCTCGTATCCAACACAGATCTGGGCTGCTTCGAAAGAAGAAATCCCTTCCGAGTTCGCCCCTTGCACAATCTTCCTGTGCGATCATGCAGCGGCGATGAACTCGAGTTCCTTGTCGTTTTTTCTTGAAGAAAAATCGAGGCTCTGGCTTGCTACCGATGACGTGTTCTCTAGCGACTTTCTCAAACACGTCTACATCGTGCCGCCCGCTCCTATGGTCCTGGCTGTGGAGGACACTGATGAGCTTGGCAATTTGTTCAAGAAATGGGAGGTGGCAACCGCGCATCTCCTCCATGGCAATGATGATAGCGACCCTTGGATGCCCGGACCATATGTAAACTCGGGCTCTGTCTTTTATACCGTTTGGCGACTATTTCTAGATACGGATGGGGCGTTCATGCTTCCGACAGTTCCTTCTGAGCATGAGCCTAGAATGTGCGTACTACTTTCTGCGTTGCAAACACTATTAAGTCACTGATACCATCGCAGATTTGTCAATCCTGGAACTGCAGGTGTTCCTGTACCAAGCCGATGCTACTACCCGGATCCATCCCCGGAGAAGCCTCTTTCAGGAAGGAGAGTTGCCATCAAAGACAACATCGACGTAGCTGGCGTTCCCACAAGTGTCGGTAGTAAAGCCTTCGCTGAACTCTACGGCGTCAGGGATAGGAATGCGCTCTGCGTCGAAAGGCTGCTTGATGCAGGGGCTTTAATTATCGGCAAGGCCAAGACCGTCCAGTTTGCTTCGGGAGAAGGTGCACGAGACTGGATCGACTACCAAGCTCCCTTTAACCCCAGAGGTGACGGCTACCAGGATCCTGAATGCAGCAGTGCCGGGAGCGCAACGGCATGCTCGGCGTATGACTGGGTTGATATTGCGCTTGGGACTGATAGTAAGATACGCCAGCATTGTCATTGTAAACCGTGATGTGAGATTGACATGCCGTCTAGCTATCGGGAGTATCATAGGCCCGGCTGCTCACCACGGTCTGTTTGGTCTTCGACCTTCTCTTGGAAGTGTTCCTATGTCTGGGATTGTCCCCTTTTCTAAGTGAGTTCATTCACGAGTTTGATATTTACATCACAACGCAGGCTGATTTCCAGTAGGGAATTGGACACTGTCGGTCCCTTCACTCGGACCGCGTCGTTGGCTACAAAGGTCATGCAGGTGTTAACTGGCGGTGGTGTGACAAAACTACAACGTTCGAAAAATATTCAACTGCTTTATCCTGTGGATATGTTTGGTAGCTTACCTGAGTATTCTGCTTTTACCGAGCCATTTATTCAACATCTTGAAGAGTTCCTTGGTGTGAACAGGGTCAACATTAGTATAAGAGAAAAGTTTATAGAGGAACAGATTGCAGGGGGAAAGTCAATTGACGATTTTCTAAGCCAGGTAAGCTTAAATGTGAGACAAAGATAAGATGAAGCCGGCTAACACGATTCAGACGACGGCTCGTATTCAATTATTTGATTGCTATAGAAGCTGCGCCCCCTTCTTAGATGAGTATAAGAAGAAGTTCAACAAGACGGCATTCGCGGATCCGTACATCAGATTCAAATGGTGAAACTCCAAAGAGTATCTATCTCAAATTGCGCGGGCTAAATGGCATATAGGAATCTCGGAGAGAAAATCACCCGAGAGCAGTACGAGGAAGCGATTGCTCAGAGGGACGTTTTGAGGGAATGGGTTTTGCAGAAGCTAATCCCTCAAAATCACCCCAATGAAATGCAGAGCATTCTGATTGTACCTAATGGCAAGATGGAGGAGTTATATCGCTATCACTATGACGGGTAAGATTTGCCTCGGTGTTTGCATTTCGTTCTGCTTCTTGTCCTCAATCACTCGATGAAACTTCCCGCGTCTGACTTTCAATCCGGTAGGCGCACACTCGAAGAAGAAGCAAGTTTAAAACAAGGCTATGGGTTTAAAGATAGCTTCCTTGCCACTTTGGCAGGGCTGCCATTTTTCAACGTGCCGGGTAAGACGCATCTTCTCATCAGTAAAACACCGCTAATGCGCCAGATAGTTGGCCAAATACCATACAATTCTACCGTCACAGAGAGAACTGAAGTCATTCCAGTAAACATTGGTCTCGTTGGACCTAAAGGTGAGGGAACATCCTGAGCTAGGTACTCTTCAATCACTGACATGAGCATGCTGTAGGCTCAGATATCGCCCTGTTGCAACTCGTGGAAGATTTTCTAGATACCGCCCCTGGCCTTCACTCACGTGTGATGACTGGAGCTAAGGCCTTTGGAGATAAGGCCTGATGCTCTGCTCTAAGTTTCTATCTTTATTTAAGGAACGAAAGGAGGAAAGCTAGTACGGGTGCTCCCTTTGAGATATTTGATAGTTTCACATGACAGTACCTCGTATGGTCATCACGCCTTGTGTGCTACAAGAGGAGTGCCCTTTACTGCGACTCCTCCGGTATGCGATAATAACGGCGTACTGCCTGGATGTCCCTACCAAGCGAGCCCCTCAATTTGGTGATGACCCGTCTGTCGGCGGTAGTCGATTTGTCTAAGATAGCGATCCCCAAGCTCTTTATTTAAGTAGAAAAGAAGTTACTCAAGCAGAAACCTAGGCGATTGGAGGCACGTACCATATTGATTGCCTCACTACTAACTTTATTAACCCGCTCGATGACTGCTGCCTTAACTGCGTTGTTTGCGGAGTAAAGATCCGATTTGTCGATGAGGGCGCCCAGTAAGTCGGAATGTGCTATTTGAAGCTAGAAGACATTGTGTTAGAACATCTCATGCATTATGTTGAGAGCGTAAGCGTTGGCTTACAAGAGAAAAAGCGTCTCTGACGGCAGCAGAACTGTCGGTGTCAAAAGGGGATGGTAGGCCCACGACGAAAGCGGCAGTTTCTCCAGAGACATCATAAATCTTGTCAAAGGCTTTGAAGATGTTCTAGAAAGCCAACTGGATGAGCTAGGATATCCTCCACGGCGAGAATGTTGCGAGTGGAGAAAAGGCGTGTATGTTTTCTTACCTGGAATCTCCCTGATGTCTCGTTAAGCCGGTTTCCATCCTCTACTGTCAACTTGTTTACTTTAGGGATGGTATCTTGGGAGAGCTTCTCGATTTTTTGGAGCTTCTTGACGATCTTGTCTGTCGGCGTCGTAGCTGCGCTAACAAGCGCACAGCCGAAAAGGAAAAGTGAAGCGAAACGCATCTTGTTGAAAGGAGGCTTTGTCACTAACGTAGATGATAGGAGCAAGATAGAGTTGATGAGGAGGGAATTACCTGCGGCGAATTCATCTCTTTATAACCATAAGACGGTAGTTGTTGAGGTGAAATCTGGGGACTGCGTTGAGAAAATGATCGACAAGTCTAGACCTCGAGGCGGTCCATGCCTCCTTGCATACACGAGGGCCTTAACGCGATTAGGGTGAAGCGATTGGGTTCGATCTCATGCGGGATAAGGTAATAGCGCCAATATTCGGGGCATAGCATCTCAGCTGAACAAATGATAGGCATAGCTGAGACGGGCGGCACATGGCTCCAAGTGTTCTCATTCGTGGTCTGGGTACGCGTTATGCAATGCCGTCATTTTTGCTCCGAAGCCACAATCCTAAGCCAAGAGGATCACTGCCGTCTCATCCGCTGGGCTTGAGAAAAGTGACCAAATTGTTCGTATAGAGACCAGAAGAATGCGGTTTGACTCAATGTTTATGACTAGTCGTAAGCCATGCTTGTGTACTGGAGGCCGCTCTTTTCACCGGCCTGCCAAGGCAATAGTGTGATGCATCAACCCCTTTTCGACACCATTAGAATATGAAACTGCATAATAAGCACAAATTACTTGAGTAGAATCGCCGGGGAATCGATGTACGGCGTCAGCTGCTTTCATTGCCGAGGTCGGCGGTGTTCTCAAAGATGGAAAAGATGGAGGATCATGTTCTTTGTACTAGTCACGCGCAAAAACTCTTGGGTGTATCAGAGCTTTTATGCACTTCCTAAAATAATTAAACGTTGAGTGCAGTCTAGTCAACCTAATGGTAGATGATGTCTACTGGGAATATCGACGGAACATTCATTGGGCTCTGAAAGACGCTGCTTCTTTCGGGAAGCTTGGATCTGCTGAGGACACTTGGTTGACTTTTCCTGCTGACCACAGACGTAGCTTTGCCAGCATATCCCAACCACTTAAGTTTGCAGTGATTTGTTGGAAGACTGTTGCCTGATTGCTCAGAAGACTTCACTCGTAAAGGAACCTGGTCTGGTTGGCGGGCTCGGCGTAATCTCACACGGTATCTCCCTGAACAATGGAAAATTGGCTCAAGTCTAGGAGGCCAAGTACATTGGGAGATGACGAGTTTTTAATTATAAGTATCGGAGATATGAAGCAGATTGGGGCGGTTTCATTCGTGGTTGACGTAGTGTGACCTTCTTTTCTAGCTGTCGTGGTGAGTAGCTCTTTGGCAACCCTCGTCTCTGAAAAATACTAGATGTTGGTGACAGCAACTTTGGTATTAAGACTAGGTTCAACACAGAGGCACATATTGTTTCAAGAAGTCCAGCACGGCGAGTAAGGTGACCCCTACGACAGAGCGGTTGGTGAATCAGTATCAACAGGGGGCCGGGGTTGCCTCATTTCGCCATCTTGCATTGCCTAAAGAGAGGCGCTGGATTAGCTCACACCGTTGCTATTCACTGCAATGGCGATAAAATCAGAGCCCATGAGCCGTCATCGATCTCAATTGTGGGTAGATTAGCGCCGCTTATGCCTGGAATCATGCAACATATTATGGGGCCTCTCATGATTCTCGCCATCGGCTGACGGTATATGCCCACTGAGATGTGAATGGTTTTAGACGTGGAGGAGGCCGAACGACACAACTTGTATATGAAAACTTCCAACTTACTTTCGAATTTCTCGTCCTTTTCCGTTAATTCACATTGAAATCATTAGAGAAATAATGACAAGACTTCCGGCTGCATCCCTCCGGGGCTTCGTCGCCCGAGGTCCCCGTGTCACCACGGCGGCATTCCGACGAACATGCCTCTACTACAGTACGATGCGAGCCGCTAGGTACTGGGGCAAAGAAGACATTCGAGTCGAGCAGATCCCAATACCGGCAGTCCGCCCAAATCAGATAAAGGTGGGTGACCTTGAGTAATCTTGTTCTGCAGTGATGACTGACAACCACATGGTCTTTAGCTGGCTCCCGCATTTGTTGGAATCTGTGGAACAGACCTTCATGAGTATATGGGAGGCCCCAATTTCTGCCCTACCACACCACATGGAGTCACCGGAGAGACGATTCCCGTTACCCTCGGGCATGAGTTTTCTGGCATCATCACAGAGATCGGCTCCGAAGTGCAAGGATTCGAGTTAGGCCAGCCATGCACCGTCCAGCCGACCATATTCTGTGGCCATTGCGTTGCCTGCGCAGCTCATGCCGAAAACGTTTGTCATGATGGAGGCTTCGTCGGTCTCAGCGGTGGCGGCGGAGGTCTCAGCGAAGCCGTATGCGTGAGCGCCACTCACGTCTTCCCGCTGCCTCAGAACCTGACTCTCGAGATGGGTGCGCTGGTCGAGCCCATCGCCGTTTCGTGGCATGCAGTGAGCGCTGCTCCAGAGGTCGGCGAAGACACTGTTGCGTTGGTTCTTGGAGGGGGTCCGATCGGATTGGCGGCCATTCTCTGCCTCAAGGCCAAGGGCGTCAAAAACATCATTGTGTCTGAGGTGGCAACGTCTCGCCAGAACTTTGCGCGTCAGTTTGGTGCTTCAGCCATTGTTAATCCTGCAACAGAAGATGTGAAGCAGCTTATCCTGGATGCGACGAATGGGAAAGGCGCTGATGTCGTTTTCGACTGTGCCGGAGTGCCTGCAAGGTAACCATCAGCCTCAGTCTTTGGAGTTTCAGTTTCATGTTGACAGTTCGATATTAGTATCAAGAGCGCATGCGAGGCCGTCAAAACTAAAGGCACTATTGTCAATGTTGCCATTTGGGAGAAGGAGATTCCGTTCAACCCCAACCTGATTACATTCAAGGAGAGTGTGTACAAGTCTGTTCTGGGATACGACAGAAAAGACTACCAAGCTGTGATCGAGAATATGCGAACCGGTGAGTCTGATTACTTAGGTACAGTCTTGAGTAATTTATTGACGAGAACTTCAGGCGCTATTGAGGCAGAACAAATGATTACTCGCAAAATCAAGCTAGAGAATATTGTAGAAGATGGGATCAAGACGTTGATCAACGACAAGAATAATCATGTGAAGATTCTGGTCGATATCAACGACATATAGACGTGGAGTTAAGATCAAGATTTGAGACGAGGAGCTCCAGCATGGCCATTCAATACATCTCTATCTTTGTGAAGTTGTTAAAAAATAAAAGCTATTACATCAATATGATCCGTGACATTACTACGATAAATTTGAAAAGGCACTTGTTTTTAAACATCCTTGTAAGCTGCACAACTCAATCATTGATCACTCGGCTTCATCAAGAAATATTTCTGGAATTACTTTAGCTTGGGTCACATCCTTTGAAGAAAATTCCTTCGAGGATCAGAGAGGCTGTTCCATATATTGCTAACTTCAGTATTTACATTCCATCGTTCAGCATGGCATTAACAATTTGAACGTGGCGATCGCCGTTCGTCTCACTCCATTCCGTCTCATAGTTCAAACCATAAGGCCAAAAGTGACCTCCTCCACAGCTAATCTTTGCGCTGGATCCGTCAAATGATTGAAGCAGCCTGGTCGCCGAAGGCCAATTGTTAGCAGCACACTTCTCGTTGAAAGCGGCTGTTTGCCCGACTCCAAGAGTATGCGCGATCTCGTGCATCGCGGTGCGCTCCGTCATGTAGGCGCGGTTAGATCCGAATCTCAGATCGCCGTTGTAGTTTGCCTCAGCCGTAGGGACGCTGGGTTCGTAGTAGACTCGGATTTGCTTGTTGGCGCTGGTGAAGCGATGGTAGCGGGCAACGCCTTTGGTCATGGCACTTTCGATTTTGGCGTAGGCATCAAGCTGGTCTGCCGTGGGGTTGGACGCCTTTTGGAGTGTCCAGTTAAGTGTTCCGGACACAGCCGTGGAGCAGGCCAAGATAGCGGCGGTCACAGTTGTGAAACGCATCTTTGAGATGGAGATAGTGGAGAAGAAGTGATAGTTGTGGTTGGGAAAATAAGCTTAAAACGTATAAACTTTGTGTCCTTGACTGGAAGCGTAACTGGAGGAGAAGATGAGGTGATTTTAGGCTTTCTTTTCTGCGGACTCATCGAATAATTTATATGTTTAATTTCCATTAGCTCTCATGGAAGTGTTACGTTCGGATGGAGGTCTCCGGCACTAATTTTCTTTACGAGGTTTCATCTGCGTATCATGCTGGGCTGTGGAACAACTACCGGTTCTACCCCTGATTCGTGCGCTCCGCCTGATTCTCGGAAGACGTTGCTCCGAGAATATTAGATCCCTAAAATGGACCCGAAATGGAAGTCAGGATAAGATGATGTTCGTGTTTGGAGCTATCCAAGCCGATCGTGGAAGAGAAGCGAGTATCATTCCCCTTTTCGGTCTTGTAGTAGCGTTGTACTCGCGAACAATTAACCCGCTGGCTGGGAGCTAGAGCAATTCCATATCACTCTACTCCCATTTGGGAATTCCATAAGCCTTGGACCTAGTTCTAGACTTTGCGCCGTCTGCCGAGGGCGATGGTCATCCGTCGTTGTCCCGTTGATCCATATAAGACAACTCTTTCGTTGTTGCAATGGCATCAAGGGTTTGGATACACCTAATATTCTATTTAATGGCCTAAGCTCGCAATAGATACTTGGAAAGATGAACAGAACTCGGAAATAGTTTGGACTTAACTCTTCATAACTATGCGTGGGTTTCTTGAGGAGCTGACAAATTCAACAGTTTGCAGTGTGAGAAGATATCAAGTTCTAGTTTTGGCGAATGTATCAAGTTGTTAAAGAAATTCAGAAAACTTTCATGAGGGAAGTTCTTTCAATTGTCATGTTAGGATCTGCCCCGTACTCCTTTGTGTTTAATGCAAGTTAGATGCTGTGACCACTCATGTGATACTGCATCGTGTTTGCTGGTGAAGAAGATTGCTTTGTTCGCTTTGTCTTGAATTTGAAGGCCTCACCCTAAAATAAAATATTCAGATTTGTTAGTTCCTGGAGCCACAACAGAACGTCACTTAGGACGAGAGTTATCAGATTCCGATACCTTGACTTATTAATGTAGCACGGTGTTTGGCTGAGCCTTCAAAGGGCAAGAGGCATAATGCATTAACACTTTCCAAACAATTACCTTAGGCGCCCACAGTTTTCTTTACTTCTATAGTAAATGTTACAAAGGGGCATTGATCATGACTATGGCCATGCAAACCCACGAGCTGAGGAGGTTGGGTGATTTTAGGTAAAAGGGCAATCCTATGAATAGCCGGTGCCGGAATACTTCTAAAGTGCGTTCTAGTAACGCTACATTTCTCCAAATATCGGTGGCCCCCTTAGCGTGTTTAAAAAGTTTGTTAGTTGTTGGATTCTAGGTTGTATTAGGCCCAAATTCTGCACAGGATTAAGGATACGCAAGAGGAAGAGAATAAAGTTCAACAGCAATGGAAGCTGCCAGGGCCCGACAACTCAACACAATGAAGATGTAAGAGGGATAATCTAACCTTTGGAAATCATTGATTTGATATGGAGTAACAATCAAATGAAACCATGTATGCCCGTGGGCGGCCTCCATACTGGTCGGGGAGTAACTACGTCCCAGCACTTTCAACTTTTTTGTTCTATATGTCTAGGTTGACTAGGCTAAGAGGAGGAGACGCTAGGATGGACTGACACCAAACCATTCCATCTAATAAAGAACCCAGATTGTATCGGAAACTAGATTGGGTATGTTTGAACACCAAAATCCTCCGAGAGTGTGATCATGTGGCTTTGGGTCTGGTGGGTGCATGCAATCACAGCCATGGAAACCACCAACCATGCTGCCCTTGGAAGGTGACGAAGAAAGCCCGACGTGGCAAAACGTTACACTATTGAGCTTTCCAACCAGATGTTGTTGCATAGGCGATTAGACCCTGGGACCGAGAAGCGATGAGACCTTCCTCATGGTCTGCACAGCCTTATCGTGGACGATGACCTCATGAATTCTCGAGCTAATATTCACCCAATGCTTCTGAGTTGAGTATCGCTTTATGTTTAGTCTTCCGAGCAGTCACATACAGAGGTCAATCTAAACGTAAACACAGCAGGGAAAATGCTGGGATTAAAGGGGAGTTGGCTTTATCATTTGACCCGAACCATGGTTTTCGGGGAGATGTACTGAGCAAACTGATTACTTTATTGAAGTTCACTGTAGCCCTTCCCAATTCTTAGTAATTGGAAGGGACAGGTGAATCTGATTCTGGATGTGCCAATAATCGCTGGGAACACGTTACGCTTCATAGCTCCCTTCCACCCATCCACCCCTCTTACACCAAGTCCAACGCTCTTATCACTGGGCGCTTCGCTGAGTTCATATTTGTCTTGGCAAAGTAGCTGTCTTTGGTTATCATATGTGCAGTTGTTTTGTATCAATTTCTTCCAATATTCCCAGACCATATCTGAACGTCAGTACGCTTAGGCTCGTGGGTGAGTACATAATGAATGAGCCCAAGATGTTAGACAGAGCATGTAACGTTCCGATAAAATAAAAAGGGCGAGTGGCGTGGAACCAAAAGAACAAAACCAACTTTTATACAAAAAGTCCAACTAAGATAGAGTGCCGTAGTTGATTGAGGGCTTTTCATTCTGGAACCTGGTGCAGAGAGTCGTGACTTTTGGAGTCTTAGACAGCACGATCAGAGCAAGTCGTCTCCCTTTTCAATGAGCGTTTTCAAATCTCGTTCAGTCCAATTAACCAAACTAAGGTCGACTTAATCCTTCTTAGATTTCTGATGAGGCCCAAAAAGGCTAACGCAAGGGGCCCAGAGGATGTGAGCGTTTAGACATGCCTAGACTTGAAGGGGTGTCGATGTCGATGTCACCTTCTGAAATTGTTATCGCCATATGGCCCTGAGACATGAGTCACATGGTAATCGTAGCATTGAAGTCTCTGGCCTGTAGAACCACAATGAACTGATACAGTGGTCTCCTACCGATTATGCCGCAAGAGCAGAGGACCACCTTCCCTATTCATCCATTCATGATGGAATCCTCTAGAGATCCCAGAACAATCTTAAAGAGCCAAGAGGCCGGAGAAACTAATTGGATCTTTGGACCCCCCCAACAGCCGTTTCGATCCTGTAAGTAATCAGAAAGAAGATAATAACCCACAACCAGAAAAAGACTCATAGATGAACAAACTACCTCCAAGGGCAAGGCATCGAGACCAGACGTTACGTTACCCCCAGCCATGGCGGTGTCCACCCTGGACAAGCCGGACATTATTCTCGGCCAGATGACCAACAGGGGCCAGAAGTAAGTGTAGCCGCCTCTTTATACCTAGTTGCGGATCAGTGTGGAAGGGTTTCAAGGTTGATTACTCCCTGGAAGAGGATGATTACTGCAGGGCAAATGATTGGCTATGCATTCTACGACATCAAGAATTAGTCGCCTGCTAAACCCCGAACCCCTGTTTCCCCTGCATCTCAAGGCATGAGAACACGTTGAGTGTTAGTTCTTGGCAGCTTAATTCGTTCGATCTACATCATTTCGTCCCATCTCACCTGTCAGAACATGTAGATCCCAAAGTGTTAAAATATATTACGCTATGGATAGAGACTTGAGTTTTTTTTTGTTTATGAAAGAGGTATACGCCACCCTTTTATGGAAAGAGTTGATCATACTTGAGAGTGGTCAAACGAGCTCGAAAGAGTGGTCGGCCGTGTTCTAGCCCCTCTTGACACAAGAGCGCACCGAGGCGGGTCACCACCAATAGTGAAACACAGTGGTTGGGAAGACTGCATATGGTGTAGCTTGCCCAGAGTCACCATAACCCTTTTTGCTAGTCGGAATTCAATGCCGCACACTTTCTGTTCAGCTGTTCAACGATGGAACGTATGCCTGCCTCCTCTTACACCCATTCTCCTCAAAGTCTCCTCGCTACGGCAGCCGAAGCCGCGCAAGCCAGTCATTGTCGATATCTTAGCGCCATTGACCCATCTTTTAAATTTAAATGGGACGCTGTCAACTGCAGAGTCGACTACAAGGCGCCAGGTGGTTGCATTGTCGTACGTCTAGTCCAGATGGAGAAACTCGTTTTTATCACCATTGAGGTGAAAACTGCTTAGAAATAAACGATAAGAATTACCGCAGTATGGAGTTGTTGAAGCAATAATGTGACCGTTTCTCATACTACCATCACATGTTCAGTTGCGGAGCCAGGAATTTAATACATATGTGAGGAAGGTTGCTGTCTCATCTGTTAGCGACGCAGTTATTATAAATAGGGACCCTCAGGCTCTGTCCAACTCAGAGTCTCACTTATAAATTAAACAAGCTTTCAGTTGAACACAATCAATTGAACCATATCCACAACTTGCACACCCAGATCATCATGAAGATCTCCATTGCTGCTTCTCTTGTCGGCCTCTTGGCTTTTGGTGCCAACGCCCACATGGAAGTGATGAGCCCACCACCTTTCCGCTCTCGCTATAACCCCTACACCACAGACATTGATTACTCCATGACAAACCCTCTGAGCGGCTCTGGCAGTGACTTTCCCTGCAAGGGATATCACTCGCTTCTCGGCACATCCCAGGGCCAGTCCGTTGCCACCTGGAAGCCCGGCTCAACCTACACCATGACCGTGGCTGGCTCCGCTACCCACAACGGAGGCAGCTGCCAGGTGTCACTCTCTTACGACAAGGGCAAAACCTTCAAAGTCATCCATTCCTACATCGGGAACTGCCCGCTGCAGACCAGCTGGTCATTCACCTTGCCCAACGATACCCCAGCCGGCAGCGCTCTCTTTGCCTGGTCGTGGTGGAACAACCTCGGCAACCGTGAGATGTACATGAACTGTGCTCATGTTACCATCAGCAGCGCCAAATCTGCCGGCACCAGAGAGATTGGTGCCGGTGAAGAGCAAGAGGAGGCTCAAGTTGAGAAGCGCGCGCCTAGTGACCCTTTTGCCAGCCGCCCCAACATGTTCGTGGCCAATGTTGGTAACGGCTGCAGTACGCTTGAGACATACGATGTTCTCTTCCCCAACCCTGGTCCTGATGTGACCTACGCATCCAGCAAGACTGCTAGCCCTGTTGGGAGCTGTGGCACAACTTTTGCCAAGGCCTACAAAGCCTAGAATAAGCAAGGCCAGTGGGAGACAGCAGTTCTAAGGAGGGAGAACTTGTCGTTGAACGGGCTCCAGCTGGTCCTGGAGCATGGATGAGTCCTGAGTTATTTCATAGTCAACATTCACCCTCGCTTTTGAATTGTATATAGCTAGTCATTATCATTGAACTTGGCATCTTCGTTTATTCATATGCCTAGTGTAAATATCAACGAAATCAGGTACTATGTCAAAAGATTGTGTCGGTGCTCCTTTGTGGGCCTTCTCCAGTGAGCTGCCCATACAATGTCTGCACCATTTCATAAAGTCGTGATCATGGCTCCGCCGTACAATTTACCCAATACCATTCCATAGTGTTTTTTTTGTTCATTACATCGCAGTTTTGTCGTTACATTTGAAGGTCCATTTCAGCCCAAGTTCCAACCCATACGATCCCGTGGTCCAGATAAAGATCGGGCACGGAAGTGTCAAGTAGAGCTAAACAATTAAGCTCATTAGAAGCAAGCTAAGCGGCATTAAGCTCGCCCCTAAGCTATCTCAATGCCGCTTATGGCATTCTCGATAATCTGCTTCTCTTCCTGGATCGCTTCATCGTCAGGCAGTAGGTTTTCTGCAAGCTCGATAGTCTCAAAAGCGTCGGCATAATCATTGGAAAGCCTGTGGGTCTTTGCTTTCCTAAACAAAAGCTTTGCCATTTGCGCATCGCTGGGCTGCCAGTACATCTTGCAGCCAGCCAGTCCCTGATAGGCGTTGCGCAGTGCGAGCAGCGACATACTTGCCTGTCGCGGGGCAAGTTCCGGGTGGAACAGGCTCCCATCCATATCTTTAATGGTGTTTTGGGACAGATTGATATTCAAGATGAAATAGAGCTCAGCCAGGTCCCTGACGAACTCAGGATCGGAAACAAGGGTCGCCCACATGGCTCCGCCGCGGACACGCCTGATTTCGTTGCATGCCCTGGACCAGGACTCGCTGCACAAGCGAGAATCTCCCTGCCTGAAATATACAGTTCCAGCCTCTTTGAGGGCCCTCACCTTTTCGAGGAGTACCTCAGGCTCCTCAATCACGTAGGATTTGAGCTGGTCAGCCACGGCTGTGGCAAGAGCCTCGTCGACCTCGCCCTGGACGACAACGTCCTCGAGCCCACGGAGGTGTCGACGGAGCGGCGCGAGAAGTGTTTCTTGGTGAATTTTTGCAGCAGAGGGGGGGATTTGATACGGAGCGCACATAGTGATGGTGTGGCTGACCGCCGACCAGAACCCCGGGATTGCGGCCTCTGCATGGCCGAGAGCGCGACAAAAGAGATCAAGGTCGCGGTGAGTGATCAAACAGGAGAAGGAGGAACAGGGAAGCTCTGTCAAATGTTGCACGAGTGTGTAGGACAGGACGTGGCCACTGAATCTGCCAACCACATTCTTGTCCATAGTAAAGACCGGGACGCATCTGTTTTTGACGAGAGATTTCAACACGTGAATATTTGGCACCTCCATAGTGGCGCCAAACCTGACGAACTTGATTTCTCTGTAGAGGACATCCTTTGCCTCGGTGTGGATTTGGCGGTTCACGGCAAGGATCGATGTCTGCACATTGTGCTTGGCCCTGGCGATGGTCTCAGGCACATTCTCCGAATTGGTGTAGTCCTCGGGCTCCTCCACGTCGCACAGCAGCAGTTTGTAGACGCGGTTACGGAGCTCGCTCGGGAGACCCGTGAAGCGGAAGGGCTCGGGAGGCATGGTGGCTGGAGACGCGTGCCCGACAATTGAAGCTATCCAGGCGACTTGATTGCGGAGAACCCGCTGCTAGCAAGAGCAAGGGATGGATGAGCCTAAGTTAGAGCCCGATCGATCGATCGTGGGTCCATAAATATCTTCCCCTCAGCTCCAGTTACGTAATAGTGAGGTGGTTAAAGTACGGCTGAGGAGGAGCAAATTTGGCATAGCGCAGACTGACGTACTCCGGAAGCTGCCTTGATTTTGCCAGGCCAGCTGAAGGCTCGGGCCGCCATGAGCCAAGACGTCAGAGTTACGATTAGGCCCTGAATTTCTAGCACTCAACAGAAGAACAAAGCCCGTTGGGTTTTTTTATCGCTTTCGTATTGGCTACTACTTGATGCCACATTGCAATCTTCCTGCCCAGCCACTTCAAGGAGAGTCCCGGCCCACGCACCTAAGATCCTAGGCCGCTACTACTAACCCTCCGAGACAGTCAACAGCCACGCGGTGTGAGTGGCCGCACTATCGAATTTCTTAACTCCCCATCACCAACAAGGCGACCGCCTAGCTTGGGCCTCCTTATTATTTTCAATGTCGCACCGACATTTTGAGGCCGAGGTGTTTAGAAGGTGCATCCTACCCTGGACCCAACATGTCGTCACCAAGCCTCGACCAATGTAACATTGAACCTACCTGGTGAATAATGATTCGATTCTTGTTTGTGCGTATCTCTGACGTATTAGGTCTACATCGGTAGGCCATGTTGAGGGGATACCGTAGCCTTAAAAAATAAGAGAAAAATGAAGTGATCAATTCTTTTCAAGAGGTTCCCAATCTTGCACCTGTGATGGCAGCCCAACCAGCTAGAACTTGCACGCACAAATTACAAAGCTCTTTATTGCAAATCAAATTCTACTGAGTCTTGGCTAATGAGTCTTTAGCCATTAGTATATTTTCTACCTTGGACGGTTTTTCATCACATTATTTTGAGCTTGTGAACGTGTGCAAGCACACTCTAAATTTAGCGGCGCCAACATTGTCTCGTGCTAAAAGGAGATCTCAAAATCCTCGAAGAGATCCAAGTCGAGTAGATCATGAAACAAAATTTCCGCTCGCTGAGGCTCTTGTTTTCTTTCTTTGATCCCCGCGGTGGATGTGTAGGTGCACTTTGGAATTCGGTCATCGTGCCTGTTTATGGAACATCATTAGCCATGGAGAATGATTTTTGTCGTGACATTTAAGCGCTGCCTTAGACTCTCACAAAGGGTTGATGTAGATCACCCTCAACACCTTGTACAGCATACCTTTAGTTGGCCATATGAAGCTACCTACCTACGTATTGTGTATTTACACATCCTGGCTTTGTCTCCTTTGTTCGCATCTCCAGCCCTACCTAGTGTTTTCGATACATAAATACCCACAACGAGCGAACTGCGATGTGTAGACAGCGACAGATGGTAGCGCAGAGCGTGATGCGTCAACTCTTAATCTGAATTGCCGCCAATTGGCCTCACACCTCTTATTTTGAAACAAACGATTGTCAATTCTCGGTGCCATCGAATCTCATCGTGGAAAAACGAACTCTGTGTTAGAACCTGGAAAGCCCCTTTTTTTATTAGCGGAGCCAAGAGGATGTTGACAAAGGTTGCTTCAACGGCAATGGCTTGCAATACTTGAACAACACAAAGCACATCCCTATCTTTGGAGTCTGCGACACTGTCCAACAAAAAATCCAGATACGCTGTATTTTCGGCCCCGTCTTGGACATAAAGCCGACTCGCCCTGCGCTGTGTTTTGCTACGACGAGCACCCATTTCGCCAATACAAATTAAATTACAATAAGTAACACACCATCCATCAAGGCCCAAGCAACATGTTAGCCCAATATGAAGCAAGTTCGACGCGATCGGTATCAAGGAAACGGAAAGCTCAAACGCGCCACCATCAAAGCAAGAGCGTACCGAAAAGAGCAAGAAATGCTAAAATCGGGTCTCCAAACCTCTCCTTCGATGATAACCAGAACATGCCCAAGGACGATTTGATGGCGTTGTTTCTCGAACGTGAGAACTCCCAGTACAAGAATAACTGCGCAGTCGGAAAACCCATTCACGAACTAGCACAAGCGTTCACTGTCACTGAACAAGAAAGACCAAAACTATTGCGGTTTGCAAGAGGGGGCGGACCAGATCTCACTGACCTTCGAGGTGTAAGTATTTATGCCTGGCCATTCCTCTCTCTATCCCCCTCCTGATTCTCCAAACCAGATTCTAGGCTAATACATCTAGTATTACATCGAGACCGACGAACCTGCCGACTATTTCGATTACGAAGAATCCACTAGCGAAATGGGCATCCCAGAGAAACCACAGAGACGCCCAAGCGGTGCATCCAAGCCAGATTTTCTGCGTAAATGCATTAGATACAGAATCTACCCACGAACACACACGACTCCGAAGAGAGACTTTACACCTGAGCCTAAGAATATTGATTTAATATTCGAAATATTGAAACGGAAACCAGATGATGACTCTGTTGGTGATGCGGAGTATAAGAATTTCAAGAAGGTCACCGCTCAGGCTATATCAGAGCTTGCTGTGATTAAAAACGTGGCCCCTCTGCTTATGGGCAGTAGTGAGATCAACAATATGTGGAATATCCCATTCCTCAACTTGGATACCATGACCGAAGGCGAGCTATCCGCCCCTCAGCCAGATATGTGCGATGGTGTCCTGCCCGAAAGAGTGGAGGATATGGTGAGGGATGAGTTGGACACAGTTATTGCGCCGAGTGGAGATGCCGAGGCCCTGCTCGCGACAAACTTTTTCTTCCAAGTTAAGGGCCCAAAAGGGAAATTCGGTATTGTTCAGAAGCAGGTGACGCTTGATGGGGCCTATGGCGCAAGGATGATGCATGCTCTGCAGAACTTTGGTAAAGAAACTCCGGAATTCGATGATAACGCGTACACTTTCAGTGCTACCTACATCGAAGGGATGCTTTCTCTCTATGCACACCATGTTGCAGCGCCGACTATTCACACCAAGAACCACCCGGGATATCACATCACCCTTCTAAGAGGCTTTCAACTACTCGACAAATGGGCTTTTGCGGACGGAGTATATGCTTTCAGAGCCCTGAGAAAGCTTGCTCAAAAACATCGTGAGGATTTTATCGAAACAGCAAATGAGAGAGCAGACAATATGACTCCGCACTCTGACAATGACGGAGAGGATGAAAATGGGGCCGAGGATGAAAATGAGGGCGAGGATGAAAATGAGGACGAGGACGGAAATGAGGATGGAAATGAGGATGAGAATGAGGATGAGGATGACAATTAGGATGAGGTTGAAGCCACTGCATCCGAGAAAGAAAGCGACGCAAAGTTAGGATGATCCTTCAAGGAGTGGCAGATATAGTCTTTATCACGTTGTTAGCTCACATGATATCGCTAATTACCAGTGCATTGTTTCGGTCAATGATGTGTGTGTGTTAGTTTTCTTGTAGTTGTATGTTCTGTTGTTGTTCCGCAATCCCCTGTTGTCGTTCTACCTTGCCTATAGCAACAACATTAGGACCACATAGACGGTAGAGTCGTATATAAACGATCAAACTTGAATTTCTAGTTGATGAATGAATCTTTTGCTTTTAACAGCCCTTTGCGAGGGGATTATCATAAGATGTTCGTGATATCTTCTGGGCACGGAAGAAGAACAGCTTGTGCTTGACTGGGTCAATGAGTTAGAGGACCACATCGACGGAGCTACTCCGAAGGCGCAGGTCATTTTATGTGCTGATGAAGGGTAAATATGTACTATCCATCTCGAACAGATTATTGTTAACCTGCTAACCAGTTAAGATGCCGCTACTTCTGAAATAACCAATCGTCCACCTAACTGGGACCCTGCTTCAGATCCTTCAATGCGGAAGAACCGAGACTGGTTGGATGCTTGTGATAGATCTCATACAGAATGCCGAAGCCTACGAAAACCTCTGCCGGCCAACCAAAATGGTCCCAAAACGTACCTCGGCGACTGATAGAGATTACCAAGTCTACCTTGACTCCAACGCCACGCTTGATTGAAACAGACACGTCACGGAAAAGGCCTTACATAGCGCTAAGCTACTGCTGGGGAGGGGATCAGAAACTGAAACTACTCCAATAAAACCTAGTTTCTCTGTCGACGGATATTGCTTACTCGAGTCTTCCGAGCACAATACGTGATGCAGTCAATGTTTCCGCTGAGCTGGGATTCGAGCACATTTGGATTGACGACTTATGTATTATTCAAGACTCCGAGCAAGACAAGATGGAGGAAATTTCGAGAATGGGCGAAATCGATGAACAAACAGCCCTCACAATATCCGCTGCCCGTGCAAAGGCCCTGAATGAGGGCTTCCTCCAGACTCGATATATTCCCGGCGAAAGGGGCTTCCGAATACCCTTTTTATTCCTAGATGGGACGATAGGCAGCGCCATATTCTGGAAGGCAAGGGAGCCGGGATTTTGGGACCCGATCCACCAAAGAGCATGGTATCTCCAAGAGCCGATCTTATCACCCCGTGTCCTCGAGTCTGGCACACACAACACCCGATGGCACTGCGTCCGACACTGCGTCCAGAATAGAAATGAAGATTCGAGCCCGGAATCTGACGGCTGGATAGGGGATTCCCGTATCTTTACTCGACACCACATGTCCAGCCAGTTAGTTCAAGGGATGCATTGGGCAGCTCTTGAAGACCCAGATGTATTCACCAGCATGTGGGAGAGCCTGATAATGCATTATACGTGTCGAGGGATAGGATGCCAAGAAGACAGACTTCTAGCTGTTTCAGCAATTGCGAAAAAGATGGGCCACATAGCAAAGAAGAAGTACATGGCCGGGCTGTGGCAGGAAGACTTAGCCCTCCTTATGTGGAAGCCTTCGGACGCTAAACAGAGTCAGAACAACGGGGACATCAGGCCCAAAACTTACGTGGCGCCTTCTTGGTCATGGGCATCTATTGGGCGCGCGGTGGAGTTTCCAAATACTGCATTTACTATATTGATGGATGGCTTAAGGATTATAGATGTCGAAATCCAAACTCGCATTCCGAGCGATGAGTTCAGCGCTGTGGTCAGTGCTGCATTGACGATACGTACATTGGCTTTGCCTTGCCGTTTCACACATGCTTCCACTAGATTGTGGAGCTACGATTTGCAGGGAGAGTTGGGAATATTTGCAGAGTTCGACCTTGGTGATCAATACGTACTGGATGTGCAAGATGATGGAGAGGGTGAACTGGCTTGGATATCAACGCAGGGAGGCCTCGTGCGGAAAAAAAATCCGAACGGGTTGTCCTATTCTCGTGTCGGAGTATTTAGTGAACGTTTTGGGTTCGAAAACTCTGAATGCGATAGGAAGGAGATGGAGGTGGTTCTCGTTTGAGTTCTTCTGCTCTCACGAAAGCTCATGCTAGCTTGCACCGCGTTGTTGAATGATGCCTGCTTTTTGAAAGAATCATATCATTATCTGCCTAGGTACTCTGTTTCTTAGGTTAAGAGGGAGGCTGTCAATAGTCTCAGTTTGCTCTAGCTGCTTGCAAGAATAGTGCTCTCTCGCGTGCATTTGAACCCATCCATAAATTCAAGTTGCATGCCAAAAAGGTCCCAGCATGTTTGATAAGTCCATGGGAATTCACACGGGCTTCTCATCCGGATTTCTCACCAACACCAGCAGCAGCATCCCACGGCGAGTGCGCCGCTGCGTCCCTGTACAGATCTGGACAGACTTCACCCTTCTTGAAGAAAATCCATCTTCTAATCCACCATGGAAGCACAGTTCTCAGTTGATACCGCGCATGTGTTCGGTCAGGGACCGCAAAGACATAGTCAAGCTCCTCCAGGGTCTTCTGTTTCGTTTCAGGGACAAACAAAAAGATGAGAGCCAAGGCGACCAAGTTGAGTCCCGCATAGAAGCAGAATGCCCCTGTTGCTGTCATGGCAATCAACATGCGAGGGAATGTCAGGGAGAGGACTGATGCCCAAAAGTTCTGTTCAACACGTTAGCATTTGGCTATTTCAAGTAATACATGCAAAAATGGAGACTCACATTGGTTGCCACGGCCCAGGCCATGCCTACCTCTCTGTGTGAGAGAGGAAACACTTCTGCAGAGTACATGAAGGGGACGGGACCTTCTCCCGGAGAGTAAAACGCGGCGAAGATGTAGACGAAGGTTGCGACGGCAGCAATACGAGCGGTGCTATTTTCGACGTCGGGCTGAATCAAGTAGCAAAGTCCGGCAGCTAGATTAACAAAATTAATTAGCCAAAATTAGTTGAGGTTATTGAATCCTTGCTGTCACTGACCAAGAAGACTCCAAAACATGTTCGGGAAGGTGAATAGAAGCAACGTCCGGCGTCCAAAAGTATCAATCGTCCAGACGGCTGGCCAAGCAAAGACAAAATTGACCAAACCAAAACCGAAGCTTGCAAAGAGGGAGGTATAATCGTCAATGCCGCTCTCCTTGAAAATTGTTGCGCTATAGAAGGAAATAATGTTGATACCTGATGCTTGTTAGCTTTCACAGAGACCCATTTAATGGCCCAAAAGAACTTAGAAAGAGTAGAATGTGTTATCTAAGCCTCATGAAACTTACCGCACATCTGTTGGGCAATCATAACGATACCTGAAGCCCATGTTGCACGGCGAATCCGCGGAATGGTGAAAAGCTCAACAAAGCGTGTAAACACGGTGCTGGTCACTTTCAGTCCGGCTTCGCTCACAAGCACTTCTTCTTGCTCTAAAAGTGCGTTGATGTAATATAAGTCCCTGGCAGCTTGAAGTGGTGTGTTCCGAAGGCGAAGCAGAGACTTCCAGGCATCAGTGTGGCGCCCCTTTTTGAGGTACCATCGAGGGCTCTCGGGTGCGAACCAGGTTCCAAGGACAAGAGGCACAGCTGGAATGAAGGCGGATGCGAACTGCAAGCGCCAGGAAATCTCGCCAGTCTTTCCAACCGCGAGGTTGGCGCAAGTTCCAAGAAAGATACCTGTAGACAAAGTCAGAGTCTGGAGAATCAATCAAGCAATGACACTTGCAACTCACCAAAAGCCGTCCAGACCTGCCATGACATGACTAGACCTCCTCGAATGATCGTGGGCGCGTTCTCTGCTGAGAAAACCGGGACAGTAACCTCTTTCAATCCCATACCGATACCTAAGAGCATACTGCGTTCGATATCTCATTAACACTTCCTCATTTTCAATCAACAGGGTGATAGATACATACCGACATGCTGCAAGTTGCCCCCATGTTTGTGAGACACCCATTCCAAATGGCGCTAGCAGAGAAAAGATCGCAGCGACAAAAATGACTCCCCGACGGCCGAGCCACTCGTTAAGAGGGTCAGATATCCATCCGGCACTGATGTGATCAATAAAGTCAGCGATAGAAAGCAAAGAACTAACCATGAATTGGTGCTTACAAGAGGAATATAGTAATATATGGCATTGCATTCACAAATCCGATGATCCAGCTGTTCTTTGCACAATCACCTTCATTAGCCACTGGCCCGCAAGCAGATCCAGCAGAGTCGGGAATGCCGAGCGCGGCGTGGAATGTCAAGTTGGCCCCATTGGAGCCGGTCTGCGAGATCTTGTTAGGGCACAAATCAAGAGTTTTGAGTAGTTACAGAGCAAGCTGCTTACCTGGTCCCATCCCTGAATGGCTGCTGCAATCGAGTTGAGAATGATCGTGTAGTACAAGGCCCAAGGATGCTTCCATCTCTTGGTGACCTCCTCTCTCAGAGGCTGCTTGTCACTCTCCTCAAGTTCTTCGATGGTTTCAAACTCGGTGGGGTTTTGCGCGACGAGTGCCCCCTTCTTCAATAAGGGAAGTATGTCCTCGGGAAGATGCTTGTTCTGGTGGAAGGCGGTGACGTTGTTGAGTAGTTCTTCCTTGGGAATGTCGCGTAGGGGGTTTCTAATCTCGCCTTCTAAATTACGTGTTAAAGTCGCGACGCTTTCGCGTCGAGCCTCAAGGTTACTCGGCTGGTCTGGGACTTGACTGTTATGGATGGATGGAAAATGTTAGCCTACAAAAACACGGTCATCAAGGTATGCCTTAACAACTTGCCTGTCCTTGGCAGCAATTTTGTCGTCAGACATGGTGCAGAGGGGCAGCTATGCACCTGAAAGCTATGGCAATGAAATCAGGATCAATTGATGTTGTGGTTGTTCAGGTAGAGTAAATCAAGCCCTCGCTTAGGGGGGAGCAAGCTAAATATATTTCTGTTTTGTTTGCAACACAAAGTGCACCACGAATCGCCATTGGTTGTCGGTTGTCCTGCGTGAACGCATTAAAACGACACTGTCGACAATATGACACCTCCCATGCATCACCAATATCTGACCATTCTTGCCATGAGCTGCCCATAACTCATGAGAGAAGGAGGGTCGCGTGATGTGAAGCTAGGGTAATTGACTCGATGCAGCAGCCCAAGACCATCTGAGCTACGCCACGGCGTCACCCATTGGTTTTGGGAAGAGCTCTCAATAGCTTGTTTGTAAGAGGTGCGTGTCACTCTGGCAGAACGGTGTCCATGCGTCACGTCTAATTGTGCGGCATGGATGGGCCAAAGGTCGTGATTGGCCTTTATCTGTAGAACTAGGTCCCGAAGTGTCGATGGCTTAAAAGAATTGATGCCCTGAAGGATGCATTTGTAACCCCAGATTATGCCATTGGAGCGGGGGATGTGCTGCGACCCTTGCTATAGACATTTTCTCTTGAACAAAGAAGTCAGGTCAGCTGTGCAACCAATTATATCGTTACAATCTTCCCCGGGTTTGCATGAATCAGGTAATCAAGGGTGTCACACTAAAATTTAGGCAGCAAAATAAACAAAGTGAGGGTGTTGAACACGGAATAAACGAGAGAGAGTAGTGTCACGCAGAGTAGCATTCAGCACACCATAATCGGTTATTCGGCACAGAATTTTCACAAGCTTCAATCAACACTCAGTTCCAGCTAAACCAATCAATAAAAACATCCTTCGACCTCGAGGCTCAGATGATATGAGTACAAGGACCCCTGAGTGGAAAAGTCTCCGTGAACTTAGCTGATATGAGAGTCTTCGTTATGACGTGATATTCTGTGCTTTCAAGGAGAAGATATTGAAAGACAAAGAAAAGGGTGGAAAAGGAGGTTAGACTTTGTGTTTAAAATCACTAGAACCACTACGTTTCCACTTATGGGTATATCTCGACATCTACTTTAAGCTGACACATACTCTTTCTGACATAAACGAATTCAGTTTCATTCAGAGACTTTTCTACCTAAGATAACTTGCCTATGTCTTCAAATGTGACTAGGGTTTGCCTTATTATGTCTGACACTTCAGGCTACATTGCCTCTCTCGTTACCTCCTTTCCATCATCTGTGCTGAGCCCGTGATTGACCCAGTTCAAGGAGGACTGCACCAGTGTATTGATTTAGCTGATCAAATAGCACGGCCGCCATTCACGTCAAGGTTGACGCCAGTGATAACGGAAGCTTCCGGCCAGCTAAAAAGACTGCTGCATTGGTCACGTCGCCGATTTTGCCCATCCTTCCAAGTGGCACTGCTCCCAGTCCAATCTGCACATCTGCTGTGATCTCCTTGCCAATGAATGTTGAAAGCAAACCCGTCATGGTCGCCAATGGGCAGATGGAACTGACTCGGATGCCGTCTGGTCCATATCCTGCAGCCAACCCCATCATCGCCTGATTTATCTTCAGTTAGATTATCGTTCCAATATTGGCAACTCCACTCAACATGCATTAGAACTGGACTTACATTGGCAATGGCGCCTTTGGATGTATCGTACCAGATCAGGCAAGGTCGAGGACGGTGGGCACCCACGGACGCGATGTTGACGATGCAGCCACCCGTTCCTTACTTTTCAGCCTGGATGATAAAGGCGTTGCTGTCCAAGAAGACGCTCTTCACGTTGACAGCTATGACCTTCTCAGACTCGTCTTCGGTCACTTCATGGGTCCTCTGCATGCGGCTGTTACCGAGTACCCTCGAGCAAGAGAACCACTGGGATGATTTACCTTGTTCATATAGCTGATCCCTATATTCCAATTTACGAGGATGTCGAACTTGCCCCAAAGCTGGACAGTTTTATGGATTGCAGTTTTCCAGTCACCAGCCTTTGTCGCGTTCATTTCCTGGAGCGTGAATGCATCTGAAGTCGCAGCGAGCCCCTCACCAGCCTGGCAGTTGATGTCGGAAATGACCTTGGCACCTTCTTCGGCATAGTGCTTCTCAATAGACAGTGGCGACAGTCGGCTTCTCTACTGGTAGAGAGCTCTCGTTTGTTTTCTCGGAAGGCAGTCTCTCTACCGTAGTCTCAGCGTTTTTCGGGGTGGCCGAAACCCGACGCGGCTCCTGTCGTCCGTGGGTATGATTAGCTAAGTGACCCGTGTGGGAAAGGAAGATGAGTATCATACCTGTCACAATAGCTGCCTTGTCGTCGAGGCATCCTATGGCCGGTAACAGCTTGAGAGGCAAAGCAACTAAGATGGATTGACAAGTCAAAGAAACAAACGATTGAAACCAATTGTGATAATTGGAGAAGGGGAAATTACCTAACGAGGTTCGCCTAAGTCGAGGACTATCCGCTTATCGACTCATATAAAAAGCTATTACTTCTTATTAGATAATTAATTATATAAATATATCTAAGAAGATTTATTTTTAATATTTTTTAATTTAGAAGAAATAATAAGAGATAGAGAGATAAATATTTATTTATAAAAATAAATAGAAATATTTACTTTAGATCCCTGAAAGTGTGGTACTCTCGTTCCAATTTATTACTCGATGGCCTCCAGCCTCCGCGTGGCCGAGAGCGCGACAAAAGAGATCAAGGTCGCGGTGAGTGATCAAACAGGAGAAGGAGGAACAGGGAAGCTCTGTCAATTGCGAAAAATTGGTCTGGAAGCTACCGAGCCGCCACAGGTGTGAGCAAGGTATATAACATAAGTCCTTTTCCAAAATGAGGAAGGATCCGCGCTTTGCATTCCGAGTTGTGAGCCACCTGCAGATGCTCCTTACTAGGGAACATGAGAAACGGAACACACGGGGATACCTGAGTCTTAAGCCCGTCCCGGTCTGCTTAGACGTATATCCGAAACACGGAATAACGTTGTGCTTTACTTAATTCGGAGCAACGATGAAAGTTATTGAATAGTAATCGCTTGGTATATCTGCATATAAAGTAGCCGGTAAACCGCTGCTCCTCAAAATTATTCACCAGAGTCTAGATCAACGGGTTTATCACCAAGAAAAGAAGGAACTCTTTTACCAGCTTCTCCATAATTTCACTAAAATATGACCAACGGGGCCCTTCCCACATACTCACTAGCCGAGCGAGACCGCCGCTGGTCCATGGCAAGGAGATTTATGCAGGAGCAAGGCGTCGATGCTCTGATCATCTTTGGTGAGCACGAGGATGCAGGCCCTGGGCAGTATGCCTACGATGCCTGGTTTACAAACGACCGTCCTGGAGCGACGGTGGTGTTTCCTCGAAACGCTGCTGAGCCCTACGCTTTGGTACCCTTTGTTAACTTCCTGACGGACCACCAAGAGTCGTCTCAGAAAGGAGATGCCATGTGGCTATCTCCTCAGAGTCTTCGGATAGGACGTAACGCCGAAGCGCTCATTGGGCTTATTACGGAACTCCTGCTCGAAAAGAGTGCCATTGGTGTTTTGGGCATTGAACCGGCTGTCCCCTTCCACGTAGAAGGGACGATTCCCTTCCTGCTCTGGAGCAAGACCACGTCTCAGCTCCCCGGCGTCACCTTCAAGTCCGTGCTGAGGCCATTCGCCAACGCCATCATGGTGCAGAGTGCCGAGGAGCTCGCCGTCGTCCGTCATGCCGCCGCTATCGGCGAGGAAATGGCCAAGGCCATGGTGGCTGCGATACGACCGGGCGCACACGAGAACGACGTGTTTGGAGCGGGCATGGGCACAGCCATCGCCAAAGGCACAGTCCCTTCCTGGATGCACCTGAACTCAGGCCCCGGATCCGTGGTTTGGGGCCCCCCGCGATGGGCTTGGCGACCGCAGCCCCCGAGAGCCGTCGAGAACGGCGACTTGGTCACGGCTGAGATCTTCACTAACTTCGGTATGCGCCAGTCGCAACACCAGCTCACCGTCGCTGTCGGTGACGTGCACCAGGACCTTGAGCGCTGTGCTGCCATCGCAAGGGCCTGTTACGACGAGGCCCTGCGCGTCATGGGGCCAAACGTTCGTTTCGGTGACGTGGCCGAGGCCATGTCCAAGCCAGTGAACGACGCTGGTGGTTGGACAAAGGGGCCACAGCTGCACGGGATGAACCCGCTCGCCCCTACGCTTTGTGGCTTCACTGGACCTGTTGCCTTCTTTGGAGACGATACCAGGTACCAGAAGGGTAGGCTGGGCATGCCGACGATGAATGCTGAGCTGATTCTTGTCCCCGGCATGACTTTTGCTCTTGAGCCGAGCTGTGGGTTTGGGCACCAGGCTGTGACCATTGGAGGGACCGTTATTATCACCGAGACAGGTGTCGACGAGCTTAACCCGTTCACTGCGAAGCTGCAGCGAGTTGCATGGGGGGTAACCCAATGTACCTAGACAGAAAGACAGTAACTAGTCTGTTTTCGCCAATCTCAAGTATACTTAGATTAGATAGGTAAATACCTATAGTATAGTAGGTATAAGATGCGAGCGATTATAGTCACGAGTTTTCAAGAACGCCAGAAGAGTAGAATATAGTATATAAAATATAATATACTATTTTTTAAGTATAAATATTATTAGAGCTGGGGATTATATAATCTAATATAGTCAGCCTGAAGTTCCGCCACGCTGGCCAAGCGCGCATCACGGTCAATCGATTTCTCGTCCAAAGCGGGGTGTATCATAGATTCATCCGACGCTTCCATGAGGAAATGGCCAAGCTAGTTGTCGGCCACGGTGCTATGAGGGGAACCACCCTCGGCCCCGTCACCAAGCTTGAGAGCGTCGATCGGGCTGAACGCTTGGTTGAGGACGCCTTCTTCAACGGGGCGCGTCTCGTCACCGGTGGGAAGCGCATGGCCCCGATGGGCTTTGAAGAGGGTTACTTTTTCGAGCCAACCATCCTGGCTGGTGTGTCTCCCAAGGCGCTCATCTCACGCGAGGAATGCTTTGCACCCATCTCTACATTCTACAAGTTTGAGACCGAGGAAGAGGCAGTCAAGATGGCTAATGATACCCCGATGGGGCTTGCTAGCTATGCTTTCACGAAGAACGTTGACCGTATCTGGCGTTTGTATGAGAACCTTGAGGCTGGCATCATCGGACTTAATACCGGTATGTATAGAATCTCCGTGGATATTTATACCAGCATGCATAAAATCTCCGTGGACATTTATACCAACAATATCTGACTGTTTTTTTTTTTAAGGTAATTGCTCTGCGGCGGAGACTCCGTTTGGCGGCATCAAGTACTCTGGCCACGGAAAGGAGGCAGGGAAGGACGATGCAATCAATGAATACATGATCACCAAGTCTGGCACCCTTACTGTGGACGGTATAATATAAGCTTTTTTGAAGAAGGCGTGGAGGGAAATCCAGGTTCAAAAGAATTCTTTGGCAGTTGACAACGTCTCTTTAGTCTGTAGTTCGAGGGGAAAGGCAGCTTATAAGACCGCTGTCTTACAAATTAATACTTTGGCAAAAGTTCCCTCATTCTGAAGTTTACAGTGTCATCGCTTTCTCGGAACAAAGCAGAGAGATTTATCCGCGGAATGTTGTATCAAAACGACGGAAACCAAAACAATTGTAGCTCGTAATTATCATGTAACTCTAAACTTCATAACAATCTTTCGTTACTGAAACTCTTCTACTGAATCGAGTGTATGTCTCATCGCAGTGCCATTTCAAACGTGGGTGCGGACGAAATCCAGACACTTGCAGTTATCGTAGATCAAGACAAACTCCGTACATTCCCACGCACTACCTATGTCGACTTATTATAATCGTTATGGCTCATCAGACCATGCCGTTCCTCGTTCTGATCGCCCAGGTACGGTGGAGGGTCAACGCTCGGGCCGGCAACAGCATCGCTTTGTTCGGGCGCGGGAGGAGGGCGGCGAGGAACTCGGGTAGGGGGCGGTCGAGAGGCGCCTTCGCATTCGCAGTTCCCGTTGCAGCGGGCATACTTGTCGCGCAGGTTGAGCTGCCTCCTGATCAGGCAGTAAATGAAGGAGCAGACGACGATGACAATGGCGCTGCCAAATACGATGCCGACAATGGAGACGGCGACAGAGCCGCAGTGGGCAGAGCCCTTGCCGCCGGATTTGTGCTGCATCGAGAAGGGATTTCGGTGCATTTGATTCTGGGTTCGAGAATCGCGAAGTTTATTCTCGCTGCTTCGTTTTTCGTGTTTCTTTACTAGAGTTGGGTTGGTGATGTTTTGGATGGGTGATGGGAATTTAAATGGCACCACTGTGATTCGATATTGGTACGTCAGCCTATGTGCTGTGCTGCGCCACCATTGATCGGCACGAAGAATCTGGAACAAGTACCCGTTTTGTCTACCTACGGCGAGCCGTCTATCTGTAGGATGATTTTATCGCTGTCTTGGCTGGGGCCAGGTTAAAGTGTTCACTATAAATTACCTATGCCTTATTGTACGAGGCATTATCTACTCTTATTAATCCACTACGTGTGATCTGATTCTTATAATGGTTTAATATCGACACTATACGAACTCTGATCTACAATAGGTAGACGTACGTTGGCAAAACGGCACTGGCGTCTATAACTGGGCTGATGATTGATAATAGTTCCATAATAATTTACCCCAGGATGCCTTCGTTACGCGTGGTATGGCTCGGGAGCATGATCCCCTTAAAGCACAAGCTGGTATTCTAATACAAACTTCGCCCGCTGATTGCCAACACCAAGGCAAGATCGGAAAAGTGTCCTGGGCCAACAGGGCGCTTCATACGCGTTGGTCTCCTGTTGGTTTTTCTCAATCAGCTACCTGCGTCAAGTCACATCTCAACATTGCCGTCCGAGTACATCGGGGGCCACGACTGGCCCAAAGGGTCAAAGCACGACAATCGGCTGACGTCACCGAGAAACTGCGACTCCCTATCCTTGGCGGGATCCGAACCAAATATCCCCGGTGTGAGGGAGGTTATTGCACTGGGCAACAAATCTCCCTTTGCAATTTGACTGTCTGGCGCTTGCAAGGATTGAAGGGACAGATCAGCACCGTGGGCGGGAGCTTGGAGTGTTTCATCCATGGGTGCCGCAGAAGCACCGCCATAGGCGTGCGCATAGCTTGCGTTGCTCTGAGCATCTATCACGCCATCATTCCAATGCATCTGCGACGGCGTGGTCCAGGAAGCAGAAGAAGGGGTCAACGCCTCGCTGTCGTTGGGGTCCAATTCGATCCGCACATCCTTTCTCGAGTGGAAGGGAGGTCTGAAGAGCTCGCTTTCGCCACGGTCTGTGGCCATGGGTGTCGGCTCGGGGCTTTCCCGAAGAGCGGACTGTTCAGACGCATCTAGGAATATGGCAGGTCCCGGCTTGAAAATTCTGCTTGGCTGGTGAAGCGCGTTGGCGATATTTTTGGGAAGCCTACTGGCCATTATATCCTGCATCCCATATCGCCTTAGGAGACTGAATGTGTCTTCCATCTGCTTCGTGTCAGAAATCTTATCTCATAGGAGGAGTATAGATTTAGAGAAATGACTAACCACAGAGCCAGCGTAGGAAAAGAGATCGGCCAATCCGTGGAGCATGATCAGGGCAGGCTGGCAGATTCCTGCAGCGAATGTTCTCATCGATATTGAGGGAGACGGGTGTCGGAAAATGTCCCAAAGGATGATACGGGTTGCTTGATATAGGCAAGAGGCTATATATGGATCGCGAGAGACAAATTCTGGACGTATTTCCAGAACGGAACTACATAATTCAAGCATCCTGGATGCGTGCTCGACACATCGGTTTTGTGCTTTACTGACGTAAGATTGAGGAGCGCTGAGGAGTATCTCGGGTGGCGCGGATTCGATAAACGTGAAGATAGTCAAACGACCGAGGTCACAGCTTAGTATGTTGGTTAGCGTTGGACGGTGCATGGTAAGAGAGAGAGGATATGATGGAGCATACTAAGACATGGAATGCCACAGATGCAATGAAAGAACTGTCGACAGCTCGGCCAGAGACCAAGACGACACTCTTTCCGGGTCGGAGAGTTCAAGTTCGGCTGGGAGATTGTCTTTCCACCACCGTAGAGCGTTCTCGCATTTAGAGACAGTGGAATTGTCTTGCCAGGGCAGATCTTGAGATGCAGACGACTTCTTACGTACATATCTGCTCCAATAGTTATTCATCAGACTCTACCGCTGTCAGTAAAGCGAAATCCGACCATACCTTAAGATAGTTGTCCGAATGCTAAAAATGGTAATGTACTGCACAAAAGGACTTGTCGCAGACCGGGGATGTATTTGGGGTGTCTGCCACATGCAGGGGGAGTCTGCAAAGTAGCCACCAAGTGTATGGGATTCATATCCCTGGTTTGATACAAAAGCTTCTTCATCGCATGGAAGTTGGATTCGTAAAGAAGATCTTGGTACATTGGAGTACTCTGGAAATCCATCGCAAACGTACATGTCCATGGCGTATACTGCCCACATCATTCGTCGGCGTGACTCTCCATCCGCCCAGGCCATAGGGAGGGTTCCAGGGGGAGCAGTGTTGGGGGTTAAGTTGAATCGTAATGCAAAAGCTAACCTAATAGTTGTCAGATAATCAGTTTTGAAACTCGACTAGAGGAAGGGTTGATGCTCACCTTATCGCCACCCCGGAAGTCATCCAAGCAGCGCCAAATATTCGATTGAATAACTCCTGGTGGAAACACAAGATGAGCGAACCTAATGTTGATGCCGTCACCTGGCCACTTTCTATATCTCTGTGAGCATGTGACTTGGCTTCAGCACTCCATCTTCGAGACTGCTCCTCGTGCTTTGGGAGCACATATTTAACGCTCAAGGAACACAAGGACAATAAAAGACCTCGAGAGACATATCCATTCTCGAAAGATTCGTAGAAAGGATTCTTGCGTAGGAAGCCAAACACTGAGCATGGGTAAACTTCTTCAAAGAAAGCATCAACCATGGCTCGCGTGATCTGGTCAAATCCTAGTTGAACGATGGCGTCATTACCGCTGGAGTTTCGCATGAGCTGAATGGTCATTTGGCCAAGAACAAAAGAGATACTAACAGAGTGGAGGGTTCACCTCCATGGCGGCCTTCTTCGGTTGGTGACCAAGATGCATTTCGCTTTCCCCCAGCGCCACGCCTTATACTTGAATGGATTGAGGCTTCTGATTGATCAGGAACGGATCAGTAAGGTGGAATGACATATCGACTTTTAACTTACCTTCTGTTGGTGGTGCTGGCCAGGTGCAAACAAGTCCCAGACGGTCACATGCGTCACAACGACCGGCTGTCTCCGTTTCGCCAGCCTTAGGACGGCCATGCTCGTCACAGCTGTGTCTCTTGTCATTAGAGAAATGCCATAGGAAGAGATTGGAAAGGAGTAATAGCGGAACTCACCGAACACGCCTCCGTTTGCATTGAAGGCAGCCTGTATGCCAGTGTTCAGTTTGGGACGAGCCAACTGCTGGAGAGCGATGGTAGACGGTGAAGAGTCGGTTGGGAGAGAAGGACAGGAGGGGAGTTGAGAAATCCACATCAACATCAACATACCGGTTCGAACGCGTCTTCGCTTCCGGATTTTGGGTGCTGGCTCACCACCAGCGCTCACAGAGTCCCTACTGGAATGGGCTGGGCCATCGTTCTCATCAGGATTGTTGAAGTTAGGACTTGAATTGGTCGCACCCCCTGTCGTGGTGTCATTTTCCAAGACGTGAATACTTGAGCATGGGGAAGGCCCTTGCGCAGTTGCGGCTGACTCGTCAGACATGAGCGATCAAAGCAATGTGCTCAGGTTGGGGGGATATGGTAAACCGGGGAGGCTTTGGGGAAAATAACGGAATCTGGGGAAATAGCGAGATATGCGAGCGAAAGCGGGGGATCGGGGATTGGACAATTCCCTAGTCATACCCAGACGAATAAACTGGGGCCACTCAGCCGCAGCTCGGCTCGCTCGCGAAAAGACTTCTCCCCCACCAAGAAGACCATTCCACCACTGACTCGTTGATTGGATAGGAGTAAAGTATGGAATCGCATCTCTTGAACGCCGCATTAAAGCGTGGTTGGATATAGAGCGGTGGTGCCCGTAGCTTTGGTGATTGTCCGATGGAATATTCTGAGCTCATTGCCAGTGGCCATTCCAAAGCAGAACCAGTATGCCTCAAATCACAGTGCACAATATCGAGTCGCCATCTCGCTCCGATAGAGTTTGTACGTTTCAAACCCACCGATAACCCGAACCTGAGAAAACAAAGAAACCAGTGCTGATTTCAGACCCAATATTCTAATACTAGTCTGGCTGCTCGAGGAACTCGAGTCAACGTATGATGTAGTGACGTACCTCCGCATGCCTACACTCATGGGTGCTGCACCCCCTGAACTTTTCAAACATTCCTTGTTTGGCAAGGGCCCAGCATTGTCGATTGATGGTGAATCATTCGGCGAGTCAGGATACGTGCTCCACCGCATTCTCACACACCCGGAGATCATGGCCTCTGCCCCCTCTCACATTGAGAGGGAGCAGTCTAACTGGTCCGTGCACTGGGCTCATGCTGCAGAAGCTGCTGGGATGACATGGCTGCAGGAGGAAGATATGGTGGCCGTGGCTGGGAAGGCCTGGGTGGAAGGGCGAATCGGGGAGGCGACTCCTGAAGAGCTAAGGGGAATGGAGCGGTTCTCCTCATGGTACTCATGGGAGATTGACAGACCTCAGTCTCAAAATTTCATTGATAAGGTAAGACCATCCACAAGATATCCCCTTATACACCGCAACTAACCTTCAGGGGAAGACCGAACAGTGGTTAGCCGAGCATGAGGGCTGCAACTTCACCGGGACTGAGAAATTTGGCATTGGAGATGTATGAATACCTGCTCGTATTCCCCAAGATCTAACCTATTCTAGGCTTGCGGCGCTAACTAATACAATAGTTTATGATGTTGGCAGGGATTCACTCACTTTGTGCTGGAAGCCGAAGTGTGATGGGCTACAAGGTCGGCCCACACATCAAAGCTTGGTGGCAGCGAGTATCAACCAGGTAAAGTTGCTACGAGACTTGTGCAACTTATGACTCTTGTTCTGACTCGTTTAGTAGGCCTCAGTTTCTACGGGCGTTGGAAAGAATCAAAACTGAAGAGAACCTTACATTACGACAGCAGAAGCAGAAGCAATGGGGGTAGGGCGAGTACATATTTGGACTAAGGGAATCTTTATCGTGATGGCAACAATTAGGCCTTGACAAATTCTGAATTGAACGTTACTGGTCTGACCCATGCAGAATCTACTGGTACAATCACGAAATAGATGGTAGTCATTCGCTAGTTAATCGTGCGCAATAAAGATATAATTTATTGATTGACTGGAAACTAATGAGTATTACGACATAAGTTGACTGCTTGCAGAAGAAGCGTCCTCTTATGGAGACGAGACGTAATCTGGCTTGCCGAGATACTTAGTCTACCCAGAAACCAATCATCTTAGCTCGGCATTGTAGAAGTACTCCTATCTAGACAGGCAATTGCTAAGGTCCGACTTCATCCGGATGTTTTTGCATTCTACTTCTGCTCTGTCGACTTCTTTCCCTCACCGGTAGAGAACTCAACATGCTCTGCAGTGTCCTTTCCCGCAGCCCGTGCCTGGTCCATGGCATTGACCTGGAGGTCCTTGGCTTTGCCACCTTTTCCATACTTGTCGAAAATAACAGACACCTCCTCAATCGTCTTTTGCTTTGTCTCTGGGAAATAGAACCACATAAAGACTAGATAAGCCGCCTCGACAATCAAGTAGACACCGTAGTACTTCCATGCAATGGCTTGAAGGGCAATTGGGTTCACGAATTGGTTAAAGGCCGCGCCGATGTTCTGGGTCGCAACGAAAATGGCCATACCTTTGGTTCTCATGCTGAAGGGAAGAATTTCAGAGCTGTAAGAATATGGCAGAGGTGTCCAGGCAATGTCATAGAACCTGTTATATATTTATTAGCGAGATGAGTCGATCTGAACTTTGCAATGGAATTACAAACCCATAAAAGATGTAAAGAAAGGGAATAACGGCCACGCCAAGAGCTTGTGTCTTGTTGATAGCAAAGCCAGCGGAGAGACCCATGATGCATGCATTGGAGCACATGATACCAAATGTTGAGGCTAGCCAGAGAGGTCTCCTTCCTATTCTCTCAATGCACATTGATGCCCCAAGTGCCATCACGAGGTTGAAAATCTGCAGGCCGCCATTGATACCCACGATTTGCGTGGGATCAGTGATGCCAACAGTATTTAGAATTGGGGAGAGGTAATATGAAATAATGCCGTTGCCAATCCAGTTTTGACCCAGAGAGATGGCCACCAAAACAGCAAGTCGGCGTCGATTAGGCTCGTTGCGGAAGAAGTCAAGGTAGGAGACTCGATTGCTCAAATTCTCCTGCTCGATAGCATCAACAATCTCTCGATATTCGTATTGCACCAGCGGATCTAGGCTGTCTCCATTTCTGTGGTATATATGTTAGCATAGGCTCTTCTAGCTCCAGTCACATTCGATAATTGGAAAGCGTACGCATGGTAATTGGCCAAGATATCCAAAGCCTTAGCTGCCTGGTCGGACTTGACAAGCCAACGGGGGCTTTCAGGCATTGTGATTGTCATGGAAAGAACAATGACGGGCCCTAGAACCTGGACAAGCGCCGGAAAACGCCAGGACCAGTCGCTCTTGATGTACAAAGTGCCGAAGGTCAACCAGGCAGCTAGAATCGAGCCGCTGTAATAGAGCGAGTAGAATATAGATGCCGCAAGTGGCCTCAGTCGTGGGTGGGCTATTTCGTGGAGAAGAGCAACTGCCACGACCTTGGTCATGCCACCACCAGCACCGATAATGACTCGTGCAATGATGAGCATGGCCAGACTGTTGGCAAGGCCGTTGACGATTCCTCCAACGATCTATTTTCTCGCAAACATTAGGCTGATTTGACTTTCGCATTCGGAGTTCGAAATCGAGGGGTAACGTACAATGAGAGCAGTTCCAATCCACACTGCCCATCGGCGTCCATACTTTTCGGCGACCCAACTAGCGAAGAATGAAGTGATAACGGTTGCTAGAGAGGAATTTGTTAGCAAGCTTCTGACATTGCAAAGACTTGGACTTAAACTTACGAAAGGAAATAGAAGCAGTGATCAGACCAAGCGTTGTGCCTGTGGGATGGCCAAAGTAATCTTTCCAGTACGGTAGAGCCTGAAGGCCAGTGAGGAGAGCCGAGTCATCTGTGAAGGAAGGTTGTAAGTATCCAGTAATCAGTACGACAGCTATTGAAGAGTGCTCACATCCAAGGTAAAATGGACAGACGCAAAGTCCGGCGATGTGAAAGACGTTTTTTCTCAGTCCAGGGTCCTTCCACCATGACTTGTCGGTGTTGTCTGGAGATTCAAAGTTAGTGATCAGCTCTTGGGGATAATTCATGGACATGTCTCACTCGGGAGGTCAGCATAAGTTCCCGACTCCGAAGACATGTTGTATTGTAGAGATAATTTGTTGGTTGAAGAAATGAGCACAGGAGTCAGGTTAAGGGGCGATAACAAGGCTTAACTGCAGCTCTGAGGTTGAAGATGCTTTCGAGTTTCAAGGCAGATGCAAGGTATGGGAGACGAGGAGCATGGCGAGATAGATGAGAGGACCACGTCTCAGTTAAAAGGTCGACAGAGGAGCGATGCGTTAGAACCGTGAACAAGGAGATTTGGCAAACTCAAATTGAGGGTGGAATCAAGTTCATTCTGATTGGCCCCGGCTACTTACCCCATGGGGCTGTCACTACTATTGATGCGGGGAAACCCACGATTGGATACCCCATACCCCTCGACCTCCTAGTCTCCATGCCCTCGCGTCGCTCGCGATCAGGACTTCCTCAAAGGGGCTTCGGGCGGTGTCCGGCCTAGTTAGGGCGGGCCCAAGTCGTCGCTTACACCGGTTCGCTCGCATGCCTCGCTCACCATCATGAAAACATACGTATCCCTGGCCTTAAGCTCCAGCCAGTAATCAAGCATATTGGCTGTTTTATTCTCGCCCATTTCATGGTATCATCTACGGCATTGCATTATGAGGGCCACTGAAATAGATCCGATTGGCCCGTAGCTTCACCCTCTTCCCCAGCCTGCCGGATCAGATTGTCTCGTGCCCCCCTCAGCTTGCGAGGCTCCTCGCGATTATTCACTGTGTCACTTTGGAGTAGTGGACACTTCATCCTTCCGATTCTTAATATATTGTGTCTTCATTACATATGCGATAGAATCCTAGAGGCCGCTCCCTCCTATAAATCAAGACTAAAGCCCATGCCATCATCAAAAAATTGGAACATCATCAGATCCATTCAACAAGAGCACTAAGCATCACACCTTGTCTACATTCAAAGCACAACCTTATCGGACCAATAGAAACCATGTCTGACACCACTGCCACTAAACCTGACTGGATGAAGACTCTCGAGACGGAGGGGTATGTTGTCGTCCCTAATGTGATCCCCGAAGAAGCATGCAAGCAGTTCCAGGAAGAGGCCCTTGCCTGGCTGGAGAAGTTCCCACATGGCTTCAAGAGGAATGATCGGTCTACCTGGAATGGCTGGAACCTTCCATTCGCCGCCAAGTACGTGCACCACCCCCTATGCGGCCGAGTCTTAATTCAGTACAGTATTCTAATGTTGTCCCAACAGGGGGGGCTTGTACAACCGATATGCCGTAAACCACGAGCAATTTGTCTGGGCCATTCGAACGTGAGTTAATACATCGATCTTGAGACCACACAACCTAAACCTGACCTGTTCCAGGCAACCAGGCATCCGCCGCCTTTTCGAGCAGCTCTGGAGCACCGATGATCTCATCTCCAGTTTTGATGGAATGAATTGTTCCTTCCCTATCAATGAGAAGTACGGTCGAACTGACCTGAAGATTACTGCCGCTTGGCCCCACATTGATCAGGATCCTCGTGAAGTTGATCATTTCGAGCTATACCAGGGCATTGCCCAGTTAGGTCCCAGTGGACCCGACGACGGCGGTCTCTGTGTCCTAAGCAAGTCCCACTTGCTTCACGAGGAGTACTTTCGAGAAACTGGTGGCTGGAAGGAGGACCAGGACGCCGGAGTCGGCAATAACAACTACCGTTTCTTCAAACAGGGAAAAGAAGGCGACGGTGAGCTCGACTGGTACAAGGCCAGGGGGTGCAAATCCATCAAAGTCGAGGCTAATGCTGGCGACTTCATCTGTAAGCTCACGTAGATCTCACCCACCCGTTGAAAGGGTTCTCTAACGATGCTACAGTATGGGATTCGAGGACTATTCACTGGAACGCTTCCCCTGTTGGGAAGGAGACGCGGTTCAGCGCATACGTGTGCATGTGCCCTCGCACACTGATGTCAGAGGCTGAGCTAGCTAAGAAGATCCAGCTCTACAAGGATCGCAAGGGCACAACTCACTGGCCGGTATGTTCCGCTCTCCCAATTTCTAGTCGCTTAACTCTCGAGAGATGAGACACTGACTAGTGATAGTGCAAAAATGTTGTCCCTGTTGAACGGCTGGCATATCATGACGCGTTCCCAAGACGTCCGGATGACTCGGTCGACCCTGCCAACCGAGATCGTCCTTTTGTGGAGCCTACTGAGACTCCTGAACTTCTAAAACTTGTCGGAATACGAGCTTAGGTGGTCTAGTAAAGCTCATGGTGGCTAGGGTTTTTTTCAGGAGTCCTCACACTCAGATAGGTCATTCGGTAGCCACTTAAATTCAAATTGCTATGCTATGCTTGTATTGCTCTGTCTCCTTAATTTTACATTTGATAAATTCATGTTTGTATTATACCTAGTGTAGGGCATCTGATGCGAATTTACAACCGAACATCATGTGACTGGCCTGGAGTCTGTCTGTCTGGGTGGGAGGTAGATTACACCACTTAGAGAAATTGAGTTCAGGATTCTTACTCGTCCAAATGATTCATTCAAAGAGTGTATAGCGGGTGGGGGAAATGGACAGTAGCATGAAAGTAGGAAAGTCTCGAGGTGATTTGGCAGTCAATTCTACACTCGAGATGAGCTGGTAAATCGCATATGCTGAGTTACTGTGCTGGAAGTTACACTCTGTGTAATGGCCCGGCCGGTTTGAAATTCGGGTTTGTTCATTCACATTCTCTATAGTAATTTGAAAACTTGAGTTGATGGCGATTCCTGAGGGACAAATATGTGAGCTAACTAAGCCTTCAGCTTAGCCAATTCCGCGTCAATGGCGGCCTTGGCTTTGGCATTTCCGCCATCGAAAGCATCACAAACGTCCTTCATTTTCCTCTGCACTGCAGCATCTACATCCATAGCAGCGGTCAAAGCAGCACCATTATTAGCAAGATAGTCCTTGTGGATATCAGCCAACTTGCCGTCCCACTCGGGACCAGCAAGCGGATCAATGTTGTTGTGACCCCTGAGACGCTCGGGGGTTTTCTGAACATTATAATAAGGTGCCTTTAGCTTTGGTGGGGCATTCTTCAAGAAAGGGTACTTCTCCTGGGCTGCAGCATCATAGGGAGTGTTCTTCAGCTCCTCCAAGTGATGGGCTAGGATTGTGATGTGCTGGCATCCTATTTCAGCTGTAGCGAGAATTTCGGCAACATTGGCGTTACTATTTCAGGTTAGAAGTTAAAATTAGGTTTGTTTGAATTCTTTGGGATATTACCTGGCGATGACAATAACGGGCTGGTCCTTGCCAGTCTCCTTGTAAAGCTGAGTGTAGGCTTCAAGGATTTGAATCAGACGTGGCGCCATGGGGTGCTAAAAGTAGGAGAGATTAATCAGTTGAGGATCGCCAATTTGGCGCTGCGCCAATGGGAATGAGAGAAGTGGAAGGAAAAGCTCACATCCATGGCTGGATCGTCACTCTTGCACATTAGCGAGTCATCCGAGTACGCAGCAACCTCGTTTAGGTAGGGGCTAATGTAAAGACACCCTGCCTGGCTTGCTGCAATTGCCTGTGGCAAGCTGAAGAGAGAAGTAGCCAGGGTTCGGATCCCTTCCTTGTTCAGAATGGATGCCGCAGCCATGCCGGGTCCAGTTGCTGCAATCTTAATGGCATATCTGTCTCGAGAGATACCGGCATCCTTGAACGCGGCATCGTATGCGTAGCATTGCTCCAGGACTTGGTCCGTGTTGTATATGCGTGCAGGGGAAACCTGAACAAGAACCCTATTCGAGATATTGCCGATGTTGTTGGCACAGAATTGAACCATCTAGTCAAACCAGATGTGAGCAGAGCATAAAGTCAAAAGTAAGGAAATATGGGAAGGGCCCACATACCACGCGGTTGAAGACTTCCTCCCATCCCTTGTCACCGTAGTTCTTAACCTTGTCCACAAGCATGTCATGAAACTCGGGTTCGCACATTGTGTTGCTCATAATAACCTGGTTAGAGGTTTCTGTATGTCAGTCAGCCATGGATTCATCATCATTTCTGTGTATCACCTATTTTCTTATAGCGGCTATGTTGTTGTAGCGGGAACGTACGGTTATGAGGCTTGAAGGGAAGGCCCTTGGCCACCTTTGGATCAACTGCGTCGACGTCGACATTGCAGATGAGCTCGAGAGCTTCGACAAGGGTCTTAGGTGCCATTTTAATGCTCAATTTTCTTATTTGCGATTTTGTTTTCAAGCAGTGATAAGATGAAGAGTTTGGATGGTTAGGAGAGAATGTTCAGGATAATCGTAGCTTTCAATCTTTATGCATGATGGGCAACTCACGATCTCCATACAAATGAATGACTAGGATATAATTTAGTAGGATAACTGTCCCAATAAAATTATGCGGGGAATATTAGGGTCCATCTGCAGAGGCTGAGAGTATAGCCGAACAAGTCAGAGGTGAAGTTGTAACGGCGGCAAGGCGGAGATGTTGCTCCACCCTTCCGCCCGCCATTCCGCCAACAATCCCTTGTCTGTCAACTGGGCCACCCACCCCCTATCCCACCCTTCCGCATGGGTAATCAGTTCACATTTTGAGGTGTACTATTCAGGCACATGGGTCTACGAGTTGCGGGATAGCCGGAGCACTGGCGAAGTAGATGTGCAGGAACGGCTGGCGGGAACAAGTAGGCGGATCTGGAGGTGTCAAGGAGAAGAAAGGTGGTACAATCCTTCACCTCTCTCTAGAAGGGCACATTCTGGAGACTAAGCGACGAAGAGCCTGGGCTTGGTGGCACTAAATTCTGATTGGCTTTATTGTGCCGTGTGCAGGCTAATAGAGTCGCATGGAAAGTCATGCGCTTAGCCCTCAACCAAACAACTTTTCTCGCAGTTAAGGCAACTATCCTATATTGAATGATTCACGATCATACTCTCCTTTCTTAGAGTTTCTTTGGATGTCGTGGAGCGTAGCTCACCTTTCTAGGGTAAAATTATGGGATTTGGCAAAGGCAAGCATAGAGTTTTTGGTAAAATAGAGCATCAAGCCAGTCATTTATTATTATTGTTATATATATATATATATATTGAAAAGAAGCTACAATTTATGAACTAGTATTCTTCAGATTATCTGCCAAACCCATAAGGAATTTCTGCAAGCCCCATGCACCAGGATCTGGGATAGTGCCAAGCCATTCACTTTCGTTTCCTACATACACAGCACGACCCAAACGTGCTTTCAAGTCTTGTGTGCTCTTGGCTCCAGTCTGTGCAGCATCCGCAGCATCGGCAATATTCTTTGTTTTCTCGAGGGTTTCGATAAAAGGGACCAGTGCATCTAAGAGGGTCCTATCCCCAGGTCTAGCTGGCGTATAGCTTGACAAGACTGTGAGAGCATCCCTCAAAGCCTGCGCCCAGACTTCGGCATTCATGCTAGTTTTGCTCTTCCGTCTTGTTTGGAGCGTTTGCGTCAGAGCATTGAGAAGTATAGAGTAAATTGCACCCGATGTTCCATCCATGGTCTCCTCCACAGATGCCGATATTGATGAGAGCAGCGAGACGATATTGTCGTGCTCTTGTCTAGAAAGCATCTCCAGGATCCCTAAATCGATTGACTTCATTAATAAATTTAATTTTGAAGGATAATTTAAGTTCTCAAGCTTACCAGTAGCTCCTCGACTCAAGGTCGTTCCACAATCCCCATCTCCTACAATAGTGTCATATCGAGTAACTTCGGGCTCTGCCGATACGACCGCTTTGAGCCCGGCGCGAAGTGCGGAGTACGTCAAGCTCATGTCGATATCGACACTGTGTGAAGTGGAACCGTTTGTATCCATTTCTTTTTCCTTGGTTGGAGAAGAATCTGAGCTATTAGGTCGTTGGCGATGTTTCAACGGGGCATTCACAGCCCAACCAAGAGCTGTAGTTGGATAGCCGAGGAGAGAAAGGATATCATGGGGGATACCTAGAGGCACAACGTTAAGCAACGTGATCGAAAAACCTCGGCAATCCAAACTTGCCATGAATGTGCCAGACAAGACACATTTAGGGGTGATTCCATAGGTGTCGTTGAGCTGGTCAACAATTTCTGCCGTCGCCGCCCCCAGTTCAAGAGCACTCAAGCCGCCCAGATTGTTGACCATGAGAACAACGGTACGGCTCCAATGTTTTATAAACCCCCTCTCCTCATCATTGCAGTCCAGTAGTTGAAGTAGAGCCCGGTTCACGAGGGCGGGAAGTTCCGTGTCAGAAGCTCGCAGTAGAGCGCAACCGGGCTCATTGTGAATTCCCATCCCAAGCTCAACTTCATCATGGGCTAGGCTGTAGGCTTGCTCCGCTCTTCCTGGAACATGAACCCTGTCAAGTGCGACGCCGATTGTAACAATATTGTCCGCGATCAGCTGGCCGGTTTTCGCAACAGTATCCAGATCATATCCCAGGCTCGCAAGGGCTCCAGTAGCCTTGTGAACGAGAACTGTCCCAGCCGTACCGCGTCGCCCAACCTTGCCAAATCTGCTCCGCGGAACTGCAGCGTCATCTCCTACAATGAGCATCTTGACGCTTATGCCAGGACGCTGTGTCTTGAACTTCTCAATAGCAACCCCGAAGTTTAACACATCGCCAGTATAGTTCATCACAGTAACAAGGATCTCCTTGGAATGATGAGCCAAACGATGTATGGCAGACAGAATCTGACCAGAATTTGGAGATGCGAAAATGGAGCCACAAGCTGCAGCATCAAGGAACCCCTTCCCCACCATTGCACCGAAGGATGGCTCATGACCACTCCCTCCACCAGATAGGACTGAAACGCGCTTTTGGATTGGGTTGATTTCATCTGGCGCCAGATATACGACTTTGGTTTCCACATCGAGGCAGATTGTAGGGTTTAAGATTGTAAGAGACCTGAGTGATGCCGTAACCAGTTTTTGTGGATCATTCAAGAAATGTTTTGAGCTTGGATTAGACATGGTGGAATGGTTAAGTCGTTAAGATTGAATTCGAGAATCGCGTGCAATGATTTTTAGATGGAAGGGGAATTGCCATATTCTATCGAGCTATAGTATATAAATCTGTTGCTCATTCATGTTCCAAAACTATCAGACCTGCTCAATTGCTTCAGGATTCGTTTCCATTCTTGCCTAGCCTCAAATCCAATCGACGCTACCTGAAGGACTTCCGCTTTCCCTCCCTGGTTATGATCAGGCTTCGGTCACACAATAGCGGATAAGCGGTTCCCCGTCAGTAGCCGCTGGTGTGTGGATTCGAAATCGCCCCCTTCCCTTACGGATAGAGGAGTTAGTAAGTGTGGGAAAACAAGACTTGGCTCGGTCCATCGTGTGCCAGTTTACTAGTCCCTGGCCCCCTGCCCCCCCGAAGGAGGGAGGGTAGGGTAATTACTATTGATCGGTAAATCTAGCCACACTTGATGAGATAGGACCGGAAATCATCGCCACTAATATCAGACCGCTATGGTGCTGCTTGCCTTAACAGGATATGTCGGGAGGCGGCTTGATCCCCGAGGCCGATTTGAGTGAACAGGAGTTCCGAGATCGGGATAAAAGATATGAGCTTGCTAGTAAATCACATACAACGACGGTAGTCATGAGCAGCTAGAGATCCGAGATCGGTTTGCTCTTGTGATACCTCGATTGAAGAAGCTCCGGCTACTAAAGTGATCTCTGACGGGCGATGTGTTTACTCTATAGATGGCAGTGTTCCTAAGGGAATCCCCTTGCCTGCTGAATGCAAAGGGGCCAGCACGAACACTTGCACTCGTTGCTCCACGATTGATACGATGCGATAAAATGAGTCGAAAGCGGTACTGTATAAACAAATGTCATGTCTACTATAAATAAAAAGGCGAGCGAACCGATGAGAAGATATGCAAGCCTCTCAATAAACCCTCCTACGTCCTTGGTAGGTCTAGCTGAATCATACTGATTATTACTAAACACAAAAGTGAATGTGAGGGGGCCGAATCATCGCCTTCGACAACACCCTGAACTAGAAGCCTCTGTTTTTGTCACGGAGTCGCAATTCACGGTTAATCTCACAGAGCAAACTGGACGCGTATAACAGACTGATCTACTTTGCTTCCTTGGCCAATCTAAAATCCAGGGGGGGGTCCATCAACTATGGCCGTGTTAGTCTCCTGAGTCCTTTCTTCGTGTGAGTTCATATTCTTACTTATTGTCTTGATGACCATTTTCCCATCCTCTCCTCTGCCAGCTTTTGTGATGTGGAATGCTTTATCTGCATCATTGAAAGACACCCTGTTGGTAACTCAGGTTAGTAGGAGCAGGGATTGATTTCGTTTCCATAACCTTACCGATGGGTCAGAAGTGGCTTCAAATTGATACGGCCTTGGCGGACAAGGTCAATGGCCAACGAGTAACAGCCAGGGCCATACTTAGGTTTCGTTAGTTTTAGAAAGCGAGCTCTCAAATGGCAGTTGAACATACCCGCAGGCTTCCAATGAGTTTAACTTCTTTGTTGACGAAGATGGACATGGGAATGGTGAGATGTGCCGGTCCGGCACCAACCTGGACACACATGCCACGACGCTTGACCAGCCAGATTCCAGTTTGCACACAGACCTCAGGCCCGGCACATTCCACAACGAGGTCGATGGCTTCTCCCCTCTCGCCGAAGCCGAATTTCTCCATAATGTGTTCCGCCTATCTTTGATATTAGTTCACTCTCCAAGAGATTTCTACTATTGTGACTAACATGTCGTTTCGAGTATGTTGAGTTGTCCTCTCCATCTTTTTTGGGAATTGAAAGATGAACATCTGTCGCAGCATATGTCTTTGCAAATTCTAGACGGTCCTTGTTCACATCAATAGCCAGAATGCGACGAGCACCGAGAGCCTTTGCTACCGCCATCGTTCTTTTCGGTCATTTATCAGTTTTCGACCTTAGAAACCAAGAGGCAGAATTGACCACGTACAAAAGGCCGACAGGTCCAGCACCAAACACTGCAACGTTGGCGTTATGTGCCATTTTCGCGACGCTATGAATTGCCATAACGGCAACAGCAAGAGGTTCAACCTAAGCATGCTCGATAATTAATATCGGTTTAACAATTTGATCAGATATTGGGCTGAAACAATCCTACCAAAGCTCCCTCCTCCATGGATACATTACCTGGAAGTTTGTAGCAGCTGGATCAACAAGAACGGAGAGGTTGATTAGCACTTGATCCATACATGCTTGGGGTGGTTCAACTTACACGTCTGCAGGAATTGTGTAAAATCCTTGAAGCGTCCCATCGTATCCGTCCGCTGCTGCGAACTGCATAGAACCGCACTGCCCATCTTCTCACTCGTTAATTGCCAGATGTATAGGCGGAACACAAACATTATACTCACAAGAGCCGCTCTTGCAAAACTCGCACCGAAGACACGCCAAACCCGGCTATATACTGATGAGAATCGAAATCGCAACGAAAACTGGTGCCGAATAGCAGTGAACTAACCTCCATGGCTACTCTGTCACCCACTTTGAGTGATGTGACCCGAGATCCCACTTGTTCGAAGTCAGTTTATCCCAAAAGCTCTGAAGGTTCTTTTTTGATGTCATAGCACGAACCTTGGGCTACAACACCCGCGGATTCATGGCCTAGCACGAAAGGCTCGTCAAAGACTGACTCGCCGGCCTGGGAGTTGTATGAGCTTGTTGCTTCTGAATAGAGTAAGACGGAGTGTTGGAGGTCCACGAACCCTTCCTTCAAAGAAAATGTGCATATCCGAACCACAAAGCCCAGTCTTTTTAGGCGCCACGATAGCACTAGAGTTCAACGCACTTAGTGGTGAAAATGCCACGTTAGGGACTGGCGTATTTCTTTACTCAAATGGCCCTGGTGCAGCGGGAAGACTTCTCTTTTGCAGCTCAAGCTTGCCCAGTGATTTCATGACGTAGGCATAATTCTCTGTCGGGATCGATGTGTCCTCCATCTTAGCAAGCGTAGTGGTGTTATGAACGTATCTGAAAGAGTGTGATTTTTGTTGGAGGTCAGTTCAATGTACAGTTTCCTTGCTGTGTGACCTTGGGAGATTCTACAATAACATATAGAAAGCATTAAGTAGCCCTTTACGCTGCAAGTTCGAGTTGCTCGTAGGCCTTGCCGACCCGAGAACGTTAACCGTCCTACTAGCTCTATGAGGTTATTGAGGTTATTGCCTTGTAACTAGCGCAAGTAGCGAATGGGCGGCCTAGGCGGGCTACGCGGAGGTGGAAAGGCGGCTCGGCGGAATCAGTCTCTGTGGTGTGGGGTCAACCTGTCCTCTCTACATCGATATATTCGTAATTACATTGTATTTCCCTCAAGTTCTCTAATTGGATAGTAACAAGTCGATCCGGTATTCCCGCGGCTAGTTGGACCCCTCAACTCCGTCGGAGGGACCCTGAGGGGTTAAGGCAATTTGACCCCTTATGCAAGCAACGACGTTTCTTGACACTCTAGGGCCAAGTCCATTACCCAGCCATATAGGCGAAAGATCCAATAGACAGTTTCCTGTGGCGCGTGCGTTTACCAGTTCCCAAGAAGCAGACCAGCACACACATAACGCCTTGAAAGATTATCTTGTTCAGTGTCACAATGGATTCCCAGGAGATTGACAGACTAGCTCAAAAGGCTTTGGGTATGTGAAAGACCAAGCATCCTACTTACAGTGTGACGACACACAGAGACTAATCACTTAAGTTGACAGATGACCTCAGATCGGGCAGTGCCCATTCCAGAGTCGTGATCGGTATTGCTGGCGTCCCCGGTTCAGGTAAAACAACGCTTGCCACAGCTGTAGCATCTAGAATCAACCAAATTCAAGGATCAGCGGAAGATTTGGCAGTATCCATTCCCATGGATGGTTTTCACTATTCTCGCAAGCACCTAGCCAACATGCCGAATGCTGAAGAGGCTATTCATCGACGCGGGGCCGCATTCACCTTTAACGGCGAAGGTTTCTTCAACCTGGTGCAATCGCTTGTCAACTCACCAACGGAGCTTATATATGCACCTTCATTTCACCATGAGATTAAGGACCCGGTGGCCAACTCTATCCCAATCCCTCCCAGCGCAAGGATTGTCCTGATCGAAGGCAACTACTGCGCACTAGATGAGGCTCCCTGGAGAGATGCTGCAGCACTGATGACACGGCTGTGGTATGCTGATGCACCTGCTGAGGTGGCTCATTCAAGGTTGGCCCCGAGACATCTAGCCAGTGGAATTGTTGCAGACGAGCGGGAGGCCTGGAAAAGGGCAACAGGCACTGATGAGCTAAACGCTCAGCATATTCGGACGAAGCTCCTGAAAGTGGATGAGATCATAAAGTCGGGCTAGAGTAGTTGTCCGGAATTCGCTGGTTAAAACTAGACAAGATTTTTACGACATAAGTTTTCCCGGTGCATTATACCACCAACTCCCCCAGAACATACCAATATTTCTCTTGTGGTATTATTCCTAGCCCATGCCAATGATCAGCGAGTATTGAGAAGAACTTACCCTGTGTTCAAGTCCAAACTCCTCGCTTTGAGGGATGCGCCTGACCAAACCAATTTCATATGTTAAATAAGAAGTTGCAGCAATAAAACTTCGGCATATTTTGATCATTGATTTGATTATCTGTGTGGTGGAATGGAAGTCAAATCCTCGTATGTTGCGCAATAGGTCAGATCCGACAAATAGCACATAACTACCACCTTGAAATAACATGCTTTCATCTATGTCTATCTATTACCAAGAACAGTGACCCCCATCGACTCTCAGATCAGCAGCCGTCATAAAACTGCTCCCGTCACCAAGCAGATACAGAACCGGTGCGCGGAACTCATCCACCGTGCTCAAGCGATACAGCATGTTGTCCCCGACCCATTGTGACTCCATTCCAGGCTTCTGCAAGGCTTCCGCCGTTGCTGCAGTTCGAATGTACCCAGGTGAAAGTGAGTTCACACGAATGAGGGGTGTGCCAACACGAGATCCCCACTCGGCCGCTAGAGACCGTGCCAGCTGGTGGACGCCGGCCTTGGATGAGTTGTATGCGGCAGTATCTACTCCCTAAGCAGTGCGGTGTTGGTTAGCATGTTGTTTTCGTGATGTACAGCACAATCCGCGGCAGTTGATTCACGAACCTTGTTGGAAACATATCCACTCATGCTAGCGACTAGAACCATGCTGGCCGAGACATTGGCCTTGATGACCTCCTTAGCCACAGCCTGGGCGACAAGGAATGTTCCCGTTAGGTTAATGTCGAGCAGCCTCCGGAATGCATCAACGGGGAAATCTACCGCTGGGCCGTTATCAGAGACACCAGCACACCCGACAAGACCCCTGAGAGGATGTTCAATCTTTGAGACAAGCTTGTTAAAGACAGAGGTGACTTGCGCAGCATCTCTGACATCGCATTGATAATACCAAAGGTTTCGCGAGTACTGGTCAGCGGCCTTTTCAACAGTTTCTAGATTCAAAGAAAAGTCGGTTAGCTCGATCCCTCTCAAATAGTAAGGAATAGAATAGCTTACTCCAATCTGCAGAGGAAGGCGTTTCCATCACATCCAGACACACCACATCCCCGCCGCTCTCAAGGATAGTAGCGGCAACAGTCGTACCGAGGAATCCAGTGGCTCCAGTAACTAGGCCAAGTCTCAGCAAACGTCCCGACTGGTTTCAAATATCATACTCACCGACAATCGTTCGATCATCTAGACGGAACAAGCTGGCAACCGGGGAGGCTGGATCGCCTTGAGGAGCCTTGGCCTCGCGATATTTGAGAGCGTGTACATTTTCTTCCTTCATCTTGTTTGATCGATGATTAGTACTGCCTCAGATCGGCGAAGATTCTGAAGTTCCGGTAGTCATTATCAAGTTGTCCAGTATCGTATTCCCGACCTAGATAAAAGCCGCCACGCACACATTATCCTAGTTCCAGTATTTCCCCGCAAATTGCATCAATATTGGCAGAAAATCGGTTGGATGCCCGGCGGATAGTCGGTGGTCCGCATTCCCGCCGCTAAACTTTTGGGGATGAGAGGAAGCGGCGGCAACCCGCAAAGGGCGGGAAAACGGTGGTATTGACGGCATGTGACGTCGTGTCGTGAGCAACGGGAATAGTGGCTGTTGCATGATGTGTGTCCGCTGGTGTCGAGGGAAATCAGCAAGAACATGGCTAGAGAGCATTTAATTCTCGGCCAGGCCTATGGAAGTATCTATCACATCTACACTCGATTTCAACCGAAAAAAAAACTCGCAGTATTCTCTCAGTTAAACCCAAGTTTATTTGCTATCTTTGCTATTGCCAAACAGCTATGTCGTCACCCATGTTGATTCCCCGACCGCTCGAGGGTAAACTTGCCGTTGTTACAGGTGCTTCCAGAGGTGAGAAAAATACATGATAGTTGTGAAGTACCAGTGGCCAGCTAACAGTTTCTTTTCGCCGCAGGAATTGGTGCATCCATCTTACGGGACCTTGCCACCAAAGGCGCCAACATTCTCGCTATCTACACATCCAATTCCTCATCCAAAATGATGGAGGAGCTTGCCGACGAGCTGCGGTCTCAGCATGGTGTGAAGATTGTAACTTGCCAGTCCGACCTAAGCCAAGGTGAGAAAGCTGGCGCAGAGATCGTCGACGCAGCCAAATCAGCATTTACCGATGCCAACGGCAACCTCCTTATCAACATTCTGGTCAACAATGCCGGAGTTGGTGGCGACTACCCGCTTGGGGAGGTGCCCGTTTCCGAGTTTCATCGAATCTATGCTGTCAACGTGCTGGCTCCCATCTGCGTCACCCAGGCCCTTCTGCCATATCTACCGCACGATCGGTCAGGTCGCATCATTAACATCAGCAGCGTGGCTTCAAGCATGGGTTTCAGGACGCACACGCTCTATGGCGGCACTAAAGCTGCTCTCGAAGCCATGACCCGCACCTGGGCTCGCGAGCTTTCCGAGAGGTGTACCGTTAACGCCGTCAACCCCGGCCCTGTGGAGGGCGACATGTACTTCGCCGCCGGCGAGAAATTTTGGAAGCAGATGGAGCCCTTCCAGCTGGCCTGCCCACTATCCGCAGTCCGCGAAGGTGTTGATGACCCCAAGCTGGTCAAGCTGGCAGTGGAAAAGATGGCTGGGCGGCGACCTGCGTACTGGTCTGAAATTGCTGCAGTCGTCGGGATGCTGTGTGGCCCCGATTCGGCTTGGACAACTGGAAGTGTCATCTGTGCCAATGGAGGCCTCAAGTTCCAAACTTGAATCGTTGGGTCTATTAAATAGTCAATGCTAGAAATTAAATCCAATCCTATCGTATGACTTTATACTCCTATCCCATTCATAAGTTACTAAATTGGTACTAAACCAACGGACCCGAACAAGAACAAACATGCTACCGGAACAGCTAGTGTTTATATCTCGAGAAAAATACACACTAAATGCTTATTTCGGTTTCCAGCCGTAAGAGCTGCCTCCAATACCGCTTACTTGTAGGTGCCTTGACATCCGTACCTTTTGGAGAACCATATTCAGAATCCAGCCAATTGATTCGGCGCTAGATCTGGGCTCGGCCCAGGGTTGTGTCGAGGTGATGACTTTGCTTAATAGCGCCTCTGCATCAGGCACAAGGCGCGCCAGGAGATTATTTCCTGAAGCTATAGCAATCATCAACGCACATGCCAAAGACCTGCCACACTGATCAGTATTTTGAACAAAACTTGATGATTTCGTCACGCCCAATAACTAACCCTTGGATCGTCATAAATGTCCACTGAGTCCTCTCCGTGAGGATGATAGAGGCGGTATGGATGTAGTTCCTACAACTCTCCACACACTTCTCTGAATTCTCCAGAACATAGGCGGGCAAGTGGGCATGGTCGGTCAGTTCAGTGGCGTAAACTAGGCAGGGGCGACAAATGATATGCTTGGCCGACCAGTACCGGAGACGGAGCCAGCCGTCGTGAGAATTGACTGGCACGGTCTCTGACAGATCCGGCCTGATATCTATAGGCAGCGACTCATACCAAGCATCAAGCTGCCTATCTAGCTCCGCGCAGACACTTCCGAGTGCCTCCACAGAGAAGAACACGCTGGGCTGCTGTAGGGTCCATCCAGAGTTGGCTCCGATGCCCATGGACTGCGTGCCTTTACTAGGTTGTTTCGCATAAATGGCGCGATGAATGCGGTTCAACAGGCGTCTTATTGAGCATATGGCTAGAAAGTTCAGCCCATCATGATCGCCGCTACTGGAGAATTGGGGAAATGGCATATTATCGATGATCAGTTCGATGCCACTACGGGGCAGGTGGAATTCGGCAAGACTGTCACTACATTGGCGGTTAGGTAGTTGAGCTTTTGGCCGATTTTCGGGGTGAAGGACCATACCATTCGAGAAGGAAACACACCCAACAAAGTCTTGTGAGACAGTCAACTTCTTGCTGCTTGGTAGTTTTCATTTGTAGTCTCTATCATGTCAGTATGACCTCTAAGTGCCTATCTTTCGCTCCAGGCGACTGACCTTGGTAGCATCATTTGGACCTGCGTGGATGCCATGTGGGTAAATCGCCACGCGTGCAAGGGCCGTTCCAAATAGCACATGTAGATGGCAGAATGCACCAGACCGGAGGCGAGTGAAAGGTTAAACCCAAACGTAGATATACATCTTGATGTAAGGATATTATAGGCCAAGGCAAAATAGTCAGATCCATCGTCCCTGCTACAATGGCCCGGTGAACAGGCTTGCCTGTTAGATATTAATTTCCCCAGTGCCATGATGACAAGGCATAGAGCTACATCAAGATCATCAAGATCATCCGAGTGGTCGCCATCGTTCATGACACGGCGATAAAGTGTGGTGAACGAATCTGGATCAACAATTGGAAACTGTGGATGAACATGCAACAAAAAAGCCGACATGTAAGTTTCGCTGTCTGATCTGTCGATATCCAGACTAGCCAGCCCTTCTGCCAAGATTCCAGCGAATGTGGCTGGCTGGAAGTAACGCGCCTCTTCAATCTGCAAAAAGTAGTCCTCCGGATAGTCTCCGACGAGCCTGCGGATAGGTTCTAGGGTGAATAGGCTGCTCGTTGGCGTCAGATGCCCAATTGGGATTGTGAGCGGTTCATCGTCTTCTGTCTGGCCACTACTTGGAGCAATGCTAGATGTCCACTTGAGGCTCTGGTCATCAAAAGAAAAGTTCCCCGAGAGATTCTGGTTGATTGGGAACAAATCGACCGGGTCGTTCAGAGAAGACAGGGAGTTCAGCAGCCAAGTATTATTGTCTTTCAATTCAGTGTTGAGAGCAGGGTGCGACAAGGGTGGACTCATTTGTGAGGCTTCTGGTGCTTGTTCATTCTCACTCTGGCGTAGGAGGAGAGCTTCCAGTTGTTCTATGCGACGCAGTAGATCATCGGTGGATGGTGTGCTACTGATAGATTTAGGGTTTAAGTATCAGTCTGATTTGCAAGTGAGCAGCAATAGAAAGAGGATAAACAACCTTTCTGCAGGTCCGGTAGTACCGTTCTCTACCATTGTCAGGTCCGAGTTACCGGGTGCCGAGTTACTAGTCGCGGTTGAATCCTGGTACGAGCAGATTGCCCCAGCTGCAGCGCAGAGGCTGCAAGCTGGCTTTGCGCCATTGCATTTTCGCTTCCTAGAAGGACAACATTGAATTTCAGAGACTTTTGACAGAGGATCGACTGCGAACAATGCTCCAACCCCATAGTAGGCTTACCTCTGTCTACAGAAGTTGCACGCTATAGGAGCTCTCCGACGAGGGTAGTTCATGGCCGTAGTAAGTGGGAGGGAAGCCGAAGATAGTCAGGGAGGTGCTGTACATGGTCGGATGGGCGGTAAGGTAAGCGAAACTGGGATTTTAGGGGGGAGCAACAACATGCCTCGATGCGGGGAAGTATCTGGGGAAATCTTCTAGCCCCCCGCATCTTCTCCACCTTCGCTTAGCTCGCTAAACGTCTCGCTCAAAAGAACAACGGAGAGATGGTGGTGTTTAGATAACTTTCATGAAAACGATAGGGATGATCATGCAGGCGGGCAAGGTCAACCGACTCTAGGTTCAGATATGGTTTTAATACTACCCATCTAGCGTGACTTAGGTAGCATTTGCACTATGAAACATCCAACATAGTTAAGCTCTATGACTTTTCCATAGGTCTCCTTAAAAGGGCTCCAAGAGTCCAGCTTGCTGTTCTTCCGGTGTGTTGAACACGTTGACTGCCCAGGCAGGATCAAAGGTAAACGGCAAGCCACCACCTCTCACCGGCTCCTTGCCTAAAGCCACCAACTTATCATAATCTTCGTCGCTGAGCTCGAACGCTTGGAAGTTCTGCTCAATTCGAGCCGGCTTCACAGACTTCGGTATCACGGAGAATCCTCGCTAAGTTTGTGAGGGTTAGCCCCATCCCATACATTTCCTGGTCAAATCGGTGTCGCCATGGATCTGTGTTTACTTACCTTTACAGCCCATGAAACCAGAACTTGGCCGGGCTGAGTGTTCGTCTTTTTGGCGATCTTTGCCACCTCTGGGTGTCCCAAGACTTCCTTTCCGCTGCGGGAGATATCGCCGCCAAATGGCATGTAAGCTGAAATATGAACGCCCTTGGGCGTACAGTAATCAAGCAGAGCCTGTTGATTCAGGAGAATGTGGGCCTCGACTGTATACTTCAGCGTTAGTGTTAAAGCTCTGAGAGGAGGGAAATATGAATTGAACCGGCCGTACCTTGGTTGACGGCTGGAACAACGCCCGTGGGCTTCGATATCAGCTCGATGTGAGCGGGGGAGAAGTTGCTTACGCCGATACTGCGGATAGGTAAGAACAGACTATTTCGAATGGGTCTCGACGGCATATTATGATTTTTCATACCTCTTCGCCTTGCCTTGCTTTTGAAATTCAATGAAGGCCTTCCACGTATCTACCAGGCTCAACTCCGTGTCAATGAGCATGTTTCCATTCACTGAAGGCTCGAGAGCGATTCCTGTAGGGGAGTTGGGGTCTTCGACAGCCTTGAAGTTGGCAGGCCAGTGAATCTAACGTCTCGTCAGAATTAGGTCTCATACGCAGTCCTTTGTAGGAAATATATACGAGGTAGAGATCAACATAGTCCGTTCCCAAGTCCTTCAAGGTCTGGTTCAGAGCCTTTTCAGCATTTTCAGGCCGATGGTGACTAATTAAATAGTGAGCATTTCCTCATTGCCTCATGAGAAGGAGTCCTTACGAGTTCCAGGCTTTGCTAGTGATCCAAATATCATCCCTGTTGAACCCTGGCTCATTTGACAGGATCCTAAGCGCTTCGCCGACTTCCTTCTCATTCTGGCGCTCAGTCAGTCACCTGTCCACTCACGAGGTTCCGATATCATGGTTGAGCTCTCACCTGGTAAAATTGAGCGCAGTCGAAGTGGCGCACACCACACTTCCAGCTAAGAAAAAGCATGTCAGCCATTCGATTGGGCAAAAAGCCACTGCAACCTTTAGGACTCACGCATGAACAACGGCGTTCGTCACTTCATTGGGGCCGGAGAGAAACGTTCCCAAGCCAACGTAGGGAATCTGACGACCGTCGTTCAGAGTAGCTTTGCGCTGGTTGACCCGGGTTGCCATTGTGAACTGCTTTCGAGAGTATAGTGAGCTTTGTTTTAGGAAGAATGATCTTGAACTCAACTACATGTTCTCATTCTATACCAAACGCGCTACATCTAGATATAGCCAGTGAGCAATGATCATTGATAACATCATGGAGACGCCACAACGAGTCATCGTCGAGGGCGGAAGAGCGGCAAGCTGGCCATTCCCGAAGAGCGGCACAGGATCCTTATTCCGGAACCTTAGATCCCTCAGAAATCATACATGAGCAAGTCGTCCATCCCCCAGCAGATCTCAGTCGTGGTGGGTTAGGTCCACTGCCACGTCCCCCACCTCTCAGATCGGCGGTATCCCGCCGCCCATTAGCTTGATTACCTCAGCAACGCTACCACCCCTGAAGACACTCGCCCGAAGGAAAAAGCGAGCGAAGCGAGCACACTACGTCATAGGCTAAATGTCGTCTGGTGCCAAACTCACCCATACCCAAAATGGCATTTCTAAGGTTGGCTTTAGTCCCAGTCGAATAGTTCGTTTAGAGGTCACCGACAGAAACAGGGTATGCGAAAACCAGGTCTTATCATAAAGATGGAAATTCTCAATCACCTATGGACAAGTAATGCAGATCCGTTACCGATAAATCGGAAATCCTCTAAAATGGGACATCCTTATGGTGAGTTCTGCTCTTGTGCCAGCCCAGACCAATTGTTGACAAACTAAATCAAAAGCACCGTTACATCCTGCAATCCTTCCCGGGCCACGCAGATGTCCTCATTCCACCATCATGTTCGTGCAACAAATCAAAGGAAGTGCCGAGGCCAAAGAAGTCTTTAATGGAACCTTTCGTCAAGTTCAATCGGTAGAAAATCTTCCGCCTGTGATCAAAGCTCGATTCACGTCTGAATACCCTCCCCAGTCCCTCATGGTCGGTTTTAACCCAGAGTGGATGGCCGAGGCGACTGCAAAACTTCGCAAGATTTTAGTCCAAGAGCCTCCGGATAATTTTACACATTGGGACACTGAGGTATTATCTTTAGCCCCTCTAGGTGCGGAAAAAGAGAAAGAGATAAATAATATCATACCGTGGGCTGGTTTCCGCCTTTGGCAGGACAGGCTCGCATGCAGTGGGAAATGGCTCACCTGGAAGTATTTGAACGGTGGCTGGCAAGCGGATATAAAGTTTATGAAGAAGTCTTCATTCAAGGTAGTCAAGAAACAGATTCGAGTATATGCATTGTCATGTGGAGAAGAGCCAAGCGATGAGAACCAGGTGAGGTGGAACAATAAAGATGCTGAGAGGACAGTGCATTTTTGGCTCAATGTTGAGTTTTTACCTGGAATAGAGCCTGAAATAAAGGTTTTTCTAGGTTCTAGTCTTATTTTAATGGGAAGGCCGTCTTTGTAAGGGATACTGGCTACGCAGCCAGGTTTATTGATACTTCATGAGAACGCCAATCAATTGCACCGTATCATCTCCATCTCTGGCGAAGTCATAGATGTGTCTGTTCATATGGCATTCCGAAGTTCCTCATGACGAAATCAGGCAGGTAGAACTCGAATAATGTGATGTGACAGGGTTTGAATGGGCAACAGGTATAGAGAAGTGTACGGTGAGCCATGAGGAAGTGGAGGGAGATTATATAAGGGAAGGCATCCCCATCAAATCTTGAATCACCTTCTTCGATCCTCACATTTATCCTGGCCCCAGTCAACACCGAAGAGAGACCCTACAAGCTACTGGTTTGATCAATCATCATGATTCCTTCCGCAAAATTTCGTTTCTCGAGGGGTCTTCCCGTTTCAAAATACTTAGATTGTCCCAAGAGATGCTGTAAGCTTATTATTACTTCTGCTAGCCATTTATTGCTAGTCTGCTGATACTTACCCAGCATTCCCTAAGCGAGTCTCTGCCGCCCAATTATCAACATCCAATGATAAACATATCAAGCTCCTAGAGCCCGCGGCAACGTTTGATGATTCTACTACACCAAACCATACATCGTTTAAAGCATACCGCCAAGCGGCCCAGATGTACGGACCGAAGCATCCTGAGGTCCACCAACGAACTGTAACCTCTGATGACACGTCATTCGGTTTAGGGGTACATCGTCGGGTGGATAAGTCTGAACACTCTCAAGGAATTGATGGCGGGGAAGCGACGCAAATGGGCTACTCAGCGTAGTTTAGTTCATATTGACTCCAAAAGTGGCAAACAACGGTTACGAGACGCAAGCTTCATGAATTAGGAGGTTTTGTTTTTTTGTTGCCTGCATGATAAAATCACAATGTGAAGAGAGATTCTTAAAATTCTGCGGTAAAAACATCAGTCAACAGTGTATGATCATTTGAGGAAAGACTTTGGAGCACTTGAGTCTATCATTTCTCCTTCGTGAAAAGACAGGAAGAGGTGAAGAACCTGCTTATGACCACGAGTAATGGAAAGACAATCAGTCAAAATTGAAACATCACCTACTAAACACCTTGATCCAAATTACTGTCGTTGACTAGATAGACTAGATATAAACCTCAAGCCACTAAGGTATTATACGGCTGGCTTATCAATTCTATACACTGTCTCAGCAACATTGAACCAACCCTCATACTCCACCACATCCTTTGTCTCCTCTATATCGTAGTGGTAGTGGCCACCTTTCCTTGTTTCTCCCTCCTCAACTCTATCAGCGGTGAAGCAATGGGTGTGCTCAGGTCGGACGTCAAGGTCACCGTCGTCACCGCTGTGCAGGACACTCAAGCATGCCAAGGGTGTCCCCTCATTCTCACCACTAGGGACATCAAAGTATCTGAGCCACTTATCGACAGATGCAAAGGTTCCGAATGGCTCTGCTGGGTAGTCGGGGGCGATATGCAGGTAGACTGTGCCCTTGCGTACCAAAAAGACACCTCCCAGCGAAATAAACTTGTCCCCAAATGTTTTTCCAAGAGCTGCCTGAATCGCCGCTGGAAAGTTGAGGCTGCCGGTTCGGGACCTTGCCTTGATATGGAGGCAGGGGCCGCGAACTCCATCTGAGCAAAACAAATTTGACATCAAGCTGAAGCCACTGTGCTGGAGTGGGCAACAATAAAGACGGTCTGAGCCATTGACTTTGGCATATCGATTGCGGTTTCGGATCGCCATCAAGCCAGATTCATGCGTACCAGCAGCAGTCCCATATGCAAAGTTGGGTATCCACTCGGCAGCGCCCACAATGTCCATAGGTCCAGCGCCGGCACCGATGATGAGACCTGTGGATGGAGTCATATCCGTCTGGCGAGAGATGGTCAAAAGATCGAACTTCTTGGAAGCATCTGGAGACGGAAGGAGGTACGGAGGCCCTCCAATGTCTACAACACGCGCATTGCCCGTCAAGCCTGGGCCTGCCAGGTTGTACGGCTGCTGGGTGAGATCCGGAGGGGTTTCAACCGTGCAGGAGGCATCAACGAAATTGGATGGCAGACCCGATGCGATGCTGGAAGCCAACTCCTCCAAAGATGGAGGAGTCACTGTGACTTTTTTGATAGGATATTGGGAAGAAGTAGCCATCTTTGCGAATTCAGGTTGAGGTTATTCAGAAACACTTGAGCTTCCAAGAAATTGATGGGGAATGATAATAACGAGTTTTGGACGCAGAGTAATTACAACTTTCGCTTTGTTAAACAAAGCTTAATATAGGTACCCATGTTACTGCATCATATCTTTGTAGTCTTCATGGAAGTTTAGTGGCAGCACGCACATGCGAGCTACGCGAGCTTAGCGATGAGGTGCAGATCAGCCGCCACTTTCTCAACCTATGACTCTAGCTCGCCATCGCCTTTGCGGGGTAGCTCAGCCTGGACTCTTGAGCACCATACAAGTTAGGTATAGTAAACTTTCATACCGAATGCGGATGTAGAGGGCAAAGTTGGCTATCTCTTCACTATGAAAAAGCTAGTGGATACCTGTGGCAGGGCTTCAAATGAGGTTCTTAATTTCACACCGAGATGAGGCCCTTATTATATAAGTAATAAGCCGGGGATCACCTACTTTTTAGCTCACGTGTCTACCCTAAGCCACCTCCATCATAATAGAAACAAAAACAAATGCTTCAATTCGCGTTTTACCAGCAGATTACTCTATATTCAGGATTATAAATCAACTCTATAATTAGCGATGCCCTTATAAGCCCCTAAATATGTTTTTCCGTAAAGAGATAGGTTGTTCCGCGTACAACGCTTGGACGACGAATCCAAGATGCTGAACAGGCTGTAAGCGTGAGAACACGAATGACGCCTTTCCAACGTGGAAGACAAAAGAGTCAGTAGTTATTAACTATTCAACTAGCTGATTAATTACGTCTAGATCTCAACCAAGCTTCCCGTGAACCATGGGCTCCTTCGTGAAGTCTGCACTATATCCCTGGAACTCTCCACAAGGTTAAATAAGGCAGCAACGGTCGCTGCCGAGACGTAGAAGATGAAACATAGCCAGGATTCCGCAACATATGCGGGATCGGACAGACTATAAAGTTCAAGTCCATTATTCACGACCGCCTGGGCGGCTGAGGCTGTCGAGCATACAGCTCCTGCTCAGCTGAAAATGGCAGTTAAATAGTCAGGAATCGACGACAGCCTGCATTATCGGGAGCCAGACGCGCGACCCAGTAGTACTGTTCACCTGGGTGAGAGTGCATCGATGCCAGCTCACCGAGACTGACGGCTACTGCTAGACCAACGAAAGCCATAGTTATGTAGCCCCAAAAGAACAGTGGAGAGACACCCATAGCTGTCACACTGGCCACGATGCTAAGAACGCCGCAAGCCGAGTTTGTCGCCAATTCCAATGGCAGTAAGTGTCGAGAAAGGCCGCTCAACAAACTCGATGTGGCCCTCCAGAGGTGCCATTCTTTCATCGGGGTCCGACGGGTTGTGTATTTTCTCCGGGTCTGACCCCAGTGGCGACCGCCCAAGAGACAAGCGCTTAATTGAAGCAGACATGATAGTACAACTGCAGTGCTCACCGAGGCAAAGGCCGTGATTGAATCTAGGGGTAGAGTCAGAAGTTCGTTACTGATATCACAAAAAACGCAGTCGACTCGACCCCTATATTTGAATGCTTATCGCTAATGAGCATCTAGGTACGTGTGGCCGTTGCGGGCGTCTATTGACCCCAACAAGCTATCTAATCTTCGCTGGGGACAAGAGGCTCTTTGCGCTAAAGCAATCGGGATCGAATCCTAGAATATCTGTCGCGATATCCTGGTCGGAAGCTAGCAAGATCTTCCTGTGAAGCGATTGGGCGAAGGTGTCGGATAAGAACTTCATGCTATAACAGGTTAAGCCCCGTATCAGATTGAACCCGATCGGGTGGTAGGTATATGTTGGATTTCGCACAATGGATTGGCAAAATTGTGTAGTTTCATTCAAACGAGGCGCATTTGTTCTGACTAAGCATGTTGGATTACACGATGCCTCGGTTCCAACAACCTGCTTCGCTTTCAAATTGTGCTCCAGGAACATTAAGGTCCGCTTTTAAATTCATTACAAGACAGGAAGACTGACTAGGTCTAGTTTCCTCGCGCTAACAGATTTGCCCGCCGTCGATTGAAATTACTGCTCCGGTTATGAATGAGGAATCACGGCTTAGCAGAAATGCAATAGTTCTGGCCACTTCCTCTGGATCTGCCCTCCTGCCTAATGATTGACTATTCTTGAGGAGGAAGTCGTTATGCCCATCCCTTTCAGCTGGTAGCGATTGTAACATTGGGGTATTGATAAGGCCACTAAATCGAAAGATAGTAAAGTTAGTCTTAATCACACAACATTCGCTGTTCAGGTCATCCACTTACGGCGCAATCGCATTTACCCTGATTCCTAAATGTCCGAACTCTTTAGCTGCACAGCGCGATAACCCAATCACGGCGTGCTTGGAAGCCACATAAGGGGAGTTCTTGCGGTTACCCTCAAGTCCAGCTGTACTTGACGCATTGATAATACTTCGTGGCCCTTGCCCAAGCTTTACCATCGCCCGAAGTTGTGCACGGGTTGCGTAAAATGCACCATGAAGGTTGACTTCATTCACGAAAAGCCATTCCTCATCGGATATCTCTGTTAAATTGGAAACACCAACGGATTTTCCGATAACGCCAGCGAGATTCACGGCTCCATCGAGGGCACCAAAGTGCGACACAGTCTTCTCTATCCAAGCTTCTACCGCCACGCTAGTTCGTATATCTGCAACAGTAGTCAAGATATCGGAGGAGCTGCTATTGACGTCTAGACGTGTAGCATGATTCTTTCGTATATCTTCGGCAGCGTTCTCAAGAGGCTCTTTCGCATTGTCGAGAAGGGATAGGCGCGCTCCAGCAGAACACAGGAGCTTGGCTGTAGCGAGACCAATGCCAGAGCCAGCGCCAGAAATAGCAATGACTTTGCCCATTAAAGATGTGTACTGCCCTTCGTAGCTTGTGTCCGCCTTTGATGCAACAGACTGGGCGGTAGAATTGTCCGCATATCCCGCTTTTAACATATTCATAATGCCTAATATTACAGTGCCATAGACTTTCCAGAGGTTGTGCTGAAAAGGATTGAATTGGCGGAAATCAAAGGCTGAAATATTAGTCTAGACCCTCGGTGCTTATTGGTAGGGCGGGCGGGAAGCCGCAAGAACAATCGTCTTTGGAGGTTAGCGACTTCTCTAGTATTAACACTGACGGCGGAAGATAAACTGAGTATTCCCCCGAGGGTAGCGAATCGTCCGCCGCTAGGTATTCATACGAAACCTGAGTATATAGATAGTATTTGAAAAGCGAAACGGGACTGCTTGTAGATTAGGAGATAATGTAGTCATATCCACTTGTTCATATTATAAAATAGGTTCATTGCTCTATTTCCGTTTTCAAAACGTTCAAACAGACGTACTGGCGGACCATGTTGCGGACCAAGATTCACATGACTCACTATCGGCTGCGATTTCGGGCGGCAAGGGGTAAGGCGGCAAGGGGTAAGGCGGCAAGGCGGCAAGGCGGCAAGGCGGCAAGGCGGTAGAATTAGGTATTCTATGTTATAGCTACGGAAGCGACATCGGACGGAACAATAGCTATCTAATTACTACTAAAGATAGCTAGACTAGTTATATAATATCTCTTTCTTATATAATAAGATATATTTTATCTATATAAACCTTATATTCTTTAGTTAGTAGGTCTGAATTATATAATACTTGGTTCCAATATTAGTCTACCGCCTTTATCCGGCAGATTCCATATCATTATATCCAGCATTCCCGAGATTTAGCGCTAATTACGTTGCACACCTGGGTCAATCTAACAGCTTAGGTACCCACTGATGCAGCTAACGAGGCATAGCTGACCAGTGGGATATCTATTATTTCCGATCAGGATCTTTCCTTTCCCTTTTGGGACAGGATACGAGGTCCCTACTCGCTACAGGACACACAGTGTATATACATTGGTAAGCATGCATATGACCTGGTAATTGTATATATATCCATACAAATTAACAAAGTCTGCTAATTACTTCTATGTAGGTAACGAAGGCCACCAAGGTAGTCAGTGTAAATGCCCTCTCGCTAGGCCTACCCTACCCGGCGCCTCTTTCAGTCTAGTTGATCCAGGACTGGGCAGACTTAGAGCCTGTTCCTTGTGTCCACCGCGAAAGCCGCCTGGCATTTCCCCCTCTTCTCAGAGCGAGGCGCAGCCATGATAGACTACACAGTACTAAGACACAGTATCCCTCTATGACGCTATCTTATTGCGGGGTTTAGCCACACGTAGTAATCCGTACTGTATGGCCAACGTGTAGCTCCTGCATCTCGATAATCATTTTTACCATTATTAGCTGGGCATTGGTCTGATTCCGGGTCCCGATTGTTTTGCGATTCCTTTCTGTGGACTTACTCGCAAGACACCCCCAACGGTGATCACCGAGAGACGACATAAAGCCCTCAATTCCCATAGCTCTTGTCCCGTTATCGCCATGAAAACTACCTCTCGATTTAAAATCCGATTTGCTCCGATGTCCAAGCGCAACCCACAAGGCCAGAACTCACCAGCGCAGCACGACAAAAACCATAAAGAACCATCTTCCTGCGCGACAACCTCAAAGGCTCCCGGACACGGACACGCAAGAAGCCGTTTTGGATGTCGCGAATGCAAGCGGCGTCGTGTCAGGTGCGACGAGACATATCCCGTCTGCCTCCGGTGTCAGCGGCGTGGTTCCATCTGCGAGTCAATACCGCGGCCGCGACAGTGGCAGGTTGAGGCGCCCTGGCTTCAGAATGGGACCAGTCACACGGAATCGATCATGTCCTCAGTCGAGGACACCGATCAAGCCATGAACGGTGCCGATAAGGCTCTTCTGCGTTACTGGCTTGAGAAGGCGAGTCAGATCATGGTCATCGACCCGGACATCAACCCATGGTCCTTTCCGATTCTTGAGCACGCCAAGCGTGCCCCGTCACTCATTCGTACTCTTCAGAGCGTAGGCGCCGCCCACCAGCAATTTTTCGACCCGTCCAAGCTAGCGAGATGTCTTGAGGAACGAAGCTGCGCGTTGAAGCTCGTACAGAAAGAGCTCACGACCAGACAAGCGGAAGACTTGTTCCCGGTGTTCCTTACAGTGTTCGTACTCGGACTGTCGACAGCATGGATCAATGACCCCGGGCCGGAGTGGGGGTACGAGCATCTTCGGGGTGCGCGGGCCATTATTAACATGATTCTGCACCAGGAGGAGAGTTCTCCGTTCTGCGAATTTATGATAGAAGCGTATCTCTACTGGGACATGGCATGTGCCTTTCTGGTGCCGTCCCACTTACATGAACCCCTCAACACCCCAGAAATGTTCGCAGCGGTATCAAGATGTGCTCAAAAGTACCACCCCATTGGAGGCTATGCCATCGAGATATTCTATCTTCTTGGAAGCCTTGGCCGATACTGTAGGATGGTGGTTGACACTGGTATTCGAGATCTTGTTCTGGAGGCCACATTTGAAGAACAATTGACAGAATGGGAGCCAAACCGAGAAAACATTGAGCTCGGCTGGATAAGTGATGCATTCCGGTATCATGGCTTGATAAACCTTCATGCTATTTGCTACCGGCGTCCCGACAGGCACCGAGAAGCGGACCAAATGGGTTACGACGCCATTACAGACCTGTTTAATGCTGAATCACATCTCGACAGCACTGCGCAGTCAGTGATGCCCGAACAGAGTACTCGAATTTACGCGCTCCACGTCGTACGAACTCTGACACAGATCCCATCCAGCCATCCCTGCACGAATATTCAAGCCATACCGCTTTTGACAGCTGGCTCAGAGCTGACTGCGGAAGATTGTGTTGAACGTGAATTAGTCCGTCAACGATTTCAAGCCATGTATTCTCTAAATCATCTTCGAGCAAATCTTGCATCGTTACACCTATTGGAAGACCTGTGGGCTCTTCGGGATGCCGGGCAGACGGTAACATGGCTGGACTTGATGTTAAGCAGGAGCTGGCTGCTCATGCTGGGTTAATCACAATCATAGGCGATGGAGTGTGTCAGCCACAATTCGCCAAGGGCAAATATTCGTTGTCAATAAATATGATCTCTTATTTTGTTTCCTGAGGAATAAGGTTGGGTCTGGATGTCAAGCAGCATATCAGGGCGTATTGGATGGACTGTGAATAATTCAACTGCCGGTTGCTGTCCCGTTGTAACTTGACCTGTCTTCGTCAAGATATTCTATCGCTCACAAGATATCGTAACAAGAGAAAAATGTCCAATTCTTGAGCTCCTCTGTAGAAGAGTCCTGTTCAGCTCCGTAACACCAGAATTGCTACCTCGCTCATAAAGTGGGCATGTTTACACCTGCCCTAGTACCAATGGAGTCTTCCTCCTTCCACAGGCTCGTGATTGTCTTTGTTGGTGTGTAGAAGTTCAGTCCTGACTTTCCATAGAAATGTTGACGCCGCCTCCTGCAATACTCTTCTTATTGCCTGTGAAAGAGAACATGGGCAAAGGTACAGGAATTGGCACGTTTACTCCTATTTGACTAGCATCGATGTGATTTTGGAAGCGTGCCGCTGTGGGGCCACTGCGAGTGAAAATGGCAACACCGTTTCCGTATTCATTATCATTAATGAGTTTGATAGCCTCGTCGATTGTCGCAACGTTGACAGCGACGAGAACAGGTCCAAATATCTCTTGAATATAGCAGCGCATGTGTGGCTTGACGTTGGAGATGATGGTAGGACCGACCTATCAAGCATTGCCTTGTTAGTGCTACTCAGACGCTTGAGGAATGATAGACCTTGATGAGACTCACAAAGTTACCGTTAGGATACTTCTTGGGATGATAGCCTCTGCCGTCCAACAGGATCGAAGCTCCCTCGTCTTGAGCACTGGCAATCAATCCTTCGATCCGTTGTCGAGATCCAGGCGAGATGACTGGCCCTAGATCAGCACCTTCTTCAAAGCCTCCATTAACATTCAATTGTTTGGCTCGTTGCACAAGCTCATCAAGCCATGCCTGAGATTGACTTTCATCTCCAACAGTCACTAGATCTTGCTAGAAGTTTGTTCTTCAAAAGTCAGTTCAGGAGGCCGTCAATATAAATGATTCTCCACCAATCTTTATCAAGACACACACGATTCATATAGTATTGCTTCCCTTCTGTTAGACTGTCTTGTGGGTGCCACGGTCGAGTCAAGTGACTAACGTTATGACGTTAGATCATCGGCGTTAGGAACTTTTGTACCGTTACATTCTGCTAGCCATCACAACGGCGTCTTTTCCTCCGTAGCTGCGCAGCCGAGCCCATCGAGAAGCCTAGGAGCGGTATGCACTTACATAGAGAAGCATCTAGGCTCAAACTAACCTCCTTTGTCCAACGACCATACGGATTACTATTCCGACATATTCTGTCCACTACAGACTCGCATCCAGTTCCAAAGCAGTAACACCAGAAAGTCGTGGGGCGGGGTGGGGGGCTACTTACCGTGTTAGGCCAGCTGCCGAAGCTACTTAGACAAGGTTCCCACATCATCCCGAATAACTAGCACCAGGTCGATCTGTGCGACGGCGCGATCGTGGACTCGTTTCATGCGGGGAAAACATGACTGCGCTACACGTACCCGCTTCATAGCATTCTTGATGCAGATACGAGTGGAGTTAGACAGGGGGTTCTAGTGCAGTGGGTTTCCCGATCAAGCCATGAAGCGAGCAAATTCAGAGGCAGGCGGGGGCTGGTAACTGGTCCTCTCCGGCTTTATCGAGAGGTGGTGGCAATATGCAGTATCTTTGTCCCAGCAATCGCTAGCCGCCATACCGAGGCAATATATTGGTGAAGAGTCCTGTTACTTGTCCTCAAAACTCGCCGAGCCAGACAGTCATAGCTAAGTGGACAGTCGATTCGAACTATCTATAGCTTTCAACGCGTTTTGCAATCCGAAACTTACAAAAATGGCTACAGATGCCCAAAAGATTTTGGTGGTGGTGGGTGGTACTGGTCGCACAGGAAAATCGGTTGCACAATCTCTACATGGCAATCCCAACTTCCACGTGAAGGTCACTACTCGTGACACGAGTAGTGACAGAGCCCAGTTCATTCGATCGCTTGGCATCGAGGTTGTGCAAGCAGACTCCTGGAACCCAGATGAAATGGACAAGGCGTTCGCGGGAGCCTGGGGTGTGTACATGAACACCAATTCCGAAGCACCCGATTTCACCGGAAGCTCGACACTTCGCGAGTCGGATATGGGAAAGATTGTTATCGACGCTGCTCGCAGGCAGAATGTCGAGGTCTTTGTGTTCGCGGGCTTGCCTGAAGCGGCCAGGATCACCGACGGGAAGTGCCAAATCAGCACGTTTAACCAAAAAAACGAAATCTCGCGATACGGCCAAGCTGCTGGCTTTAAGACATTCACCAATGTCAACGTGGGATGGCAAATGGAAAATTTTTGGAACCCTGTTTACGAGGTGCCATTTGGAGGCTTCGCCCGGCGTAAAGATGATGACGGCTACTTGACCATCAAAATTTTCCCCATGGGCAACACTCCAGAGTCAACACCTTGGACCTCCATTCGTGACGACTACGGAGATATCGTCCACGGGGTGTTCCATTCCCCCGCTAAATGGAACAATCAGACTGTCTGGGCTGTTTCTCATCCCACCAGCTTTCAGTCAGTGGCTGACGCCTACAATCGCGTTACTGGAACCCAAGCAGCACGCTACCTCGTTCCCGAGGCACCAGCTGTGGCTTCGTCCCCGGAGAAGGCTAACGAGGTTAACGGGATCGGAAATTACGTAAAGTGTGTCAAAGGCAATTATTGTAATGGATCCCCCGTCGATCAGGCACCCGCAATAGAGCTGAAGAAGGCGGGGGCGCTGGCTAGGGGTAACCCCATGGCTGAGACTGAATTGCAGACCATTGAAGGCTTCATCAGAGTACATGCCTTCAAGGGTGAAGACATGTAATCTGACTAGTAATATGAAGTCGAAGCTGGCAACGAAAGGCTCGGGTATTACCTCTCAAACTCAGAACCTTTCTATGTGACGTGGTATTTTACTCTAGACGTGTTATACGGTTTCAAGTGCAACGCTCAGAATGATTTGGTGCTTCGGTGCTTTTGATTATGGCAACTAACTCCATCTTCACCGTCTTTCTGAGTCACATCGCAAAAGTTGGCCGTTGGGAGAATACGAATTAGTCATTGGCTTTGCAAATTTGCAACATACATCAACAGTGTCCTTATGTGTCTGTTTTGTCGGCGCTGAGCGAGATGATAACGTCATGATTCTGATGCCATATAGGGTAGGTGTGCAATCGTACAACGTACCAGATCGTCGACATTAACAATACGAGCCTGGGATTGACGGTGCCAATCGGGATGTAGAAGTGGTCAAATTTTGACTATATTGTTCCACCATGATCCGATACGAGACGCGAGGGAATCAAGTTCACATCAAACCTAGAATAGCCGATGTACATTGCTTCAAACAAGCTTAGCAATGACCATGCTGGAAGTGAAAGAATGGTGGAAGAACGCTTCGCCAAGTTTAGTGGTAGGTCGCGGTCGTGTGATAGCGCAGGGTCGCCGCTTGTTCGTCAAAGAGGGCAATTTCTTCGTTGATGCTTTCAGTGCTAGACGCCTACTCGGCCGGCCGCACCTGGACGCTCCCCTCAGTGCAGTATGGTGGGGCAATAGCCGCTAGGAAATCTGCCTGAGTAGATGACGACCCGAGCGGCGGGATCATGAGTTCCCAATGGATAGCCGGAGGAGTAATTAATGTAACAAGACTTCCCCATTGCCTCTTCACTCCCTGTTGCGAAGTTGTCTAACCTGGGTTGTTATCCGCGATAGCATGGCGTTTGATTGACAGAGGGAAAGATATCGGCAAAATGCCTGATGCAGCAGGCCGGGAGTAGTAGCTAAATGCAAAGAAAGAACGGGTATTACTCACCCTCGGATCTCCATAGCCATTGCGAAAGCCCTTACATGTTCTTCATGTCACCTCTGGGAACAGATCGCAGTTGCGACATAATCTAAGTAAGCGAGTCAAATAGGTCACCGGCCTGAGTACCCTCATCTCCTGTGACGCATTACCATCCTTTCAAAAGCCGTCTCCCAAAGACCTTATGCCGAATTGTATCCAGCTTTCTGATGGGTCGATTAATGAGCTTGATATACTAGTCTGCGCAGCAGGATTCGAAGCCATTGAAGGCAGCTACATGCGAGTGTGCATGACTGGGCGAGGCGAGGAGACCATGCAAAACCATTGGCAGGAAGGTCTCAAGGCGTATGGCGGTTTAACTTGCGCAGGATTTCCCAACCTGTTTCTGATCTCTGGACCCCAGGGCTTTTTTGCCAATTTTCCACCTGTCATCGAAAGTGAGATGAATCTTGTCATGGCATGTATCGGGCACGCTGGGGGTTCTCTTATAGCCTCGCAACGGTTGGATTTTAACGGCGACGACATGAATAGTCAAACAAGCCATCCTCGTCATCCTGTTGTCGAGATTACATCGGAAGCCGAAGAGAGTTAGCTCTGCGCTAAGTTATGTGAAGGATCAGTCTTCTCAACAACCAAGAGTTGGATCTTCAGCGAGATCATAGCTGGGAGAAAACATAGTATCAACTTCTATTTTGGGGGGCTCTAAGCTTATCTATCATGGGCTACATCTCAGGCCGCGGAAGGTTTCAAATCATTCAGTCTGACTTATAGTCATAGGTGATGCTATGCATAGATACAAGGAAACAAAGAAAACTGATCCCTAGGGGAGAATTCATGATTATTATTTAAGTGATTCTTCTTGGTATTACTTGTGGCAAGATTCATAAGAAGCCTTCTGATAGGACAAGCTAGACAAAGAAGCGTAAATTGAGCGAGTAGTTGACGAAAGAACGAGAACTAAGCGAAAAGATTAAAGAGTGTTTTTAAGAGTTTATCTCGAAAGGGTTCCTTTACACGGTGTTTATTTTCATAGTTTTTAGCATCGGAAGGGCACAGAATGTGCGATAGCTGAGAGACCGATCAATTAACGGAGTTCTGTAATCTACATTGGAGTTTCTGCTATTTGATAGAATACATCTCATCCCTTCGCCATCTTAATCATGCTGCGGTATTCTTTAAAAAAACATGTTCACATAAAAGGCGACCTAGAATGGCTATAATTGATCAATCCTCTGCGATTTTGGGATAAATGTCAAGGCTGATTGCACGACTGGCCTTGGAGTGATGGTCTAAAGTTTGACTGTCGGCATCATTTTCAACAGGAAATCATCCATCAAGTTGGCGATTTCCCGGGCAAGGCCAAAACTGAAAACGTAACCACCTGCATGTGGACCATATGCATGTATCACTTTCTGCGATCCAATGATCTCACGCTCACATCGCACATTCTTGCCATTCTCTCCATCCATTATGGGGTACTTAGCAACATGGTCGTAGAGAATGGGCCACTCTTTAGGGTCAGGCGAGGGGAACACTTCCGGTTGGTTCATATGGGCGTTGCGGCAGACCTAGAGACTTTTCTCAGTCATCGTTCAAGTTGCAACAATTACCAACCCCTCAAAAGAAGACAGACAATGAACTTACCTGAGCTCTGTGGTCTTCATGGACTGTCAGATCCGAATTATCCCTCAGAAGTACACCGCCAACATAGACTGTGCCATCTTTCCTCGCAAAGGCCGTCGAGTAGTATCCATTAGGGCCACGTCGGATGAAGAGACGATCGTATGTGTCATTCTTGATAACCACTGTCTGCATCCTCATCGAAATCATGTGCTTCTCTTGGACGTCCTTCAGTGTCTGGGCACCGAAGCCGGAAGCGTTGATGAGAACATCGTGTCCCAAGTTCTCGAGGTCTCCCAGTGACTGTACTTTGGTCCGAACAAAGTTGACCCCACGCGCCTTAAGGCGTTCAAACATCCAGACGAGAAATACCTGAGGGGTGAGAACGACAGTCTGATATACCATGCCGTATTTCGCTCCCTGAGGCAGCTCATGAGCCTCAAGAAAGCGAAACCCGGGGACCTTTCCAGCGTACCAAACATCTTCGGGAGACCCTACATCCATGATCTCCTTCATTTCAATTCGTCGTACGCTCGATTCGGGACTGGTAGCCGCTAGGCTCCGAAGTCCCGCAAGACCCTCCAGTTGCATCTGCTGTTCCCTTGGGGTCGACTTATGAACGCCAACCCATGTTGCCGCAGCGTAAGGACTAGCCCATTCTTTCGTGTGATAATCACCGGGGAGGTGTTCGGCGATGATCGTGATGTCGTAATCCCGAGGCAGCTTTGCTGCAGCGGCCATGCCGATGATTCTGTACCATTATCAGTAAGAATAGAGGCACGTTCTGGTGGTCAACATACCCAGCGCCGAGGATGGTGACCTTTGTCATTTTTGATGAAGGCCAGTGGCTTCTAGAGAAAGTTCAGGATGGTGTAACAATCTAAAGCGTCTTGTCCAACTTTTCAACGCTTGATTTGGTAATGCATCATTTGCCTTAGCCGAACAAGAGCAATATATGTGGTAATCGTTCATGTTTATTTTCGGTGCCCAGCTACGATTCAGCGTGCGCACGCTTCAGCGCAACACGCCACTCCACCGAAGCTCTCGCGTCCTTATCGTGACCCGCCAGGCACCACTTGAAGACCCCGCTTCTTGCCTTGCCAAAAGCAGCAAATTGCCGACTCATTGCCTAAGGCAAATTGGGGCTTACCTGAAGATAACCTAATTAGGGAATCTTTTTGGGAGTGGAGAACCCCACCCTTCCCAGTGCCAATAACTACTCGTTGTAGGTCGTTCGAAGGAGTGGTCACTCGATCCAAGGTCTAGGGATTGGTATCCATGGAGATGTTAAATACAGCTCTTGTCAATGAGACGTGAACTATTGATGCTGGAGACTTGTCTCGGGGCACAAAATTACAACCTCTGTAGATACATGGCCTTAATTCACGCCGGCAGGGTTTCGGCATTGCCCTATCCACATATCATAACACCTAAAGTATTCTTTGAGCAGATTCCATGTTCCAAGCTGCTGACAGGCGAGTAATCGGTCCGCTACTTTGTCACTTACGGCAATTACGTAATAAATATCAGGCAGTTCTGGAGCAAGCCGGTCCAGGCGACTGAGGAGGGGCAACATTCGATAAGTAAACTCCACGGGTGAGCACAGTGGTCTACTTAGATTTTAGCGCGAAGAAAGCGGTGATAACGAAGTGGGGCAGGACGTAGTGGCGAGAAGTATGGATGAAACTCTACATCTAATATGGATAGAATGTCAGCTTGGACTGGACCTGTGGACGAATACCTCAGTGACAGATTGAGGCTAAATTGTACTACATCACGAGTCAACAGAGCCTTAGGGGGACCCCGCAGCCCACGACTCCACAGTGTCCCCTCACTCGGTCTCGCGTAACGTCCAAAAGGGGAAATTTATGCTAGTATGATGTATCGTTGGTATCTTCCAGTGTCAGCCAGGCAAACCCTTGGACGTTTTCAACTTATCCGAAAGGGGAAATCATCACCCAACTTGTGTATCTGGACCAGGTAGACATGTGTGAAAGCATCAGTACCGAGGATAGCCTGTGGCGTTGACTGGTTTCAATCAGGCTGACTCTTTGGCTATATCAATGCTTGGGAAGGTCTCAGGACTACTTGATTGTGTTCACAAACCTAAACCTCCCAAAGGGTGATTGGAAAACATTCAAACCCAACTTCTCAAAGCAACTCCATCACTCTGCTTCCATTCCATTTGCAACCATGACTTCGACGGACGCAAAACCCTTGACTGCCCCCATCAAGGCATTGCCGGCTCCGTGGTACACATCTCAAGCGATGTTTGAGTTGGAAAAACGTGCGATCTTCTCAAAGCGTTGGCTCTTCACCACCCACACAAGCCGTGTGCCGAAGCCAGGAAACTGGGTCCTGTACCAGATTACAGACTATAACTACGTTGTAGCCCACGAACGCACGGGTATCAAAGCGTATGTGTGCATTGACAACGGTGAGGCGACATTGAATGGCGCCACAGAGGGACTAGAGGTTAGCCAAATTGACGTATTGTTTGTATCTTCCCAACATATAACTAAACCTTCAACGCTCTAGGGTTTCGACTTTCAAGCACACCTCGGAAAATTCCGCTCTGCCCATGTACACGTTGACCGGCAAGCGTTCGTTTGGGTCAATTTGGACCAAAGTGAGAAGCCGGAGTTCTCATGGGAAAATGACTTTGAGGCTATCGATCGTCAGCCACGGCATGCGGCCTGGTACAAACCACAGTCATATGTTTATGACCACACTTGGGTTATCGAAGCTCATTACAATTGGAAGCTTGCTGCTGACAACTGGAACGAATGCTACCATTGCAAAACCACCCATCCTGACATCCCAGACATGATGGACATCTCATCACACAGCGTGGAGCCTAATCGAGCTTGGATGCTTCACAACTCACCTCCACCGGCGTCGCCTGAAGTGGCTGAAGAGAATAAGAAGAAGGGTATCGGGTTCTTTTCCAGCTACTGTTGGCCCAATGTCTCCATTACCATTGCGTGAGTCTCTCGAAGGCCAAGCTTGTGGAATTGCGCGCTAACAACCTTTTTAGTAAAAACCTAATTTACAACCAGAGGTTCATCCCCGTCAGTCCAAGCAAGACCATCGTCACGTACGAGGTGTTCCGGGTAGACGGTGAGTCTGTGGAAGATTTCAACCATCACCACGTCTTGATCAAGCGCGTAATGGAAGAGGACAAAGCCTTGTGTGTTGCTGCGCAAAACAATATCGAGCGGGGTGTCTTCGTTAATGGCGACCTTCACCCTCGTCTCGAAATAGGGTCTCTCTATTTCCAGCAGCTCACGCGTGAGGCAGTCATAGAGCATGTGGAGATTGAGGACAAGGTGGCGCATGAGATTTGGCCGGCTGGAAGAGCGACTCACAACTTCAAGATGGTTTCTGGCGCCGCCTCGCGGGATCGCCTCGCAGCGCCTTCCACTCAGGCTTTGCCTCAAGTGACCAGTTAAAGCCGCCATCCGTCTTGCGTGGTTCCTTGTTGTACGACGTCTCAACGCATCTGCCTTGTTTAAGTTTTGGTGCGATATATCCTGTGAGATTGGTATCTAGATATTCAAATCACAAAGTTGTTCTAGCCACTTTACATCGCCCGGGATCAAATAGTGTTCCTCGCCCCTTTCGGTGTTTGGACAGTCAAAATGATGCGGCTACTACAAGGCCTGAATATTTTAAATATGAATGAGATCGATGTCGAAGATAGTATTCAATACCTCGTCCCTGAAAGCCTGTCAGGGCAGTTTTCAGTACGATTTCTTAGCTTGAATAGCCTGAACACTGGGGACTGTTCTTGATTGTAAAGCTTGTTTCACTTCGTGTTGAGCTATGTAAGGGGTGGATTTGAATTTGAGGTAGTCAGGCTACGATAACATTATGATCTTAGACACCCACCAAGCAACGCATCCAGTCGCCCTGTCTACAGTTTGTCACTTTGTATTTCCAAGAAATAGGAGTCTAATTGATGATCAGAAGGCAAACACTTGATCCTCCGATTTGCTGACAGGAGATGCTCTATCAAAACCCAGAGCCTCAGTTATCTTCTTCAGGCTGCCGACCATAGGAGGCGGTCCACAAAGTAGAATTCGTACATCCTTTGCAGGTTTTGGAAGCCACTTCTAGAAAGTTATTTGAATTAGCTCACTGGAGTAATGGCAAGTGATTTAAACTAGGCAGATAACTCACGGCAATCATCTCCCCTGTCACGTATCCGGTGCCTCCACTCCATCCTGGCGGAGGCTTATCAAGCACATAATGGACTCTGAAACCATCGTCCATCTTTGCTAGCTCATCTAGACGACCCTTCAGAAGGATGTCCTCGGCAGCAACGTTCGCAAAAACGAGATCGATTTGAGTTTTGTCGCCAAGCTGACGACCCTGATGAACAGCCTCTATTATCTGAAGCATCGGGGTGATTCCTGTACCACCTGCAACCATTCCAAAATGACGGACCATGTTGGTCCTGTACTGAAATGCACCTTTTGGGCCTCGTATACGAATACTGTCACCTAGGTTTAGAAGTCCTATATGCTTCGAGATGTTGCCGGTCGGATATGACTTGATCAGCAAGCGAAAGGATCCAGGCTCATCATCTGAGAGAGGAGTATACGATCGAACGAATTCCTTCAAAGTGCCGTCTGTCTGCGGTAGCTCAGCCCCAATAGAGACATGTTGCCCAATGGGTAAGCCCAGCGTAACATCTGGTAACGGCAATTTGAATCGATAACTTTGTCGAACGGACGTTAGCATGTGAGACGAAAAGTCATGAACCGGAGAATAGTACATTGAGACGTTATGCGAGATGGCTGTTTTTTCAATAAGCTCGGTCTCCCGGAATGCCGTTGGTACTAAAAACGGCTGCGAGGTCCTTGTTGAAGGTTTGATCGCGCCGACCACGACCTCTTTAACCTTCACTGTGACATTATTTGCGGCCTCTTTGACTTTCAGCGCAATGTTTGTTGCCTTTGTACTCTCTCCAATTTGGGACATCGGTGCAGCATCTGCACTTGTCAGCAGTTGGCCGATTAGCATGTCGCCTAGAATTTCATCTGCCTCTTCGGAATGGCCAGCATCATCATAAGCCTCTGTCGCATCTCTTCCTGCAAGATCCAGTAGCAATTCCTCGCCACCACTTGGAACAGGATCACAGGTTAGCAGATTAAGACAGCGAGGGGAGTGCCCATGAGTACGTACGGATGCTCCTCTAGAAACCCAGACGCATCATAGATCTTGCCGCGAATTGTGAGGTACAGATCAGTTCTGGTGTTGTGAAACAGAACCTGCGCTGGTGTCAAGTCCTGTGCCATTGTCTGCCCGGTGGAGGGGAATTGCGCCTTAGACGTGTAAATAAACGAAGCTGAAGTGAGAGCAGGTAAACTTAGATTTTGGATTGAACCATAAGGAATAGTAAGCAGGGAGCAGACGGACGAGCAACATGCCAAACCCCCTACTTGCGTATGGCGAGAATGGGCCGCGACGAGAAGTGGATATGGACAGGGCCTGTAGTCTGGTAGATGTCTTGACATGTGGAGTGACCAATGCCTTATCAAGAAGGGATGGATTCTTTCTCGGAGCCTACAGACGACTCGGCTAGCCGCCAGAAACGTATTTGTGAAGATACATAGATTCCTTTGACACCGACATTTCGCCGTGCCTGAGAGATATGCTGTTTGTGGGGTTGCGGGCAGCGATTCGGATCGACAAATGTACTCACCAACCTGATCAATACAGCCAGAGCTTGTGGCTCGCCTCTTCAATCGCGAGCCATCCCAGTTTGTCATGGATAGGCTTGTCGCCACCATGAGTCACGCGCATCTTGCTAGTCGGCACCTTATCGTTGCTGAGGCGGGTCCGACGACTCCAGTCTATATTCCACAACGAGAAAACGGGTCACAAGTCTCACATTAGCGTCGGAGGTCGAGACTCGGACGAAGGTGACAATGTTCCAGTAAGTTCTGTTTCGCTCACTCTCCCCCGCAGCGTATATTCTGTATGCAGTACATAGATCATGGATCTAAGGGATTAGCCTAGGCCATTGCCCCGCACAAACCCTGTACTTTTGATGGTGTAGCACGCTGTATCATATCATGTGAATCGTGATACTGACTATCGGTGCATCGTTGTATCCTCTCGTGAAAGGGCTCAAATAGGAAACATTTGATTGGCTCCACCCTGAGGGGTGTGTGCACAGTTCGTGCTGCATGCATCTAAGCCCCAATAACTATCACTACTAGGTCACGATTTGGTCAACAGGTAGTGGAACCCTTTTGACGGCAGCATTTGGGCACTTCGCTTATCTCTTTGACCTCCCTTCGACCTTCCTCGACCTTCACGTACACAGACATCTACGCTCCTCTACTCCTCTCTCTCTGTTTTCCAAGTACATCCGTCATTTTCCAGAGATCTCAGCAATGGCGACACGAAACCTGCATCCTGTCGCTTCTCCTTCTCAAGCATCCCCTGTCAGTCTAGAAGATGTTCCAAGCTCCTCATGGCTTACATCCCAAAGCATCTATGACGTCGAAAGGCGCGGTATATTTTCTCGGGAATGGTTGATGATTAGCCACAAATCTCGGTTTAATGAAGTCGGCCGATGGGCGCAATTTGACCTTGCAGGCTATCCTATCCTGATCGTGCGAGATCGCACTGGAAGTATTAACGCATTTCACAATGTCTGTAGACATCGTGCTTACAATGTCGTGGATGGCGACCAGGGCAAGGCAAGCATACTTTCTTGCAAATACCACGGGTGGTCGTACGGTCTCAATGGAAAGCTTGCGAAAGCCCCTGGCTACCAAGAGTTGCCTGAATTCCAGAAGGAGAAGAACGGTCTCTTTGCGGTGCATGTGAGACTGGACTCTATGGGATTCGTTTGGGTTAATATGGATGGGCAAGACGTGCCAGAAGTCGCGTGGAAGGACGAACCTCAGAGCTTGTACCCGATTTCACCGCCTTCTGACGTTGATTGCAGTGACCTTCAGTATGAGTATAGTCTGCAAGCATCTTCGGCATGCAATTGGAAACTAGCAATGGATGTGTCAAAGTCAATCGCCCAGACACTAGGGCATGGAAAACAAATCGGCCTCAGTGAGGGCTTCCCAAACAGCTGTCTCATAACACTGTAAGTCCGATCTGATTAACTAGATTAATACAAGAGGCTCACTTATCATAGACCAGGTTTCGTGATTATTCGCAAAACCATACCCCTCAGCGTAAAGAAGACCTCGATTTGGTACGATGTTTTCAAAAGTAGCCGAGCGGGACCGGAAGCTTCCAAGTTGGTTGACGAGATACTGGAGAAAGCTTTGGAGATGGACAAGAAAATCGCTGTCACACTGTCAAACAGCGAGCATAACATCTCTTCCAAGGGAAATCTCTGGGATAGAGTACGAAGAGCTACCGTCTCTCATTATGAGCGCGAGCAAGCTCAGGGAGAAGAGATTTGGCCAACACACAAATCAGCATCCAGTAATGATCAAGGGAGTCAAGATGATATATTGTTCTGTGCGAGATTGCAAAGTTGCGGGAAGATGGGGCCATTGAAGGATATTGAGGCTTTGTACTAGATATCCATGAAAGTTCAAGAAATGGACTATTCGATTCAATCCGCTGCGCATGTGGCCAGGAATGCTTGGTCATAAGCCCGGAGGAGACGTAGCTTGAATGTTAAAACAAAGAAGATATCAGACCCAACAAACTCAATACAATCAATACGAAAGGTTAATAAAGGAAGCTTTACTAGCTTAAGGCTGTAGTTATACAGCAGAAAATTCTCTAAATCTTCATACCGATGACTTACTTGCCGTCAGGACGAGCTGCGCGTTAAATAACTATTAAAGCTGCCCTCGTTACCCGGCTTCTTATCTTACACCAATCCAAACACTTCAATACACCAAGCACAAGTCTTTTCAGCAACCAACCCAGTGAGTACCAGTAGCCCCTTAGCCAGAGCACTAACACTAACACACCCGCAGCCATCACTATATCCAACAGTCAGGATACACCATAACAAAGAACGATATCGCAGTACCTTCTCTTAAAGGCAACAAGACAGCCATAAGAGATTGCTTCAGTCACATAATTTTAGAAAACAACCAAGGTGTTAAATCACTAGCAAGACACGATTGATGATAGATCAGATCACAGTAGATATATTTGATTATCAGTGTTCCACATACATGGATTTGAACAGCTCCATAACCGCTTCCACCTTTCGGAGCTCTTGTATGTGGCACCTCACTTGAGTGATGACGGCACTCGCTCACGCGGGGTTGGCCGAAACGGCGGCGCGAACTTCCCGCACATTTTGTCTCAGGCCCACAGCCTGGGCCATTTCCGTCCAGAACCCAATGGGCGGAGAGATGAAGGAAGCTTCATACTCGTCGATAGTCGGGCGTTCCCAGACCAGGTCAGCTTCTTCTGGCTTAACAAGCTTAGTTCGCTTATGAAGCTTCCAGAAGACGAACAAGAGGATATCAAGGATAACCATGGCATAGTATATAAAGAAACTCTGGACGTCCCAAGGAGTGAAGCTGGTGTACCCATAGCAGATAAGAATAACAGTTTCGGCAATCAGAGCCACCCAGGCACCGTAGGGCTGGAACCAACCAACATAGGGAAAGGTCTTGCGATCCACGCCTTGAACAGTTATGGCTTGATAAAAGAACAGGTAAGTGACACACATAATAATATAGTCAACCAACACTGCCCCAGTGATCAGATTAATGAGCCAGTTCAAAGCGATGGCAGTTCCGTCAGAAAGGGACAGGAAGGAGAGAAAAGGGAATAACATTGTCACAACGAAGCACCAGAGCGGAACACCTTTTGCGGTGCAGTAGGTGAGGAATTTCGGCGCCCTGCCCTCCAGGGCCAAGCCATAGAGTGTGCGTGATGCACAGTAAGCGTATGTGTTCCCTGCTGAAAAGATGCTGGTGATAAGGAGTGCGTCTAATAGGGCGTTAGTCGGCAAAGTCTGTAGTGCGTACGCTACCATGTTTGACTCACTGACAAGATGCGGCAAGGCATCAACTCCCATATTGCGCATGGCAATGACATATGGAGACCCTGCGCCGGTACTGCTGTCGCTTGATGTGCCTTTGACAATAGCGACAATAGCAGGGTCACTGGAGGCAACGACGATACCGACAAAAATAGCGCTGCCGATGTAAAAAGTGATGAATCTCCAGTAGACCGTTTTAAAGGCATTCTTGAGGTAAATGCGGGGGCGTTTGGCCTCCGCAGCCACGGTAGCGATGAACTCAGGACCGGCGACACACTGCATTCAGAGATTAGCGTGGCTAATTCTTGACATCCACCGTCATTGTCACCACGGAGAGTAATTGCTCACAAATACGGCCATCCACACAGCTGCGAGGAATCCTTCAAACTTCCCCAATGCCCCGGTATGCATGAATTCGTTAAAAGGACCAGGCTCTCCCCAGTGTCGAAAGCCATAAGCGTCGTGCTGAGGGTTACCGCCACACATTGTTACAAAGGTAAAGCAGTACAGCATGATGAGCAGGATAACTTTTCCATTCGAGAGCCAAAACTCGATTTCTCCAAAGACCGAGACTGCGACAACGTTGATAATACTTATTCACATATTAGCTGGGTATGAATTGACAGGATCTTAATGGGCACACTCACGCATAAAGTGCGATGCAAGCGCAGATAACTGCGACCTCTGGTATGTCGTCTCTCCAAAAGCTGAGAATATAGCAGATGGCAGTGATCTCGAATGGGATGCAAATAGCTTCGTATAAGAAGAAGTTCCACCCAGCCATGAAGCCGAGGGACTCATCAACCCATTTACCAGCCATACGAATAAAACCTCCGCTGACCGGGTGCAAGACGGTCATTTCAGCGATGCAGTTGTTCACAAGGCTCACAATACCGCACACCATCATGAAGCCTAGCAATAAGCCAAGAGGGCCTGCCTTCCCTAAAGCACCTCCAATGGAGACAAATAAAGCTGTTCCCACGGATCCGCCGATTGCGATAAGTTGAATATGGCGGTTCCCAAGGCGGCGTTGGAGACCATCGGCATTATCGAGAACGGCAGTTTCCTGAATGATATTGCCACTCATGATGCTGCCAACGACATCATCCTTGCCTGACCTAGAAAGGTCTTGAGACTTAGGAGAGGTCATGATGTAGCGCGCGAATACGTCACTATGCTTTGCGTGCACAGTCGTCGGCCAAGGGGGAAAGTGAGTTGAGATATAGAAAACAATGTGCTTCCATGTGTGAGTGATGAAGGCTGTTGGGGGATTTCATCGGAGACAGAAGGCTTCTTCAACCCAGACTTTATGTGATACTTGGTGCTCAGCACTGAGCGTATGTGTCTCTACTACGGAACCCCTTTTGAAGCCGACGAAACCGACTTGTTTGTGCCACTATCTCTCAGCGGAAAGCCTAGTCCGCCATTTGATTAGCAAACACTCCACCCCCGCGATATCCAGATATCGTACAATACGGCGCCAGTGGGGATCCCTGTTCAAGCTAGCTTCCAGATAACAACGAGTTCTAGCTTATGTAGGATTGGTGTGTCGTCATGCGAGACTTGTGTGGGTCCTGAGGTCCAATGGAGATACCCAAAATGTCGGGATGCGCATCGCCTATTGTCCCAAAGAGTAAACTCTCACTAAGCCGAGACTTATGCGACCCTGTGATTATTTACGCTGCCTAGCCTCCAGCCTTTTCGGCCCTCAAGCGAGGCCTAGCGGCCCTGTCACCTGTCCAGGGTTCTAGCACATGTAGGAGGATGCCTTGAGCAATCGTTACTTTGCCTGCCCCCAGACCTTTATTTGCATAGTCATAATGGCTGGGTTCAATGTGTCAGCGGTGTCGCTACTGGCTGCAAGTTCGACCCTAGAACATGAAGTCTAACCTTACGCCCGCGCATCTTACACCAGTGACATTCACGACTCATGAGCAAAATTATATTTGGCTTTTCTGCAGACTCTAGCGAACTATGACTTGATTCTTTCCTTGTCGTTTTGAATAAAAGCCGAGAGCGGCTCAAAGTTTATCGCATTCTCCAGATTCATTATCCAATCCACCAGCGTTTGTGCATCCGACGACCCGACTGTGACGAGGAACTTGTCCACAACCTTGGCGCGATCGTATCGAGTAGACGGATCCCACGGATCGCCATCAGAGAAGCTTGTCTTCTCAGTGAAGACCTGACCTTGTTTGGTTCTCAAGCTCACTGCACCAGGCAGAGTACGTACTTCGTTTCGGACCATGTCCTTGGCAAAATGTTCCGAACCTTGCATCCGTTCGACACGAACACGCTTTCTAAGGTTCAGAGCAGTCTCTGACTCTACGATCTCAGGATCAAACCACTTGTGGCCTGGTGGAATCTTCATCAACATGGCTGTGGCAGCGCATGAATAGCTGAATGAATAGCCACAGAAAGTGGTAGGTGCAGGGTTGCGGAATAGTAAACCATCTGCAACAGGGTTGGTGAACATTACCACTTCCTCCACGTCCTCAAGCTTGGGATGATGTTTCTCCAGGAGCCTTCGAAAAGCTGTCTGCGGACCCTGAATCCATCGACAAGTTGGCCATGGCTTGAATGTTACATCGGCCATGTACCACAGCTTACCCAAGTCCTCCGTTAGAGACTCTTTGCGTGCCATCTCGGAACCACAAGCTTCTGCGATTCCCACGTCGCCATCAAAGATGTTGGCGAATCCGGTCAACCCCTCCATGGCCGAGAGAACGCCATGCATGCCAGTAATAGAACACCAACCAGCGTCATCATACTTGCAGTCGGCTACTTCAAGATCGTCTGACCATCGATTGCCAATTGGCAAAGGAATATTTGAAACCGCGATGGCGAGAGCATGACTTATCATTGAAGTATCCGCGTTGGTAGGGTTCAGCGTTTTCATAAAGGCTACGCAGGAGCCAACAACAACGGGTGCTGCGACACCCCAGACTTTGGCGTAATCCTGGATTTTCCCATCTCGTACCCTGACGATAGGACCAATTGCAGTGGCAAGTCTAGAAGCAACTTCATATCCTGCGACGACCCCGAGGATCAAGTCACTACCACTGCAACTCTGCCCTTCGTTGATCCTCGTCTCGAGTGCAGCGATGGCTGAACAGACCACTCCAATGCCATGATGGCAGCCGATCGGCCATGTTTCATCAAGATCCAGGATGTTGGCAAGTCTGCTGTTGACATAAAGAGCCTGGGACGAACCAACAGCGCCAGCCTTTCCAGCGCATGATGCTTGGCCTGGACCACCGAAGACTGAGGAGACAGCTTTGATCTTGGGTGCCAGAGATGTAAGGGAGCCACCCCTGAGGCAACCCAGGACGTCTAGTATGACCAACAGTGCCGTTTCTCGAATACTGGATGGGACATCGGCCAGAGTGAGTCTTGCAATGAATTCGGTGATTTGAGACGTGACTGGACCATTGGTTGAGTCCATGGCGTAAGGCCGTACTTGTTTTCTTCTCTTCGCTAACCGCAAAGAGGTCGAAGCTGGTGAATCGAATTCTATTCTCACGTAGAATAGAATAATGGCAAAAGTGTCGAAAGAAGAATATAAGCAGTGACAGAACGGAGACGTCGGAAACGAGACAGCTGTTGAACGGTTTGTTTTGCAATTACAGTATCGTTAGCGAGTGTCAATGGGTTGACTTTGAGGGGAAACTCTGGCTTAGATAAAGTCAATTTACCTAGCATTTAGTCGCACCTTGTCAAACTTCCGAAGTCGGGACTAGATGGAAGTGTGGAATTTCAGTTGCCCCTCCTCTTAACCTCCACAATGTGTAGCTTTGCTGTCCATTTACCCGATTTGGCTGCGACGCGAGTCCGTGGGTGCACACTAAACGCTTTCCAACCATGCACACTACCTGCCACTTTGCTACTCCGAGCTACGGGGCAAATTCGGAGATACTCAGGGATTTTCAGATTAGAGAAGCAAAGTACTTTCACTTTCGGATACCCAAAAGCCAAAGCTCGTCAAATCAACCCTGTGAAGCCGAAGGTTAGACTGAAACACCACAAACTGCTCAAAACGAATTTTCGAAAACGCGTGAAATTATAGTTTGCTCGTAGTATACTTGCCTCTTCTTAGACAATCGCAGCCAATTGACATGTAAAAACACGCTAATGAGCAGTGATAGCTCCCAAATAACCACGGGTAAACAATGGTCCAGACACATCAACAAGCATGCCACATACCTTAAAGAAGCTTGCCATCAATTGCAGGACATAGATAGAGGTAGGCATAGCCAGGTGCGATGGAATCTAGTATAGTCATACATCACATCCACCATAAGTTTCGCTAGCAAGGTCCTCCAACAGCTTACGTTGACCGAGAATGCCTCAGCTGGGCCTCCTGTATTCCCCCTGACCCATTGCAACAGAATTTACAGGAAGCGGACACATGGTTGGACAGCTTAAACAACGAAGGCAATGGTATTGAGCCCGAGACGGTGGAGGACAATATACCGGATCGCAGAACATCACCACCAACCTCCATGGCGGCCGATCCTCGCACTACAGGTGGTCTGGAAGGGGAGTAGCTGCTAATCAGCGGGATCTTGCCCCGCAGCTCTAGAAAGATCAATAGATTTAGCAACATACTAGACAGATTACGAGAAGACTATCACACATTGCTAGGCACAGCAAGTTCTTCAGACTGATCCAGTAACTGGACAGAGGTTAATAGATCTATTTTACAAGAACTTGCAAACATATCATGTATCATTCTTTTTACGATGTTGGCAATATCTAACAGGCTCACAATGCTCAGCAGACTATATTAACTATATAGCTAAGATGCGTGGTAACTTGGGAAGCCCTGGGAAATTTCATGTTTTGACCAATCCCGGTATTTATTCAATCCTCCAAAGTAGAATTTCGTGCTTGCCTTCCGCCCCTTGACGTTAGCACCGAAGATCCAGCTAGCCGTACCCTTGAAGAGTGACCCTTCAACCAACTTATCACATAACGAATTCCAACCTTTCTCAGCCTCCTCGGACACTTCCATGCTCTCCGCGCTTTCTAGCTTCTCGGTATGCTCGATGCAAGCTGCTAGAAACTCGATTTCGCTTTCGATAACCACTGGGAAGTTGGCGAACGCGCCTTGCGGACCAGAAACGAGGAACATATTGGGGAATCCTGCACATGAGACTGCTCCATAAGCTGTGGGACCTTCATGCCAATGGTCCTGGAGAGATTTGTTTCCGCGGCCAGTGATATTTACACGCAAATAGTTGCCTTCAATAGCATCAAACCCAGTGGCAAAGATCAAGACATCGAAGTGATGAAGTGTTCCATCGGCTGTCTGGACACCTTCCGGGGCTATTCGCTCGATGCTTGTTTTCCTTAGGTCAACAATGTCCACATTATCTCGGTTAAAGGTCTGATAGTAGCCGGTATCACAAAGCGGACGTCGTGCGTAAGGTTCGTTTGGCTTCAATGCTGCAGCTTTGCGCGGGTCTTCGACAATCTCATCAATCTTGCCACGAATAAACTTACAAGCCTCTTCATTGGCAACAGGATTAGTCGTCAAGTCTCCGAACGCACTAAACATAAATCGAAACCCGTTGCCCTGCTTCCAAACAGTCTCGAAAGCCTCTTGTCGCTCTTCGGGGCTGGCTTGCATCGTCTCCCTAGAGACCTCGGGAACACCAAACGCAGTTGAAGATGACCACACTCGTTGCCAGATATTGTCATAGTCGGCATTGATTCCTTTGCGATAGCCTTCTGGAATAAGTCCTTGCCCGCTTGGAACAGAGTATTGTGGATGTCGTTGAAAAGATACCAGTTTGTGGACTTTCGGTGCGATGGCTGTAATTACTTGAACACCTGTCGATCCGTTACCGATGATGCCCACTGTCTTGCCATTGAGATTAAGTTGGTGATCCCATTTGGCAGTATGGACGAGGGTTCCGGTAAACGAGTCAATCCCAGAGATATCGGGGTAATTTGGCTTTGACAAGAGCCCCAAACAGTTGACAAGATACCGAGCACGGAAAGTTAGCCCGGCTGAACAAGATACTGTCCACCTTTTGGACTCGTCGTCCCATTTTGCTGCCTGCATTTCTGTTTCGAAGCGCATATGTTTTCTAAGGTCGTACTTTGCAACCACGTGCCGGAGATACTCGAGGATCTCGGGCTGGTAGAGATAATGGCGCGGCCAGGGATAGGTTTGAAGATCTTCTTTGTCCCACGAATAACGGTAAAGGTATGACTCCGTGTCGCTCATAGCTCCTGGGTAGGTGTTCCAATACCATGTGCCGCCAACATCACTGGCGCAGTCGATGCATTGAACCTTCAGTCCAAGTCGAGTAAGACGATACGTCGAGTAGATACCGGCCATGCCGGCACCTACGACAAGAGCTTCAATGTCAACGGGCGTTGTCATTTTGAAGGTTGGTTACACTAGCTGCGAACAAGATGGAGTGAAGCCTAGAAAACCTTTTCGTCTCAATTAAAAGGAAGAGCGGATGGAATGCCAATAACTTTCTAGCCCGTACACTCGAATAGAGTAGACGCTCGCATCTCAAGATGTTTCCACGTGAAGACAATTATAGCAGCGAACAGTGCTGAAGATCCACTATTGGGTGGGTAGCTTGGTGTACATATTCTGTTACTTGATCAAGTATTACTGTATTCGCTCAATTGGCGAGGGGTCAAGATTAGACCCCGTGCACCACTCCTGTGTCTTCTAAAGATCTCAGCCGAGAATATTAGATAATTCGAGGCGGCCATGAAGAAGCTAGTGCACCATCTAGCACAGAGGTTTCGTCATCTCTATACTAATGTAACGCCCGCGCTTTGTGGCATATCTTGATTCTGACATCTGGACGGGGGTTAAACAAAGTGGAGCTGGGCACCCTCGCTTTTCAGCCAAAATAGGCAGTCTTGTGGAGCTCTCCCATGGACCTACCTCGATGGGAATTGTTATTTGCACTGTGCTAAAGTATTATTGTGCTATCTTTTTATATTAGAGTAATCTGATTATTTAATCCTTAGTATATATAACAGTTAGGTAACTTATACTAGGTAGAGATCTAGGGTAAGTTAGAATTAAACTAATCAGAGTATTATTCTAAGTAGTATAATTAAATTATTATAAGCTATATATATAATAGTTAAATAACTTATACTAGATAGTAGTCTAGGGTAGATTAAAATTAAACTAATTAGAGTATTATTCTAAGTAGTTAATTAGATTATAATAGGCTAGATTATATAAGTTTATATTAATATATAAATATTATAGAACTAGTAGTAATAGATATATAGATAATATTATTAATAACTATTAAGAAAGTATTTTAACTAATAAAATAAAAATATATATATACTAGAGTATTTACTAATAACTTTATAAGAATCTTTTTTTAAGATTTTACTTTATTAAAGTAAAGTCTGCTTCTATTAGATATATAAGTAGATATATATATCTACCTTATATATAACTTCCTACAGCCTAATAAAGGTTTTATTTATAATATAAGATTATTTTTATTTATATAATATTAATAATTAGTACTTATTAAAATAATAGATATCCTTTTATAGAACTACTAATATAGTAATAATATTCTTTAGAATTAGCTTAATTTTCAGGCTTACTTTCAATATATTATATATAAGTAAAAGATTTTATCTTAAGTATTAGAAAAAGGTGATCTAAACTTGAATACTTCTTAAATATAGAGAAAGTCAGCCGTGCTAAATATTCCAGGCTATAATAGAATAGTTGATAGGGTAGTATAGACGTAGTTCTGACAAGACGCTGAGCAAGCTTCATATAGTAAAATCTCTGGACCGATTTTTTGCATTTGGCCAGGCTCGTCTGTGCACGCTAGGATCGCTATGGAGAACCTACTATGGGAAGATTTTCCGATATGTGCGGACGTCTGCGACTAGAACTCACAATTTTAATTGGGCTGGGAGTAGACTCACCTTGGCCTAGGTAGGAACGACGCGAAAAGACGGCGGAGTACCTGGGCGAGATTGATGTGCCCCCCATCATCACCCAGGTTCCCAGACGTCCGGATAATGTCTAGAACAACAAAGACAGGGTCTATATCGATGGGCTCGATGGACTTGATGACGCGGCTGTGGCTCACGTAGCCGAGAGCGTTTCGACAATGCCATCCTAATGAAATAATGCCGGAGGGACAATCGTGAAGATAAGAGGACCTTGAATGGTACACAGTCGACCATAGAGTGGACCTTACGTAAACAAACTACGTAGATGCCCCTTTACATCTGGTTCTCAAATTCGCTTAACGAGTCGGTCACCCTGAAGGAAGGTTTAGATATGATCCTGTAAGCCACATTTCCGCCATAGCTTGTCAAAAACCTTTTGGTAACTCGCAGGCGGCATAATGCAATACAAGGCCTCTCTTCTGCCTAGTGTCGAGCCTCCCCCCGTTCGCCTTCGCCCCCCACTTTGGACCTGTATGGAGCTTAGCACCTATTCCTTTGGATACATACTGCAAGGTCATCGTATGAGCCAATGCATGACTCCCAGTCTCCATACTATTAGGATGCGCATCGTCTTAGTGCTGCTTGTGTGTGGCGTGTGGGGAAGAGAAGCATTAGCCTACGATGCCGCGCGAAGAAACTTCCTAATCAGGTTGATTTGCGATCTCAACCCATCCTGCCATGTTCACCGCATAACCGAGGGTCTTCACTCCACCTCAACTTTCGACCCATATGCAAAGCAGTGACTTATCATACTTATCTGTCGACACCTGTCTTGCCAGCATCGTTCAAGCTCTGGCCCCAATGCCTTCTGCCCTTCGATTCATCATTATCTTAGAGTCCCTGTATCACTAAAACTTTCTATACACCTTCACTCTCATCAACGAGCGGTCGGATCTACTTTATCATGCCTCCTTCATTACCGAACACCACGGGCTCTGCTTCCCCTGCCGATACGCCCTATGGTACTTGGGATTCTTTCCCCTGGGAACCTTTCCCAGAGTACGCCGGGTCCAAATCTGTTCTCTTCCGCTCGGCCGACGGCAAGATCATGGCTGGCGCCGCCAAGGAGTCTGGCACGGCCACGCTGACATACCCGTGCGACGAGTTCTTCTACGTGACGGAGGGTTGGATTAAGCTGTCCATCCACGGAGGAGACACCTTTACGATGAATAAGGGCCAGTTCATTTATTTGAAGAAGGGAACGACGGTCGACTTTGAGTTTGGACCCGACTTTGCCAACGTCGCCGTCTTCATTGACAACGAACCTATCACACTGATTTGATTGGAAGCTCGCTTCGGGATCTAATCTTTTCTTGGCGTATGATCGAAATATGAAGCATGTCGAAGATGGTCTGACATCTTTTGGTGGTGTGATGGAATTTAAACATTTGACGAGCAGGAGCTAGGGTTAGAAGCTTTATCAATTGTTCTCCAGAGTCTTTTCATTGACCTAGCTTTCTGTCTTGACATTCGGGTGCTTGCTCTGCTCAAGACGTAATTGTGTAAAAGGGGTAGTCTAGCTGAACCAAGTTCTCCTAAGTCGACCCCGGATTGAACAGACTTCATTACAAGCTATATTACCCCAGCATCAAGTGCCATCCCTTTGATCTCATGACCTTGAGCCATGATGTCGCACCGCCTAAGTCTCGAATGGCCCAGACTTCTTGGAGCAGGTCTAAGGCGGTTAAGTTGGCCGTCATGTGGTTAAATGAGTATAAGGCCCGGAACCTCTTGGTGACAAGCTTACGCTCCTCAACATCTGCTGCCAAGAGCTCGGATCCAGCTGTGAGAAGAGGTATGCCGTGTAAGTTAATGCTTGGATGGGATTCAGGTACTTGCGTCAACGCGTGGACTGCTTGGATGGCCAGCTTGCGAATTGTGCTTTGTAAGTCATCATCGGAAATGGTCTCCGTGGACGTGTCGCAGTCGCCATCGCTCAATAGGCTTTCAGAGCTGCTGTGATGCTCATCAGAGGGTAACATTAGGGGTTGATAGTCGCCTAGTGGGAGGTAATCTAGCCACTTAAGAGTTTGCTTTGCCATGTCCTCGTCAAAGGCGTTGTAGAAACCCTTTTCCAAAAAAGCTAGGCCTGTCTCATCTAGCTCCCAAGAGTCTGATGGCTCCCTTGCAGGCAGGTCTGCCATTGATTGTTCTTCTGTCGAATGTGATGGAGCGGCTTCTGGGCTCGCCGTCGAAACTCGCCCCCTCCGATAAATCGCGTAGATGTTGATCAAGCCATGGCAACGATATGCCTCTTCAAGAAGACCAAGCTCCGCACTGATTTGGGTTGGCTTGATGGATCTGAGTTGGTTCTCTAATTCTTCTTCGAGAGAGGTATCTCTTTGCTCAGTATCCTCTACGGTTCTGCAGTATCGTCCGACTTTAGCCAGTACGTACGTTATTTCTGCCGAATAACCCAGTATAGGATGGTACATGCGCGCGAGAGCTTCCACGGCAAATGAGAAGTCGGAGCCGTCTATTGCCTTTAGATCAGCCGGCGCAATTACAAAGGAACAAGCCATGTCCCAGTAGAGATAAGCCCCAAACGCAAATAACATCTGAGGGCTGAATTGAGGAACTGGGATGGCTAGCATTGTATCGATGAGTGCACGGCCACCTTGCAGATGCGCCTGTGCATGATGAAGTAATACAGGGTCGTCGGCAGGTAGCGCGATCCAGTATGATGACAGCCCCAGGACAAAAACTGTGAGGAATGCGAGCGAAGGGTCATTTGTCTGTGTGTCCAGCTCCTTCCGAACGTGTTGAATTGATAAGAGACGTTCCTCAAAACACCTCCGTAATTTTCCCGGTTCAAAGAAATACTGATGTCCTGCGCTGATACTTTGTAGAGCATGGATAAGCGAAGGAGATTGATTGTAGTATTTGAGTACCGGGAAAGACAGTGGGTTGTTCTCTGGATCGAGGGCCATGATATAACTGGCACTCTCCACCCAGTATCGTAGTAGCTCCCCACCGGTCTGTTGACTCGGAGCGATGCGTTCCAGCGAGCGGATGTTAGGTACAAGCCATGGCATCTCGGACTGCCATGATCTTTTGCGCGAGGGGCTCTCGCAAAAATCGCCCCTCCGCTGGCAGCGCAGGCAAACGGGAAATGTCTCGTCACATTTCACTCGCCTGGCCTTGCATGTCCGGCATCCGAGTCGACTACGCCCCTTGTTCTCTCTGCCCTGTTCTGAGGCAGGAGTTGACTGATTGATTGGGAATTTGCCCTCAAAAGACTTGGCGGAGTCGCGTGTCCTGGCGCCTTCGAAAGTGACCGGGGAAAATCGTACTTTGAATCTAGAGGTGCCGCATAGGGGCGTGCGCCGGGAAAGCTTGGGGTCGAGATTGGTATTAGAGTCCATCGCTTTTTCTCGGTCAGTTTTGCCTCTATAGCGTTAAAAGATGGAATGAACTCGATATTGAATCAAAGTCAACATGGAATGTGACTTATGAGGGTCAGTGTGCAAGGAGGTGAGATTGAAGGCCGGGAGAGGAGTTGTGGTCCTATATTTCGACCCCAGTAATCGGACCCCAGTAATCGGACCCCAGTAATCGGACCCCAGTCTGGGTACCATCGTGCAGGTAGCCATCCATAACCGAGCCGCGACCCATCCCTGGACGGCTGATGAGATCATTTTGGTAAGCTACAACGAACTACTGTGTCCCGAAGTCTGCTGGACCTAATCAGATAGCACTAGTCAAGTCCAGGCATTGGGGCCAAGAACCCGTACGTAGGGAAATCATCATTCAGCAACTCTTCAGCGTAGAGGTCAGTCCTGGGGAGTGGGGAGTGGAGAAAGGGGCGGCGGGTTTGCTCAGGTGAGTGACCCCGCATCTTGTTGGTTGCTTCTAATTCCGAGGCGTCTCGGTTCTTATCAAATCACTTAAGAGACTAAAAAGGCGCCGTCGCACTACATGAGTCAAGCGATACACATCCATGCTACCGTAATCGTGGGGCCGACGGCACACCGAGCACTAGCCGATAACCCGAGATAGCGAACTTTCTCCTCTTGTTTCTTATCCGATAGCTTGATCACAATCTCTAGGCCTGTATCCCGATATGTCCTGCTATGGATGATGCAGCACTCTATCTGCGAAAAGATGCCGCGGCTGGTAGGACGACAAGACCTCACCGTTCAAGCTCTCACTGAACACGAGAGAATTGTATTTCCACTTTGTGCCCTTTGGGTCCAGCGAGGTATGCATCCATGAGTTCCATACTCCCGACACTATGCACTGAGCTTGTATAGTTGGTGTAGATACTTCCGACGTTGTGTTTCATTGCTTTAGACAAATGTTCTGTCAGCTTATCTTTCCTGGGCAGCAATGCATGCTTCACAAAATCAATAACCAACTTACAGAACCACGCAAAGTTACTCCCGATGCACATCCTACCCCCGCTACCGAAGGCCCAGAACCACCGTCGCATATTGCTCAACTCTGCTGGCGAAGCATTGACCCACCGGTCGGGGTTCCAGGTCTCTGGATCTGGAAATACCTCGGGCGTACGGTGCAACGAGTAGGCATAGGATTGCACCGTGGTGCCAGCGGGTATTTCATCATATCCTCCAAGGCTGCAGGGCTCGGGCACTGTCCTGGGCTGAGCACCGGGCACAGGAGGATACAGTCGCAACGTCTCCATGATAACAGCCTCAAGATAAGGTAGGGCATCCACATCCTTCGGCAGCGGTATGTCAAGCTCCTGCCCTTCACTCAAGTGCTGCGGGAACTTCAGAGGCGGAGTCAAGGTAAGGAGCTCAGACCTAAGTTTCTTTTGAACATCTGGTCGGCGTGACATTTCATAATATAAGAAGCCCAGGGTGTTGCCGCTGGTCTCATGGGCTGCTCCGTTGTGCGAAAACATGTCGCTGGCAATGTCCAAACGCAGTGGATAGTCGCCCTTGGTAGCCGGCATCGGGTCGTCTCCGATCATCTTCTTGACGGCATGTGAGAAAACAATTGGATTGTCATCGTCATCAAGTGCCTCCCCCGATTCGAGCAGCTTGTATGCACTATCGCACTTTTCCAAATTCCAATCTTCGACATCCTGAAGTCCACTGTCGACCTTGCTAGGGATGAGGCCTACTTTCTTCAGCAGCTTGTTGAGTGTCGGGAACTCATACAGCCAGAATGTGTAGGGTGCGGCGGCGAAAAAGCCGTCCAAGTAAAAGCGTCTTTCTCCTAGGTCTTGGATAAAATTACTTCCAAGGCGTTTGCCGAATTGCCATTGTATAAACGAATCCATAGAGTAAGCATAGCTTAAGTCAAGCATGTCGAGTGGTTTCCCATTTCGCGCAGCATCTTCGATGATGGGCAGGAGCCTTCCAAACAAGATGTTGCGGACAGAGCTCCGAGTAGTGGCGGAATTTAAAATGAAGGACTTGGAGAATGTGTTCGATATCATTCGCTTCCTGGCAGAGTGCGTTGCGTTATCTGGAAATGTGAAGATGTTGAAAGTATCATAATTGTTGAATGCCCTGCTGTAGAATTCGGTTTTGGGGAAACCCCCCAGATAGACCGGTTTGAGTCCATCCTCGAAAGCATTTAGACTTAGTACACCAGGCGCCAGTCGTAGTGCCCGGCCTTTTTCCATATGTTTCCGATACACCACTTTGTTCTCTTGCCGGGTTAATCGAACGTACGAGAACCAGAGTTTCGAGAAATGACATGACCAATGTGGCGCGGGGATTTTGGACAATGGCGAAAGAAAGAGGTTATACACGGCATTGTACAGGGCTGCCGAGGTAAGAGCCGCGACCACGGCGAAAATGGCAAAAAGCGGCGTCATTATTCAAATTAATTTGGATGGCTGACCGCGTCTCGCGTTGTTCGTCACTGCGTGGAAGAGCAGGAGATCAGGGTTTGGGAGAAAAAGAACAAGAAGTTGAAGACGAATGAGTATAGTTAGAAGAAGGTTGCCGGTCTCGTGAAAGAGAAATGATCTGTGTTGTAAATAGCCATAATTGTGTCTGCGTATGAAGGATATTGTGACGAAACGTCTTCCCCACACTACCTAGGTAAAAGCTTTCACGAGGCTTGTCTACTTTTGTGAAATAAGCGATGTGTCATAGTGAAAAACATGTAGTTGAGATTCCCGATTGGGTAGTTGAAGTGCGCTTTGCCCGATTAATCAGATTTACGAACTAGCAGAATGCAAGAGAACCTGATGTTTGGGGGTGCCGGTCACAAATAACGCCTACACTCTCCAGGGACACATACACCAAGGATACGCAACAATCACATCATAGGCTGCCAAACTGATCAGGGCCGTTCGAGAACATGAAGCCGTGCTTCTATTCGTGCACTGTTCCCTGAGTCTATGGATTTCAGATGATGTACTCGTATTGACGCAATCCCATTCTATCGAGCTTCGCATCAGATCCAAACAAGGAAAGTGTCAGAGTGGGGGGAATATCGACCCTTGATTGCGGGGCGATTGCTCCGCCCTCTCGTACGTGGTCCCGTTTTAGGATTCTCTAACAGAAAGCCGGGCCTCCATATTGGTACCGGAGTTGCCAGTACGACCACTCACAAGAAGTCGAGGTCACCACGTGAACGACTTGTGAAGCTGTCCCGAGCAGCATTATTCTATAGCAACAGCCATTCTCATTGCGAGATGGCGACTAGTAAGAAAACAATCGTGGTTGTGGGTGGAACCGGTAAGTTCTGACGGCTTGCATCAGATGTCGATACACATGAGCCGCCTACTAACAATCTCATCCGCCAGGCATCCTAGGCAGCTCCGTCGCTCGATCGCTCCATGATAATCCAGACTTCCACGTTCGCGTCACTACCCGCGATCCTTTAAGCGCTAAGGCGGCTCGATTGACCGATTGTGGGATTGAAGTTGTCAAGGCTGATTCTTGGAACATCGATGAGTTGACCAAAGCACTTTCAGGCTGCTGGGGCTTGTTTCTCAATATCGACTCCGATGCACCCGTATGACTTTATCACTCGAATGGCGAATACGCGATGAGGTACTAAAGTACAGATAGAACTTCAAACAACAAATCGGGCCGTCTGAGCTCGACATGGGCCGCCTGATCCTTCACACGGCCGCAGCTGTTGGTATAAAGCACGTTGTTCACGCTTCCCTACCAGCCGCTACCAAGCTCACTCAGGGTCGTGTACCAATGGTCAATTGGGACGGTCAGTCATAGTCAAGCCTCACGAGATGCAACAGAATTTACTCACAAGCCACTTTGCTTAGACAAGGCTGCAATCTCCGAGTACGCCCTTAAAAATAAACAGTTCTCTACGGCCACTATCTTAAGTGCGGGCTGGTTCTTAGAGAATTCATTCGACCCCAAGTACGCAGCCTCCTTTGGTGGCTTCGCGATGATCAAGGACGACGATGGCTTCTATACGTGGAAAACACCCCCTATGGGAAATGACCCCGAGTCGGTTCCATTCCTTGCTGTTGCCGACGACTATGGCGATTTTGTGCATGGGGTCTTTCTCAACCCTCAGAAATGGGATCGAAAGTATGTTCATGGGGTTTCCGAGTCCCTCAGCTTCACGGACATGACCGCCGCTTTTCAACGTGGTAAGTAAGATCCAATGGCGTCAGTTCCTGGCCCTCTGAGGATACGGAAGTCTTACGATCCTGACTGATACTCATAAAACTACAGCTACGGGACTTAGAGCAAGGTATCAGAAGTTGGGGACCGGTCAAAGTCTAATGGCAGGCAATGAGCTCAAGACTAAGGAGGTCAATGGGTTGTTCGACGTAATGCATGCTGTCCAGGGCAGGTTCTTTAACGGTGAAGTCACGGAACCCAGGCATGCAAAGGAATTGAAGGCTGCAGTATCCTTGGTTAGACGTGGTAAGACCAGCACGACACCCATGACAGCAGAGCAATTTTTCCGCAAGTACTCCCCCGGGAACCCATCAGCAAAGCTTTAAATTGCGACGCTAGGAATAATCAAGGTCAATGTTACACGACAGGGAACGAATTGAGAGACACTCAAAGATTCCAAATACATAATGTCCATTTTAATTCAGTTTTGATGTATGATGCCACTTGTAAGAGCAACTGTCTCATACATTTAGACAGTTGCCAAGACTCGTGAATGTGTAGCACTGCCATTGTTGTTGTGGCATAACATACACCTAACCTAGAGACTGATCTGACAAACGCCTTGAAGTCGCTCTTGTAAAGAGCAATTGTTGCATCCTGTCGACTTTCCGTGTCTTTCTGATATGATAAGGGGATGTGAGCAAGATCGACCACCGCCATCAATTTTGAACTGCTTGTTGCTACGTGCTAGATAGCACTGCGAGTCTACTCCTCCGGAAACTGACCAAGACCTTATTTGGAGGCTTTTTCAAGATGACAAAGATGTCACTTATCTCCTATTCGCCGGGGAGGGCGGCGGGGGGGCGGGGCGGTGACAGACCTAGCGATAGGATTTCTCGCAAGGCTCGGCGTAGCTTGTCTCAAAATGAGGGGTGATTGATACAAGTGCACCCCTCTGCTATCTTCGGTATTTGACTCAATTGAGTAAGTGGGACAAGACCAGAACACTACTATTGGTTTACTAGAACACGACTCCGTTCAGTTGTACTTTGCATGTCATCGAAGACTTGTACTTGCCCCCACTATGTGCGCGTACACACCTAGAGGGAGCACTCTACCTTAAGCAGCTGTACCTTAAGGTGCGCCGGACGTGCTTGTAGTGGCTGTTTGACTGTTGCGTACGATAAGTGTGGGCTTAATCTAGACCCTAGTGCAAACACTAGACAAGACTTTGTGAGTCACGCTTAATCAGATCGTCAGGGCTCGGAACTCAAGGTGGAAGGGAGCAACAGCCATGTATCTTACCTGAGAGGGAATTGGTGGGGTGGATTGGCGGGCGGAGCATCTTATCGATGATGCACCTTGTCAGGTCTTGAGGAGGAGCGATAAGACTTCACGTGCCAATTCTGCAACGATACCGTCGATGGAGCCAGCCAATCAGTGGATCGACCTGATTCTTGCGAAGAGGGCCAAATGTCAATGTCCACAGAGCATGAATCTGCAAGCGCCTTTACTCTCGCTCCTCTTCACGGCACCAGCTAGTTCAGAGTGTGTACGAGTCTAAATCAGGTGCACCCACAGGCGACGACAGGTTCAAGAATCACTAGCTCTCTCGCAAGATTTGACAGCCTCGAGACTCGGCAGCTACTTGACGTCGTCGTTCTCTCTACGATATCCTACTTGGTAAATGCACAAGATTCGCCAGTCCGTTCAGAAAGAAGGTTAGGCAGGTGGCTACGTCTGACAATGGCATCTGCATCACCTCCGATCGACCACGGGAAACAACGGAGCCTAACGAGGTGACTCGGCTCGTTGACGGGGACTCATCAGTTGACGATCAGCGTTTGTCGGCGCTCACAGCGATTTAAATTAGATACGGAAAGACCAACTCACCATGCGGTGTCCTGATTGTTGTGGCGAGTGTTGCGTTCTTCGGCGGTTCACCTCTGTTTTTCTGGGGCTACCTTGCGCTGGCTCCCGAAGACGTTCAATACTCCTCACCTACTTCACGGCAATCTTCAGCTGGGCAGGGGCCATATGTACGACGGCACCGGCCGCGCAGGCTATCGTGACGATTGGACTTGAGCTCCATGGCTTGTCAAGGCCGGATTTTGTGGCTCCGTCTTGGATGCAGTTCACGTTCTATGTCCTTGCTGTGTCAGCAGCCTTTGGCTTCAATCTCTTTGAGCGTGCCCTCCCTCCTATCGGTCATTTTCTCTTATGGTTTTCTGTTGCAACGACGCTCGCCATTTTCATCAATATATGAGCTCGAAGGTCTCTGTCAAGGGCCTCTTTCGCTTCATCAACAATAAATCCAGATGGTCCAATGGCTCTGCGTTCGTACTGAGCCTCAACTCGGTCAATTGGTGTTTCACTTGCCTCGACTGCGCGACTCACCTTGCCGACGAAACCCCAAACCACGCTAAGAAGATCCCCTAGGTTCTGCTCTATACTGTCGCCATTGGCTTTTCTACCGGAATAGCTACCCTAGTCGCACTATACGTCAACAGACCTATCGCAGAATTTAAACGACACTGGCTTTTTTTACTCTGTCTTTGAAGGAAGCAAGCCTGCCGCTCTGGGTCTCTACTCGCTCCCTCTTGTGTCTCTGTTCAGGCCTATACTCAGGAGCCAGACGTGGGAGTCTCGTTTAACTTGTTCATTCACTCGAGATCGAAGTATTCCTTTTCACACATACCTTCGCCGAATAGCGCCTCGGCCTTTCAGCACACCTATGTGGGCTCAAGTCTGGTCAGTTTCTATCAGTACCCTCCTCGGCTTGGTCAGTCTCGGCTCGACCGCAGCATTGGACGCCTACATATCTGCTGCGATCTTGTTTCAATACGTGTCATACAGCATACCTATTGTGGCCCTACTCTACCGGGGTTGTGGGTCAAGCCCACATGGGCAGTTTTGGCTTGGCCGCTTGGGCTTAGTTGCCATTATCGTTACTGTGCTGTGGACAATGTTCGGCTTGGTTGTGTATAGCTTCCCTTACTCTGATGGCGGAGAACATGAACTATACGTTGGTAGTGGTAGTCGGCTTATTGTAGTGTATTGGTTTGTAAGTGGGCGGCGTCACTTCATTGTACCTGTCTAGACAGTGCCACGTATCTTAGCATCAGGAAAGCTCGGCGACGATAAGAGCTCAAGCAATCCTGTACGTGAAAGAACAGAATCGATGCCGGGATGCAGAGTTAAGGATTGAGGTATGCCCTCTAACTTATGGGCGGATTACTGATGTGAAATCGTTGTCTCGACCAACTGAGCGACATGTTTCCTATGAATGATGTTGTTCTTATATTGATCATACCAAGGGCTCGCATCTCATGATCGTGTTTTCTTCAACTCCGGTGCTGTGGCGTGTCTATAGCTCACCCCTGTTCCTCGAGGCCCATTAATCCCGCCTAGGGTATGGCGCAGAGCAATCGCGTGCATAGTGAGCTGGATATCAGCGACAATGTGTCATCTGCACGCTACAAAAGAGCGCGTAGATGCTCAGCCGAGCCCTTGATGTCAAACAATCGTTTGCGAAGATGCACCATCCTCTCCGAAGTCAATACATACTCCTTCGGGAGCCACGAAGGACGCTTTTGGTGTATAAGTTGTTCAGCCACGGCCTTGCCACACATCCAAGCATTGACCATTCCGTAGCCTCCATACCCAGCTGATAGCCACTCTGCTCCTTTCTCTTCGTCTCCGGCTGAACGAATACCGAGCGCTTCCTGAGGTAGAAGACCGACCATAGGCACCTTGTCTAAAGAATTGCACATCACGCCTGTCCACGATGCTTTGAGAGTAGGCTTCTGAGGCTGCTCTGGCCCCCATCTCTCATTGCCGAATACGACAGGCATGACTCCAGCAAGATGGCTCTTCGCAGTCATATTCTCGGCCGCATCTGATGCAATACCGTGGACGTCGAGCGCACCCTCAAAGCCACCGACCTCGCCGCCCCCAACGAATAGTTCACCAGTATGCTCATTTTGACTAAGGTAGTCGAAGCCGATTTTGTGATAGAAACTCCAGGAACGAGAACCTTTGGAATCTTCGAAATTCACGCCAGGGTTCAGAACCGTGATTTGCCCCCGTCTAGGCACGAGTATGCCTCGTAAGTTAGGCAGGAGATGTGATATATGACCTTCGGTACAGTGTATGACGTGTTTCGCTCGTATAATACCCCTGGGTGTTTTGATCGAATATGGCTCGTTGCCTGTGCCGCTGGGAGATATTGCCAAGGCTGGGGTTTGCGTTTCGATGGTCAATCGGTCCTGATACTTGTTTGAGAGGCTGGTAAATATTTCCGTAATCAAACGGTAGCCCCAAACTGCACCAGCTTTGCCAATCAAAGCTCCACAGGCATTTCGCATGCCGTAAACCTGCTGAGTGTGAGAGATCTCGAGAGCGTTCGCGTCAGATGGGGTTTGATGAGGGGCTCACCTCACAGACTTCTGACTCCACAACCTTCCAGCACCCTGCCAAGTCCGGCAAGGCGGCTTCGAACTTGGCCAACTGCTCCTTGAGATCTTGCAATTTGTCGTCGCTGAATACGGCGGCAACAGTCTCGACCTCTCTGATCTCGCTTTTCTTGTAGGCTTCGTTGCCAAGGGACTTTGCGGCATCTAAGAGTTCACCCAAGTGAGACAGCTCAAATCGAATGATTTCCGCAGCGGCCTTCGACCCGAAGAGTCGACTGTACTTATCGTAGTCGAGGACGGCGACAGCATTGATGCGACCACCATTGCGCCCTGTCGCCCCGGAACATACCTCCCGAGCTTCGAGAACCGTCAGGAAGCCTTTGTAGCCGCCTGTCAGTAAATGACGTGCAACGCTACAGCCCGTGATTCCAGATCCGATAATGACGACATCTCGAACTTTGGGTAAGTCTTTTGACTTGATGCCCAGTAGTCCGTGGTGCGGTGGATTCTGCCAATACGATTTGGTGGGCTTGCCAACCGGCAGAGACGGATCGTCAAACAATTTGTCATACATTAGGACTTGGATGTTGAAAGATGAAGAGGGTGAGGAAGAAGAAACCCAGCTTCACTGGCAGCGTGTTTTCTTCAGATAATCTGTGGCTCCAAGGCTGACCTCGTACGATGGGTTCTGGTAGTGCCAGTACGTTCCTGCAGCGGCCCAGGTAATGGTGCCACCACCCCGCTTTGTGCACGGAGGTTTGCTCCTGTTGACCTCTGGTCTCGTCATGGACGGGGGTAAGACTCATTCACAGTAGATCACTCCCGGTACGTGAGGATGAGGCTAGATTGCAGCAGGACGCGCCAGTGATGCCAACGGACCACGCTCGCATGCTTCCGTAGATATCGGTGCGTTTACTCTTTTCGGTCTCGTAGCGAAGTGGGCGTGCAAGTGCCAAGATGAAAGACCCAGAGCTAGAACCACGGGGTACCCACAAGTCAAAGGCTGAGAGCAAACAATCCAAGGGTCGACAGCGTCCGGCAGGTACGTCATGATGGGTGCACCCGATCTCGGCCGTTCTTGGTCAAATAGCGAAACAGCATACAAGGCCAATGCGGAAGGAATCCAGAAGAATTGACTTCCAAGATCCTGAGCATGGGATAGGCCAAGACTCGTGTGGGTGTAGTTGCCCCACACTCTGTTGTGCTTTTCGGGATAAGAACGAGTCGGGCAAGTCCCTGGAGAAATCGAATGCAACGCGAGCGAGCCTTGCCGATTCGAGATGTCAAGCGAGGAGTTACATTGAGGAATTTTGCCCAGATAGTCTGCAGATAGCCCCGAGCGCCATGCCATCTACATTGATGGCCCTGTTCTTTCGCAGGAGATACTTCTTCGCAGGAGATACTTCAAGGCGGCCTCCCATGTATAAAGCAAATTACGGCTGTAGGCCATCCTGGATCGTATTCCAAGTACGTAGGGCCTGTCTGGATTTACATTCGCAAACCCCACGCAAATCCCACGCAAATCAGCTGAGGTCGTCCTCCACTTTATTGCATACGCTCAGAAGTACCATGGCGCCTTCAAAGACGACAATCACAGCTCCCAACGGGCGCCAGATTACCTTCAACACTGGCCTCTTTATCAACAACGAATGGGTCGATCCTGTCAAGGGTCAAACACTCGAAAGCATCAATCCAGCGTTCGTAAATTCCATAATAGCCAACACAGAATTCAATTCTTGCCATAGCCTTTCACCCCTACTAGCGATGTTAGAAGCTCATGATGTGTCTACAGTACTGAAGAGTTAAACGCGACTGTGTCAGCAGCAGGAGCCGACGACGTTGATAAGGCGGTCAAGGCAGCTCGAGCTGCTTATGAGGGAGAATGGGGCCAGACTGATGGAACCTCGCGAGGTCGGCTCATGATGAAGCTAGCAGACATTATTGAAGCAGAGGCAGGACCATTAGCGACCCTGGTGACACTTGAAAACGGCAAGCCGTACAGCCAAGCCGCCTGGGATGTCGAGGAAATCTGCAGCGTCCTTCGGTATTATGGAGGGTGGGCGGATAAGACCTACGGCCAAACTATTGAGACAAGCCGCAACAAATTCACATATACCATCCGTGAACCACTCGGTGTCTGTGGTCAAATCATACCGTAAGTATTCTGTTTCGTGTTTCTCTAATTGCACAGATAGCGGGGGTCTTCAGGTCAAGTATGTCTTCATGCGGATACAATGCTTACACTCGTTCCTTTACAGCTTCAACTACCCTCTTGGCATGGCCGGCTGGAAGTTGGGCCCATGTCTAGCCACCGGTAACACCATAATTCTTAAACCTGCCGAGCAGACACCGCTTTCTATCCTCTACCTCGCTGATTTAATCGAAAAGTCTGGCATACCAGCCGGCACGGTCAATATACTTAATGGCTACGGCTCGGAGGCTGGTGCAGCCATCGTCGAGCATCCAGGTATTGATAAAATCTCTTTCACAGGCAGCACAAGCACTGGTCGCCGCATTATGCAATCGGCAGCTCTCACTATGAAGAACATCACTCTCGAAACTGGTGGCAAGTCTCCACTCATCGTATTTGATGATGCCAACCTCAAGAATGCTGTGAAGTGGTCTCACTACGGCATCATGGGTAACATGGGCCAGATTTGCACGGCTACATCGCGCATATTTGTCCACGAAAAGATTTATGACGAGTTTTTAAAGGAGTTCATCGAGTACACTAAGAAGATTTCAATTGTTGGAGACCCCTTCGACGCAAAAACCTGGCACGGGGCCCAAGTCTCGAAGACCCAATATGATAAGATTCTGTCGTATGTTGATTCAGCCAAGCAAGAGGGTGCTACCATTCTTGCAGGTGGTAAGACTACTGAAAACAGACCGAACGGTAAGGGCTACTTCATTGACCCCACAGTCGTTGGGGATGTCAAACCCTCAATGAAGGTATACCAGGAAGAAATCTTTGGTCCTTTCGCTGTCGTCTCCAAGTTTACCTCGGAATCAGATGTCATCGCCGCCGCAAATGATTCCGATTACGGATTAGCAGCCACGCTCTTTACCACAGATGTCACCAGAGCCCATCGCATATCGCAAAAGTTACAAGCGGGTAATATCTGGATCAATGCAAACAACAACTCTGACATCCGAGTGCCCTTCGGTGGCATGAAGCAGTCAGGCATCGGGCGAGAGCTCGGCGAAGCTGGTTTAGAGGGTTACTCTACGCTCAAGGCGATACACCTCAACCTCGTTTTGGAGTCCTAATAAAAGGGCTGTATAGAGAAGGGAGAGAAAATCCAAGCTAGATAGGCAGACGGAATAATTCACGATGCTTCATCTCGTTCATTCCATGCTTCCTGATAATCAGATACATGCAATATCTCAATTCTCGCAGCTCACGAAGAGAAATGTGTGCGCGGCGGTTGAACGCTAAGTCCGGCGTGAGAATGTCAATCAGAAGGACTGAAAACTTCGCCGTCCTTTTCATCCAAATCGTTGAAGACACAAGTTCTTCCAGTGCCGGCTATGATGTGTGATCCTGCATACCAGGGTTAGAGGCGCTATGTTCGCAAACCTGCCAATTGGCTTGCCTCGCACGAGCTGACAGAAGCACATGTCTATCTTTTGCAAATCCTTTGTTCGGCAAGTACAGGAGTTGAATAATATGTGTATCTTTGTATTGGCTATTTTTGCGATAGTGGCTCTAGACCTGGCCCGGAAAGCATAAGGATATAATAAACCCCGTTTAATTGTACTACCCTTATCTCACCATGGTACTTATTGTCCCTGTGCGAGGGCGTCGGTGCTCGGTGTGGGCAACACCGTGCTCGGCGTGCTGTTCCTCCGGCCCCGTCTAAGAACTCCCCCAAACCACTCGGCCCCTCTCACTTCATGGGTCAGCAACTCGGTTCGCGACAGGGTTCTCCTCCATTACTTAAACATCATCGAAGGTACGTAAGGTGTTTATATTTTATCTGCAATGCTTCTCAAGTCATAGGACAGCTCAGAGTAGCGTCCCAAGTCAGTCCAACCCACGACTGGGAAAGAAACACTATGATGTCAGCCGAAGACTGGGTAGCCGAGTGCGAGACGCTCGTGAGCCGACGCGACCACGGCCTAGCATACCGCCGACGGGGAGACGGGCCTACTGTCCTTCTACTCCATGGCTTTCCGACCTGGTCATACGACTACGCCTCCGTCGCGACAGACCTGGCCCGAGACCACGAAGTGATAACGCTGGATTTCCTCGGCTACGGTGCTTCCGACAAGCCCAACCCTTACCAATACTCCGTCGATGAGTCTGCCGACAGCGTTGAGGACCTGCTTGACCACCTGTCCCGACCATCGGTGTACCTCGTAGTGCACGATTACGGCGGTATTGTCGGCCAGGAGCTCATCGACCGCCACCAGAAAGACAAGCTACCCTTCGGGATCTCGGGGATAACTGTGTTGAACTGCGGGATAGTCTACAGTGCTTACCGGCCGACGCTGCTGCAGAGGGTGCTCAACATTCCTGTAGTAGGCAAGTTCGTGGCAGGGCGCGTCACTGCGGCGCAAGCGCGTGCTCTTCTGGGTGGGATAATGGGGAGGGAAAAGCTCAGCGACGAAGAGTTTGCTAATCTGTGGCACGGCATGTCATTGAAGGATGGGCACAAGCTGGCGCACTTGCTCATTGGGTACAACAACGAGAGGGGGGTGCACCACAAGCGGTGGGAGGCTGCCCTCTCCGAATGGAAGGGTCCGTTGCAACTAGTTTGGGGTCTTGATGATCCTGTCTCGGGGAAACATGTTCTTGAGGAGGCTAAGGAAGGTCTTCCTGATGCTTCTATCGTGGAGCTGGAGGGCGTGGGCCATTATCCGCAGGTAGAGGCGCCCAAGGCAGTTGCAGGGGCGATTCGGGAAGCAGTTGGGCGACGGAGGCATGACAGCACGCAAACTTGAAGCATGTATATAGTCTGCCTTGTGCTACATGAACAAGACATGTGTAGGTGAAAGAGGATAAAGTTTAACAACAATGAAGCTGCCAGGGCCCGGACAACTCAACGCAATGAATACGAAAAGCTTAAGAATATAGCCTTTCCTAGTACACCCAAGGAGTCATATGGCATGAACAAGACATATGAGTTGGATTGGCACCGACAGCCAAATGCTGAAAGTGAACAATATGCCATCCGTTGACCTTCATACCACGGCAGCTGCGCAACCTTGCCATTGAAACTGCTGTGTTTTAGACTCAATAGCAAGTACCTGCATCTGCCCTGGTCTATCAATTCATGTCGCCCACGGGTGGAACAGCACCGAAATCCCCAGCTTCAAACCTCAGCCATTGCTCCTCTCTTTCCACCTCACATCCGTCACAAGTCGTCCGCCACAAGCACGAATCCTTGAGCAGCTTCCCCTCAGCTCCGCAGGTCTCACAGGTACGCAGACTCTCCTCCCTAGCCTTGTCGATTGCCTCATCGATCTCGTCGGAATAGCGGTCCATGTAGACTACAAGAGCCCCGAATTTTTCCTTCACCTGAACCGCGGTGTAGACTTCTGGTTGCATATCGTCGTGATTGGATACAATGCTGGCAAGGCTGACGGAGAGGCGGTATATAATGTCATACCAGCCGTCGTCACATTCAAATTCCTTGTATCGAAGGTTTGCGTAGAGCTCAGGAAACTCGGTGCAGAGCTTTGTGTCGAGTTCTTTGCGCATATTGGATGGCGAGTTTCCGGCTTCAGGCGATATTGCGAGTCTTGGCGCAGAAGGGCGCACGAGTTCAGAAATCTGGCGGCGTGATGAAGAAGCTGTGTTCACTTTCGCATTCAGCTGCTTGGACATGGAAACAAGAGAGCACTGGGACCGGATTTTGGGCTTACCGTTGGAAATTCCAGGCGTTTGCTCAAAACGAGGTCTCGTCGGGCTAAATGCTGCGCCGTTGTATTTGTAGTTTGACGAGCAGTGTGCTAGAAGCAAAGCAAGCGATCGAAACAAAATGATTGTGATGATGATTAAAGGACAAGTTATTTGTTGTGTAGTCGAAAGGAAGGTTTGTGTTAGTAGAGGGTTATGCGCTTATCGACAAATTGATAAGCGATAATTCGTTGTATCAATAGTATCGCCGGCCTACTGAAAGATGTCCATGTGTGATGGGCAATCCCACCCAACGGGGGTGTTACAACTTCCCTTGAGAGAGGGAGAATTTACACAGGCAGATCAGGTGCGAATCGGTTTTAATTATGAACGCAGTGAACGAACAGCCAGTAACCACTTGTTAAACCAGTAACCACTTCTTAAACTAGAGACTTGTGTAAAAGTACATTACCAACTCCTGAGCACTCACACATAAACGAACAACCTTGTATTTAGACTTCACTGAATCCCCCAGCGCCTGATATTACCAATCCTTACATACCTAACCATCGTAATTCATTACTGAGAGTCAGCAGAATCAGACCATGCGTAATCAGCCTCTCCACTGGAGTCACTTTGGCTGTCGAAATCATAGCTATCCTGATCATCCTCCAGCTCGCAGTACTCGGGCACAACGTCGGCATCGTAGGGTGAATCCTCGATATAGCGAGGGTCTTTGATGATCCCCAAGGCGGCGAGCTCCTCGTCGGCCAGATTAGGCCGCTCGTATTCCGGGTCAAACTCGTCATGCATTGTCCCCTTGTCGAACAGGTCGTTGAAGGTAAAGGGGTTAGGCCCGTCACCGTACACGAAATCCTCGACTTCCTTGTCGACCTGGATGTACCGACCTCTCACTCGGTCGGCCAGGTCTACCCGTATAACAATCTTGGGTCTGGAATCCTCCGATTCATTCCTCCACCCGAGGTTGTCTCGCATGGCCTGCATCAGCCCGTCATAATGCTCGCCCGGCGTCTGGAAACGAAGGAAGCCAAGCTCCAAGGAGCTCAAGGTGGTCGGCATGGAAGACAAGAAATCGACCAAGTCATCGATGCTCACCTTGAAACCTGTGAGCCCGAAGTGCTCAAGGTACGTCCACTTTTCGACGGGTAAAAGTTTGCGAAGTGGCGGGAAACGCCCATCATGGCCTCCGCGGCAGCAGTGCAAGCTGAAATGTTTCAGATTCGGATTGCGGCAAAAAGCCGGACGCATGAAAACGGTTGTTCCAAAAGGATCTTCATTTGGCGAGGGTGGGACTTGGATGGATAGATCCAGGCGACTTAGCTTTTCAGCGATGTTGAAAAAGTGACAACACTCGATGTTGCTGAGGCGAAAAAAGTCGATAGGGATGCCATAGTCAAGTCCATGAACGTTAACTTCAAGCTCGGTTACTTGGTTATGCTTTCGTTCAACCAGGGTACCGAAAACGACGTGGACGCTATCCCATATTTTCTTTGAGGATCCACGAAAGCCAGGCCGAAGGATGGCGTTGCGACGGCCGTTCGTGCCCGTGTACGACACCCATGACCGCGGGATCGGATGATTGAAGCCTTTAGGGAAATCACGGATCATTGGAGTTTCATACAATGGAGTAAAGAGAAACCCGTGGCAAGCAGGCGTGATGGTGACTTTCCTTAGATTAGGAAACCGGTCGAGAGCGACTCGAAAGGCCCGAATGTGTTGGCCGGTGCGAATGACTTCCTGCTGTTGAAAGTATAGCTGTGTGTAGTGACGAACTGAGTCTTGGAAGGACATTGCGTTCTCCAATCGTTCCTCTCGATCCAGGTGAGCTGGTGTATCGCAGTCTTTGCCTCTCTTAAAGAGAATGTTATGAATGTTTACCACACATGCAGTAGCGTACAATCTGTGAGGTTCAAATTCCAAGTCCACTTTTCGTTGAGGCAAAGACTGGAGAAGCGCATGTTTTGGGGCAGGGAGAAAAGGTCCGCAAGGCTCATAGGTGTTGCGCATTTGATGACGGCTACCTGGAGTTGCCAGGAGACTGTCGTCCCAAATGAGTTGCTCAACATGGTGTCGCCGGATCTCGTGATTTGCGATGGCCTCAATGACTTCGATGTTGCGGGGGTTGGCGGAGAGAAAAACGCGTGGAATCTGGATGTTGACGGTCTCGGCAAAGAATGAAGACGCCCGGCGGAGGGCTTTTTTGTCTCTGTTTGGCAGGTAAGAGACGATATCATCGAGGATTTCTCGAGGAACGCTGGAGAATCTTCCCCGCGCTTCTTCCATGATGGGCAACCAAGAACGTAGGCTAGATGGAGACGAAAGCGAGGATCCTTGGGGGAAGTCTTGTGGGGTAAGAAGATGGAAGAGATGGGAAGATGGGTGATGTGGGAATGCGGAAGAGGTGGGAAGATGGAGGAAGTGAGAAGTTGGAAGAGGTGAGAAGGCTGAAGGGGTGCAGGTTTCTTAGTGCTGTTGTAGTTATTATTGTTTTTGCTGTCGGGCTGAGAGCAAGCACGTGAGCAGGTTCTCACAATAGCTGCGGGTAGCCGCCAGTGGCCCAGGCACCCAAGTCCAAGTCACCTAGACCTTGAATTTTCCAGCTGTTCATGCTGCGATTTAACAAACCAGCTGTGAGTGCCTCAGGTGTCAAGTGTCAAGTGTGTAAGTGAAGTGTCGTCGCACCTCAAGCGATGTATGCCCATTAAAACCCCCACTTGTGTCCCACTATCCTCCCAAAACTTCCACCTTTTAGCCTTCTCAAATGGCCTTTTCTACGCTGGCGGCCTTGAAAAACCGACCATGTTCCAAAAAACATCGGCGCTCGGCTCTTCAATCAGAACCACCAAATCTCAAACAGTGATTGGCTGCTTATGATATCTCATTCGGAATCAAACTGAATTCCAGCTTGGCCCAGAATTATAGACAACACTTCAATTTTCATCCAAACAATGGAGAAACAAGGGAAAGGCGGGCGGTATATTAGGCTCTGGGCAGCGTGGTCTTTATTCATGGACCCTGATGATAATCAAGCGAACTTGATGATGTGTGAAGGCAACAGCCCGAGCGCAACTTCTGAATTCGCTTCTATAATGGGACGTTCTGCAGTTATGTGATTCACAATACTGAATTGCAATTGAGCAGTTTTGAAATACCGACTGCCCATTGATCTGAGTGACATCTTGACTTCGTAGTTGCCATCGCTGGCTATATATGTACGCGCGTATGTTCTTATCTCTTCTCTTTTGATCTTATTTACCTGCACCCTTGTGAGCACGATCAACAGCTGCAGCCTCGAAGCAGGTAAGTCAGACCCATCCTAGATTCTATCCACCCCAGCCCTTATAATTGCAATCAATAGCCGTAGCCTCGGGCTGCTTCGAGCAGGTTAGTCAGATCCTATTTGCTGCGATGACGATAAATGCGATTGACAGTTGTTGCTTCGCCTCGAGCAGATAAGTTAGATCCTATTCACGCTGGCTCCCATACGCAGCTTCGCTTGCCCTTAGGACTGCTTTGCAGGCATTCACTTGTAATATTCAGTATGAAACACCGCTTGGTAGGTTCCAAGTAAGCGCACGACTCAATTATCTGTAGTTCAAATTGATCCATTAACCAAGGTTTACGAAGTAACCCACAAAAGGTTACAATAGGAATGCAAACTTTCGAAGTGAGCGATGCGTAGAAATGAGCAGCAGTGTGACTTATTGGACATTTTTGGTACAAGGGGCGGGTTGATGGAAATCTCATCAATATTTCAGTCGCTCTATTTCAATCTCACGCAGGAAGTTTTCGATATGCACAGAGCCACCAGCGTGGGACTGCGAAGACGTAGCCCATCATTGACCAGTACGTCCATTATTCTCATGAAAAGCTGAGAGAGCTCTTCCAACAACTTTACTTCATCCACCAAAGGAAAGCTTTAGATTAATCTATTGCGTTCATGAAGACACCAGGGGCACAGCATCATCTCAGCACGGCATGGCGAACCAAAGATTTTAAGCCTGCTTCAACACGAATAGTTTTCCAGATACGGATAAATGGGCTATCTTTTCTTGCAAATAAACTTAATTCCGAATGCCCTTCTTAATACAGCACTTTCTTACAATTTGGCCCCTGTTGCACGCGTAATTACGGGCAGTTCCGTGGTGAGACTCCCTCTCTCCGGTTTTCCGGGTCCATCTCCGCCATTCCGCTGTTCCGTGAGACAGAAAACTCCGTTACAACGGAACGATTGGTGTAATACGATTGGCTATGTCTACAGGATGTGAAGTGGAAAGCCTCTCGAGACCTTTCATGGCATATATATATTTGGCTTCTCAGCCAGCTCAATTGAATGAGGATAACCACTTCCATCAACTTTCAAACACACTGAATTCACTTCAACACACTCCCAAAACTATTTTCATTCAAAAACTCCTGTCCAAACCGCAGCAATGGCCCCCAAGATCTTAGTCGTTCTCACCAGCGTTGATAAGATTGAGTCTATCAACAAGCCCTGTGGGTGGTTTCTGGTATGTCTACTCTGGTCGATTATTGCTCCGCTTCGCCCATAACCTCTCTCCATGTCTAAAACGTTTGCTAATCTTTCCATGATGCAGCCCGAGTTCTCTCACCCCTATGATATCCTTGTTTCCAAGGCCGATATTGTGGTCGCCTCACCAAAGGGCGGCGTAGCTCCACTTGACCCTGCCTCCCTCGACTTCTCCAAGGATGACGAGGCTGCGATGTCTTTCTATAAGAACAAATCTGCTGTCTGGGAGAACACCACTCCAGTCAGGGACTTTCTTGGCAAGACAGATGAATATGCCGCTCTATTCTATCCAGGTGGCCATGGGCCCATGTTCGATTTAGCCACAGACGCAGACTCCATCAAGCTCGTTCAGGAGTTCGTCGCCGCTGGGAAGCCCGTCGCCGCCGTCTGCCACGGCCCTGCAGCTTTTGCCAACGTGAAGCTCCCTAACGGTGATTATCTCGTCAAGGGCAAGACTGTAACTGGTTTCACGAACGTGGAGGAGGATGCCATGCAGATGACAAGCGCCATGCCGTTCCTGCTAGAAGATGCGCTCGTGAATGCCGGTGCCAACTTTGTGAAGACTGAACCCTGGGGTGAGAAAGTCGTCACTGATGGGCTTGTGATCACTGGGCAAAACCCTGCCTCCGCCGCTGGTGTTGGAAAGGCCATTCTGCAGTCTCTTGGAATTTAATAGTGACTGTACAGTGGCTTATGGAAAGTAGACACGCTAGTAAAATAAAATCAAAAGACTTCGACAATATTCTTGCTACATATTCTCTCAACGTGATTTTTTAATATGCTCAATTAAAGACAAGATGGCTAATGGAGCTGTCATCAATCTTCATACATCAGCGCGAGAGCCGGTCACATTCAACATATAAGATAATGCTACCTGTAGTTCAGGATCATGCGGCTTGCTTGAGGTAAAAAGGCGCTTAATTGGGCAGTATGATATGTTTAACCTAAGGTAAAGCTAGCTTTGATGGTACCACCCAAACTTCTGAGAAAAGTAGACTGCTTATTCAAGTTTTTGACCCGGTAGAATTCACAGTAGGCGATTCAGTCTCTGGTAATTGCGGACATGACCGTAGCAATTCACGCAGAGGTGCTTGGACTAGATCTCTTAGAATGATAGGGTCTGGCCGGCCGTGCCGTAAACTTTGCTCTTCACGTTGTCTTTGCCGTACAAAGTGTAAGAGTATGGAATTCCGCTAGAGCCAAGAGTGCCCAAGGGCGCGGTGTTGGTGCTGCTTCCATAAGAAATATCGCCAGTAGTAGCGTAGCCAACTGAATCAGAGTCCTCTGAGACGATGGCCTTTGTAGCGCAGTTATCAAATACGGTCGACTCGACACGGATTTGAGCCCCCATACGGGTGTTAATAGCAGAGCTCAAAATCCCAAGGTAATACTGGTTGTAGATATGGCCGGTGCCAAAACGGATTGACGGAGCGCGCGAATTGACATTGTACCAGTAGTTATTGGCGTAAGTGACACGGAGGTGGCCAGTATCCTCGGCAGAGTTACTGTCACTATGGCCAACCAGAGATGCCTTGTAGTGATCATGAAAGAAGGTGTTTGACACCGTGATGTAGTCGGCAGCATGTGTAATATCCAACAGGCCATCATAATAATCCTTGCCATTGTTAAGGTCTGAAGAGAGGTCACAGTGATCAACCCAGACATTGGTAGATGCCTGGATGCCAATAGCATCACCATTGTCAGCAATGACTTTGGAGATAGCCAGGTTGCGTACAATCACGTTAGAAACGCTCTTGATGTACAGGCCAACCCCAACCAACTTGGACCCAGAGGCGCCAATAATGCTCTTATTGGACTTAACGCGGGTCTGGTAGCTACCAGAAATGGTGCCCTTGACGTAGATAACAAGGGTGCTACTTGATTCAGCAGCAGCGGTGAATTGGGCGAGAGTAGAAACAGTCGTGGTTGAACCGCCCTTGCCGCCAGTCGTCCCGCCATTGGTAGTGGCGTATCCAATATCACAGCTGTCAGTGATCGACGCGCGCTTCTCGAGATGAGCAGGGCTCATTTCCTCCTCAGTAGTAGGAGTTGGGCTTGCCGAAGCCAAGCCCAGTAGGGCAAAGTTGATGATGTTCAAAAGCTTCATAGTAGAGTCGGTGCAGGTTCACAACAGGACTATTGATTTGATATACTGTCTCTTTTGAATTAATCTGAACTAATGATGGGAGCTATCCTTATATACATCGGATCCAGTTCTCTCTGAAACAATTGTACTCCATACTCGGTTCTCATTCTACTAATCCACCTACCACATCCGATTCACACCGGAATATCTTGAATGGATAACTTGACACGGCCTCGTACCATATGGAAAAACTTTCTCTTAATTTCATTGGGGCATTTATTCGAATAACACTTCACAACCAGGTATGATTAGAGTCTCAAGAGGCGGGGCTGGACAGAGTACAAGATGTATGCTGCCATATAAGGGACCATGGAAGGAAGCCATCCGTGTGGGAATGAGACCGGCAATTGCACGGTACTTGAACGCGTAATTTGGTGCTAGATGGTGCGTCAATGTACCCAGTCGGGCCAAAATAGAGCTACGAGGTGCATGATGTTCGCTTAGAGCTGTGTGCCGAGCAACCGGAGGTCAGAGTCGCATTGTGCTGGCCCATTCACCAGGTAGTATCCAACTTACAAGGCAATCTGTAACAAAGCCAAGACCCTCTAGCTCTCTCCAGAATCCTCACAGAAAGCCGCGTCACCAGGTAACATGGACCCACCGGGCAATATGTCGACAACCTCTGATCCATGGTGCTCGGCAATATGGTGCGGAGATCATGCTGTTTCCCTATCAGAGGCTGTTTTTGCCTCGGTCTTCTTCGGGATTTTGTAGATATTGTTAGCCAATGTGTAAAAATGAATGTTTTCTAACGACACAAATCATCTTTGCTATACTTAGAGAGAAGAGGATGACGGAAGTTGTTCTTTCTACAACCAATTCTACAGCTTGCGATATCACCTCTTTCTCTCTCGTGCGCATGAATCTTATTCCTATTTGGTGAGCACCATAAACATCAGCTCGTTCGGCTATCCCGGCAGGCAGAATTTCTGTTCTTGGCGCACCAAGAGAGCGTTACTGTGTATCATAATGTAGCTAATATCCTTGGCCGCTTGTTCCTATTAAGTAATACCTTTTCTCATACAATTAACGTACCGACGCCCAGAGAGTTCAATTGGTGCATATTTCATTCTAAAATCCACCGCCATTAGCATCATTGTGTCAAGTGACTCTTGAATCCAGATGGGGTCGGAGAGCTCACCCTTTCGGCCCCGTCTCGCCCAAATCCAACCCCTACATTCATGACCTTGTTGATAATACTTCTCCTGCATGGATGGGGTATATCAGAATAATCCCGTATGCTCCATTGCAAGCTTGGCTGTATCCTATATAGAGGATTGGTGGAACAATTATCTGGGAAACTCCGCTGTAGTTGGTTGATGCATCGTCAATTGGATGATTCCCATCTTGGAGCCGAGAAGACTTCATATTTAGAAATACCTCTGCGCTTCAATTCCCTAATGTGGTAGAATTTTGATATAATTCTTCCGTTCAGAAGAGATGGCAACAATTTCTCGCCTGCAAACGCCTACAATTAGGGCGACATCATTCAGAACTATCAGATATCACAAAGTGTATGGAAACCTGCGGACCATGAAAATGATGCCTCGTTAAGGCATACGGAACACACACCCCAAAATAATTGTCCATTGGAGATGTTATAGCTTGTAGATTTTCGTGGTGGGGTAGCTCGCCCTTGGCCTTTTATCCTATTCGAATGCTGGATGCCTCATTTTGGTCTTTGTCTCCTTTTTATTAAAAAATATGTCTTGTCGAGCAGCTATTGTCCACATCACCGGAGACCCATAGAACTTAGGCGAGATCAAGAACAATGAACAGAAGCGTCACCCACTAGAGAAACTGATGTGTGCCGGCGCCAAACAGCTGTCAAATCCCACTTCACAGTGTCCCTCTGGAATGAGTTTTCATCGTGCCATTATAAAGTGATACTAAAATTCGCTGGCAGAGATACTAGTGCCGAGACCATAGGCCTTCATTTCAGACAAGACTAATCTTCGTATCATCAGACGCTTCTTTGATGTCAATTCATTTCAATACTAGATGTAGACCATAATGCTCCATGCTCCAAACGGTTGTTCGGGTGAGTTGGCAGCTATGAAAAGTAGGGGGTTTAACACACCGGATTCTCAAGCAGGCCCAGTGAACGTCGTTGTGCTACCTTGTCGCTTGTGTTCTGCATTGCAGCTCCAACGGAAGAATCCTCTGCCCACCATTATTCGCCCCAGACAGATTCCCCATAGTCTCTAACAGAAATAACCACCGAGACAGGCGATACCGGGAAACACAAAGGTGCGTTTTCCAAAGCATAAGCATACTCGTTGAGACAAACGGGTTCTTTGTCTTGCTCTCTGAGAGTCTTGCTGGAATGATGACAGACACAAACCGCTGCTGTATGGGGAAAGCCGTAACTCATAATCAATGCAAATGCGCCACGATTCAGTCAAAGCCATTTAAGTTTAGACTCAGTGGTTTTATCCTATTTGGAACAGAGAAAGCAATCATAGCATCTCTGGTTTTCACAAGAATTTTTATTTAGAGAGCAGGTAACGGTACGTTAAGGTCGGGTTAACTGAAACAGATATTCATGGATGCATCCGAGGCTATCCAATGTCATCCGGGGTGATTATGTCGTAGTCATGTTAAAGGGATCTATGTTTCGGGTAACTGCCTTGCCTGACCGGCCAGAGTCTTACAGACCGTTAGTCCTTTAGTCTATTGATCCACTCCCACCAGCCTTTGCGGCTACTTTGTCTTGGTTTCCCATGGCCCAGTTGCCGTCCATCCGAAGAAGCAAAAAAGACTATTTCACAAGTGACTTTAAATGAATGTACAATGGTGAATTCATATCAGCATCGAATCTTCCTTTTTTGAATACATAGGTTGTGTACGACCAGCGGTAATGTGAATGGACACCAAGGCATGAATTATGGTAGCTATGCTCAGATGATCACACATTCCACACCAAGGTCTGAGACAATCATGACCTGATGTCTAGAAATGTGTCTTAGAATGGTTCATTAGAGCTGTCCGCTTTCAATAGGTAATTAAAGTAATAACGAATATCAGCCAAGACTTCATCATAAAGTCATTTTCCGATGATGATCCACAAAAGGAGTAGCTGTTGATGGTCCTCATGACCTGACAAGTGACACGGCAGACCCAACTAGCATCTACTGTATGATACTTGTAGTTGCTTTCCGTCAAACAAAAGTTCTGCTTCCGCCCCTAGCTCCAATAGGTCAGTCTAGATCGCATCAGATGTCTTAGGGAGGGTTTAATCACTAGACCACAAAAGATCAAATACATGATAAGAATGATAATGGCTAACAATAAAGTCGGGGGAAATCATTTGATATCGCCGATTTCCACTATTGGATCCGATTCAAGTGAATGGTTCCCGGTTATAAAATGCCGATATGTTCCACGGTAGACTGAGATCCGGAAGCTCATCAACCCACACAGCTTTTTCATATCAAGACTTTATAAAAGAAACACATTGCCCATCATGAAGTTCTCTCTCAGCATGACCACCGTCCTCTTCTGCGCTACCGCATCATTCGCTTTGCCTGGAGCCGCTGAGCAAAACGAGATTGCGGTCAACAGCGCCGAGGGAATTGATCTCTCTGACATCGACATTGTCGACGTTGAGTACGATCCGGCCGACTTTGATGAGTTAGTCACTCGGGGAACAATCCGTTGCTCCAACCAAGGCAGGATCAAGCGCGTCAAGAAGGAGTACGGCGGAAAGTGCAGCCCCTCAAATAGCAAGGGCTTTTTGAGTGCCCATAACTGCAAGAACAAGGACGGCAAATCATACCTCTGTGTTCAGAATAAACGAGCTACCTGCTATGTAAGACATTGATATACTTCTATTCTTATTTCCCTCCTTATTAATGAACACATCTTAGAAAATTGGGGCTGCTGTGAAGCAGAATTTCGAGAGCGGGGAGTGCTTCACGGGTAAATAAAGGGCGACGATAACCTCTCCTTGCTTCCCTGTTGAAAGATTTCCTATCGTTACTGCTCATCATATCTGGGTAATTTTCTATATTTCTGTTTCATTTTGTCACTGCAAAAGTCCACCAATATGCAGTCTCATACGCTCTCTGACACGTCGCCTCTGCCTCGGCACATGTTTTGGTCTTTCATCAACACCCACGAGTTCGATGAGATACCAAATTACCCAGGCGCTGTTCGCCAGTACATTGCCAACCACGCTATAACTGCCCGCCGGAAGACGGAGCCAGGCAAGGCTACACAATCAATCTTCTTTTGTGTCTATCAGCGAGAACGATATGGGCCCCAGAACGGATACCGGTTCTGCGTAGTACATGAGGGCTATTACGTTGGGTCTGCAGAGAAAGTGGATGGCGATCCGGAAGATGACATTGATAAGCTCGAGAAGGACATTCCTCAGGGGCACGAGGAGATGGTGGTTCTCGGGGAACCAAAGATGTTTGCTGATCCTGGGAAAGAGCCGGAAAAGTAACCTTAATGCTCAGTTAAGAGTTTGGGAACCTTTACTCTCGCCTATTTAGCTTCTAGACAACAAGTAACGAAACAACACTATTCTCCGGGCTAAAACGATGGATCTGAATCACAAAGCATCACATTTACCGCTGCAATGAACAATACAAATGCTTGTCCGCGTACCATGCCAACAGCTAGACATGGCAAAAACCTTAACGCTTGAGAGTCTGAAGTCAAAGATAAAGGAATTTTCAATTTCGGAGCACAAAACTCGGGTCCAACCTCAAGCTGAAAATTCCAGGGGGTAACGGTAGATGGGCGAATAGCGATCCTTGATCAAGTAGAGGTGGATTTGTTTCGGGCAGAGGGAGGGCATTTCTACCCGATCCCGGCTCTGACTTGCTTGCCCAATACACAACAATTTCCTTTTCTGTAAATTCCAATATGATTCCTATCCAATCGTGGCCATGAGTGAAGACAGATTGAGTATTGATATATCTCAACCCATCCCATTCTAGTATTCGCCCTACTAACATCCCACACTATATCGTGAATCATGATGCCATATGAGCTCTTCACTTCAGCTCGCACTTTTTCTACTGTCATTTGATCTTTCCTTATCTTAGTGGGGAAGTAAAGTGCAAATCAATCTCTTCCAAAGCTAAGACGAGCTAAGGTCGGAATCTCCTTGTCCACAGACCATTCAGAAAGAGCTATATGAGCCGACATTTACTAACCATTCATATGTCTGCTGATTTCAATCCCATGCCCAGCTTAGAGCTTAGGCTGTTATTTCCCTCACAGAGCGAATCCGGGGCTCCTCTCCATCGTCCAGACTTCGGTGTGGAGGCGGTGGGATCAACATCATGGGAGAATAGCCGGGGAATCCCAGCCTACAACCACTATCATTGGACCGGTTGAAAGCACACGCGACGTTTTGCATCAGGAGATATCTTTTCGTCAGAAAACCCCGCTCACCTCTTCTCCACCAAGCGCTGCTGCCTCAAAAACTCTGCTGTCGTTGATATTGGCGGGATGCCGAGTTTTCCTTCTCGTGATGAGCTCATGATCCTCCTCTCTGCTAGCCAAGAGCGGCCATGCAACATGTTTCCTGTGCGTCGTGTGGGTCTAGAGCATGAACGAACCGGGTGAATGTAACCTGTCGGAAGATCATATATTAATGATGAGGATGCCGCCGGCATTTTAGAAATAAGCACACGATTCAATCCCTTAGCGAACGCTCAATTTACTTCGAAAATCAGCTGTGTGATACTCAGCCCGTGTCACCATGGCCAAGTCCTCCAAAAAGCCGTATTTTGGCTTCACAGGCGGCTGGCTCACCTTTTGGCTCACCGTACGTTCACCTTTCGTCTAATGGGAGAACAAGCACTGACTGTCTACCTTCTCCAGGTAGCCTGTGCAACGGACATGATGCTGTTTGGCTACGATCAAGGTGTTTTCAGTAGGTATCCGTAAAACAGCTTATGAAACCTCGAGTGAGAAGACTGATCATTGACAATGTGACAATAGGCGGGGTCGTCGTGACCCAGGATTTTCTAGAAACACACGACCTAATTGGCCCCTCCAAAACTAACACTCTCGCCACTGTCACTGCAATCTACGACATCGGATGCTTCATCGGCGCAATCATCGCCTTCACCGTGGGCGAGCGCCTGGGGAGAAAGAAGGCGGTCCTTGCTGGAACGGCCATCATGGCCGTTGGTACCGTAATTAAAGCCTCGTCATATAGTCTTCCACAGATGATCGCAGGTCGAATTATTCTCGGGTTTGTGCCAGGGATGGATTTACGAATCAGGATCAAATGCTTACTTTGTGCACAGGATCGGAAATGGCATCAATACGGCCACCGCACCCATCTGGCAGACGGAGACGGCGCAAGCCAAGTGGAGAGGCAAGTTGGTCATCCTTGAAATGGCGATGAACATTGCTGGGTTCTGCCTTGTGAACTGGCTCAACTACGGCCTGTCGTTCGTGGATAGTTCCGTGTCCTGGCGCTTCCCTCTTGCTTTTCAGTTTGTCTTCATCTTGATACTTTTCGCCACGGTCCCCTGGCTCCCTGAATCACCACGGTAAGTTGCCCTCATGTTCAATATCACGAAACATTCCTCGGCTAATAATTGGTCTTAAAGTTGGCTTATTGCACATGACCGTGCCGACGAAGCCACCGAGATCATCGGCTGCATAGAGGCCAAGGAAGTCAGCGATGCCTACGTGAAAGCGCAAGTCCACGAGATCCAATTCAGTGTCAATTACGAGCGAGAGCATTCCATGAAGTGGAAGGACATCTTTCTTCGCCGCAACAAGGGAAACGGGGACACCAAGACTCTGCGCCGCCTCCTTCTTGGCGCCAACACACAGCTAATGCAGCAATTCGGAGGCATCAACATCATGTCGTACTACTTCCCCACGGTCCTTATCCAGTCTGTCGGCGTCACGGAGCGGATGGCCCGGCTGCTATCTGCCGTCAACGCAGTCACCTATCTTATCTTCTCGTGTATTGCTGTCACACTCGTTGAGAGATGGGGTCGCAGGGGATTGATGCTCCTGTCAACCCTGGGACAATTCCTGTCCTTCCTCATCATCACCATCTTGCTTAGCCTCGCAGAGAGTCAGACGAATGGAGAACCCTACGCCTCAGCCTCGATCGCCTTCTTCTTCATTTTCTTCATCTCATTTGGCCTCGGAATGCTTGGTGTCCCTTGGCTTTACCCGACTGAAATCAATTCCCTTCCCATGAGGACCAAGGGAGCTGCGTTTGCTACAGGAACGAACTGGTATGGATCGGATAGAATGATCGCAGGGCTGTTAAAGCTAGACTGACAACATGTACTCTCGCAGGATCACAAATTTCATCATCGTCGAAATTACTCCAATCGGAGTCCAGAATCTCTCATGGAAATTCTGGATTGTCTGGACAGTCACAAATGCCCTTTTCCTACCCGTAATCTACTTCCTGTACCCGGAGACCAGCTACCGACGTCTCGAAGACATGGACGCGTATTACCGAGAAAATCCACCGCTCATCGTCAGCGGCGACAAAGATGCAACGATGGCGCAGAGACCACTTAAATACGCCCAGCGCGAAGAGGAGGAAGTGCTCCGTGAGGAAACTGGCAAAGGGGGGCTAGTTGTAGAAAAAGATCGGGCGCAGGAGGCATAGGGTCTAAATTGGCACAGCAATACCGATATCGCCGTGACAGAGCCAGCGGGCGCAATGAGGTCAAGCTGTTGAGGTGGGACAGACCCGACATGGAAGATTGCGTTCCTTGAGTCGTTGAGGCTTAGACTTTTGCCTCAGTTTCAGAATCATGTGGCGTAATAAGACCCAACTTGCGGGGGGGCAGATATAAGCATCAGCATCAGCCTCGCAACTTGACTTTGTGGCAAATGCCTGGGCGACTTACTAGGTATTGATTGATGCCACGTCCATGTGTTCAGGCAACAACGCAGCAAGCTTACTGCAGCTTATGGGCCGCACTCAGCCCCTTGCCGAACCTATTTCACTAAGCCTAGTTTTGTCATATTGTTCAACAGAGCAATGTGTTTCCAAATTACAGGGTTTCGTCCGCGAGTAGATCAAAGTCTCGGACATGAAGTTCAGACGAGAGGAACAGACACTGAAAGGAAGGTCAAGGAAAGCAAACCCATAAAAATAAATTCATTCATTTGCATCATAAATCTAAAATAAATCTGAAACCGCCCAAAAAGAAGAAAAAAAGAAGAAGAAGAAGGAAGAAGAAGAGGAAGAAGAAGAAGAAAACGCTAAAGCTCGCTAGTCATGACAAAATCATTGAAGAAGACCGTTTCCAGACACAAACTCCCAGTCGACCTGGATACGTCCAGCAGTGGTGGTGCCATCGGCAGCGACGTTCTTGAAAACCACCTCGGACACGTCGATGAACCCAGGTGGGCACTCGGCCTCGGGGCACTTGTCGACAACCTGAGCCCAGGTGACCTTCTTGGACTCACGGCCTGTGATCTTGATCCAGTGGCCGCAGATGTCGGCGTCGTTGGGGTTGCCGCTTGCGGGGTGGCCGTAGTCGAAGCCAGAGATGGCGACGATGGGCTGGGTGAAGTCGACCTTTGTGCCACAGGCGCCGAATCCGTTACCGACACCCTATATAAGGAATTTGTTAGAGCCATGTGCTTTGAATGTGTCGACTGAAAGGGTATTTATTAACTTACCTGGCCTGGAAGGTAGTAGGTCATGGCGCCGGCCTGCTTGGATGTCGACTTGACATCGCCGGGCACTGTGAGACCAATGGATTGGAACTTGCTGAACTTGACATCCACCTCTTGGGGAGTGGGAGTGGGAAGGGCGAAGACGGCGGTGCTAGCCGCGAGGGTGAAGAGAATTTGGCTGACGGAAACCATTTTGAAGGTAGGCTTGAAGAATTGGATAGAAGAAACTGGATACAACTGAAATTTAGGCTTTGAAAGGGTCGGTAGAGAACCAAAGAGAGGCGTGTTGTTTCAGTAAAAAAGAGCTGGAAACGAACAGGGAAGGAAAGAATGATTTCAAAGCTGTAGAGTTGAAGGAAGGTGAACCAGATTGGACTGATGATGAAGCAAAGGCATGATGTTGAGGGGGAACTCGGGCGGGTTTATATACAAACAAGCTCACGATGAAGAGGATATTAGCGGTGGGACTGGTCCAGCCTGTGAGTCTATTTTCTCCCCCATCGCAAAGCTCGCAACATGCTGCATGGGTCCCATCGTGCTGATGCTATTCCGAATAGCCCCCAGGACTGGACCCAGTTGGCGGTTGTTGGCTTACACGCCATAGCGAGCTAAGGCAGGCTTACGCTGGGCCAGACTTGGGCTATACCAGACCGTCCTAGTGGCTCCTAAAAACGGCATCCTTGGCACTGTCAGTTGGTGCGCCTTGCCAGCTTAGAAGCTGTTGGCTCCCCAATGGGAAGCTCTCCCTTTCGGTAAGCCGGTGTGACCAGTTGGATTCGGGAACCGGCCACCATCCTGTCTAGACTGCAGATCTCCCAAAAGGCGCGTTCCTGGATGCGATTCTTGAAGCTATGCAGGTCCCTCCTCCACGCACAACGGGCCTGGAGCTAAGCTGAGCTGGGCCCAGAGCTCTTCCAGCTGCACGAGAGCGCCCAGACTCTCCTCACCGTACAGCTGAAGGTTAGGCTACGGGGCACGGTCACAATAATTGGGAAAAGCAAGCAACATAAGCGAGTACAGCTCAGCACACTGGTGCCCCTGTACGAAGAGGCTTGCATGGCTAGGAACATGAGAAGCAACAGCTCTGAAAACCCCCAGCGCCAACGGCAGACACGGTACGTCCGGTGAATAATAATCACTCAATCAGGCCAATCAGTTGGTCATGCGCCAACACGCTCCAGGGACCCAGCAGGAGGCTGAGTCTGACAAGACCGCAGTGCCTTGCAGCTCACAGCACCCGCTTACTACTATGTGGAGGGCTTCACGCCAACGTACTTGGCAGTCCTGATTCGGCCACAGGGAATGGGCCCGAGTGCTATTTTGAGGCCTCTGCGTGCATAACAGTCAGCACTCTCGCGGGTGTTTTCTGGGTCTTGTGCGAATGGCATGCGAACGAGCCTGTGGAGTTCCGTGCGCTTGAGGGCATTTATCTGCCTGTTGGTCTTTGTAAGATAGTCAGAATGGTAAAAATGGTTACTCTTGTTGGTAATTGTGTCTAAATCCATCCCTCTCATGCTGGGCCCAGGATAGTTCTCCATCAGTCACTGCGGGAGGGCGTTGGTCTGGTCGGCTGCGAGCAGGATCAGCAGCCCCTCCATGAGGTCTGGGGATCGCTGGGCAGGTCAAAGTCCCTACTGGCAGGTTCCGGTCGATTGCCACACATCTCCCTCGGTGAGGCGTCAATCCGAAACGCGCTATCACGAGCGTTTTCCATCGACCGCTTTCAGCTCGGATGGTAGTTTCAATAATGACTTCGCATTCAGCTGAGCGCGTACTGACCGCTGCTTTTTTGGTCTCGCCCAAGCACGCCTTGTGCCTGGACGCTTCCAAGTGGCGCTGGACGATCCGCCCCGAGCCGAGACTCAGCCCTCCCAATAAATCCCACAGCGCCAATGAAACCATTGATCTGCCAGGCCCTAATTCCGCGGCACAGGCCTAGTCAGTATCGCATTGATCACCTAACTATAAGCAGAGAGACTATCCCACGCCGTCAATAAAATGGAATTGCCGGATCCCAATTTAGGCTTGAGGAGCTGAATCATCCCCTGCAGTGGTAGGAGCTACCCTGTGGCTTTGCGCTTCCATCCCACGCATCAATATTTGCTATTTGCATGTAACCAAATACTAATGAACCATTGAAAATGATTTTGTTGCAAATTTTAGTATCACTCAGAGTGAACCAGTTCTGCGCAAGGGTGTGCAACTATCCCGCCTGGCCAGCGTTGTGATCGGATGGTTCCGAAAAGATTCCCAATGGCCCTGTTCGAGTTTTGTTTGCATGCGATCGAAAAAGCTGCCACCGAGCACATCTATCGATCGAGTGCGGCGCACTTCAAGTCAAAAAAACTGGCTATAAGTTCTCAGTCCTGGCTAAACAGCCTTTAGATCGAATTCTTGGGTGTTAAACCACAGGCCAGACGAGGACTGCGCCAGGCACAATCATCCACTAGAGCACTCGTCTGCGCACCCGGCGCATCGCCAACTAGAGGAACAAGATGCGACGATCATTTCTAATCTCATGACGTCTGGTATTCCTCCTCAAGATATACGGACCTACGCTCATAAGCACTTGGACACCCTGATTACTCAACGGGATCTCTGTAACCGTTTTGCAACCACAAGGAGAGATGTCCGGGAAGGCCAGAGCAGTATCCACGCCTTGGTTGACCAGTTGCACAGCGAGGGTTTCTGGTGTCGAGTCCGATTGGATACGAACAATCGGCCGACAGCCATTTACTTCGCCCAGCCAGACTCTATAGCGTACCTGCAGTGCAAGTTGGATGTCCTATTATCAGACTGTACTCATAAGACAAACAAAAACCACATGCCGCTTCTTGATATGGTCGGAGTCGACTCCTGCCAACGATCTTTATGTATTGCATTTGCTTTTCTCTCAGGCAATCGGAAGAAGATTACTCATAGGCATTACGACATCAAAAAACCGCTCCATCAGCATGATCTCCCGTCTGTCATTCTGACGGGCCGATGCCTAGCCGCGATGAATGATGCTGCGACATGGTTCTATACATCAAAAGCACTACTTTGCCTGTGACATGTTAACAAGGCTGCTCTTCAAAACTGCAGGCCTTCCTCCATACAACAAGTCGACCAAGCCTCTGACCAGGCAAGCACACGGGGCGTGGGAAGAATTTTCAAGTACGCCTACTAGCATTCGATTGTCTTGATATTTCTGTAGTGCTATTTGAAGCGCCACAAGGCTGGGTTTCGCACCATGCCTTGCGAAAGGTGCAAGAGCAGCGGCAGCTACTTCCAAAGTCACATCGCGCTCCTTGCAGTCATGTCTTCACGTCTTTACTCGGGCAGCCGTATTCGTACACACTGAAACAGTTACAAGAGGAGAGACAGAGCCTTTTACTTGAACATTTCCATCCACATTGAGTGGAATGGAGAGACCGCGATAGAAGGCTCCTTCTGGTCAAAAGGGCGATGCATCTTTCTGAGGAGATTTGCCAAGCTGATGGAGGCGGCCGCCGCTCGTTTATTGACACTCTGGTCACATCCAGCAAAGCGGCTGTTGTGCCTCATATCCCTACCTGGGATATTACGTCGAAGCTTTGGGATAACACATATGTACAACTTGAGTGCCAGGGGTGCGTTCCTGCTGACGCAGACAATGCTGCCACACTTGCCTCCATATACCATGTCTTCACCAGCGGACTCTTCGGAGTGATGTCAGGCTCAAGAATCATTTGCATAGGCTCTGTTTTGAGCCGTATCCGGCAGCCAGGATTTAATCTTCTATTCATCTACGAAGAGAGCTCTAGAGTTCATGATGGAAGTTTAGGCAGAAGAGTTGCGACCGAATTACGGTTGCAAGGTGAACGGGATAGCACCAGGGCCGCTGAAAATCGAGACATTTCAAAGAGGAGCAGGAGGTCATTTAGAGGCGACCAAATCCGAGTATATGCGGTGGCGCCCAATAGGCTACTAGGTACATGTAGTCAGGGAGGCTTTCTCCACGACAACAGAAATTATACGCTTTTATAGGTATATCAAATGTGCAATATTCCCGCTACGAAACCTCTTCCGCAACTACCACTTCTGGCCGTAATCTTATAGCAGATCATAGATCAATATCCTCAGAAATGACAATAGACACCCTATAGTAATATGTATGGGGAAGGTTGTTGTCGTAGCCTGAGGTCATATCTTGAGCCTGTTACATGGGTTTGGATCACGGCTCCGAGGTCAAAGCCGAGCTCAAAGCCGCTGACTAAGCGGGATTTTGTATAGGAACCTAAACATTTGGAGGATTGCCTTCAAGCGCACTTGCCACCACTCACTTGACATGAAGGGTATTATAAGTTTTGTGCTCCTTGGCGTAATTAAATCTACTATTATAGCTCCCTTGCCGGCGAGCGGGTTTTGGCTAACTGCCGAAACGCTCCACAACTATTTCCACTTCGCTTCCGCAGACATGTCGGGTGCCCAGCTCGTCCGCCAATCGAAGTCGTCTTGAGCTATTGTACGTATGCTAGGCGAATATATGTGACTTCTTATCTATATCCATGGGGGGTAAACCACCCCTCTTGCTTGTTTCATCTATTAGAAGGGTCAATTCGCATTTGTCGAAACCCGCGATTCGGGGCGTAGGTCGCCCGCAAACCGGTGAACCGCCATGGACGGAGCCGAAAAACATGGCCGACTCCGGTGGACGTTGGCAAACATTATTATTAAAAGCTCGAGATGCAGATACACAACCTCAGAAAAGAAGGCTTTCATTCAGTCTCAGTCCTGTTTGATCAATTTCAAGCCTGCGATAGTGCATCTTGTCTCAAGATGGGAAGTGTCAACGACCACATGCAGCCCATGAGCGCGACGGGCATCAACATGCTCATTGTCGGTGCTGGCATCGGTGGCCTTTCTCTGGCGATCGAAGCCCACCGCAAAGGGCATACTGTGCGCATTATCGAAAAGCGAGCCGAGCTTTCTGCGTTGGGCGACACGATTGCGCTCGAGTCCTCGGCGATCCGCACAATGCTTAGGTCGTGGCCGGGCTTCGCCGAACGCGCGGCTGCGGTTTGCATCGACCCAGGGTACAACTTCTACGCGGAAAACGGTGACTATCTTGGCACATACTCGATGGGGGACCCGGACCTGCCGCCCATCTTGGCGCACCGGATCGAATATCACCACTTGCTATACGACTATCTACGCGAACTTGGGATCGAAGTCGAGCTCGGCAAGGCTTGTGCCGACTATTTCGAGGAAGAGGGCTACGGCGGCGTCGTTCTTGAGGGGGGGATCAAGATCACGGCGGATGTCGTTGTGGCGGCGGACGGGGTGGGATCGTCCTCGTGGAAGTTGGTGGTGGGTAAGCCTGTCAATGCTGTGCCTAGCGGGTTTGCTATCTACCGCTGTAATTTTCCTCTGGGACCTGCCTTGGAGAGCAGCTCGATGTTGCGCGATAGGTATGGACAGTATAAGACGCGGTTTGAATTCTTTCTGGCCCCGCATGGTGTCCTCGTCTTTTCCTTGACACCTCGCAGAATGTCTTTTATGCTGGGACATCCAGTAAGTTGATCCTCCCCTAAACCTGTATGTTTCCTTCAGAATTTGGATTAAACATCTACAGGCGAGTCTCACCTCGTCAGAGAAATGGGCCGGCACCGTTGACAAGGCTGAGTGTCTCCCCTTTGTCAAAGGCTGGGACCCTATCTGTACTGAGATCATCAATGCTGCACCGCCCGACAGCATCATAGACTGGAATCTTGTGTGGCGTGATCCCCAAGAAAATTGGGTCTCTCCAAAGGGTCGAATTGTCCAGATCGGCGACGCATCACACCCATTCTTGCCATCAGCAGGTTATGGAGGCACGCAGGCCCAAGAAGACTCCATGTCTCTCCCCGAGTGCCTGCGCCAAGCCGGAAAGGTCAACATCCCCTTGGCACTGCGTGTTCATAATAAACTCCGGTAAAGATAAAGCCCTCACTTTATATTTGGATGCAGCCGAGGTACGCTAACAACCTTTGGGAGACAGATTTGAAAGAGTGGCTTGTTGTCAAAGACTTGGTTTCATGAATCGTGAACTGATCTTGAATGTGCGAAGACAGGGAAGTTTGGAGAACCTCGCAATGATACATGGAGACTGGCTGTACAAACATGACCCAGAAAAGTATGCTGAGGAGGAGTTTCAGGAATGCGCTTCCTCTATCCTGATGGGCACCCCTTATAAGGTCAAGAACTCGGTACCCGGCTATGAATATGAGCCATGGACTGTTGAGGGTCTCATGGACCTAGCTGAAAGGGGCGTGGATCTGGAAAAGATTGTTGGAGGCACGTGGAGAACCTCGAAGCAGCGACAACCTTAAAACATACGACACGCGTGTACTGTACTCCGTATACATACACTGTCGATATAGAATCACTCCTTCTAGTATGGTGATGTGGAAAAACAGAACTTTCGTTGTTAACCAACAACTGTTGAATCTATCTCGATTAGCTGCACAGTTGGAAATCGTATGATGTTCCTACCTCATGGGATGGTACGGAACTTGCAGGTGGTTCATACGGTCCCATAAAGTCGGGCATCTTGCCCATTGCTCATCCCCCCCCAATAATCCTACTTGGTTTTGGCACCTCACTCGATATCCCTGACAGTGTTATCCCTCAATCCAAGCAACATTCTAGTACCAAATGTCACGTCACCACCTTGACACGATTAAGCGAGAGCCCAAAATTTAGAAAAATTCCAAGGATATTCCCGAAAGAATGGGCTTTTTTTTTTACCGGGGGTTAAAAACAACCAAAAGGGTTTTCCCTTCAAGTAACGAAGTGGCCGGCGTATTCTCAAAGAGATATGTCACTGGATATGAGAGTACGTAGAGACGCGAAACACTACATGCAGTTCAATCGTGGTTCGTGAAGACAATCGGAATTGTGCCATCACTCTCGTCACACTCGAAGTCGGACTGAAAGTCAAGTGAACATGGGTTAAAGAACCCTTTATTTTCTGACAACTAATTCACAATATCCCCCCGTAACCCGTCATTATGCCATTCACTTCATGCCTTTCGTGATGCTCAACGTGATAACCTGTCCGCCCTTAGGTGCACTTGACCCACCAAGCGCAGCCCTCGCAGCTCTGGGTGTACCAGCAGGGGTTGCCCTTCTCAGAGCAAGAAGTGCCGCCGGCGCACTCCTGGATGTTGGCCAGCTGGCCCCAGATGCACTTCAGGGTGGTGTCCTCGGGCTTGTATGGGTTCAGCGCGCAGGTGCCGTTGCCGGAGCTCTGGGCGAAGGCGGGAACAGCCGCAATGGCCAAGGTAATGATTGCTGCAGGACGCATCTTGATGTCTGAACAGTACAGATTAGTTTCTCTAGTCAAGACAATTGGGAGGTGATGTGTATACTTTATGAGTCGTTTTTAAGGTGACAGGTGCTTATGAAATGGTTTGAGTTGTAGATTAGGGTCAAGTAATCTGGGGGTGTCAGCCCTATTTATGTTCCAAACTTTCCTTGCCCAACAGTTCATGTCAACAAATTACCATCAGACCGCGGTCGGTGCATTGACAACTGGACACCGGGGCCGCAGTCGTCGGGCAAAGGCTATAACTACCTGCCTAATGGGGGCATTACATGGATCGCAACCAGTGAACCAAGAAACTTGGCGCGAGTCAGATCCTTTGGACAGCGATTGGGGTATTGAAAGCCTGTCTATAATATGCTCAGCTTTCGAAATGGGATCGAATCTCAATAGGTTCATGGACATCGTGGCAAAACTATTGCCCATGATGTTGCATCGAGGCATGCTTACGGCACTAGCTAAACCCCTGAAATGTCAGTTGTGTCATGCAACAGGCCAAGACCCGGGAAATTCGGCATTTGAGTATCCCCATCTGGACAGCCTGCGCCCCTCGTTCGTTTTTGCGGGAGGATATGTGACTTTGGATCCCTGAGAGATGGTCTTCACCGCTTAAAAAGTTTCTTCTTTGCAGTATGGTAAGCTTCAACATCGAAATCGGTGTGCACACCCCATACTAGAGGAGCGTGATCATCCCATCCGTTACTTCATCCGACTTCCTGTAACACCAGCAAGCCCTCCAGGAATACAATCTCATATGGATTGAGAAACAATTGAGTGGCTAGCGGCTACCAGGAAAATCAATCTTCTGTTATTGAACACATTATTTGTACAACACTTCTGCAGGAACAGCAAACTCCACGTGCCAAGGTACCACCTTACAGCCAAGGAGAGGCGGTGTTTACCGGAAAAGTCCTTGGGTCGAAATTGGTTTCATGGATGCTCACTGGTAAGGCAGAATGAGGGGAGTGGAGCACTGGAGGAATGAACGCCTTGGAGGTCAACCTAATTTGAGAGACCTAGGGGTATTTAGGAAGTCATCTCTCTTCTTTATTGGCTGATTTACGAGAAATCCATCTTCTTTATAGCTACAATCACCTGAGCAGTCTTACGTATACGTATGCAGTGGATATGTAGAGCGAGACTGCCCAATTTTCCCAGGCTTTTGTATAGGAGATTTGGGTGGCCAGCCGCCCATACGGCTGTACTCTTCGGTTCTTTCTGCTAGGAGACTCTCGTTCTATCGATCCACGTACAAATGCCTACTTCTAGTTGATTTCCATCGGACAAACGAGCCCTGGCGGAGATAGAGGGCGTATCAGTAGAGCTTGTCTGCTGAAGAGTCGAAGAGGACAATAATGACCTTTTTAAAGCAATCTCAACGAAATCCGAAGCCGAGCTTAAAACGAAGCGTTAAATTAATCAAATGTCGAGGAGCGATTGACATATACAGTACAGAGCGGCTCTGGTTGGAAATGCTGAATGATACTACTCAAAGCGAGAATTGTTGTCCCTCAAACCGGTCGCCCAAGCCTTATTTTCTTGTCGCAGCGTTCTCCGTAGAGAGTCGAGAGCAAGGGTTCTCCAAGTGCGTTTGTACCAAGCGCCGAGACATGCTCAACGGTAGAAGCAAGCCATTTTAGCATACAAAGCCTGACTCCATATAATTTCAAAGAATAAAACTTGGTAAATCAGAGATTGAGGGTAGTTCTAACTAGAATTCCAGAACCTTAATCTCAAGTTGCTATCACCTGTTTATATTTGAACTAGTTTCATGTTGCAAATGGCCAGAGTGACTGTGAGAGAGGTTTTTGGCAATGAATGAGCGACTGTGAGAAAAGTGCCACTCACTGCTCCCCGGAATGTTCATCACTGCCTGCGCACAGCTAATTCTGCACAGTGTGCAACCTGAGCTCACAAACAACTCCCAACCCCGCATTCTCTCAGGAATCCGGAGAGGGGTCTGGGTGTAGTTCGCCATACCGGGGCCGAATGCAACACTCTGGGGTCGTCTGATACTACAACAGGGTACAATGATGCAGTCTGTCCAATGAAAGAAGCCAATATTCTCCATCTATTCCAAGAAATGGTATTGTTGTGGGCAGATAAGATCGTTCATCAAGCTCGGAGTTATTCACCCGACCAGCAACATACGTCACAACTCAGGAGATGGACACTCCTCATTTCCCAGATAGATTTACAGAGCTGCTCTAGACTATCAAAGCTTTGAGAGATGTTGTGCTATTCCTTCATACTATCATTCAGAACATTGAAGGTTTCAATCCAATAATTCGCCTTCACGATCGTATTAAGATGAGCGCCAATCAGGACAAGGACCAGCCAAGCGTTGCTCATAATGAAGACTCGGAACCTGGCCAAATCGTGCCAGAATTTACAGAAGAGGAGGTCAAAAGGATCCGTCGTCGAATAGACCTACGGCTCATTCCTGCCTTGGGTCTGATGTATGGAATCTCACTGATGGACAGAACCAACGTCTCTCATGCTGCCATCGCCGGCATGTTTGACGACCTCAATCTCAATACCGGATATGGATACAGTACAATAACCTTAATTTTTTTTGTGTCTTATATCGTCTTCCAGCCTGCGATGACTATACTCTGCCGCAAGATCGGTCCAAAGATCTTCCTCTCGGCTGCTTGTCTCGCCTGGGGTGTCGTCCTTATCGGATTCGGCTTTGTTCAAGACTGGAAAGCAATGGTTGGACTTCGGGTTATTGTGGGAGTATTTGAGGCAGGCTTTTTCCCTGGTGCGGTTTATCTATTGTCTACATGGTATACTCGATGTAAGGCTTTCTTGATGCGCCCGTTCGCGACGGTAGCTAATCCAGCATCTGTGTACTAGATGAAATTGGCAAACGGTACTCGGTCTTCTATATGACGGGAACTATCCTGTCAGCACTATCGGGGATTCTGGCATATGGTTTAATGCAACTGGAGGGTCATGGCGGGCTACGTGGCTGGCGTTGGTAAGTCAATCTGGCTCTCTACAGTTCATCATTGCCCAAGCTAACGCAGGCTGGGGTGACAAGGATTTTTATCCTCGAAGGAATCATAACGTGTGCCGTGGCCCTCTTTGATTATATTGTACTGGTCAAGTTCCCAGATCAAGAAGCTGAAAGCCCTTCGCCTCTGTTCCTGCAAGTAGACGAAGCTAAGATCGTGCTTCAACGTCTCGACGCTGACCGTGGGGATACCAAACTGGAACCGTTCTCGCTCGCTGCATTCTTAAAGCCAGCCAGGGAGATTGAGATCTGGGCTTTTGCGTTTCTATTTTTGTGAGTGAGAATTGATATTTTCTTCCCCATCAGCAAGAGATGTTATCTCATCTTTTACTCTCATATCTTCCTGTTGCCGCTTACAAGCTAATGGCCGTCCCTTGGGGTGCTGTAGTCTCTGCACGACCGTCACATATGCGTTTGGGTTCTTTGGCACCGTCGTCTTGAGACAAAGTCTCGGGTTTAGTGTAGCAGAAGCTCAATGCCTTGGATCGCCGCCATACGTTTTCGCCGCAATTGTCATGTTCACCGGTTCTTGGGCCGGTGATCGCTACAAGAAACGAGCACTCATTCTCTTCATCAACTGCGCGATTGGAATCACGGGCCTACCAATTATGGCTTTTCATCCCGATCCCAAGGTCAAGTATTTTGGCATTTTCATCGCCGTGGCAGGCGTAAATGCGAACATTCCTGCCATTATGTCTTACCAGGTTCGTGAGGAAATCCAGCCATCTGAGAGGATGCCAGAGCCCAGTCATGCTAACCCTCAAACTTGTCACCACAGGCCAACAACATCCGTGGTCAATGGAAACGAGCGTTCTGCTCTGCTCTACTCACCGTCTTCGGCGGCATCGGTGGTATTGCTGGCAGTCTCGTTTTCAGAAGCCAAGACTCTCCGCACTACCGACCTGGTATGATTGCTTGCTTAGTGTAGGTCCTATTACCCTAAGTTCATACCTCACCTCGTGCCTGTCCATCCGCTATTACTTCCAGCTAACATCTTCTCTCAGCTGTACTGCGCTCATTGCTATCGTGACAGCAGCACTGTCTCTGCTTTTCAAGCACCGGAATAGAAAGGCGGATCGAGGTGAGCGTGTCATCAATGAGAGCCCAGAGTTTAGGTATACGATCTAGCGCCTCAATCATCACGACATGCGAGATTACATTGCTTTGTGGTCTTCTCGGTCCGAGATAGAACAGATGTAGGACAAAATCCAGCTTCAGCCGCGGCTTTAAGGGCCCGCTCTAGAGGTTTAGCACTGTACTTATAATAGAAACTTTGCAATAGTCAAAATCCATGCCATCGTGATCGAATTGACCCTCTTATGTTGGTGCCCGATGCGAAATGACTACATGTACCAAGGTGGTAAAACTCCTGGTCTCAAGCCGAGGCCCGTCAAATTGTGGCTCATGGTGTGGCTTACAACATGTGGCGTAAAATCAGCCGGTTGCCCAAGCAGCGCACCACAACTCACCAGTCTTCAAGTTTTCTAGTTGCCATAGCCCTTGAATTGCCAGTAAGCCCTTCGATTGTCTTTAACATGCCGATGGTTGGTCACTGCATCTTGGCACCGGTGTACGTTAGATGTTAAAGAACCATGAAGACCCCGGATTTCTTGCCACATTCCAATCAGATGTGGGTCTCTCAAAATCTTATCTTATCTCACTAACGAATGTACAAACACTCACGCGTAAGAACAGGTGAAGACAAAGTACTTCCGATACGATAAGATAATCCGCCCCCGCCAGCTCGCTTGAGAAAATGGCCATTTGCCAACAATTATCCCACAATCGTTCCATCCAACGCATCCTCTCAGCAACAGCCATTGAGGCAGATTCCTCCTTGCTACCAATATTCACAATGTCGAAATCAAAATCAGCGAAACGAAAGCGAAACGCGCAGCTCGAAGACCCCCGGAAAACTCCAAAGACCCAGGCGGCGACCGGCGCGACGCTCGTTACTCCACCCCCAGACGATCCGAAGAGCATACACACAGTCATCTCGGAAGAGGAGCTCGAGATTACCGTCGATACCCTCAAGACCCTTGCTCAATTCCCTGGCCTTATCAAGACGAAGGCATGCAAGGATCTCCGCGTGGCCTCCTATGACTTCCGCCAAGCGTGCACGACTGGCTCGATTGCCGCAGGTATGTCCCTATCAAATGCTCCCCGAGTCCTTGTGGATGACGTCGGTTCAACCAACTAACACATCCTTCTCTTATTTCATTAGAGGGCGCAAATCTTTCGGCACGAGTTTCAGCAGCGTTAGCAGACGAAAAATACATGGAAGCGAGGATCCTGCTGGCAGAGATGAAGATCCGAAGTCAAGAGCCCAAGCTGGGGACTCTTTGTCGCTGGGTTCGCGATCTCGATGTCATCAGCGGCCTGTCGCAACCGGACAGTGTTGCCAATGGCGGCAATATTGAGCGTACACCAAGGGAGCAGGATCTCCTCGCTGTCCTCGACTTAATTCTGCGCGTGTGCGGCCAGATCGATACCAACACCAAGGCCGTCGTCCGCGACCTGCCCTCGACCTTCTACCCGAGCATCACCCTCCAACCCACTTGGGATCTCAGACCTTCCACCACACCGCTCGAAGTGTATGCGTCGGTACTAGACAAGACAATCTTCGAGTCAGCGCCACCTGGATTGTCTACAGCACTACGGACGATCGAAACGACGCCGGGCCCCCAACGAAAGCCTCCCAACCACTACCCCGCGATCCTATACACATCGAAACCAAACTCTATCCCGCTCGCAGACAAGGGCCCGGAGGTTGAATGGGTCAAGCACCCCCACGTTCCGGGGCTTGGTCTTATAAAGAATGTTCTCTCGGTTGAGGAGTGCAAGGGCATCATCGCCGCCGGAGAGCACGTCAAGTTCCTCCCCGATGCGCCCCTGCGCGAGGATGGCGACACCAGCATCCTGGCGCATAACTTCTATTGGGTCGTCGACACCGAGTTCCACGACCGTCTCTGGTCACGCGTGTCTCCGTTCGTCCCTCAATCGGTAGATGGCCGTCTGGTCCGCGGCATCAACCGCCGGTTCCGCGTCTACCGCTATGTCCCAGGTGCTGAGTACAGGTCTCATATCGATGGTAATTGCTCAATCCACCCTCTCTCATATTCATCGTTTGTAATTGCTGACGCTGATTCTCTCGCAGGCGCTTGGCCGCCTTCAGGCATCCTCCCAGACGACACGTATGTATACGACGCATCACCGGCAGACAAGAAGCAGAGCTCGCTATTTACATTCCTCATATACCTCAACGACGAATTCGAAGGCGGGCAGACGACGTACTTCTTGCCAGCAGCGCGCGAAGGAACGCTGAATGCGTACCCGGTCCAGCCCGTGATGGGCTCCGTCGCGCTCTTCCCGCACGGAGACACAAGGTTGGCGCCGCTGCACGAAGGCACGGGAGTAACGAAGGGAGCAAAATACGTGATACGCACCGAGGTGGAATATGATGTAGAGCCCACTAAAGAGGCATGAATAATGAGATGATTTGCGCAACCACTATCTGCATTAAAGAGAAATTAATTGTGATTATAGCCATGTGCGTGACGCTCTTGTGGTGGATAATGAATTAACGGAATGAATTTGGATATGGCGCTGCTTGTCGCCGAGGCGGCCTGAGCCCAACTTGAATCAATCGAAATATTACACACACGAGAAAATACATACTATATCATTCTTGCATGAAGTTTAGACGTAGAATTGTCATGGCTATGCCTGTAAAGAGGCGTGTCGGTAGAAGAACCACGCCAAAGTCGGCGGGAAAGTTCATCATCATCACGGTGTGAGCTATCTGAGGGTTCACTTTTGAGAGATGATAAACTAGAAGGCAACCCTGCCGCCTTCCCAGATTTAAGTGAATACAACATATCTCAAAGAAATAAGCATACGGATGGTGCAATGAGGCGGCTAAAAATATTTTTATTGGGAGACGGGAAGCACCAAGTGCAAAGAGGCTAAGCCAGGCACAAGCAGGTAGATGTATCTCAATGTCAAGCTTTCATTAGGCTCAGCGAATTGTCACGGGAGGCACTCAGGGGACTTTATTAACATAATAATCTTTCAATTCAAATCGCTACACTCAAAGGAAATTGTCTATGATCCAGTCCTATCCAACACCTCCAAACAGCGAACTCGAAAACCGGGTGTTCTAGAGGGACCGTCGCCGACCCCGCTCGAAACATATTTTATACAAGAAAACTCGCCTGGTGGCCGAAGCCGTCGCGGGAGAAGCGACAAAGGAGCCGCTTACTCCTCAGACTCCTCGGAGGAGGAAGTCTCGGAGTGAGACTGGCGGTGGGTGTTCTCGGACTCCTCGGAGTGCTTGGAGCTGGCCTTCTTGGAGCCGTGGTTCTTGGAGGCGTGCTTGCCGGCAGTCTTCTTGCCGTGGGCAGACTCGGAGTTCTTGGAGGCGTGCTTGGAGTTCTTGGAAGCGTGCTTGCCGGCGGTCTTCTTGCCGTGAGCGTTCTTGGAGTTCTTGGAGGCGTGCTTGCCGTGGGCGGTCTTGGAGTTCTTGGAAGCGTGCTTGCCGGCAGTCTTCTTGCCGTGAGCGGTCTTGGAGGCGTGCTTGCCGTGGGCGGTCTTGGAGTTCTTGGAAGCGTGCTTGCCAGCAGTCTTCTTACCGTGGGCCTTGACACCCTTGCCGTTCTTCTTGCCGTGAGCAGTCTTGGAGTTCTTGGAGTGCTTGCCAGCAGTCTTCTTGCCGTGAGCCTTGACGCCCTTGCCGTTCTTCTTGCCGTGAGCAGTCTTCTTGCCGTGAGCCTTCACACCCTTGCCGTTCTTCTTGCCGTGAGCAGTCTTCTTGCCGTGGGCCTTGACGCCCTTGCTGGCCTTCTTACCGTGAGCGGTCTTCTTGCCAGCCTTGACGCCCTTGCCAGTCTTCTTGCCGTTGGCAGTCTTGGAGTGCTTGTTCTTGGAGGCGGCGTTCTTGCCGTGGGCCTTGACGGACTTGGAGCCCTTCTTGCCGTTCTTGCCCTCAGTGTGCTTGGAGGCAGACTTGGACTTGGAGCCCTCCTTCTTGCCGTGGGCGGTCTTGGAGTTCTTCTCCTTGTGGGAGACGGACTTCTCCTTGCTGGAGTGCTTGGAGTTCTTGGCCTTCTTGCCGTCAACCTCCTTGGAGGCAGACTTGGACTTGGAGCCCTTGTGGCCCTTCTCCTTCTTGGAGGAGGAGGTGGAGTCGGTTTCGGTCTTCTCCTTCTTGCTGGAGTTCTTGGCGTTCTTCTCCTTCTTGGAGACGGACTTCTCCTTCTTGCCGGTGCTCTCGGTCTCGATCTTCTCCTTCTTGCCCTGGGTATTCTTGGAGGTGGTGGCCTCCTTCTTACCCTCGGTCTTCTTGGAGGCGGCGGGAGCCTTGACGGCGGCCTTCTTCCCGTTGGCGCGGGTCTCGAGCTCAAAGTCGTCCTCGTCGCGGGTCTCCATCAGGAGCTCGGCGGCGTCGAACTCACCGCGGACGGCGATGTCGGAGTCGGAGTTTGCGGGGGCGGCGGCGACGACTCCGAGGAGGAGAGGTGCCATGAGGGTCAACTGCTTGAGGGAAACCATTTTGAAATTATTTTTTTCAAGGGGAGACAAGGAAAAAAATATTATGAAAGATTATTAGAAAGGGGGGGTGAAATGTCCTGTTAAAAACAGAACAAGGAGAAGAAGAAAAAGAGAAAAGGAAAAAAAGGAAAAAAGAGACCGGCTCTTAAAGAAAATGTGTTTTTTGTTGTTTTTGTTGTGGATGGGAGAAGAAGTTGGATCTTTGGACGAGGGAAGAGCCGTCTTATATACCGGTTTGGAGAGGCCGGACTCTGGAGAGAAAACATCTCAGCTTCGCGGGCCGCCCTAGGCAGGCACTGGCCCACGGCGACGAGAGCCGGGATTCTAAAATTACACACACGGCTCGAATTACGAGAACATGTCCGGATGGGGGAGGCCCAGCTGTGCTGACGGAGTCTGGTATCGGACCAGGATGTCGTCTCTCCGTCCTGAGCAGGCTCGAATCTGCGGGTTGTGTGTCTGTTTCGACCTGTTTAGGGGTTAGGACGGATCAGGGGTCTGGCCAAGCTCTGTTCAGTGTGCCGGTGATCCCTGCTTCCATCGGGGCGGGGAGCCAGGTCGGCACTCGAATGTATTTCTGGATTCATGCGCAGCCCAAAGGTTCCGTCTGGTGTGGGCCGGCTTACTCCCACTACCACGACGGCGCAGCTCGCAAAGGCATCAGCCCTGGACAAGGAAGTCTAGCTGCCTGCTGGGGTATGGCATGGCACAATTTTCCAGTGATCTGACCTCACAGCAGTGCTCTGGATGATACTGGATGCTGCTGTTTTCTCCGATACTCGCTGGACTTTGGTGGTCTCCAAGCACTAACCCCATGATTGAAGCGATGCACGACATTCCGCCCACGCCATCGCCAGCCCTCGTAAATTATTATCAATCAATCGGCCGCTCACCAACCCTGCTTTGCGCGGGAAAGCATATTAACAATACTTGGCGAAAGAGCTGAAGCTGGGCGCAGGGCAGTCGGTAGGGGACAGGCCAGGACCTACAGGGCGAAACTACAGGGACTGGAGGTGGGGGAAGGATTTGCCCATCGGCCACTCACCCCTAAAAAGATGGCCAGAGCTAAGCTCCGTCCCTGGTAGTGATTCGGCTAGCCTTGGCCCTAATGTGCTTAATATAGCCCTGTTCGAATCAGTCTCCAGCAGGCTGAGGACATGCCTAATCACGGATCATCGCTAAGGAGAATAGCCCATTCAGCACCTGAAGCACCAGCAGCTATTGCATCATGTCGCTTCTGATCTTGGGTCAGGTGTGTTTGGAACTGGCAATCCTATGCGTCTCTGCACGGCGCTGAAGGAGCACGTCATGCAGTGCACTTGTTCCAGATGCTTCACACAGCTCAGCCCAGGCCTCGGCAGCGTAAGCGAACATCCTGGTGAGCAGACCGGACAGGTCCACTGCGTATTAATAAAGCTTGACCTCATCCCGGCCAATGACAGCCCGCTGACATGCTCTCCGCTCATTTACCCAACCCGCTCTGTCGCTCAAACAGACAATTCACGAGAAGCTCAGCTGGGAGGACCAGTCAGCACACTAACGTCCAGCCCATGTACGATCCTCGCAGCCCAGCCACAGGGCAGAGTGATTGAGTGATTGCTCGGATTTTGACGGTTTCTGGCTTGGCCCGACAAGACAATGTAGTGTCCCCGCTCCGTAATGAAGATTACTACCTCGACAGGAAGAACTTTGGAGATGCACCCGGGATCTGGTTAATTAAAACCTGCGACTTGGCGAGATTTGATGTTGGTCACCCAAGCCTGGATGAGGATGTTGGCATCGGCACTTACTCTATACGGCGTATTATCGTACTTGGGTGGTGTTTCCCGGCATTTACCCCTCTTGCGATGTTGGTGGTGGTGCGACAATCCTGTTGGTGATGTGTCAATTGAACGCAAGTGCTGACCTGTAGTCCCGATCATCGCAACTTTGGTTGGGAATAGTAGCACAAGTCCCTAACTTTAACGGCACTCGTAGTCTTGTGCCGTAGTCGCGTGGATGTTGTAATACGTATAAATTTTGTTGCGCAGATGTTGTTAGTAGGTTGGGAGCTACGAAATTTGAGAGTTGCAGGCCGTTTGGAAGGTGCTATCAATTGATGCTCCAGTTTGTCAAGACACAATCATCATTCAGGACATCCATCGGCTCTTTTGAAAACTAACATTTACCTAATACTCCCATTACATAAAAAAAACAAACCAGACTCTTGATATCAACGTTAAATCATGAAAGATCCAAACTACGAGTGACTATTGATGATTGTTTGCTCAATGTCGGTGATGTAGGGTAGGCTCACCGTATGATGCGTATCGTGTCTCTGGAGCCCGTACGCGGTATTACGGAATCGAGTATTATTTTCTGACTCGCCTCCACCCCGGCTACATCGCTTTAAGGCTTAGTTAGTGGCCAGGCTTGGTTAGTGGCTAGGCTTAGAAGGCTTGGGCCTGTCCCTGTCCCTAGAGCTCACGGATGATGTGCTGGCTCAGGCCATTTTTGGGCATTTTGAAAGCACATCAGCAGCTCGGCGATTTCCTCCAGATGCAGCCAGATCCCCCAGATCAGCGGTCGGTCTTCTCTCTGCTTTCTGTCCATTCCGCCAGCCGGAAAAATCGGCATTGGGGTTGAGCACAGGTCTAATTTTAAGCATCGCTTGAGGAGGCGAGCGTTGTGTCCCGCCCAGGCGACCCGAGGTTCAACCCGATGGTAAGGCCAGGTGAAGGTCGGCACGCTGGTGATGCGCATCAGGCGGTGTACTCAGAAGACCGAGAATGAGATCATAGCCAACGAGTCAATCCCGTATGCGCGCGTTCACGCCCACAACCCGGCGTTGCGACACACGATCCGCGGAGTGCGGCCAAACCTCATGGTCGGCCAGGGGCATCACCTGGTCAAAAGCTGTTAAAATTGTCAACTCGAGATTTCCAAAGGGGGGGATTTTAATCCTTTCGACGGATTTCCGTCCGTAGAATGGTGGCGCCATCGCATCTGCATTTAGATGAAACGCTTCATCAACCACTCTTCTGTAAAAAACATCTACGTCGTATCTGCGCCGCGAGGAACGATCCCAATTACCTCATCCCAGATCTATCTTTTTTGGTGAGTTTCATGCTGGCAATTCTTCCCTTTGACGGAAAGCCATGCAGCCAAGGACATCCATTCCGTTCTAGAGACTGCATCGTCACTCCTTGGCAGGTGAGATTGATTACTTGCATAACGAAATTAGTTCCCACGGGCAGGGAACTTGCGACAGCTCGGCTCTACTCTGGGAATTTATGATCCCAATTACCGCGCGGCAACATCTTGGGCCAGAAGTACTGAAGTGCATCTACCGCGTCATTTGGCGGTGAGTCTCGTGCGGAGGGTATTTTCCTCTCAGACACATGGCACATCACTATCGAGGCATTGCGTCGAGCAGCTGAAACTCCTTGTGCATTCGATCCGCATCACATATAAGGTACCTAAACGCCTCTACGCGTGGTGCGTATCGTCATATCTGTCTTATGGACCAGCAGCGCATCTCAGCTAACATTCTTTAACTATCTAGAGTCTACCATCTTACCCATCGACTCCCCTCCGTTTCGATGCCGAACCTGCCTCCGCCTCCGCAAGTAGCAGCTCGACCAACCCCGCCGAGACCTGTCGAACATTGTTGTGAAACTCCTCGTCGTTCGGGTAGAACGGGCACGCGTCGCTGTCCGTCGCCTTCCCAAACTCGAGCGTGATGCTCTTGATGCGCGTCCCCGGATCGATCTTCAAATACCGCGACTGCGTGTAGTCGCCGGACCCGCCCGACGTCGGGTACAGCGAGACGCTCTGCCGGGACACGTACTCGATGCTGCCCGCGCTGGTGATGGTCTCGGCGAGGCGCGCCGTGGTCGCGATGCCCGCGGCCAGGTTCTCGGGGTCGATGTACTCCTTGTAGACGGCGTCGGGCGGGTCCTCGCCCAGCACGCCTCGCTTGCCGTCGTACGACGCGTTGCCAAAGTTCATCGTGGGGTCTACCGTCTGCATGTCGTCGATGCCCCAGCCGTAGAGGGCGTCGCCGCCGTACGAGTGGACGTCGATGTACCATGACAGGTCCGGGTTCGAGTCCTCCACCCAGACTGTGTTTCGCGTCTCGGCTTCCGACGCCGGGCTGAGACCGTGGAAGATCTCGGATGCTGGGTTGTCGGAGGCCGCAGAGCCCAGATTGGCCTTGGGGCTGAAGTATTTCAGGTAGTCCCAGATGAAGTCAAAGTTCCGATTGATGTCGATGCCGACCGTGCGGGGACTGCCGGGGGTGCTGCTGGTCGTGTTGCGGTTCTTCCTCCAGCACGTGTTGGTCTGGGCATCGTAGAGCACGCCGTCGGGGTTGTTGAGCGGCAGGATGACCGCGCCGGCCGACAGAGCCTGCTTGACCTGCTCGTTGGAGAAGGTCTTGCTGCCGTAGGTTAGACCGGACCCCGTCTTGCTTGCATGGAGCAGATCTGAGATTGCGTATATGACGTTGTCGGAGCTTCCGCGCTCTCGGGCGTGGAGGCCACCTTGGATGAACACGCGAGGACTTCCCTTCCCAATCGTAGCTCCGTAGACGGTCCGGTTCTCAAACGTCTGGAAGGGCGCCGAGAAGACTTCGACGCCGTCGTAGGTACTGGCTAGGCTCCTGAGTGCTGAATGAACCTCGTCAATGTTGAGAATGCTCTCTAGTGAACGGTCCTCTACACCAAGGCCAACAGGAACTGTGCCATCTTTGAAACGGTCACCTGTACCAATTGGATAATCCACATGGGCCTCGCGACGGCTGGGAGAGGCTCTCCTTGTTGGAGCCTCTCGTTGATGGTCCCTAGTCTCAAGCTCGTGAGGGAGTAGGCAAGCTTGTGTCGCGGCAACGCCTGCTCCTAGTAGAATGATTGGAAGCTTCATAGTGAAGCTTTCACCGGCACCCTAGAAGTGAATTGATGTTTTGCGATGGCGATTGAGGTTAGGTGTGAAGAGATTGTAGGAACATGGACCCGTAGACAAGACCAGGGCGTTTGAGAGGTGGTGACGCTTGATATTTTATGCCCAGAGCTTGTAACACCCCATGAGCTCTTACATCTACCCTTGGCCTTTCCTTTCCTTTGATTTGGCCGCCAGAATGGTCTACGTTGGATATAGCAGGTGCTGAAACAATTGGGTTACATCAGTGCACTGTGAATTGATCGTCATCGCTCTCAAGAATCACGCGGGGCCATCACTTCCATCGAGCAGGGGAACAGCATTGATAATAGCCAAGCAACTTGGCGGAGGGAAAACGACCACTTGGTACTGGAGTAATGCCTAAAGGCTCTGTTTGCAAGCTGTCGCCCATCTCCATGCTAACGAGCTAATTTGGAGATCCTGCCGTAGAAGGGAGGTGGTAGGCTTGGCAAAGAAGGTGTTATATGCGCCTAGAATGACGAACAGTCGCCTCCTACTACTTCGATTATGAACCTGACGTAGGATCCGGCTTTTTTAACGATGCTAGAGCCTAAAAGTAGGTTGAAATGACAACCAGCCAACCGAAGATCGCTCTGAACACCCTCAAAGATTCACCCAAGAGTGGTCTTAAGGTGTTGGGAGAATAAATTCAAACCAAAATGCTACACCATGTTTCTACGATTGGAGCTGACGGTCAGACTGGTAGATTGGTGAACCATCAAACGTCAATTGATCGAGAAGACCACGCCTCGGCAATCATGATGTTCATTGAACGTATGTCATCATTTGGAGATTCCGATATAGGCATTTTATTTTCATACGTATTGTTCCCTTTCCCCTGCCACTATCAGAACAGATTTGACGAACCATTATCCTTGCTTTACACTCAAATCAATTTTACACATATCGCACACTTCTTAAGACTTGTCCACGTTCCATACTCTGAGAGAACCATCCCCACCTGCTGCAACAAGCTGGTTACTATCTCCTAGGAAAGCCAGAGCAAGAGTCCCCCCTGCACCCTGACCGCTCAGGGCCTTCGACCGAGCTCCAGTGGCCACATTCCAAATACTGATAGAATCTGATTCAGAGCCAGTTGCTAACTTCTTCAAGTCGCGCGAAATAGAAGCACATCGAGGAGACCCCGAGCCCTCCTTGAAAGTGCGCAGCGAGGGGTCCTGAGCGAGACTCCAAGTACGAGTAGTCCCATCAAGCGAGCAAGACGCCAACAGTCGGCCACTCGCCGCCACCGCCGTGACCTCACCGCCGTGACCTCGCAGGGTCCGAAGGCAGACTCCCTGATCTAGGTCCCAGATCTTGAGCTTGGAGTCCTTGGACCCTGTGGCGAACCTTTTCCCGCTCGTCAGGACGGGCGCCAGGATGACCTCCTTCCCGCCCTCGATCGATTGCCAGCACGTGCCCGTGGCTATCTCCCAGACGCGGATCGTGGTGTCGGAGGAGGCCGAGGCGACCATGTCATCGACGAGCCACGTTACCGAGCTGACCCTCTCGGTGTGCTCTGTGAGGGTCAGGAGACACTTGCCGGTGGCCAACTCCCATATTTTGACGGACTTGTCCTCGGATCCGGAGGCGAGGCGTTTCCCATCGACGGAGTACGCCACCGTGAGCACGCTCCCTTTGTGTCCCACTAGGGTCTGCAGACACTCGCCGGTCGCTGGATCCCAGATTTTGATTGTGGCATCGGCCGAGCCGGTGGCAAAGGTTTTGAAGTCGGGGGCGTTTGCGATCGCGTTTACTGGGCCCGTGTGGCCTCGAAGAAGTTTCACAGCGTCTGTTGATGGCTTGGCTTCGACTGGCTGGTTTGCCTGAGCGGGCTGGGGCTTTGCCGGGACGGGCTGGGCGTTGACTTGAGCGGGTTGAGGCTTGACTTGAACAAGTTGAGGCTTTGCTTGAACGGGTTGTGGTTTGACTTGGGCGGGTTGCGGCTTCACCTGAACGGGTTGCGGTCTCGTTTGGATGGGCTGTGGGTTGACTGGAATAGGCTGTGGCTTTGCTTGAATAACATGCTGAGGTTGGGCAGGTTGTTGTGGTGGTTGGGCGGTTGACTGCTGTGCAAGCTGCTCTTTGGCTTTCCGTTCCTCTGCGAGCCTCTTTTCCTTGGCCCGTCTCTCCTCTGCGAGTTTTCTCTCCTTTGCCCGCTTTTCCTCAGCAACCTTCCTGTCCCGAGCCCTCTTCTCGTCAGCAATTCTCTTCTTCTCTTGCGCTCGTTTCTCATCCGCCAACTTCTTTTCCTGAGCAAGCTTCTTCTCTTGGGCAAGCTTGTCTTCAGCAGCGCGCTTCTCTGCAGTAAGTTTCTGTTCTTCGGCGGCCTTTTCCTCTGCCAGCTTCTTCTCCTGGGCAAGCTTCTCCTCAGCCACCCTTTTCTCTTCTGCAGCACGCTGTTCCTCCGCGACACGTTGTTCTTCTGCTAATCGCTTTTCTTCAGCTAGTTTCTCCTCGGCGATACGTTGCTCCTCAGCAACACGCTTCTCCTCAGCAACACGTTTTTCTTCCGCGATACGCTTCTCTTCAGCAATGCGTTTCTCTTCAGCAAGCCGTTGTTGCTCTTGAGCTTTTCGCTTCTCTTCAGCAAGGCGTTGCTCTTCAGCGATACGTTTCTCTTCGACGAGTCGATTCTCCTCAGCGACACGCATTTCTTCAGCGAGACGTTTTTCATCTGCGATGCGCTGTTCTTCGGCGATGCGCTTCTCCTCAGCAAGTCTCTTCTCTTCAGCCACTATCTGCTCTTCAGCCACTCTCTGCTCTTCGGCAACTCGTTTCTCTTCAGCGATGCGTTCTTCTTCGGCTATGCGCTGCTCTTCAGCAAGTCGCCGCTCTTCGGCAAGACGTTCTTCGCCTGCCATACGTCTTTCCTCCGCAATGCGCTTCTCCTCGGCAAGCCTCGATTGTTCGGCGAGTCTCTTCGTCTCAGCTAGCTGCTTTTCTTCCGCGAGGCGTTTTTCTTCAGCTAACCTCTTCTCGAGTAGTCGTTTCTCCTCGGCGATCTGCCGTTCTTCGGCTAGACGCTTCTCCTCTACAAGGCGTTTCTCTTCAGCGATCCTCTGTTCTTCAATAAGACGCTTTTCTTCCGCGAGTCTCTGTTGTTCAGCGCGGCGGCTTTCCTCAGCCAGTCGCTCCTCGTCGAGACGCCTCTCTTCGGCAGCACGCTTCTCAGCGAGTTGCTGTGCTTCAATACTTCTTTGCTCTTCGGCAAGTTTCTCTTCTTCAGCGAGCTTCATCTCTTGAGCAAGTCTCGTTTCTTCGGCAACACGCTTCTCTTCGGTGAGTCGCTCTTCCTCGGCGAGCCTACGCTCTTCGGCAACTCGTGCCTCTTCTGCGATGCGCTTCTCTTCTGCGACGCGCAGTTCTTCGGCACGACGATTTTCTTCCTCGGCGACTCTTGTCTCCTCAGCGGCCCGGGCGGCATGTGCGAGGCTCTGATCAGCAGTTTGCTTCTCTTCGACCAGTGTCTTGTCGTCAGTCACCGCCTGCTCATTGGCAGGCGCTTTGTCATTGAAAGGGACATTCTCGTCGGCAAGATCTTTGTGGTCGGCCAGCTCCGCGCCTGCAGTTAGCCTTTCACCAACAAGCTCCTTCTCCTGGGCAGGTTTCTCCAGGGCCAGTGTCTCTTCCCGGATATTCTTTTCCAGGACGGTCGCGGTATGCCAGTAGCGGGTAAGAGAGGACTGCATCTCCTCTGTTCCGTGTTGGTCGACATCCACCTGGACCCTGGTTTCACCAATCTTGACCGTCTCGAGGTCGCAGTCCCAGGTCTCGAGTGCCGCAGCTGTCAGGGCCGGGAGGTCCAGCCCGCCCTCGTGAGATGAACAGATGGTCTTGAGCTGGAACTCGAGGACGTCAGTATACAGCTGGGAGATGCGCTTCTCGATGCGCTCGAGCGAGTCTACCGAGACGTAGTGGGCCTGGTTCCTCTCTAGGAGGAGCTTGACGAGATTCTGGTACCAGTTGGCCCTCGAGATGATGTATGTCGCGCCAGCACGGGTCTTGGGCACCCCGGAAGCGGGATTGGAGATTGCCTGCTGTGTGTTAATACTTTACAATCCTCGGAGCTTCAAGTTGTACGTCACATACCTCCAATGCCAAATAATTCGTGGCCCATGCGATGGAAGGCTTGGAGGCAGTCTGCTTGATGTTGGAAAACAGCTCTCCGAAAGCTCCCTTCCTACTCTCAAGGCGGGCTGAGACAGACTTGATAATCGACTCTATTTGCGTTTGATTTTCCTCTCGGCTTCCTCCGAGGACCAGTTTGATACCCGCACCGTCACCCCGAAGCTCAGACGATAGAATCTTCTCATATGCCTTGACAATACCGGGGTTGGTGGCGTTCAGTCTGGCGAAAGCTGCGTTCCAGAGCTTCAACTTGAGCTCCTCGGGTGATGCTCCAAAGCTGGACTGAGGTGAGGCAGCTGCCTTTGGACTCGAGGGGGTATTTCGATCGGCCGAGGGAGAGATGACAGGCGCATCGTCGAGCAAGAAGGTGCCCTTGGTGCCCTCGGGCGACTGTGTCGGAGGGGGCAACTGAAGCTCCGGCTTCTTGGCAGCGATGGACTTAGGAGTCGAGAAGGTCGGCGCGGGGATTCGCGAGGACAGCGTCTGCGGGCTAGGCGGATTGGCGCGGAGAGGTTGGGGAGTAGAAGCTTTCGCAGGAGTCGATGGCTGGCTGCGATCCGGGGAGGCTCTACCGGGGGCTGGAATCTTGCTTGAGGCTGTCATTGAATTGAGCTGGGCGTAGCGAGACTTCTTCGCGGCAGCGTCCGAGGTAGACCCTGTTCTGGAGATCGATGAAACCGACGTCTGTCTGGTATGTGTCGGTGACCGAGGAGGAGACAGATCTGGTCTGGACGAGATAGTTGCTCGCCGAGAAGGAGTGCTCGAGGAAGCTACATTGTTCTTGTCGGTGGATGGCTTCTTTGTCGACGCCCCTTTCGTAAAGGACTTGGGAGTTTCTTTAGGGGGTTGGTCTGACGCTGATGGCTCCGGTGATGCATCATGGGGAGATCGTGGATTCCCTGAGGCTACAGCTGGAGGGGGAAGCTGGATTGGGGGAAATTTGGAAGACGAGAATCGCCATGAGAACGCCTTGGATGCTCGAGATGATCTCGGCCGCCGCTCTGGTTGGGCTGAGGGTTCACCATCTGTGGGCTGTGATGGTAGAGTCGACTGCTCACTTAGAGCTGGTCCCCTCGCAATAGGAATTCTCGTAGGAGAATGTGTTGGTGACTTTCTCACTGAGGGAGTGTCGGGGATGGGAGGGACATCGGGGACATCGGGGATTGGGGAGCGGAGAGACGAGGCAGATGGTGAATCAGCACCAGGTCCCGCGGAAGTGGTTGGCCTCACGGGCAGCTCGGCCGAAGACATCCCTGATGTGAAGGCAGACTGTGTTGGAGAGCTTCTCTTGCGGGACAGTGATGAAGGGGGCTGGGCTTGCTCCTTTGACTCTTGGGAAGGCTGTCTTGATGAGCGTGATAGGGTGAAGCGCCTTTGGAAGGAGAAGGAAGAGCGTGAAGTGGATGGCCTCGCGGGAACTTGCGCGGGAGGCGGTCCGCCAGTAGAAACAGACTCCAATGAGGACTCTGGTTTAACCGAGGGCAATGGAGGCACCTCGTCAGTTTCAGTAGAATCGTCTGTCTTCTTGCGAAGCTTCGACTTCAGCCTCTTGAGCATTGCTGGCGCCATTTTCACGTCGCTTGTTTACAAGTTTCTGGCAAGGGATGAATCACGTTGGACAAGTCAGCAAGGAGAAGCGGCATCCTACAGAAAAGAGAGAATCGAAAGTTTTTGGACAGGCTCGACAGTTGCTTCAGCTTCATAACTCGGCCCGGAGAGTCCCTTGCAGGTGGATTTGTGGGGTAGAAGCCTTCCGGCATGACAAAGTAATGTTATTTGCTGCATGATGAGTTGTATCAATGCTCCGAAGGGATACCCTTGTCGGGATCTCGCCACTCTGATCTCGCTCCCGCACTCTGGCGCCCTTGGATTGGCCCCAAGCACAGGAAAGGGTCCATTAATTCTCAATTCCCTACTCGCTTGAGCTGAGATGCGCGTGAGAGTGATATGCAGGAGAGGCAGAAAGCCCGGATCTGGCCACTGAGCGTTTTGAGTGGGTGGCTGCGAATGCATGCTTCATTTTCCCCTCCGCAATGCCAGTTGAATGCCCCTCTTGGTTTGTCAGAGCTGCAGCTTTCTTTTATGCAGTTTATGATCCCAAAACAAAACAAAGGAGACTGGCTGCGGCTCGGCGATATTGTGAAAGCTGGGTTAAAACTGGGGAAATTCAACAGGACAGGCAACTAAGGTTTGCACAAACAAGTATAACATTACGGTTCACTCTACATGTGCGTTAAATACCTTAGATTGGATGCCTCGGGTGATTATGTACTGACGGCATTGTTCGGAACTGCACTATGCACATTTGTGTGACAACCGCATAATGCATCGTGCACCACGCGTCCACATACGCACCGCACTCCACTAAATGCCTAAACACTATCAGCTCAAGAGTGGCTGGCCTAAAAATTGATGTAAAGTTGAACCATTGGCAACTATCGGACGGCATAGTGTTGTAGCATGGCAAATTTACGGCGTGGCAACGCAATATGTGTCCGTGAATTAGACATTCCCACATCAATAGATCCACAATCCACCGAACAGATCGAATACGTATGTTTCGTAGAAATGAGGGGAAGGTAGTACACTCCTGCAAATGTCCAATAGAGGCCGCAGGTCGGATCGAGGCAGTCAGATTGGACCAAAGGAGAAAGAACCATTGTTTGCATTGACGCCACTTCACGATAATGCTTGGCTAAGACATATTCTGGGCCATCGACTGTCAGATTGATGGAGGGTACATGCAAGACTTCACAAATTAAGTTCAATTCAATGCACAAGTATGAATAAGATTGATAGTGCGACTTCTCGACTGCTATCTACTAAACCTTTCACTGGAATTGGATTGTCTTGTGGCCGATGAGCCAATTAATGTTATTCATGAGAAGAGGGGTAAGCTTTTTAATGGCTTCTACGATATCCATTCAACGGGGGAACTCCACCTTGAACGACTTAAAAGACCCAGAGTCATCATAGACTGACTGCACTGATTCCTTTCGTGATGAGCCATCCTGCCATCAGACTGTGCATCCAACCGCTCAATTTTGCCTCTACGAAAGTCGGCTTCTCAGATTCCTTTCTCCACATCCAAGTCTCGTTGATGAAGACAACATGGCCGTCCCCAGCACTATCACCAGGAAGGGATCCCACAGGAGTCCCTTCTATGAGAACAATCTCGGAGAGGATTAAGCCATTGGGGACAGGCCCCTTGTAAGATGGAGGGGCTTGAATCATGAGTTCAATACGTTCTGACCCTGTTTCATTCCCTTGACCACTGTATGAGACCTTGTAAGCACCGTTGACAATATCCCCGGGCTCAAATTGTAGGTTCCGAATCCAGCTGGCTTCAAAGGTGCGCTTGGTTTCTGTGTCAACCAAGGCACGGATGAGAATAGCTTGTGGTGTCGAAGAGAAGGCGACATGAGCACCTGATGTGTAGGCCCGAAGCAAAGGCGACGGTGAGCCGCTGAGAGTGCCTGCAGGAGAGAGTGCAAGACTTCGCAGTGGTACAGGGACAGATGCAACTCGTTCGTATGCCAGGACCCAGTCTGAGCCTTCGGACCTCACATCATCAGGAAGGCTTGCTGGCTTCTCAGGCATGGCATTCCCATCCTCCCCATGGCGCTGTACGAGGCGCTGCGGACTTCCTTTTGGATACTGGATACCGTTGGAGGACTCAGTGCTTCGGGAGATGTTATAAGTGAGGAATGCCACATAAATGGCGGGGATGACTAGAGGAGCAGCGATGAGGGCAATGGATACATTTCGAGATGGCGACAATTTGATAAACGACATGGCTGTAGAAAAATAAATGAAATTTGTTGTGAAGAGCAGATTGCAAGTTTGCAGATGCCAAAGGTTTAAACTCTTCCATTACCGATTGCCCCACTTGTGACATCTTGGGTGACTTGACTCGAGGCAAACACGATATAAACGACGTTAGCGGGTGAACGGGGTCACATGGTAGGCCAACATAAAGTTAGAGCCTTGCGATATTCAGTACTTCCCCGACTCTAGACTTCGCATTAGTTCTCTAGCGGGCATTTATTGGCGTAAAATAGTTGTAGTTCAATCGGGAGTAATTCATGGCCGAAAGCGCTATCGCAAGCTGGCCACCTGCGACCGCGTCAATGCTTCTGATAGAGATCAGAGTACTTGGAGGGTCTTGGTGGAGGGCTGAATTAAAATTTGGGGCAAATGGGTGGAAGAGCAATAAGTGGATCAATGAGGCGGTGCTCAGCGTGGCTTGTCATGTCCAGTGGCTTGGTCGCAAGAACAGGAGTGCGCAGGATAGCGCCCATCCAGTGGCTACCCTGAAGCACCACTTGTGTCTGATATTTATCATAAAGCTGTTACCTAGAGCATGCAAGTTACTGGCAGCAGTTGATATGGCAGGAAATATCTTTCATAGCGCTAAACGGTTACTGGCAACATGTTCTAGTAACGGGAAGTGAGGGCGCTTAGCATGCCGTAGACCAAAATTGGGTGGACCTGGAGAGCTTCTAAATAAAAAGTGGTGTAAAAGTGACACCCAGACCTAAAATTGGTCGTTGTCCTCAAGTAATTATTTGATGGCCTTGATCTCATCCCTCCTCTTATTTGCTAAAATCTGATAAATCTCTTCAATGAAAATCATGGACTCTAAAAATTCATGGAGAGAGAGATACCAGATAATGTCCCGACGTCATCATCCCTCCACCAAGTCACCTGACTGTGCCCCGCCACCAATTGGATGCAGAAACGCGCCTCGGCTGCTTGAATCGCGACTCTTTCAATTCCCACAACCTACCACTTCCACTCATCTAACTGCCAACTCCTCCGTTTTCGCTGCCTGCCATGCGACGGGGAAGCGCTTCTCCACCTGATGAAACACGAGAGCTGCAAGCGCCTAAGTACTGGGCCCCATGAAAAATGAACAGACCACAGGCCAAACACCGGCATCTCCATCGTCTTTGCTCGCACTCGAGCCAAAGGTACTGTTTCATGAAGCGCTGAGTGATGCCTCCGCTAACAATGTAATTGGAAAGAAGCCACAAGGCATTCGGAAATCGGTAAACCCCCGTCGCGCCCATCTCCAGCAAAGGGTATCCCTTGAGCCGTCCGAGTTGCAGCAACAGCTATCGCTCCCTACCAAGGTCACTCCTCGGCCAGTCTGTCACCCACAACGCAATATGGTCCTTCAAACTAAGACACTCAAGAATTCTAGACCTTCTGAAAAGCGCACCAAAAGAGGCACCGGCCTTGATCACGATTCAGAACCTCTCCAAAAGCGACCACGCCAATCCCTTCGACTCAATCCACCAACACCCACCAAACGTGGTACGAAACGAAACGTCGAGACCCCCGACTCTGTTACCCCCCAGAAGCAGTCGCGGCGATCGCCCATCGAACCTCCTACCGCCGGTACCACCGACCGCCCGACAGATCCGATCGAGTTTTGGGCAAAGGAACGGGTGTGGCCACAAGAATATCTCAACCCAAGCATGGCGCATATACTCGCTCGGAAGAGATCACAGCGGTCTCTTAGCCGCAAGCGATCAAACTCTGGTACATCTGGTACATCTACATCCACAACACCGAGCGGCTAGAGCTAAGGGAAGAGAAGAGTACACCTTCCGAGTCCACGGTATTATGCACTACTTGCGACAACAACAGTCTCATGGAAGTCCACTAGAGTTTCGTCGGGTCAATTGTCCAAGTTATCTTGCGCCCACTAAGCCATTCATGCGATCGTCAGGGAGAACTAACACTCGGAGTCTCTCCCATTGCAGTTCTTGGTTGATCGGTAGGACAATGCCGATCTCTTATCGCACTCAAAATTAGGCCCACCCAAGCCGATTTGCTCCATCATCAAAACGCTGGAGGAGGGAACCAACTACGGGCCGAGGCAGAAACGGACCGAAACTGTCTGTCGGCCTTGATGCTACGATGCCACCTGTAAGCTCTAGATCAGTTCGCAGTATAGACCTGCTGAAACCGTAGATCGACACTTGTCTAGTTGCTTTGGTTACAACACGCTCGACCCGATCGCCCCTGGAGCCTCTTTCTAACGTAGCCACCAATGAAAGCCCAGATATTTGTTTCTTGTCTAAGTTATGAGCTTTTCAACCGGCAAAGTTTACCCGGCTCAAGCGATTTGCATAGTGAATCTCATGGAGATAATCTGACCTTGAAGAAACGCAACGCAGCGGCCTCGTAGTGAAGCCTGTGGTCCATGCATCAGCTTTTCAAGCATGTTAACTCTAAGCCCGCAGTACTGAATAGAAACTTCTTTCTGCGATGCGATGAGATAACTGGATATTGACGCTTCAAATGTGCTGACCCCTCGGATCGTAGGAACATAACCAATCCTTCAATCCTGTAGCGTATCACTCGAAGTTTCTATTTGCCTTAGATCTGCCAAGTAATCAGAGAACAGGGAAGCAAGTGATCCGGGATGTGGTGTTTGCAAGAGCAAAAGAGGGGTAGACCTTTGCTTTCGTACTTCGACATAGGCTCACGCACGATCGGTTCTGGTCCCCGAAGGCGAGATGTCACCGATTAGAGCAGGGGTTATCATGGTATTTCGCCCAGATCTTCGCCCTGAACCAGAATCTTAGAGAACTTCAACTTAAATACTGGTGATGGTGCCAGCTATGGAGAGTGATATCACTGCGTCAAATAAAGAGATCCAGCAATTCTAAACTGGCCTGTTTATTTTCCATCAGAATGAAGCATTTTAGAGATATGTTCTCTCTTCTTGCACCTCTGCTCCTTGTAACGAGCCCGGCTGCCGGGGCGATATCTACTGCACAAGACTCCCTTGACTTGGGAGCAAGATCTTGTTCGCAGTCTGAAGCTCAGGGGAACGCCTCGACATGTTATCCCGAGTACATCAAGATCAATCCCATATTTGGGCTGCAGATCATTTCTGTCGAAGCCACCGCTATTTTCAATGCCACCACTGCCCCAAACTTTCCGAACTCCTTTCCAGCCTCTGCGAACATCACTGGAATAAACTACTGCAACGTTACAGTCACCTCGCGGCATCCAGGCTATCAGGAAGCTGGCATTAAGACATCGGTCTATCTGCCCCTGGACAATTGGAACGAACGTATGCTGGGCATCGGTGGCAGTGGCTTCAGCGCAGGGAATCAGCTGGACCGGGTTCTCACGCCGCTATCCCAAGGCTTTGCCACTGTGTCCACCTCGGCTGGAGTTTCCAGGAACACAATGCAAGATCAAGATCGCACCGAGGTTGCCAACTCAGATTTCTGGGCTCTTTCCAGTCCGGGAAACGTGAATGTCGAGGCTCTGTCGGACTTTGGATATAGAGCATTGGGAGACGCTGCTGAGATCGGCAAGTCCGTCATCGAAAACTTCTACAAGAAGCCAGCTAAATATCGGTACTGGAATGGCTGCTCCACCGGAGGCAGACAGGCACTTATGCTTGCCCAGCGGCATCCGAAGGCGTATCACGGCTTGTTGGGCGGCTGTCCGGCGATCAACTGGGCGCGTTTTCTCTCTGCCGATATCGTCCCTCAGATTATCATGAAGAACATCACCAATGGGGGACGAGTACCCGCCCCGTGTGAGTTCCGTGCCATCACAGCTGCGGCCCTCGAGGCGTGTGATGTTCTGGATGGAGTCAAGGACGGTTATGTGATGGATCCTTCGAAGTGCGAATTTAAGGCTGCGACGGTCCTAGGCAAGCAAATCGCTTGTCCCGAGTTACCGAGTGGAAATACTATAATATCCGAAGTTGCTGTCAAAGCGGCTGAGGTCGCATGGGCAGGATATCACACAGTAGACGGCGTTTGGCGATACTACGGGGTCAGCCGCACTACCAACATTACGACAAGTGGTACTTTACTAGACACGAAATGCGACAACACTGGGAATTGCACCTTTTCACCCTTCCCTATTGCGGCGAACTGGGTGAAGAACTTTTTGATGAAAGACCTCCAGGCTGACCCCATGTCGCTCACGCATAGCCAGTTCGATCGTCTCTGGCAGCTTTCTGTACAGGAGTGGTCGTCGTTCATGAGCACGGATGACCCGAACCTTGCCGCATTTAGAGAGACTGGTGGAAAACTCATAAGTTGGCATGGGCTTGACGATATTCAAATTCAGGCTGGGGGCACCGAGGAATACTACAAGCGCGTCCTGGAGTTGGACTCTGAGGCTGCCGACTACTTTCGATTTTTCCAAGTGCCAGGAGTGGGACACTGCTCAGGAGGATTCGGGGCCTATCCTGGAACATCATTTCAGTCCTTGATGGACTGGGTGGAAAAAGGCATTGCACCAGAGACGCTCTATGGAAGAACCAGTGCCGGAGTAGAACGCCCGATTTGTCTCTACCCCAAGAAGGTCTCTTACGTTGGTGGTGAGACTGACAATATCAGCTCGTTTGAATGTATCTAGTTGTAGGCGGTTCTCAACAAGATGTAGAGAACATGGGAAAGCCTCCTGATGTATCTAATAGCGGCCTATAGACTATAGTCCCTGCCGAAGTCAAGAGGACGTGCTTACAAAGGAGTGTTCATCTAGCAGGCATTGTTCAGTTGACAATAATGGGCTTGGCCTTTGTGCCATGGCGTAAATAAGATGTATCAATTGCCAAGAAAGAGTGCAGGGCTGAATTATCCAATGTTGTTCTTAGGTTTTACGAAGACTAGACTAGATCTTTCACTTGAATACAAAGGATCCAGTTGTCTCAGCTTAAACCCGCACAAGAACATAGCGTTGCCATCGACAGGGTCTTTGCACATTTGGATTACGCTGTAGATGCATACCTACACAAAGACATGGAACCTATCATAACCGTAGCGACCCCGGAATTTGTTACCCGATTGAAGATAACATAACCAAGGTTAGATTGCTACCTTGGGGTATGGTGGTGGCTCTTTGACGGGCCCCATCGGGATGCGGGGCCGGGCTTTGTCTGTCAGACGGTCCGGGCGAAGGCATCATCAAAGATACGCGAAGCAATCCAGGCTCTCGGGGGAAGGGCCCCCCGAGGCCATTATAGGTCCCATTGTGACATCGGCTTACGGAGCGAAATTGTCAGTACTTAGATGGGAATAGCTTTGGAGGCTGCCTGTTAACCTTTGGCGAAGTCCTCGTTGCTCTTTCAGAGTACGTCCGTGGGTCAAGGGAACGGACTTGCTGTCGAAAGGTTTCGAATATAACCAATTACCGCCTCAAACGACTTTATTACACCATGTCAATGAACGGCAGCGCTGTTATCCTCGCTGGGGCCTCAAGTGCTCCCTACCCGCAAGCTCGCCGCATAACTAGCACCGCCAACACACACACGCTTTTCATCTCTGGGGTAACATCGAGACGTTCTGATGGCTCCCTTGGTGGGGTACACACCGCAAGCGATGGTACTGTAACTCTGAGTATCGAGGAACAGACCTCTGCTGCTCTTAAGAATATCGACGCCATCATCAAACAAGCAACAAAAGGAAAGGGCGGGCTCAGCAATGTCATTGATGTCACCGTCTTTCTCACCAACTTGAGCGCGGATTACGCCGGGATGAATAAAGTCTGGGTCAAGGCCTGGCCTAATCGTGAGAGTGCCCCGGCAAGGACCTGCGTGGGCGTGAAAGAGTTGCCGAGTCCCAATCTCCTGGTTGAACTGAAGGCAACAGCTCTTGTCGATGATAACTAGGGGGCTGTTAGAAGTATCTCATTCCTAGCTGTTTGGGGAGGCATGGATGTTGGGGTAGATAAACATTAAATCAAGATAGACAGACCAAATAGAGCAACCAACCTTCTCACAATACCAAGCACGGTGCCCAGGTTTAATTATGTCAAAATCGCCCGAGGTTAGGCTAAACGGATCTGCCATCAAAAGCGCGTATAACTGGGCATGATAAATCTGCCCCTTTTCATTGAATTATCCAAACTTTACTATGTACAGTATATCAACACAAAGACGAAAAAGCGAATCTGTTCCTGGAGATTGACATCCTCCAAATTTTCAAGCCCAACCTAAACCACGAGAAGAGGGAGGCATCCTAGGAGGCCACATGCCCATCCTGTCTCTTGACTACTTTTACCCAAACCGGCGGAGGATATTTGACTGCGCTGACCCTGATGCCTTTACTTAAATCCTGATCCGGGTCAAGTAATTCCAACTAAAATACGAGCCTTGTTAGCGTAATTTCCGAGAGTATGGGAAATTGGGGTAGTACTAACATTGAAGTTCATCATGACCAAGGGGAGTGTCTTCTTCATCTCTAGCCACGCAATATGGACACCCGTGCAGACGCGTTTGCCTGAGCTAAAGGCCAGGAAAGCCCGGTCCATGCGACGTTTCTGCTCCTCATCGGCTTCAATCCATCGCTCAGGTCGAAAGTCTTCTGAATCAAGACCATAGACTTCGGTGTCCCGGTGGATGGCATCGATCTGACACGCGACCACAGTTCCTGCTGGAATGAATGTTCCGGCGAGGGTGACACCTCCCTCTGGGACAATGCGATCCAGGCCCCAGGAAGCTATGGGAAATATTCGCATGGACTCCTTTAGAACAGCCTCAAGATATGGAAGCTTGTAGACTTCTCCCCACTTTGGTGGGTTAGATAGAGTGCCATCCTGTAACCCAGCATCTATCTCTGCTTGAAGCTTCTCTCGACAATGAGGGTGTTTGGCGAGGAAGAAAAGCGTGTAAGTAAGAGTTCCGGCGGTGGTATCAGCCCCCGCACCAATTGTCGACAAGATAATGCCCAAGATTTCGTCATGGTTCAAGGCATCTGGGTGCTTGGCTCTGCCTTCAAGGAACTTCTGGCAGAGATCAGCTAGATCTGGCGGATTCAGAGCAGTCTTGCGCGCGTGAAATTTGGCCGCGCCGACTCGTGCGAGTGGACTGTCCGTTTTGCCCTTGAGCATGGATGCCAGCGGACCTTTGTTGAAGACATAATCCATTGTAGGCATTGCCCCCCAGCGGCCCCAGTGATCAAAACGATCGATGACTGCGCCGAGAATGCCGTCGACATCGCCACCTTTTTGCATGAAACCCGGGGTCTCACTGAACCCGATGCGCATCAGCACATCCATGGCGAAGAACTGCAGCCACAGCCCGATATCAGCAGACTCAAGCTTCCCAACGACACGGACAAACTCCGCAGCTGAGTGGTCAATGTAGGATTCGTAGTCGAGCAGAGAGGTGGTTGCGAAGGCTCGGCCAACGGTCCTGCGCACAGCAGTATGTTGGGCTTCCTCCATCGCAATGATGCTGGGCAACACGCGGCCCTGGCTGACTGTGGTAGCACCATAATAGGAGGGACCTTTCCGCCATACTGGATTCATGCTGTACACGATGGAGACGGCGTTTGGGTCGCTGACCGTGACGTGGTTTGGCCCGATGCGGAGAAGCTTCCCATGTTTCTTATGAAGCTGGACAAGTCGCGCTGCATATCCTTGGGAGTTCTGGGCCCTGAAGCGCCAGAGGTCTGTATGAGCGGCAAGCCAGGGACCGGGTATACGAGCTAGTCGGATGTATGAACGGACGAGCTTCACAACTCCAAGAGCCGCACCGATGGCGAGCACGAGAAGCACAACTAGTTGCATGATTGAGCTCCTCTTCAGTATGAGTTCGGGTTAGATAACGGTTGATGCTGGCTGCCTAGGTAGAACATGAACGTACTTCGCAAGATACGTTTGTGCTCTTTCATAGTTTGGACATACCAGTACGAGTGGCGGCTCATCACCCACATGCTGACCGTCCTGGAATGACATCGGCCGATCCGCCCGGAGCCAACCTTCGAGCATGGCTCACGTTTGTCCATCCGATCTAGCGCATATGCGGTCCCGGTCTCCATTCCTGGGATCCACGAGGGACTCTGGGGTAAATCTCCAAAGAGCATAGCATGAAGCTTGATCGGACCCCACTCCCCGATCACTCAAACAGCTTATCAAGAGGATTCCAGACCAAGTCACCACCCTGGCACGTGATAGGAAGATAGCTGTATCTATATCAGCTAGTGGCCGGGGTCCACTCGCCGATTGAACGCTGCTCTCGTTTCCTGCCTATGCTCCAATCCTTGATGGGCTATGGAAGCATTATGGGCGAAGAGAGAAACCAGGCAGGCGAGTATGGTCCTCAACCCACCGGTGCCCCGGGCTACCCCCTCGATCCCCGCAGTGTCTTGAGAAGGTCTGTAATTGCGTGCAATCGTTGTCGCAGCAGGAAGACGAAATGCGCTGGTCGCCATCCGTATCCATGCGTGGCGTGCCAGGCATCTGGTAGCCAATGCGTCTACTCGGAATCTGAGAAGAGAGTGACAGTCCCTGAAAGGTATTTTCTAAATGAGTTGTGTCGCAGAGAAAAGCAGTTGTCGGTATACGTGGACACATCGCTAACAGTTTAGCTATATCCTTGATCTTCAAGCGCAGGTTCGACGAAGGAGGAGCGGACGCCGCGTTCAGGATGATGCTCCAGAACCATCGGATACCTCCTTAGCAGATGTGCAATGGGGGAACACAAGAGCGGAGAACTGGGTGGTCGGGCAATCAGGACAATATCGTGAGTGTTCAATAACAATGCATCCAACAAGGCTCACCAAGGCTTACTTGATACCTGCGCAGATTACATGGGGAATTCTTCTTCAGCATACATCGCGAATAGACTCAATCCTACAACAGAAACTGTCGCATGGCACCTATACCCTCATTATGAAGACACGAGCTGGCTCAGAAGACCACTTGACGTTGGTGCTGATGAGATGCCCCCGCTTCCGCCGTACGAACTAGCAAAGAGGCTGTATCGCGCTCAGCACGGGTACATCGGTACCATCTTCTCCTTTTTACGAGAGGAGGACTTCTTCCAACGCTTGAGTCGCGTCTATGCGAGGCCAAGGCCAAACCCAGCGGATAAGGAGGAATGCCTCGTATATTGCCAGATATTACTCGTGTTGGCATTTGGGCAGATGTATTCGATCAACCAATGGGTCGGGGATGACGGCCCTCCTGGCTTCACGTTTTTTAAACATGCATTGAAGTTCCTGCCAAACATGCATGAGGATGGGTCCATTTTGTTCGTTGAAGTCCTCAGTTACGTCGCTTACTACATGCAAACGCTGAACAGGAGAGACGCTGCGTATTTATACATTGGCATTGCGCTGCGCATGTCGTTATCCTTGGGCCTACATCAGGAAGTCTCCGATCAGGAGATTGACCCTCCTGTAAGAGAGCACCGGAGGCGGGTTTGGTGGTCTGTGTACAGTATAGAGAGAATCCTCTCCGTGACCTCTGGCCACCCGGTGTCTATTCAAGATGAAGATGTCGACTTGCAACCCCCGAGCCCAATTGGTGGTGAAAGCCCTCGGATTTCTTGCGTCCTCAATAGCTACAGCCAGCTGTCGCGGATCCAGGGCATCATAGGCGAGCAGATATATCGGAAGAAGCGGAGCTCAGGAACTAGCTTGTCAGCGTCTGTCCTCGACATCATGAAGAGTCTCTCGGACTGGTATAGAAAACTACCGGAGGATGTTCGACTCGACATCTCTGATACGAGCGCCACTCTCAGTAGAGAGTCGGTTTCACTGTCACTTCACTATTATCACTGTATCAACATGACTGCACGACCGCTATTGCTCTACGCGGTCCAGAAACAAATGGCAGTCAACGCACAGAGAAACGCGGGGGCACGATGGGAAGATGGACTGTCACCGGAAATAGTAGGTGTGATTGACAGTGCAATATCTGCAGCCCGCTCAAGTGCCATGATATTTCACACAGCTGCTAAATTTAACCTCGTAGGTAAGTATAGCAATATGCCTACATCGGTCTGCCAGGATGCAGAATACAGTTGCAGGTGCTCATGAGTAAATAAACTAACCCATCTTCCAGCGACATATGGCTTCATCGACGGGGAGCAAGCATTTTCTGCGGCCCTTCTTTTAGTGATGGTAAACATTGCGTTTCCCTACAACGAGCCAGATGCCAAATCAATGGAGACGGCGCTCTTGGTCCTCCAGGGCATGGCGGAGAGGGGAAACAAGTATATTCAAGCCTGCCATTCACTCCTCTCCAAGATCAATACGATAGGAAAACCCAATAATCTCCCAGTTGGCAATATAGGGAACTCACAAGCAGGAAGCGATACCACCCAGGACGAAAGAGTAGAGTGTCGTCCGCAAACCGCAACTCTCGAAGCGCCGAACGATGATGGAAGGCTCTCGCAAGCAGTGACAATCACGGAAAACTGGCCTGGAAGAACGCAAGAAAACATAGAGCATGGTGGTGAACCTATTATGATGGACTCGAACGAGGATCCGAGACTATGGGCCGGGGTTTTGGATTCCATCGCGATTGATATGGACAGACATTGGGTCGAGGCTGCGCTCTTGGGTGAGAACGGCGTGGTAGAAGATCAAAGACACTAACAAGCCCTGAGTTAACAACCATGTGGCCCTGCTTTTGGATTATTCACCTCTCACTAGTCGTTCTCATATGAAATAGCTCACTTGTAGATGTGTGGACCAATTCTTGAAATATTATGTGTTCACATGCTGTCTGTTCATCCTACCTCCTTTGTTCTTTTATAATGTGTTTCAAGTGACCTCATAGCCACAATCTTTCGAACAAAGAGATGAGAGAGACGGTTAATGAGCATGATACATTTAGTAGCGCTCAAAAACAGCGTCCTATTTTGTCTGTGAGGAACATTTGCAGTGGGACTTGAAGTTGTCGCATCCATGGCACAACCAAGGATAAAAGGTGTGGCAAGTCCAGAGGTTCCGCTCCTGCTTCTCTTCATATTTGGAGACTTCTGAGAATGTAGGTGAACATGTGATTATTGCTACAACTAAGAGACTGTGTAAGTGATCATATTAGGTTTAAAAGTCTGAAGAAAACTACTGCCTCCCCCCTTTGAATTATTACAGCTACAGGATTTGTGGTAGCTGTTGTCTTTGTCAACACTATGACTGTTTCCCCTATTGAAGAACTGGAGGTACAAAAATAGTGCGGCAAATAAATCCTTCTTCACTCCATGTACCTAAATTCGGGATTTCGATACCCAAGGGCGAGCTTCTCAGATTCCGACAGTCCTTGGATGCGGTGGTCGTGCTTTCCAGCCGCCCGAAGCTTGTTATCAACAACACAGTGTGCAAGGCCAAGAGAGGCTAGGACAAAGCAAAACAGCTGAAGGGAGAGGTTGATAGTGTGGCCATTGAGGAATAGCGGCGAGTCATTGGACAAGTATGTCCATCTACCGGCAAACCAGTCAGTATTCTGAAAGTCGAGAGGCACATTTCAAGCAACACGTACGTGGACACGACTCCTCCCACACTTCCCACCATAACCATGTATCCTCCAGCTACTGCTGCGACTGCTGGGCTCCCGGCGTTGTTGATTCCCCAGCTTAGAAACCCGCTACTAGCACCGAAGCAGGCAATGGCGTTGAGGAAGACTGCCGCGTATTTGGCAGAGACATTTGATGAGAACCTGAGAATTGAGAAGCCAATTATGGATAAAGGAAGAACCCCGACCATAAATATTCCTCTTTTGTTGAATCGATCACTGAGGTAACCAAGTGTGATGGTGACGACACACGCGGCGAGGTAAGGAGGGACAGACAGCAGTTGGGCTCGAGTTGAGGTCCACCCAAACTCTCGAAGAATGGTTGGGATAAACGCGCCCATTCCCTGAACGGCTGAATTGGTGCTGAAGAAGCACCAGGCGCAAACATTTGTGTGGATGTTTAGGATGGCGAGCCGAACATGAGCCCAGGTAACTTGTTCCTTTGGATCCTAGTGAGATGTTAGTTTCGTAACTTCGGAAACAGCGAGCGACATTCTAACATTGAGACTCTCCCGGCGAAGTCTCTCAGCGGCGAAGTATCTCTGTCTCGGGGTAAGGTACTTGTAGGTGCCTGGGCTTTGCGGCATAGCAAACGGGGCTAACAAGGCCACCAAGAGAGTAAACTGCGAAATGAGTTAGTGTTTATCTGTAGCCAAAGTTGCGGATACTCACAAGGCCTTCAAAGAAAAATATGTTGCGCCATCTATGCAACAAAATTAGATCAACACTCATCAGCATAAAAGCTTTGCCCGTACCTCGATATCATCATGCTTTCAACGCCAAATGCAGGAATCTGGCTAAGCCCAGCAGCCAACAGACCGCCAAATGAGCTCGCTAGGGAACTTGACGCAATGAAGATGCTCATGCGGAAGAAGAGCTCGGATTTCTTATAGAAGCAGCTGAGAAAGAAGGCCGTGCCAGGCATTGCGCCGCCCTCGAAGATTCCAAGAATCGCTCGTATAACAATCATACTCGGATACGACTTGACAAAGGCGGTGCAGAGGGACACAAGTCCGAAGCAGAATACCAAAGCAGGCACTGCATTGTTAGTTCTCTTCAGTCCTTGTAGGAGACAGGTTGAAAGTCCACATACAATACCAACGAGGGCCAACGCGTTTCAAGAGCACATTACTTGGAATCTCGACGCTTCAATGCTATAAGCCTTTGTCTGCTTAAGCTGATCTGTATGCGACTTACGACAGGTAGAAAATGAAGAAGACCGTGAGAATGATATTATATCGGTAACCGACGAGGTTCAGATCATCAGTTAATCCTTCGATTCGAGCGTTTCTATCACTAGTCAGTCGTGCTGTTGTCAATTGTCGGTAAAGCTGCTGTTCGTTACCCGATATTGGCCCTGATTAACTCCGTTAGTTTGAAGCTATCATTGCTTTGTGGGAATGGGGCAGTACCTATCGATAGCGCATAGCATGTATAACAGAGTTACTAGAGGGACAATGGTGAAGTCGAACTTGCGTCGGACTGCCGCTTCTTCCTCCACAGTCCAGTCGCCATCATTGACACTCGCAACCGCGATGCTTGCATCCGAAGGGTCGGCTTCGGTTCCAGCTAGGTTTGGTTTGACTTCTTTAGTATCCATACTGAGCAAGTTGGTTGAACTGGGAATTAATTAACATCAAGCGTGCTGATGCTGGAGGTTTCCAAAACAACCTCAGCATCGAACATAAAGGAGTTGAAGCTTAAATGTAAAGACTCAGATAGATCGTGTCCAGCCCCTCGGCTATCATCCCCAAGACAACGACAAGATAGTGTTCTGCCTGGATCAGGCCTGCCCTAGGCTGGATCGGGGGCAATAATTGCACATGACCCGATCATACAGCGCGCGTCTTCCGGAGATAGGAACATAGAGGGGGAGTCCCACGAGCCAGGAGTGTTGCCGGTCCCTCTCTTATCGCAACCCATGGATCGGGTTGTGGGCCCCGGCTTGGCAGTTTTGAGTCTTGACTCAGCTGTGTTCTCTCGGGCCGGACCCATCATCAAGACGATCAGAACCGCGGAGAGGGTGCGAGGGCTCTCGTAAGCATGTTTAGTTATTGAAATGGCTAAGTCGGGCGGTTTGACGAGGACGGACTTCGTCCTCCGCTCCTCTGGGCTCTCAACGCAAAATGGTGGGTTGATGACAGAGTCATTCTTCTCCAGTTGGTACTTAGCTAGCTGTATAAAACGACAGGAGGCCTTCAAACAGGAGGTGGTTGAATCTAGAAAGCATCTTACTTTCGATGCAACAAGACAACCATCTTCTTTCGACCATGTCAGAAAAGATCAAGATCTCAATCGACCGGGGTGGGACCTTCACGGATGTCCACGCTCTCGTACCAGGGAAGCCTGATATCGTTTTGAAGCTCCTGTCAGTCGACCCCGACAATTACAAGGATGCCCCAACCGAGGGGATTCGTCGGGTGCTCGAAAAAGCCACCGGTGCCTCCCTACCCCGTGGTCAGCCCTTGCGACTGGACGGCATAGAATGCCTACGCATGGGCACTACAGTCGCAACCAATGCTTTGCTGGAGCGAAAGGGTGCCCGCTCGGCCCTCCTGACCACCAAAGGTTTTGGAGACCTTCTCAAGATTGGCAACCAAGCCAGGCCTGACATCTTTGACCTGTCTGCGAGACGGCCAGGGGTCTTGTTTGAAGCTGTCGTCGAAGTGGACGAACGGGTTATCCCGTCACACCCGCGAGCCGATGAGGATGCCATTTCTACATACAAGGCTGTCGCGGGGACAACTGGAGAGCGATTCCACGTTCTTGAGGAACTCAACGTTGAAAAAGTTACCAATGAGCTTCGAATTCTCAAAGAAAAGGGCTTCACGTCGGTGGCCGTTGCCTTGATTAACTCTTTCGCGTACCCCGACCATGAAATCAGAGTTGGAGAAATTGCTGCCAGCATGGGATTCTCGGTCGCGCTGTCTTCTAAACTGCAGCCCATGATAAAAGTGGTCCCTCGAGGCATGTCTGCCACTGCTGATGCCTACCTAACACCTGTGATCAAGTCTTATATGGACTCCATCTCGGCCAACTTCGAAAGTGGTCTGGCCGGTAACCACGGCTGCCGTGTCGAGTTCATGCAATCGGACGGCGGCCTCGCTGATTTTCGCCAGTTCAGTGGACTGAGAGCGATATTGTCTGGTCCCGCTGCTGGAGTTGTCGGTTATTCCGCAACGAGCTGGGATGCTGAGGCTAAGATCCCCATCATCGGCTTCGATATGGGCGGAACCTCAACAGATGTGTCTCGCTTCGATGGCCACTTCGATCACACCTTCTCATCGACTATTTCCGGTGTCACCATCCAGGCGCCCCAGCTTGACATCAATACCGTCGCAGCCGGGGGTGGCTCTATCCTTTCATGGCAGAACGGGCTGTTTATGGTCGGTCCTGAATCGGCATCCGCCCACCCAGGCCCGGCATGCTATCGCAAAGGCGGCCCTCTCACTGTCACCGACGCCAATCTGTTCCTTGGCCGCCTTCTCCCAGAGTACTTTCCGAAGATCTTTGGACCTAACGAGGACCAACCTCTTGACCGTGAGATCACAGCAACTCTCTTCGCCGAGTTGACCAAGAGAATGAACGCAGAGCATCAGGGTGATGCCAAACTCACGCCCGAGGAGGTTGCACTAGGCTTCCTCAAAGTGGCAGATGAGTCAATGACGCGACCTATTCGAAACCTGACCGAAGCTCGTGGCTACGAAACATCTTCCCATCATCTTGCCTGTTTCGGCGGTGCTGGAGGTCAACACGCATGCAACATTGCCGCCTCGTTGGGAATCTCTCGCATCATCATCCACAAATACTCTTCCATTCTGTCAGCATACGGACTGGCTCTTGCCGACATTGTACACGAGACACAAGAGCCCATGGCTGGCGAGTATCAGAGCTCGCACTCGGTAATCCAGGAGAGGTTCACTCGTTTAATCGGTGACTCTTCGAACAAGCTACTGGCTCAAGGTTTCAAGAACAGTCAGCTGAAACATGATCTCTTCCTCAATATGAGGTATGAGGGTTCCGATACGAGCTTGATGGTTCTGAAACCGGAAGATGGCGATTTCAAGTCTTCTTTCATCGAACGACATCAGAGGGAGTTCAACTTCACTATGCAGCGGCCTATTCTTGTCGATGATGTGCGCGTGCGCACGATTGCCATGTCGAAGGGAGAGCCGGAGAAGAGTCCCCTTCAGCAACTGAAGGCTGCAGAAATCAAGGAAGCAGGGTCTCCAGCCAAGACTACAAAGGTCTTTTTCGACTCAAAGGTCGGATTTGTCGACACACCCGTGTACCTTTTGCGTGACGTGGGCTCCAATGTCAAGCTTCAGGGCCCAGCTATCATCATCGATGAGACACAGACCCTAGTCGCCGTTCCGGGTGCTATCGTGCACGTTCTTGACAGTTGCATTATCATGGACCTTGAGCAGAGCGCACCGAAACTCCCAGTCAACGGCAATGTCGAGGAGCAGATTGATCCCGTTCGCCTAACTATCTTCGGCCATCGTTTCATGTCCGTCGCGGAACAGATGGGAAATACTTTACAGAAGACAGCCGTTTCAACAAATATCAAGGAGCGACTTGACTTTTCCTGCGCACTCTTCTCTCCCGATGGCGGGCTTGTTGCCAACGCGCCTCATGTCCCTGTTCATCTTGGATCGATGCAGTTTGCGGTCCGATTCCAACACGAAAGGTGGCTGGGAAAGCTGAAGAACGGCGATGTTTTGGTCGCAAATCACCCAGCCAGCGGCGGAACTCACTTGCCAGATGTCACCGTCATTACTCCTGTTTTTGCACCAGGCACTGACGATATCATCTTCTATGTTGCGTCAAGAGGTCATCATGCCGACATTGGTGGTATTTTACCCGGCTCGATGCCACCCAACTCGACCGAGTTGTGGCAAGAGGGCACAGCAATAGAGTCCGAGAAGCTCGTGTCTGGTGGTGTATTCAACGAGGAACGGATGAGAGAACTCTTCCTTGACATTCCAGCTCGCTATCCAGGCTGCTCTGGAAGCCGCAATATTAGCGATAACATCTCGGACTTGAAGGCCCAGATTGCCGCCAACGCAAGGGGAATTTCTTTGATCGGCAACCTCATCACCGAGTATGGGCTCAGCACGGTCCAGAAATACATGTATGCTATCCAGAAGGCTGCTGAACTAGCCGTGAGAAACCTCCTCAAGGGCATGTATGAGCGGTACGGAGGAAAGCCGCTCGAAGCCATCGACTACATGGATGATGGCACGCCAATCAAGCTCAAGATTACCATCCAGCCAGATGGTTCTGCTGTGTTTGATTTCACGGGAACTGGTCCCGAGGTTCATGGGAACATCAACGCCCCTGAAGCGATCACACACTCAGCCATCATTTACTCGTTGAGATGCATGATCAATTCAGACATCCCCCTGAACCAAGGCTGTCTCGGGGCGATCGACATCCGCATCCCCAGACCAAGCATACTCAGCCCAACACGAGCTGCCGCCGTGGTTGGTGGTAACGTGACGACGAGTCAGCGAGTGACGGACGTCGTGCTCAGGGCTCTCCGGGCCTGTGCGGCTTCCCAGGGTTGCCTGAACAACCTGACATTCGGCATCGACGCCCAGACTGACGAGTCAACTGGAAAGTTAGTACCTGGGTTTGGCTATTACGAGACCATCGCAGGTGGCAGCGGCGCGGGACCAGACTGGTACGGCGAAAGTGGCGTGCATGTCCACATGACCAACACGCGCATCACTGATCCAGAGATCTTGGAGAAGAGATACCCGTGCATATTGCGCCGCTTCGAGCTGAGACCAAATACTGGAGGGGAGGGTCAATATCGGGGTGGTGACGGCGTGGCCAGGGAGATCGAGTTCCTCACTCCAGTGCAGTGCTCGATCCTTTCAGAGCGTCGTGTCCATCGCCCGTACGGAATGGAGGGCGGCGAGGCTGGAGCCACTGGTCTGAATCTCTGGCTGACCACGGACAAGTGGACAAAACAAGATAGAGTTGTCAACATGGGCGGGAAGGGTAGTGTGAAGATGGGTGCTGGTGATAGGGTTGTTATTATGACTCCTGGCGGTGGTGGTTATGGGGCTCTCAATTAATTACTTACATGGCAATGTGCATTTAAGATAGTTATGTGCTTCTAATTATGTCAGTGATTTTCGGGATTTAGATTTCAATCCGTACACAGCTTCGAAATAATTTATTCAGAAATGTGAGACTACTCAGAATTTAAGCATGAGGCTCCATGTCGCCGTCTTTGCTAGCGAGGTCGTGATATACGGACTTGAAACGTACCTACAATTGGAAGCTAGACCAATTGCCTGAAAACAACAGGGATATCGAGAATGTGACCGAAACTAGAAACCCAATAGCTCCGGTCTAAACCCAATAATCGTGACTCTCCTTGATTGACTCCCAATAGCTACTGTGGAACTAGATATCCCGATAGGAAGGGATTCAAGTGTTCCGTCTTCAGATGGCCTGAATTCGGCAGGCAACCAGAGAAGCTTCTTGCCGTTGAATGTAATCCAGCTAGAGTCACTTGAAATCCCAAGCCCGGAGAATTGAGCTGATAAGGGCTTAACATGCACCTCTGACAAGGGACGGTTGATGGTAATTATACCAGCATTTGTGATTAAATTCCAAGTTCTGTTGACTCGTAGTTCGAATGAAGTCCATCTGTAGCTCTTGGGGATTGGAACAATTTGACGGCATTCGCCTGTCGATGCATCCCAAGCGCGAATTTTCCCATCATCAAAAGAGGCTGATATGATAGATTTGGAGTCTTCGGACATGGCGACTGCATAGATCATACTGTTGTGACCCTGAAAGGTCTGGATGCAGTTTCCGGATTCCACGTCCCATAATTTCACCGTGTTATCAGCTGACCCTGTTACCAGCTGTGAAGAGTCACTCGACAATGTGAAGGACAAGGTCGCTAAATTGTGGCATTTCAATGTTTTGTGATAGCGGTTAGATTTAAGACCCAAGATCTGAATAGTCCCATCCCAAGATGCCGACACCAAGATGTTCGAGTCTGCGGAGAATTTCACTGAGGAAACCATTTTAGAGTGGTTGATTCCTGTGTCAGAACACTGGCCCGTGGAAACATCCCACAGTTGCACCTTTCCACTTATATGACCAGACGCGATGAGAGCAGAGTCAGGTGAGAACGCAACTCTGATCGCTGCGCGGCAACTTCTCCCGTTCAACACATGAATACGCTCCCCTGTTTGAACACTCCACACGCGAATGGTCCCGTCAGATGACGCCGAGGCTAGGAGTTGTGAATCGGGCGAGAAGGCCAACTCATGATTGGTCCTTGGATGGTCGTCGAGCACATGGAAACACTTGCCCGTGGCCGCATCCCATAACCGAATCGTCCCATCGGGCGACCCTGATGCAATGACCTTAAAGTCATCAGAAAAAGCAATCCTGCAAGGGTTTTTTATTTTACCCTTAAATGGAGTAGAAGCCTCTTGAGGATAAACATCCCATACTCGAATAGTATTATCAAAAGATGCCGAGGCAAGGAGGGTGGAGTCGTGAGAAAATGCGATGGAATTGACGAAGTTGTTATGCCCTTCCAGAGCCAGGAAGTGTTTTCCCGTGTGGGTGTGCCAAAGATTAATTATCCCATATCCTGCATATCCTGATGTCATTGCTAGCAATTCTGAATTGTGAGAAAATATCACTTCGCCACCACACTCGTGGTAGCTGATAATCTGCAGTCTATCCCCTGTATCAACGTCCCAAAGTGTTGTGAATCCAGATGGTGAGGCTATTGCTAGCATTTTAGAATCGGGAGAAAGGGCCATTAAGATAATATCGTCATTATACTGCATCTCCCACTTGCACTGACCACTTTTTGTATGAACGTATCGGATTTTATTACCATCATCAGCCACGGCGAGCCACTTAGCATCGTAAGACAGACATACAACAGCTTTAGTGCTCGGGCGCCCAGAGTCTGTTCGAACCTCGGGTTCGTCCGCAATCTTGATCCCAAAACTTCCCTCAGTGTATGTATTCCAAGTGATAATCAGGCCGTCCATGAGAGTGAGCTTAGCACCAATCCCACAGTCTTGGCCGTGTGGTAAACGTGCCCCTGTTTTCACATGCCATAGCTGGACCTTGCTACCAGACACCGTTGCTATCGAACCAGGGTCTGGCGTAAAGAGGGCATCCCGAACAGGCTCTTCGTGAGGTATGATCAACGGACATTCCCCTGTTTCTGGATTCCAGAATCGGACAGAGTGATCTGATGACGCCGAGACGAGCAAGGTTGAGTCGGGAGAGAAAACAACGGTGTTAATCTTATCACTGTGGCCCTCAAGTGTCTGCAAACACCGACCCCATTTATTGTCACTCTCCGGTCGTGCATCAATCCACTCCGGAATGGTATTTTGAAATATCTCTCGAATTAAACTCTTCTTCGGTGCGAATAATAGGAGAGAGGAATAGAGCTGTAGGGGGAAGGATTCGACGGCGAAGGAATATGTCCGCACAAATCGCCGGGCGTCGTGGAGGAATGCCAGCAACTCTGGGGAATCTTGGTTCTATCAAAAGGTGAGTCGGCGTCTTCTATGGGGGAATATCGAAACAACTCACGCTAACAACTGAGATCAAATTGTTTATGAGTTTAATGCTCTCCAAACCCTGTCCCATCAAGCTGAGCGCCTCGATCCAATGTAGAAAATGGGATTTCAGGAAATCGTGGACACTTCCCATATCCTCTCCTTGTAACTCTGCTTCACTAATATGATACACCCAATATAGGCAAGCATACTGCAAGTGAGGGGAAAGACATATAGCAAGCTTATCAGGGCTGACATTTCTGGCGTCCGTGCCTGGAAATCTCAGGTCGCAAATGTCTTCCTTGAGCTTATCCATTGTAGTAAGACAATTTCTTCCCAAGGTCCTATGAGCGTTTTTTTCATCAATCCAAAATGCATGATTATCACGCTTGTCTTGATCTAGCAAGAAGTCTCGAAAGGACAAATGGAAGAGTCTCACCGGCTCCTCACTCGAGGCTGGCACGCTCAGGACTGAATGGAGCAAATCCAACCGAGCATCAACAGTCTCCCGCTCAATGAAGAGAATGCTTGCTAGTGCTGAGGTAGAAAGTGGCCTTGCCAGGATGATTATGGAACCTATAACCAATTGAAATTGGCTAAGAACTTGAGCTTTTTCTCTGTTCGAAAGACCAGAAAGCTGCTGTTCTAAAACAGGCAAGTATGTTGCATCGAGTTTGGATTCCTGGCTTTTCGTCTGATATTCAAGAACGGTCTCCAGTTGGATACCAGGACTACCGCACTTTCTGTCGGCAAGGAACCGACAAGTGGTGGCGGCAAAAATGAAAAGCGGTACAGCCATATGGACCAAGGATGTGATTTTCGATTCGCCCGGCCAATCCTGGGTAAGCTGTCTGTCTTTTGGCACGGTCGCATTATAATCATTGCGAATTTCCGAGATTTTGTATTCGAGAAAAACCTGCAAGTCGTGCTCGATAATAGACAGCGATATGTCATGCAAAATCAGATCTTGGTAATTGCCCTTGATCGCGTGGAAGCCTAATCGGATTGGTAGCTCCGGCCGGCTTGTGAAAAATGTTTTGAGGCGTAAATTTTGCAACTTCTTTGCTGTGGAAAATAATTCGACCATGGTGCGAACATCATCATCGTTCTCACACTCGTCCAAAGCATCAACGACCAGAACAATGGGCTCGCCAGTCCGATTCGAAATTTTTGAAAATGGTTGGAAGATAAGTTTGTCGAATTGTTCCCTCAGGGTCTTCTTCGCTATTCCAGGATCTTCCTCTAGCGTCCTTTGCACGTGGTGTGACATTGCTGGTTCTCTGGCTACAATATCGGCAGCGATTGATGTCATGAACCGAGCCATCTTTCCTCGGTCACCTTCACCTCTTTTGAAGAAGAAGCTGGCTCCTAACCGGCCCTTTCTGGTCAGGTCTCTAGCTATGGTACGAGATATTGTAGACTTTCCCGTTCCTGCCATGCCATTGAGCCAAAATATCGCCTCTGATTCTGAGTCATCTACCCACGCTGATAGTTGCTGAAGTAGGTCCACTCTAGTGTTGGGTAGACATGTCGGATTCCGTCCTTCCTCGTAGGAATCAAACGCAGCGCCGGATGCCACTGGGAGCTTGTCAAGTAGTACTCTCTGTTCGACATTCAGAATAATCTCACTGTTGTGTAAGTTTTAGTAAGTAAGCGCCTGTCAATTTCAGACGGGGAAAATACAAGCACTGACGTTTGGTCAATTTGCAACGCAAGATTCATAGTCTGCGTGCATCTTTCAATATCCGACACGAGCTTTTGTGCCTCGCTGCTTTGAAACGGCCATTTCAAGGCGCGGAAGCCGAACCGTTTCATTGTCTGGCGTCTGGAGCTTGGCTCGAGTCGCGTATCTAGCTTCTGCAGCTGCTCCTCGGCTTGTTTCGTAACGACAGCCAAGTCTTGAGACGTTCTCAATCTCTCCCCATTCTGGCACTCCAACAGGTTTTTAACACCTTGGGCGGCCGTTCGCAAGTGCGTCACCGCCTGAGTGAGTCGCTCCACATCTTCGCGGGCATTCTTGACGTCCTTGGAGTACTGAAACAATATCGAGGCGATTTTGGACGCGAGTTGGACGACTGCGATGATGTTGGCAGCTGCGCCGACCGCCTCCATTTTGGCAATGGTAAAGGAGATGATGAAGATGAGAAACAAACTGCATGCGACAGGATTTTGACTGCTGGTACAAAATATTGACGTTGGGCAGCCAGCGAGGGGTTGTCTGTTGTCAGCCTGAAGGCATATTAGGTAAGATCACTGTCACACTGCATGAATATTGCTGTACTGCCTCATCACAGCCCCTCCATAGCCCTGAAGGTCTCTGAAGCGGGTTAACCGTATTCAATCATCGCTACTACTCGTCGCTACAGCTCGAGGCTATGAAAGAACGACTCGAAGGAAACAGCCGTAAATGGGTAGAGGTGAATCGTATGGTGTATGATACTATGTTGGTTTGGCGTAATAATATATTAAGCTATCATTGACATCTAAAGACTACATTAGTATTATAGTTTTGCTCTAACACTGGATTTCCATCTATCACGACGCAACACAGTCACGGTTGTAAAAGGTCGTGCTCGAGCGCGAGGCAGGTGTGAAGCCACTTAGCTCGCGGGTTGCCCTAAACATGCTGCATATTCCGCTGAGGGCATCCCAGCTAAAGGAGACGCAGCCCATGTTGATACCAACACATGTCTGGTAGCAAGCTGCGGCCTGGGGCACGGGACCACTGTTTCTGATGTAGGCGGGATTGGTGCTGTCAGAAACCGCGCTGCCCATGAGGCCACAGTCGGCGTACTTGTCAGGGGCCCTGAGGCAGCCACCGTCGTAGAAGTTGATTGGGCTGGTGTTATCTGATGCAAAGCCAATTTGGACGAGGGATCCCTTGTACAATATGCATTCTTTGGTGTTCGTATTCCAGGAGGCGGCACCGCAGTACTGGTAGGCGTTTTGACAATGCTCAATGCAGGAGCGGAACGTGACGGGTGTTGGCCACGGCGAGTCGTATTGCGATCGAGGCCGGACGTAAGACGCCTGTTCCGAGGCAGAGAGGCCGTTGCCTGCTGTGCCGAGTTGGACGCACTCTTGGGTGCGTAGGGGAGCCAGACTCGACGTAGTTGTTGAAGCAGTGAAGGAGCTGACCGGAACAGATCCACTGCCAGTGCCGTAGTCGATGATGTACTGGTCGATGGTGGCTGGAGTAACTTGGTTGGACAAGAAGATGGAGTCGATCAACACCGAAGCCGAGCCACCGATATCACAACGCAGGGAGAAGCGCAGCACGGGGTTTGCCTGAGAGGGCCGACCTTGCTTGGTTACTTGAATGTATGCTGTTGGCGAGGTGGCGGGCTCCATGATGAACTCGGACCAGAGGGCCTGGTCGTCGAAGAAGGCCAAGAGGCGGCAGTCATTCTGGGTTGTCGAGCCGGTTACAATGCTGTAGTAGAAGCGCAAGGTGTAATCGGTGTTGACATTGAGCCCAGTCAGGCCCTGGGAGATGGACACCAGGTTACTGGCGGCTGCTTGACGCTTGAAGTTGCGGCGAGAGGGGGCTTGGGAGCTGGTGCCGCTTCCGGTAACCCTCAGCTTCGCGCAGCCCGTTTCGCTCGTGCTTTCGCCAGTGTAACCGTCGGTCGAATCGTGCGATACATCGCCATTGGTTGTGAATCCGTCGGTGTTACGGGCGAGGTTGCCATTCTGGACGGCGTTTGTTACAACGGCATCTGACGCAGTAGTCAATGGTGTTGTAGGTGTTCCAGTAGAGCCACTTGCAGAAGTGGGTGTGACTGCCGGCGTTGTGCTCGTAACAATGCCAGTATTCGTAGAGCTCTCGCTGGGAGTTGCGGCTGAAGAAGAGCTGGGTGTGGTCTCGACGGGCGTGGCAGTACCAGTACCAGTACTTGGGGTGTTGGATGCAGAGCTCGTCTCCACTATGATGCTCGACGACGACGAGGGTGTCTCAAAGCTGACGCTTGAAGGCGTGGTCGAACCGGAGTTGCCCACCGACGTACTTAGTGTCGCTGTCGAGGAGACACTTGGTGTATCGGTGCTTGCATTGGAGGGTGTACTGCCAGTCGCAGAGCTGGGACGATGTACACACTTCTTCGCTGCTACGGCCTGGAAGGCTCCCGCGAGCGCGAGGGCTGCCAATCCCACTGTGGAGCGCATGGTAGGCTTTGTTCAAACTGACAGAAAACGACGGATCGATCTGAAAGGTCTTGAGTTTGTCAACTTCCACCAGAGATTTAGCTGTAGAAACCATGGCGAGACTGGCGTTGATATATTGGCTTCTCAGACCCATACTTCCCTTGCCAACTATTGCTACTAGCGGCTTGATAGTCGGGATCGACGCATCCATGCCCCTGAGCTAGACGTAGTAGCGCCAGTCATCTTGCGCCAGATGAGTCTAGACATGGCAATAGCGGGGAATAGCCAGACATGGAGAAATGAGAATGAAAATTGGAATGAGATCGAGGCCAATCGGGCAAGAAGGCGCAGTTTTCCGTCTGTTCTCTGCCTCAGGATAGTGCAAAAGCCGTATTGGATGTTAAGGCACCTGAGATCAGTCGCTGCGTATTTCGCGAGACGAAAGTTCTAACGGCGTGTGCTGTTCTTTTTTCGAGGCGCGTCTAGGGCACGCTGTCACGTGATGACTTGCGCTAGCTCACCTACCCTAGACGCTCACGTTCATGGTCGGGAGAGATGAACCATGTAGCAGATAATAAGAAAAAAAACAGTATGCATATAGCTAATCGATAGAGAGAAGGGATATAGCCCATAAGCCCATATATGACATCAGAAATCCTCAAAGACGGAAAACCAATCGTAGTGGAAGGCTTGAATCTAGCACGTACAATATCATATGTTGGGTACCAAGGCCTGCAAAGTCACCAACTTCCCCTGCCCAAGGAAAGCCGTAGAGATCAGGGTCGGAACCAATTGATGTCCCACATCCTATGTTACATGGTACATAGGTAGCATAAGCTTTGTGTGCAATACAACAATCCGATCTATAGTTTGGAAGACTTTGTTGCTAATAAAAGCGCACCGTTTAACCACTGTTGCAGGGGTTTTGTGACGTCATATCAGGACACAATCCGAGCTCGAGTTATTCGCAACCATCCAAAAACATCGCCAGCGAGTTTCGGGATAAAGCCACCAAGAGGGGGGAAATGGCAACAAAAGTCTCTGAAAATTGCGTTAAACAGGTCTTGGACATCAAGGTCTTTGACCAGATCCTGGAAATGGACGAGGATCCGGTTCAGCGCGAATTCAGCTCGGAGATTGTCTTCTCATTTTTCGAGGAAACGCAAAAGGTTTTGGCGTCTATGGAAGAGGAAGTGTATGTCTTTGCAGATACAAAACAAAGAGTCGCTGACAAAATTAGGACAAAGTCTTACGTTCATAGCTAGCCGCTAATTAGTCGTTTGTTGTAGGGAGCAAGCCAACTTTCCAACGCTAGCTTGCTTAGGCGAACGTCTAAGGGGGTCTGCAGCGACTCTGGGCTTGGAAAGGGTCAGTGAAAGTGGGAGAAAAATTCATTGCTTTGGGTTCAGAAAGACGGAGTGTGGAAAGTCTCATGAGGGTGACGATAATTTGAGCCTCGGCCGGATTCGCAATGAGATAGCCGTGGTGAGACATGAGCTTGTCCAGGCACGCAGAGCTTTGGATGATGTGTACAAGACCGTGATGCTGGCAGGCCATCATAGGGGTAGGCAAAGCTGACGAAGCCGGGATTTTTCGTGTATACGATCCAACTTACCTGCTCGAGGCTGCTCGAGGCTGCAGTTGTTGATTGTATTCATCAGCATCACGGCGGGTAGGATCAAATTTTATACTTGCTTGGGGTTTCTTGAGGCTGCAGCTATTGATTGTATTCATAAGGTTCATAACATACGCGTACGAAGCACACTCCCTCGCAACACCACCAAACACCTTCCTCGCAAGCTTACGATGGCATCATCCACGACGGGATGACCTGAGGGCTGATTTTTTCTCGACCAGTAGCCGATTGTTTGAGAATGCAGCAGCCAATAACCGTCGAAGCGACTTATCCTCACATAAATATGCAAAGCCGGAAGCTGCATCCAACACCTGAAGGGGTCAGATAACACCTTCTCATTTCCAGCTTTGCCTAATGAGTTCAAAAGCAAGGAAAAATAATTGAGAATAAGGGCTGATTATTTTATTCTTGCATTTTTTTATCAATGCCAAAGGCGAAGAATAATAGCATTAGCGGAATGGTGTCATAACTCATTGTGCAACATGAAAGAGCTGATCCCTGATCCAAGAAATCGAAAATTTAATTCTGCTACCTCTCTTTTTTCCTTTTGGAGCGCAAACGTAGCTAGGATGCGAGCTAAAATCTTATGCTATGCAGTCAGCAAATTGTCTCCGAAACTTCCATTCCTTCCCTTGTTTCTTTTTTCACCAGACAATTATACTACTGGCTCAGCTCAACCGGAGCAGGTCCGGACAAGTCGCATCAACCTTGCAATGTGTGGATACCTGATTACCAGGATATAGCTGAATATTATCAGGCCGACGCTCATCGTTTCCTGATACTGAGATGTGCCAAAAAAACAAGTTCTAAGACATCCCACGTACAAAGGAGCTCATTGGGCATCAATGACTTTCAGCTCTCAAGTGGCTTGCATTAGGTGATTCATGCTGACAGGCTCCAGCCTGATCACGTATTCAAGTGAGGTAAAAGTATCTCGAGACAGCCCGAAAATGCACAAATCTCCTTCTGAAGTAGTATTGTGGCGGTAATGCACCCCAAGCAGTGACGCGTACACCACTGCAGGACCAGAACAGACCCTTCCTTTTGTTCAAGGGGTCATGCCCCCCGTCTTGCACGAAGGGGCTGACGGTGCTACAATTAGGCTTCCACAGTCAGCAATTGTAGGGAAATTGCACATTTTCTTTGTATTATGAATAACTGCATAGTTCTTTCAGTACATGTCTCGGACGCAACCTCCCGTCACTCTCTTCTCCAGCGGTAGAGGATGGATCTAGGAGGTGGTGTTAAAGTCTCCATGACTGAGATACATTTGAAGTTAATTAAATTAAGGATACTGGGTAAAGGTTCAAAAGAGAGCGACAGAAGAAGGAAATGATAGAAAAGAAACCAACATAAGAAGACAAATTGAAAACGAAGGTGTCATAGAACAATTCAACCGCCAAAACAGTACCTGTACCTCATTCCGTTCGTTTACCAAAGCATATAAGTGACCAATTTCATGAAGGCCTCATCTGTGTTCTCAGTCGGCCACTCGTGATTTCTAATCGTGTGCCGAATGGTGAGTGCCCTGGCTCTGAGGTCCAACACTGTGGCAGCATCCGCGCCAAGGCTCTCCAAGTTTCGAGCAAGAAACCAGTAGGCTCTAGCGATATGGGGATCCAACTCACGGTTGTTTGTCTCGCCCATATCGATGATTCGTCTCAAAACAATCGACGATATCTCAGTCAACCCGCGATAGTACTGTATGTGAGCAACCAGGAAGAGCGAGTCAGCCACCCTGGCACCCCCATGCGGTCCGTAAAAAGCGCGTCTCATGGTGATGGAATACGAGGCCAGCTCCTGGGCTTCTACAGCCTTGCCTTGTGCCCAGCAAATACGAGCGAAAAGGATCATATCCCCGCCGTAGTTTGTATCTGGCGATGGGTCAACGCAATCAATTGTCATATGCCGCTCACTCCAGAACTTCCGGAGAGTGCTGATAGCTTCATCAATTCGTCCTGCTCTGAGATGTACAAGTGAGTGGATAGCTTGAGCTCGAGGGGTCATGTTAGACTGCTGAGCACCCTCTGTGCCGAAGTATCGGGCCTTATCCGCATAGATGGCATCCGCTCTGCGTATAAACACCGATGCTTCATTGGTGTTTCCAATCTCAGTGTAAGCGTAGGCAATGGAGTCACATGCTTTTGCCACACCCATTGACTTGGGACCATATCGATCCTCCTCGATCTGAAGAACGCGCTTGAGCGTAGCCAGGGCAGCACGTGGGTGGCAAAGTTCAATCTGGGCGTGGCCCTGCAGAGTATACATCCTTGAGAGGAAGTCGGGAGTCATTCTCGCTCCAAACACAGGGACTGAGATTTCCATCGAAATGTAATCGATGAAATACTTAGCAAGGCCTGGCTGTTGGTTCTCTTGAGCATACCTGGAGTGAAAAAGTTAGCAAAGAGCAGGACCTAGAGCGGTTGAACACTGACCGGCCTGCTCGCAAAACAAGTTCCATCCATTCTACTTTCCTTCTCACCCGAACCTCAATATGTTGCATCACTTCAATAGTTCGAATGATGTGCGGGAGCACAACCTGGCTTGCCTTGAACGAATCGTGGCCTGGCTGGAAATCGTCGGGTAGAAATTTGTCGAAGATTCGAATGGCATGACTAAATGCAGGGCTGACCTGGTCGTCCTCAATTCCTGTGAAGGGTTCGAGGACAGATAGTACGAGGTTGCCACTATCGTCTACGCGAACAATGGACCGTTCGACAAGCGCGGCGATGGCCCTGTCGAGCCTGAACGCGATCGAATCAGCATGGATGACATCACGGGCAAAGGAGAGGGAGATTTACTCTTCTTCGTCTCTGAGGAAATTATACCACTGATTCTCCACCACATTCTCGGGTGGAGTAAGCAGTGATTTTGGGATGCATTCGGGGTTGAAAAAGAATAGTAGGTCCAAGACGCGTTTGGCCGTGTTGGGGAGGCCTGACGCCCTTGGATCAGGCGTCGTGGGCACGTAATAGGTCAAAGACATGATGTGATGATGCCTTTTGAAAAGAATGTTAGAGTCAAAATAAACACGCTGCACTTGAAAGAAACGCTGCTCTCGGGGACTTTACCCTCAGGTCTGGCACGTCTTGATTTTGCAATCACTTGAGAAGTGCGGGTGTTGTTTATGTGTGCATTTCTGCAAGAAAGAGAAGAAATTCAGTGTCGGGATGCTGGAACGATATTCAGACCTTGGATGGCCTAGAATAAAAGCAGTGGCCCATGTGAAGCTTACAAAGTGGGATGATATGGGGATGGAGAATGGAGAGCTTAATGTGGCGGAAGAGGGGAAAAGGAGCGAGCTTATTAAACCCCGCCTGCCTTTGCTTCCTTTTTCCAACCTTTCTTCCCGTTGGTCAAGCTCATGAGTCATCAGTCCTCAGCCCAACACTATCGGTCTTATTTACTTGCATTTTCAGCCCGCTATTATGCAACATTCACTAATATTCAAGTCATGGGACCACAGGCTGAATTGACCTGTCACTTATTGTATTATAGTGGATAATCTCTCGGATTCAGCTGTATTTGAGACAGTATTGGGCGGCTGAACAAGCGGGATGCAACATAGATATGCATCCCTAGAAATATAGCGTTGCAGCTCAGAAAAGTTATGCCCAGAACTGCCGTCATTTGGATATACGTTTCACCATTTGCCCACTGCAGATGCGAATACGACCCTGTTATATCACCAGGCCAACCTATGTGATGTGCAAAAGTCCTGTCAGCACCAGATTTCGCACCCAAAGTTGGAATGCAGCGGCGGTGTGAACAGTCTCCGCCATCCTAATACCAGAAGTACATGCCCCATTGTGTCGGCCCCCCCGCCATTTTTGAATGACGACTGTTGTTTCAGAAACTGTTCAGCGTGCGCTCACTGTAGTATCAAAGTGAGGGGTAGGTGATGATAACATTCGTGGAGGCCACAAAGGTCCAGAGGTCGGGTTTTGTTCCAAGATAAGATAATGATGTGATTCATGTCGGCCAAATCACACCTGAGACTGTCTTGAACAGTAGAAATTAGGCTATTGAGTGCCCGAACTGCAAAACGACCTTCAATTCATTTCGTAGCTCTGGTTTAGTCGTAAGTGGTGGGTTTGTTCGGACTGTAAAAGGAAAGTCAAGTTATTTCGTTGTCGGGTGTGGCATCTGTTTTTTTTTTTTTTTTTTTTACATTACACTCAAACTCACCACCCACATCAAGGTATTTAATTCCAGTCGTGTCGCTCTGGATAATTTGAGGGCCATTCATGGTACATTCATAAGCCACTTGATGAAGAAGGCCACTGCAACTGCTAACCGTTCCCTTGCCATCCTTTGCCAATCCTCACTGTTTTTCTTTGCTCCTGCCTGGTGTTCTCGGAGCTTTTCGAAACTATAAACAAGGAGTCCCCTGATATGTTCGGTAGAGGGCTTAAATGCGCCATATTCTTCTGCATGTACAGGATTCCGATACCTGAAGCTCCAGTTGTGATCAAACAAATGGTCCAGGGGACGTGTCCACCAGCAGAGTACCAGGCACTTTACATGGCCGGCCCTTGGAAGCTCCAGCACCGTTATGCGACGAATCAAGGACTTGTTGGAGATTTAAAGATATCTCTCATCTCTGATAGGCTTGTATGCTGTATCAGCCAAGGGATTCCCTCGACGTTGCTTGAACCCACTCGGGAGACCGCGGAAGAATATCCAGCTTCTGGTAGTTTGTCGGGCGTTTTGAATATCCAGGAACAGCCCGACATCATGGAATTCTTGGAATCTAGCGTCAACATGAACCGCGGACACGTTCCGTTGCCCCGCCCGAGTGTCAACAAGGTGGGATGGCTGGAGTTTGGCACAGCCATGTGCTCGGGCCAGCATGAGATCTACGTTTCACGATCCCGAGAGCTGGTGCATGAAAACACCCTCTAGGCTCTCTGTCGTCATGCGCCATCGCCCGAGTTCTTACCGAGGGAAAGCTGTGACCGGAACCCCTGGGGCAATTCCGATGAATCGCGCCAGTGTTGCATTCGGTGTGCTTGTCTCATGGGCCGTGGAGTCTAGAATGCTGAGGAATACGTTTTGGATCAATTCTAGAGCCATGGACGAGCGGGTCGGGCCATGCCTTTGGTACTAGAATAAGCCTCGTTGTTACGGGTGAAAGAGGGGGCATTGTCCAAAATAAAACCCTCGTGGTGATCAATGCGGCATGCGAACAGCTTGTTCACGCATGCAAGGCCCCCAATCGAGGGTACGACAGCCCATCGTTTAGCATGAACAACGGTTAAATTGGAGACCAATCTTCATGGTAAAAAAGGATGGCTAACTTAGCTATGATGTTAGATTTCAAGGGCTACCATCACGAACATATACTCAATCGCCCCCGATCTCGCCCGAAGCTGGATTGTCAATAATGATGGGCACGACTCGCGGTAGGTTTCATTTCGGTTATTGTTCGAATTTAGCAAGGTGAAAATGTCTAGGCGTATGATAATTCGGCCGAATTGGCACGAGATTATTGACTTGTTTTGATCGTCCTTGTCTCAGATTAGTATCATCAGAGTGGGTGCTGGTGATCATTAATTAAAGGATGACAACCACAGCCCGGGGCGCATGGTATACCAGCACTACAAACCTTCCAAATGTTTACACTAGAAGCAATCTAGCTAGATAGTAAAGGGTCTATCGAAGAAATCCCGCCTCCAAACGTGGTTCCCCTGTCTTCCCAGCGTGGAGTGAAGTGAAGGGAGAACAACTCGCTTTCCCGCGGCTAGCAATGATCTCGTCTCGGGTCGCGAAGGCTCAATTCGAGAGTACTTTGGTTTGTACAAGTTCATTGTGACTAGCATCCACGAATCACAAGCCAGTTAAGTGACCAGAGGGATCAATTTGTCAGTCAGTTCTATTATTGTAATTCAGCTGCCAACTTCAGGAGGCATAAGTGGGATTGATTTACTTTTGAAAGAATGGAAGGCATAGCGAAACAGCATTAACCTGTTTCCGCGTTGCCCGCCTCCTCAGGAAAGTCTCTCATCCGGATCCACGGTGGTTGGTATCCTTGGTTTCATCCTCGGCATTGTGTTTGGCTCGCCATAAACACATTCCCCTATATATCGATGCTTTCCCCTTACCCTGGCAAATATCAATCTGATAAGACCGCATCTACTGGGCTAGATTGCATGGCATTCATTATTTTGAAAATCACTTCCGAAGCATTTTGCGCTTCACTGACTTACGATGAGTGGTACCTTTACACCCGAGCAGCGCATTCACATTGTTGATTCATTTGCCTGCACCCTTTACCACCGTGTTAAACAGCACCCTACCCAAAACGACATCGCTGATATCATTGGAGAGCTACATGGTAGCCTTCGACGGCTAAATGTTGAGGCCGGCGATTTCAACTCCCTTCTACGAGACCCGCGGAGTGCTTACTCTGGCCAACTCGTCTCAGTCATCGACGACTGTGACGGCACTCTCAGACATCTCCAATATACACTCGACAATCAAGGCCGAGCGCTAGGTGTCATTAGATCGCAGTTATGGAGCAGAATCTCAACCATCAACAGGCTGATCGACGCCGTTCAGATGCAGCACCGGAGGGGCATGCAGACAACTTCCAGGCCACCCGGTGGGCGTGGGAGAGGAGGGCGTCGGAATTCGAAAGATTTAACCCCACGGTCCAGTTCTCGGGACGATTATTCGTATCATCCAACTCCAACTAGCTCCCAACCGAAGACAGTCCCTCCCCCAGTCCCACCCAAGATCCCTCTCGACAAACCCTACAATCAAGTTGGGGATTCATCTTCGCCGGAGTACGATAACTCGGGTTATTCATATATCCTCACAACATCGATTTCGACAAACGATACAACTGCCAAAGACAATACAGACCGCCGATTTGTCAGGTCGCCATCGCGTTCCCAGTATCACCATAGAAGAGGTAATTCTCTCCCAATCGGGCGAATGGATACTCCGTTCGTCCCTCGGGACTCTTATGGTTCAACGCATCTCTCTGAGCTTCCCGGCAGTTCAAGTTTCAAATCCCAGTCAAGTCAATTTTCCTCCCCTCTTTCACAAAGAGGTCCAGTGATCGAGTCTGGCCTGGCACCTGATAGCTATGGCCAACCAATCCCCATGGACGCTGAATGGACCAAAATTGACCGCGACATTGTCAGCCCTGGTATTCTTGAACTTGCCGGAGTCAGATACGAAGCAAGGCCTTCATACGTCGCGGTGCTCGGGCGGCTTTCAAAGGATCAAATCTCTGCGTTTGCTAGACAAACTGCCAATTACCGAGCGGGGAGACCCATTCACCCCGAGGACTGGCAACTCTTTAAACAAAGAGTGCCAAAAACTCAAAGAAGGACATCCGATAGCAGCAACAGCAGTCAGGCTGAATCTATCGCATTGCGTTTGACTGTTGATCCTCGTAGGAAGAGGCGTTCAACCACCAGCGACGTGCCTCCCAAATCAGTTCTGAAGAAGCGAAGCATGAACAGGGTTCGGTTTGACCCCAATCCTGAAGAAATCAACCCTGAACCAAGTTCAGTACAAGGCGATCGAGAGAAGGCCCACCCAAGCCGAAGCCAAAGCTATGATGAACGTGATCACATTTACGAATTGTCAGGGAGCTCCCCTCCCCGACGCCCTCGGAGTGCCTCCCGTGCAAGCAGCATGAACGACCGACCCCGCAGCTACTCATACGATGTCGACCGCGACTACTACTCTCCGAGCTCGGGGTATGATGACTATGATCGACGATCTCACCGGAGTGACGGTCGGAGGTCGCGCCTAAGTATAAGTGGCACTGCCAATCGTTTGCTCTCTGCCCTTAGCAGCAAGGGCAGCAGCCAGAGTCAGAGCAGAGGTGACAGAGACTTGGCGTACAATTAGTACAAGAACAGGTTACGGACCAGCGACGTGCCTTATTCCATTTGTTCAAATGTTTCCTAAACATTGCTCATGCTGGCCATTGAGAAATTTTCCATCATTTGACCTTATTGATTTTGTTTGATGCTGAAATTGGCAAGATCTGCTCGCTAGAAGAAGCTGCTTTTGTTTATGATGGAGGACTAGAACCACGGATGGATAGAGTACAGTATGTTAAGCCTGTATGAAGATATGAAGATTGATTTCGTCCAATTTTTTATCAACGAAACTTGCTCCTGCCTGAATTATCGGACCATGCGAATGTAACCTACCTAAATCGTAGCTGGAACTTTTCTGCATGAGACTTTCACATTGCGTTCGTTAGCTAAGATCACCGAGACTGCAAGAGAACCCGAAACAGATTTAGATTGCGGAGGGGTTGACGCCTCAGTTAATCAATGCTGCCAATAGAGTTAAATCCCCGAGCCTTCGCCTAGAACAGAATCATCCACGCAACCCACCTCGGACAATGTTAGCACCTAGGTATGACAAGATGCTTGAAGACGACTATCCCATCAAGAAGGCAAATCCAACAATAGCCAAAATATTGATGGTTTAGGTATTCTATTTGGAGTTAACTAGCCCTAGGAGGGCAAGGTTGGTTGAAGTAGCGGGTCTATTTTGAGCGCAGGCTAATTCATGATGACGTGATGGGCTCCGACAAGTTCTCGGGGCGAGGAGGTTAATCGGATTATTGTCGTATTTCCGTCCTTTCGGCGAGCCGGTTCTGATTAACATCTATAAGTCTTCCGAGTTGGATGAATTTCAATTGGGTTTGACTATTGCCCATCACTTTTGTATCCCAAATAATTTCACTTGATTGCATCGATCAGTCTGCAGGAATCTCATCATGGTTGTGTTGCCTTCGCCCTTTGGCGAGATTCCCCGCATTCCGTTGATGTATGAGCGTCCCTCAGACATCGAGTATCTCAAGAGGCTTACAGAGAAGCTTGCATGCGGTACCGAGATCTGGATGAAGCGGGATGACTGCAATTCAGGCCTGGCTTTCGGCGGCAACAAGATCCGCAAACTGGAATATGTTCTGGCTGATGCCGTTGCTCAAGGTGCAGACACCCTGGTGACAACAGGCGGCGTCCAATCCAACCACATGCGACAGACCAGTGCTGCTGCTGCGCGCCTCGGGATGAATGTAAGCATGCCAAATCTCTTGACATTGTTGGTGCCTGAAACTGCTTGCAAGCGAACTTCTCGCTGATTATTGAATAGGTCGCTCTGTACCCACGCGAGGCCGTCGCATCGACCGAACCCGAGTATTCATATGCTGGAAATGTCCAAGTGGCTCAGATTCTGGGAGCGGAAACATTCCCTGTGGGCACCACGGAGGAAAAGGTCTTGGAGATGCTGAAGAGCCGCGGCAAAAAGCCATATTCAATTCCTCCTGGCGCCAGCCTGCATCCTCTGGGCGGCCTGGGTTATGCTCGATGTGCATTTGAGATACTCGAGCAGGAGAAGAAACTTGGTGTGTCATTTGATATCATCGTTACTGCCAGTGGCTCTGGCTCTACACTTGCAGGACTGGTTGTGGGCTTCAAGCTTGCCCAGAAAATGGGAGTACTAGAGTCGAGGAAACGGTTGATTGGCTTTTCAATTATGCGCAAGCAGAGCGAGGTTGTTGAGCTCGTTCTCCGTATCGCAAAAACTGCTGCTCATCATGTCGGCCTTGACGCAAACGATATCACATCGGATGACTTTGAGATTAGCGACAGTTATCTCGGAGGAGCGTATGGGTTACTGGATACCAGGACAACGGAAGGTATAAAGGAACTTGCCAGGACAGAGGGGATCTTAGTTGATCCAGTTTATACCGGCAAGGCTTTCACTGGTCTGCTTGATATGGCAAGGGGCGGCCAATTTGGACGTGGTAATGTACTCTTCTGCCACACTGGGGGCCAAGTAGCAATGAGTGCCTATCCCCAATTAAAATAGCGATCAACTAGATATACATATTGGCATTCAAGAAATACCACTAAATTCATGGTGAGGGTGATATTAGGATGCCTACGTAGACAATCTCGAGACATCGCTTAGATAGTGGCGTTGGCCTATGCTTGGAAGATAATATTTTCAGATATTGAAACTGTGATTTTACCAAAGAAGAGTGTTTGTGAATGCTTTGTACGCTTCTAGGAGAGCAAGGATTCGGGGTGCCCTACCCATCACACCAAGATTTCGAACTAGACAGCAATGACTGGCACAGACCATTCAAAGGAAAGTTGACACAGAAGGCATGGTGTTTGTGTCAGTAGAAGATGCCCAAAGAACAGTGACTGCCCTTCTTTGTTCATTGTTTACTTGTTAGGTTCCCCCGCCAGAACTTCGTACTATATAAATACTAGGTAGGGCTCGAATAAAAAGCTATTACTACTGCTAGACTAAACGATTTGAAGCATGGGTACTTCGCAACCATGATAGAAGATGATGCCCACAGCTCTTGGTAGCCGAATGAGCCAAAGTTCCGTGTCTTGACCTTTCCTCTTACTAAATTAATGATTGTTCATCTCAAAACGATGCTGAGGAGCTTCTGGTAGACTTGGGGGTGAGGGTTTTGTGTATTCGTTTGGCTAATTCTGGGTTAATGTCATCAGGTCTGCCCGTGGCAGCGTTAGGTAAAAACGGGGGAGAAGGGTGCATTATTTCAGGGCACCAGCTGGCTTTTGGAATCGTGAATAATGTAATTATGCAAATTCATGTAACAAGTAGCCTTAAAGGTCGTATTATCGATTAGGCACCAACGTGCAAAGCCTGCCATTGGCGGCACGCCTTGCATGACGCAAGGCTGCTGCTCTGAAAAACACTCCAGACGCGGCCACTTCTCCACGATTTCTCTGTCCCCACTCTCTTTCTCCCCATCACCGTGATCAGGCCAATGTTGGCAAGTCGAATGAGATGGCTGGATTCTATCAGGCAAACGCCGAGGTCCGGCAGGCGAACGCCCCAGACGAACCTCAGTTCAACATCTTAAACACAGAAATATTCCCTATCGAAGCCGATTGCCTAGACCAGTCTGAGTCTCCCACGACGGAATTTCATCAATTCTCTCGTTTCCCAACTGAGATACAGCTGCATATCCTGGAGCTCACACAGTCGCCTAGTGCCAAGCGACTGGTCACTATCCACATTAATGAAGTCTTAAGAGCCGAGAAAGACTCTCAAAGCCTATACCTGCAAAATTCTTTGTATACAGAATCAAATGATTTGGGAAATGTCATAAGCGGGGCTAGATATCGTGCCACACTATCGCACCCCCCTCGAAGCAGCATCTTGCTCCAAATTTGCCGGAATTCCAGAGAATTCGCCCTGCGAAAATACCGTATCCGCCTTCCTATGAACCCTCGAGATCCCAAGAGCAACGAGTGTCTTTACATCGATCCGGAAAACGATACTCTGTACATCGAGTCATTCTTCGTCCGGCCTTCAACTCTAGTCGGCTTCTTTCACGATCTTCGGGCATACGATAAAAAAGGAAGCGGCCTTTGGAACCTCGCTATCAACACTCAGTATGTTAATGAACTTTCGGTTCTGCGTTCCTTTAACCTTGAAAACTTGCGGCCGGCGGAGGTGAGATCATTCAAACAGAGTCTTATGACCCTGAAGCATCTATGGTTCATCAACCTGCTCGATGAGGACAATAGGTACACAGAGCAACCACCGACGCAGACACTCGACATCGGCTCGTCTTACCAAAAACCAGTCTCTCACGCCATGCCCCTCTTTCCCGAAGCTTCTGAGTTCTATCTCATGCCTTCCGACCCTCGCGGGCTTAAGCCCTCCGACTTTGAGCAGGTGCTCTCCCAAGAATATGATAGCCCAATGGCTGGGTGGCTTCTGTGGGAATCTATGGAGAGTTTATTTGGCATGACAGCAGAGAATGGATCATTGCCACGGCGAGAGGTCTCGTATGTGATAGCCATTGAAGCAACAAAGGATCACACCGTGCACTTAGCCGATTACCCCGACCTATACGAGCAAAACGCTATACGCAGCATCAATTCCCTGCAAAATTACCTTGCGAGGGAGAGGCATCACGCACCGTCGGAGTATGGCAGCCTCGAAGAAATCGAAACGGGGCAGGAGGTATCGGTTGCAGGCTTTTGGGTCTTTCCAATAGATGTGTTTGATGGAAAAGAGCCTCAGGATGCTGTAGAATATTCCGATATGCATTTCATAGATTTCTCCAATAGGAGTCCAGCGCTAGGTGTGTTTTACTTACCTACCTAAAGGGCCTAACAGAATGGCGACCTAGGTTTTTGAGCTTGATCACGGAGGACATCTCACGATACAGGACTTTTCCTCATCTGTAGGGAACCTGAGATAAATAAACCCGGATTCAATTTGAACTTGATTCTCTTATTTCTATATCAATATCCTCAAAATTATCTTAAAATGCTCCGTCGTCCGCCGTAGTCGACATTCGCAAAGCATGTACATGGAGGTCTGCTCCAAATTTGTTTTCTTTTTATGTGCAGAATGTCTTCTAGGGCCATGTCTCCATTCTCTACGAGCAACGTATCCGAGGAATGCACAAGAATGCTATGGGCTAAAGAATGTTCAAGCATCTCTAGGATGGTCATAAGTAGTTACAGATGACTTTGAATCTATGAATATTTCATGTCTAGGATGGACTCATTCAGCTCTTTCCTTTCCAACCAAGGAGTGAATTGGCGTTACTGGAGTGCCATGTCCCAACCTCGAATACTCTCCTTCTCGTCCTTCCTTAGCTGAATGCCAAAATAGTCGCGCAGTGCTTTAATACGCTCTGTCTCGGTCTTCATAGTGTGGACAATATTCGTCTTTCCCCCAAGATTCACTTTGATCACATCGCTGACAAGCATAACCTTTCCAACAACTTTGACTTGATCGACATCGCGCCTTGCCTTAAACTTGTCATCAAACAACACGTCTTCTCCTTCTCTGAGAAAGCGAACGACGAGGACATTCCATCTATGCAGTGTTTTGGCACTTGCAAACCAATTCATGACTTCGAAATCCTCCTGGAAGAACTCAATCTCCGCAAAGCTGTAGAAGGAATTCCAATCAAGATGAGCACCGTTTCGATACTGGTATATCCATAATGGGGATCTCAGTCCCTGCTTCGGAATTGTCTCATGCACGAGTCGGACTTGCTGGGCACCCAGATTCTGAACAGGGTTTCCAGTATCTACCATCGGCAGCGGATTGATGGGCCCATCGCCTCCAAAGGCAACATCGACCGAGAACTTGTCACCTGATGGCAGGTGTACTATGTTGTTGATGTGCGTCCTATGAGTAGAGGTCAGTAATGAGTTCTCCTGTCAAATCAGGTCTTATGTGAAGCATACCATCCTTGGTATTCTCCCCCCGGCACACCATTTGTTCGTGTACGATTTCTAATCCCAGTCATATACACGTGGAAACCGAGGCCGCGGAGCATGTGGTAGAAGAAGATGCTCAATTCCATACAATATCCGCCTCTGCCACCATTCTCGGGTCCCATAAGCTTTCGATAGATAGACTCGGGGGCGATGTCGACCAGATGGCTCTTAGAGTAGTGGACTGATAGATTCTCATACGGAAATGTGGTGATCTGGCATCTCATCAAGGTGCGCAGAGACTCTTCGGTTTTCGGGAACTCTTGCGGGGATTGAGGATATGATGCAGACAGTTGGATGCGCCCCAGCCATCTCGAAACCTGGTCATGAGAGTAGGCAGATTCGGGTAGCCCATCTTTGAAGTCTTCAATACCCATGTTCGTGTATTTCGAATCGTAAAAACGAAGAAATAGTTGACGTTGGGCAAAACAACTTAAAAACGCATGCGGGGCGCGTCGGAACGATCACGCCATCGACGGTATCTAAGATTGATGTTAGTGGGATATTTTGCACAGTCGATGATTCAAAATTCTCGGAAGAAAAAAGGCAAGCTATCGCGGGAAGGTGCTTGAGCAGTATCATGCCTTAAGAGTTGATCTCTACTAGTGGGACAGCCAGGTAATGCCTGAGGTACCTAGGTAGGCGGTCAGTTTACCATTGTTGTCGGGTGGCAGACAACTGACGCGTGACTCACCTTTCGCTCGCCTTTCCGATCCATGGAACCATGGCGCGTTTTGCTCGAGAACCTTCTTTGTTTGTTTTTTTTTATGATTTTTTTCTGGCTTGTTTCCCAACTTCACTTAACCACATCTTTTTGACTTCACCAATTGATTCATCCATCCAAGAGAGCCGATATCGAAGAAGAGCTTTGTCGAATAACAACTACATCAAAGGAAAACAGACTGGTGATTGTAAGTCACTCGACTAGGAGCTCAGTGGAGCAGAAACCACCCGCTTCTTATTACTACCTAAATCGCAAATGGAAACCACGTCAAGTTTGCTCCACAAAGTACCCACGAAGCGAGGATTGATGTCGAATAACCTGCCCAGAACTCGGTAGTTGAGCCGGGTCGGTATTGCGCCGTTGAGCGCAGAATATACCCAAACAGGAATGACCAGGACAGAACTAACACGGCCCAATGCAATGGCTTGGCAGGGGTCTGGATAACCCAGCAGTGTCAGCCGTATTATCTCATTTGGCAAACTATTCGTGTGAAGTCTTTGAGCTAACTTGTATTGTATTCAAGCCGGAGTTCATTGCCCTGTTCGCAGCTTTTGAGGGGGCTCAACACGAACAAGTTGTCCCGACGGGCAGATACAATGGAGAAAGATCATTCGCTTACAGTACGCGAGCCTGTTCTAGTAGACACAAAATTCATTTATAACAGACCTGCTTGTCCAACTCTGGGGTTTTGTAGCTGAAGGGCATTACAAAGATCATCTTCTCTTCACAATTTACACGTATTTGAACCATCCATCGACATCTACGCAACAAAGACGCTCCCCTTGCCTCTAAATACCCACAGCATCATGTCTAACCTCAAGACCATCGCATTCTTCGGCGCCTCTGGTGGTTGCGGCCTTGCAGCTCTTAAAGAAGCCCTCCAAGCCGGGCATACCTGCGTCTGCCTCCTCCGTACACCGTCCAAGCTTGCAGATCTTGCTGCTGCGTCGCCTAATCTCATCATCCGCGAAGGCAACGCCCACAACGCAAACGACGTGGCATCTTGTCTCACAGCGCCAGGCGAACATCGCCTAGTTGACGCCATATCCTTCTCCATCGGCGCTGTGATGGACCCAAAGACTAGGAAATTTACCGATCCAGACGTCTGCAAGAGAGGCATTGCCTCTGTTCTCGAAGCAATCTCCACGCTCCGTCACAAGAAACAAATGCCAGGCAGACCACTAATTGCGACAGTTAGTACTAGTGGAATTTCGGATCAGAAGCGAGACTACCCCATCGCACTGCACCCCATGTATCATTACATGCTTTCAACACCGCATGCGGATAAGAAGGTCATGGAGGAGCGCCTACGAAGCAGCGGAGAGCGGTTTGTCCTCGTGCGCCCTAGCCTCCTCATGGATGGCAACAAGGGCAATGCCACAATAAAGGAGGGAGTAGAAGATGTCATGTCAGCGGTGCTGGAAAGCTCAGCAGTCGGCTATGCAATCTCTCGGGGAGCGGTTGGTTGGTGGATTTACAACAGACTGCTTAAGATGGACGAAGCAGGTGTGCGGCATATGGAAGGGAAAGCCATCTCCATTACATGGTAATGGATGAAGTTGCTGTGGTCTCAATCTGGACACATTAGATCGTAGGTAAAGGAATAGATGAGTGCTTGATGTTAATTTCTAACCCGGCCGATATCGGTAATTCCTTCGATGCTATTTGCCTTCAATTGACTTTATTAGTTACGATAAAGAGCCAATCAGCCTTTTCCTTACTCTTGGTCTTGGACGCAAATATCTTAGCAAGGAGTTTATTACTGTCTGCTACTAGCCCTACTTTGACCGTTTTGAGCACTCTCCCACTCAGTATTGGACAAAGGCAACGAAAGAGCAATGATGGCTTGAACAAATATTGAAGAGAGCAACATATTCACGGCAAAAAGGTAGCTGGGAGCAAAAAGCTAATTGACCCGACCACGCCAGGAGTCGAACCTGGAATCTCTAGAGCAGGCGAGCAAGCCGAAATCTAGCGCCTTAGCCATTAGGCCACGCGGCCAATTAACATGAAAATTCCGATCGACAAGTTGAACGAGTTCCTTCCGACAGGCATGGCTCGTCTGATCATGCACAGAAAACATGTCGCAGGAGAAGGGTGTCTTATGGAGAGCTTGTTGGTGGCCAAGTGGTCTAGGCCAAATACAACAGCGTCTAGGGCACTCAATCATCTCACAAACCAATAACTCCTCAAGTCCCGATGGGTGGTGTATTGTCTCACCTGCATAGACCAAATCTAGTCAGCATCACCGCAAATCCCTCTCCCTCAGCTCGGAATGACGGTAGTACCCTGAAAATCCCCCGTTCCGTCTCATCAATGTCTTAGAAGGTCTATTAATCCACCTGAACACTGCAGGCTATACGGGCGACTAGCGGGGCTAGCTTGGCTAACTTTCGGGAAATCCTTTGGAATGTGATCCTGGTCTCATCACAGAGTCATATAGGCAGAGTTCGACTGCTATAAGGATGAATATGAGCAGATTCTACAGAATGTCGAAGGCAGTCAGAGAAAGAAGAAACTCCCCAATGCCTTCCGCACCCGGTCGGGCCACCCACCTTCCACAAGATGTGGTGTCCAGAGGTAAGACATGTCTTTACCACAGCGAGACCATAGGAGATGCTCCGGCGTATCACCTTGTGAGATGAGAGACAATCATTCCGCATTTTCAGCCAGCCACACATTCCACTCCCAAGGAGAGAGACTAATGTGAGTAGTCCCGCGAAAATATTCGGGTGTCTCTCAGGTTATAAAGATCAACCAAGCTCCCCTCTGGCCAAGGATTCTTAGCTTGCTCGACGTAGGTCACTCTTCCAACTCTCGCGCTCTACTACTACGATACTTCCACAATACCCATCATGTACGCCAATCTCCTTACCAAGACCGCTGCCTTCGCCTTGGTCGCCGCCAGGGTCGCCAGCGCCGAGTGCTTCGCCTGGGACCAGCCCGCCTTACACTGCTACAACGGCCCCTGGGACAGTCCCCAAGATGTCTCGGTCGAGGATGTCACCTACATCGGAAACTATCTCCGCGCCCACGGTCTTCACGACAACAAGTTCTGGTCCATGCCCGCCGAGGACAAGGTCGACTGTCAGGAGTGGGAGGTCTACACCTACAAGACGGCGAGGCTGCTTGCGAAGCACATCAACCCCAAAGCCAACTCGTCAGTCCTTTTTGAGGATATCGCAAACACCATCGACGGTGGTGCTTCCCGAGACGAGGTCGGGCCCGCCATTATCCAGTGCTTGGCCGACGGTGGCTTTGCCGGTGTGATCTTCAATCCCTTGAATCATCTCTACAACACCGACGAGTACAAGAAGGAGTACAAGACCCCCGAGGGTATTCTACTCAAGATTGTTACCACCGCCCCCGAAGAACTATAAAGCTTTTTGAATCGATCGATGCCAACTTAGCCATCAAGGATATAAGACGAAGGACTTGGAAGCATCGAGCCGTTTGTTGATAACGTGTGGGTTGATATTCATGACTGCTACATTATGGTAGTCATAACCTCAATGAACGTCCGTAGGCTAAAAGAATATGTCATCAAGTTAAATAAATCGATGGCTTGCGTGCCTGAAATCAATAAAAAAAAGTTGTGATTGGCATCGGCCTAATGTGATCAATATTGTGAAGCACTGAGGACTGGCCTTCTAATCTCTGGCACATCTCAATACACATGCTAACACATGCTTAGGGCCCGCAGCTCTAATGACATTCTTAGTGATTTATCTAAATCAATAAATTGAACTTCAATGGTAACTCATGAAACAAAATGCCAAGCCAATGCATCGATAGCCGTTGCCATGAAAGATGATGATCCATTATTCAAGAAGCTCTAAGAGCACCGGCAAGCTGCGTCTAGTTCTAAGCAGATAATTGATCCAGCCATCATCATAGCGTCGGATATGTCGTAACGCGATATTGCGTAAAAGAGAAGTGAACCCAAAGAATTATTAAAGTTGAAAACGCCTTATTGCCCAAAATAATATACAGAGTCGTCGCCAATTAATTACCCGTGTGAACTCAAAGAAAAGAAAAAAACAAGACATCGCTCATCCAAGCATTAATCAGTTCCTATCCGCTTAATTAGTGTTACGGTCTGCTTCATCGGCAAGGATGGGGGAAGTCAACATACAGTAACGATAATTCCAAATCACCATGGATTCTGGCTTTCAGCTGAATTTCGATCTCGAGGTTCAGGTCCAGCCTTAGCTTGAGCGACTCGCTTTTGCCACCTCCTCCCCCAAGACCTCCAAGGGCGCCAGCTACTCCGCTCACGGCATTTTGCGCGGTGTTGGTCACGTCCTTTGTCGGTAGGGAGTCGAGGCCACCGAGTGCGGGCAGAGTGTCTAGTGCGTTCTCGCCGCCGCCGCCCTTTCTGCTCTTCTTCTTCTTTTTCTGGTCTAGGAGTGCGGACATGTTGATTTCGGGTGGGAGTACCTGTACTCCTGGCTGTGGTTCAGGGTAGCAGAGGCTGGACGGATGGAATGCGCGAGAAGTAGTGAGTTTAAAAGAGTCTCTTTTATTCTTGGTCACTACCCCTTTTTCTACTCATCACGTAGTTCAGCATGGTGTATTCCTTGATTCTGGCTTTGCTGACAGTTCATGGATGGGTTGCTCTCATTGGCGGAGACGACTGCGATCATCGACCAGGCCGTCACGATCCCGATCTGGGGCTACGTCATGCACAAGCTGCTGACCCGCCTGCAAACCGGCTTTGGGCTGACTGCAGCACTGCATGCATCATCGTACATCGATAACGACGTAGTTTGGATGGAAAAGCTGTCAGAATAGCTTCAGGGTATACCTACCGTTATGGGCGATGGCATCACCGATAATATTTTAGGGTTCATGGTGCTTGCACTGAGCAAACTCACTCGGAGAAATACGATGTCATTATGGGCGCATTGTTTTGTTGGTGCGGCGCAGCGCGAAGCCGTTAATTACTGACAGCCTTAGCTTTTGGTCCCTTGGCATGAGCCAGGGCAGGACCTGAGCAATGACACATGCGCGTACAGAATTCTAGACCGAGATGGGCTTTGGCTGGATTTGTTCATTTTCTCGAATTGTTCCTTGCCTTTCCTTATCTTATCTCAAGCACGTCCCCTTTGGTAAACCAGAGGTCTTCAATTACTTTCACAACTGCAGACTACAAGATCTTCTTCCTTGCTCGGGCTGGTCCTGCTTAGTGTGTGAAGGAGGCAATGTTTTCTTTCTTCCCAAAATGAATGGGGTGAAGAGTCTAAAAAGGCTCTTGCTCCAGAATATGAGGTGCGGAGGCCATCACCAATCCCCTCAAAGCCGTCTCCAGCTGATTGATAACATAAATCGGCATGCGATGGTCTGATACAAATCTTCTGATGATCTTGTACCTAAAAAATAGTTCTTTGTCATGAAGATTCTGAAACAAACCCTGGTAAATAATTTGTCCGAGAATAATTAGTCAGTCTATTACCACAGCGGTATCCGACCAATTTCCCGTGCCCGAGGCCGAGTGTAGTTAGTGATCGCAACTGACTACGTTGATGGCTGACGAGTCTTTGCTTGGCATTTGATGTTACAGGTGGCACTGCCTCACTATTATCAATGGAAAATACCCGCACGCAGGCTACCTCCTCGTATCCTCTCGCCTGATTTGCTCACACGTTACAGCGAGAGGCTAATTAATTGTTCACTTTTTCAGCGGGCTAGGGTAGGTCCTAAAATGAGGTACTATCATTGGCTGGATGATGTCTTCCGAATCAATAAAAATGAGGCTTTGATGCAACGATAATTCACTGGCGCTGTTCAGCAGCTTCACCCCGCTAATTCTCCCCACAAGATGTCACAAATTGCCTGAAGCATAGTAAGTCACTGGTATTTTTAGGCCAGGCCCATCGGGATCAACACCCGCCTCCAGCCGCATGGATATCACGGAGAACATCTGTGACAAAGTGAATATAACTCTCCGTGGCTCATGAAACCAATTTGACCGAAATTCAATGGTCTCTTGCTTCAATCCAGCGATTGCTTCCTCCTCAGAAGACAAACTGGGAGATGGCCGACACCGGCTGCGAATAGCTTAGCGCCGGGAGTAATCCGTTGGCGAGCGACAGCAGCCAATTAATTCACAGTGCGTCAGACCACGTCGTTAATTACGCACTTCTCTCACATGCATTTCATCCAACTCTGATCTTATCGATCGCCACTCCTCCACACCCGCCTCGATCCCCTGCTTCGGCTATACTCCCCAAGAACGACATCTAGATCTCCTCCCAGCTCCTTGCGCCATGCCGTGCGGCCAGCTAGACAAGCGGCGAGGCGGCCACCGCTGCTCCTCGTGCCGGAGGAGCCACATGAAGGTTTGTTGGATGTGTGACTCCAGCCCTTGCCTCGAGGACTGACTGACCGGGCAATTAAAAGTGTGATGGAAATAGCCCATGCTCCTTCTGCCGCCGGAACGGCCTTGAATGTAGCTTTCCAAAGCGCTCGAGAGACGTCCAGATTGTGCGCGTCTTCCAGTCCCCGTATGCCAGCACGCCAGCAAAACCAGCAACAGCGCTCACCAACGAATCCTGGTCTTTCATTAACCGCTTCTTCGAGGCTACGGGGAAGCTACCTCAGAGCCAGGTCCTCCGCAGCCCCGATGTGATCTTGCTGAGCCAATCAGATGAACTCGTCAATAAGACAATCAGTGTCGTCGGACAGGTGTTTGCATCCAAGAGTGCTACGCACACGTTGGAGACCAAGGAACGCCAGCTGTTGAGGAGGCTTGTTGCTGCGCAAAAGAGAAGCCTCACGCACCGGATGGCTCGGCCCTACTCCCATAACACGACCGTTTTATTACTATGTAGTTTACTACTTGCCATACCAGATGTGAGTTCCATGCTACTCCTCCTGGTTCCCCATCCTCTAACTTTGGTCCTTTTCCAAGCTTCTTCTAAATCCGACTGCCGAGAGTTGGCGGCTATGGATAATACACGTGCGGAATTTAGCAAATTACCTAGTCGAGGAGGGCAGAGACTTTTCACAACTCGATGGAGAGCTTATGAGATTCTTCCAACTGAACGATCTTCTTGGGTCTATCCCATTTCTACAGAAGCCCATCGGGCAGGACTTTGCTGCTAGGCTACAGAAAGAAGCTGCCACAAGCGATAAACCAAGTGATCCTGCATCGGAGAGGCCCAACCACGTTCTATCCCTCATGTTTAGATGGGCCGTCTTGCAAGAACGGTAAGAAGAATGCATGAAATCCAGCCTGATCCCAAATCTTCGCTAACACGTCTCCAGCCTACAAAAATGGGACTTAGTATCTGCCTATCCCATCGGTAGGGACCCCAATCACGGGGTGGAGGGTATCGAGATCATTTGCGAGGCCTCTAGTCTCCAAGCATGCATGCTCCAAGCACTCCTTTCCAACTCCGCTGCTCCCACTACACACGACGACTCATACAGCCAGTACATGCGCTGGGCCCTGATCTGCCTATCGCAACAGCTGCAAACGAGTGGTCTGGCCTCGCTCGAGTGTGAGTTACCGGTAATGACGCCAGAATGTCTTCACGAACAGGCCATCTCCCTGATGGAAGGCATCGAAGCTCTAACGGCCCAGTCTTTGTTGGATGTGGCGTTCTTCCTCCCCCTATCGGAGGCGGTGGCACCGGTTATGGAAGTACAGGATGACCGCACGAGATTGATCCGCTTCCTGGACACGGTAAAACAGAGGGGGTTTGGCGTTGCCGACGAGTATCGCCGGGAAATCCTCGAAGAGTGGCAGGAGGCTTCCATTACTGATTCTTCTACCTACAGCTCCTCTCCAGTTCAATAATTTAATAAAGATTGGTTAATACTCTCGAATTGAGAGCACTCACAAATTGCGAGGAAGAATGAGCTCTTGTCATCCTTGTTTTCTTTTTGTCTCTCCTTCAGGTTCACGTTGTCACCTCTCTATTATGCCGGAGTAAGAACCTTCTAAGTTCTCAGGACGATTATCTGCAGTACGTTTCAACACATCGAATGAACTCAGGTCTCAAATGGACAACTTTTTGATTATTAATATTATCCAGTATGGCTATATAAAGCTGCAATCGAAAAAAGAGTTAGCATGCAAAGAGGAATTAGAAAAATCGTACCTGGCGATAACCGATGACTGGCAAAGAGAGCACCCTTTTCCATGAAGTTTTTGCTTTCTTGCGTGGAACACCTCACCCTATTCTTTTTAACACTTGACCTTGATCTTCCCCTGAGCTTGGTAAAACCTAGCCCCCAAGAGACACAAGCCAGCACCCAAAGTCGACACCGCAGCCCACACCTGCGCGCCCGTGAACGACCCCTTCATCGCAGACTGGAGCGCGCCACCGATCGGCGGCCCCGTCAGCGACGCAAACGAGATGATGCTGAAGCACATGCCCATCCTCGTGCCCACCGTGTCCAGCCGCTTCGTGATGCTGGCGATGGTGGTGGGCATGAGGCTCTGCGTGGCCCCCGAGACGAGGCCGCAGAAGGCCGTGAAGACGTAGAAGCCGGGGACGCTGCTCACGGCGAACCAGCAGAAGACGATGACGGAGATGGAGAGGGTGCACATGGTGATGACGTTGAGGGCGCCGATCTTGTCGGCGAGCATGGGCATGAGGACGCGGGCGGGGAGGCCGGCGCCGTTGATGACCATGATGAGGAAGGAGGCTTCGCTGTAGGAGAGGCCGAGGACTTGGATGCCGAATGATGCGACCCGTGAGGAAGTTAGCAATTGCTTGTAAGGGATTCTGTGATTGGGATGCAGGGATGAAGTGTTTGTTACCATGACCAGTAATAGAGGAGATGATACTGAAAGCCCTAGGTTTCAACGCGGATAAGAAAAGAAAATCACAGTGGAAACTCACATAGTAAAACAGATAATAGCTCGCCCAGACGAAAAGAAACATGCCGACGATGTAGAGAACATAGACCGGCTCTTTGAAGGCACTCCAATCGACCAGAGCTCCGGATCGGCGGGGAGGGAGTCGCGATCTCATCAATAAGAAGGCAATAACATAACAGACCATATTCACCAGACCGAGCACCCTCGCGGTCCAGCCGAAGCCAATCTTGGGAAGCAACTGCCTCACTATGACGGGATATAGGATGCCGCCGGTGGAGTTGCCCAAGGTAGCCAGGCCGATCGCGAACCCGCGGCGACGTCCAAACCACGTAGCGACCAGCCCGAGAGTAGGGGTGAAGAGGATGCCGCCGCCGATGCCCGTGAGGATCCCCTGCGTTATGACCAGTTGCCAGTATTGTGGATGATCGGAGGCGCTCATGGCGAAGATGCCGGCCAGCTGCAGAGCAGCACCAATGGCGAAGGTAGGGCGGAAGAAGCCAGCATCGAGGAGACGGCCACTGAAGGTTCCCAGGGCTGTGGTGAGGAAGCCCTGGAGAGAGCCGATCCAGGAGATAGTGGACGGGGAGGCTGATGGGAGACCGCCGGAGGTGTAGTAGGACTGGAACGCACCGAAGGAGTTGAGATAGCCCCATGTGGCGAAGATGACAAGCCACCCCGCGACGACTTGGAGCCAGGCCTGGAGACCTCCGTCCGGTGGTGGTGGGAGGTTTGATCTGGAGCGGGAGCGAGTTCTCACCCGGGTTGGGTTGGAAGCGAGGCGGCCAAGAGCCGTGTCGTCTACATCCTCGATGTCGTCTAGACGGGAAGGTCGTGAATGATACCTTCCGCCTCCCGTACTGGATTTGGACTCTCGGCCCTCTGCCGCAGTTTCGTCAGAGGATGATGAAGAGACGGACAGTTGGCGAATCTCATGGCTAGGGCCTGAGGCTGGTTGTTTCTCATTCTCAGGTGGGAGTGCCATGGTGGGATGGTGGACAAAGGAGCGCTTGGCACATTACACAGTCTAGCACGGGGAATCTGAGGAAGCAACCGAGCAAGCTGCCGGGGGACCGCTCCAGTGATAGCTCTTCCGATCAGAGTTTTTGTCGAAAGATTATCTCCGACTTCGGGGTGAAACCCGGTCGGTGGTCCCAGTAATGTTCATGATGCGGGCCCCTAACCATGTCCGGCTTCCGTGCAGCGGGTATCGGTCCGGAGATCGCAGGCCGGGTAAACCTGCGAGACTCCGGCGTGTGTCTGTGATGAAGCTGTGGTCATGTAGATACCAATTGAGACGCAAGAGACTTGTCCCTCGAGCATGTGAATCTTGCTTGAATCCGGTCACGGGCATCGATCTGTGGTGGCTCTGCCTAATGAGGTTCACCGAGTGAGTACCTATGCATTGTAGGGCGCGATGGACAATATTAAGTCCATGCTAGACCCGAGGAAGCGAAACTTAGATTTATCCATTCATTTGCTAGTGAATGTAGCTGTACCACACCGCTCATCCAGCGTAGCCAGTCAGCTTGATTAGGTGGGTGCCCTGCTTCCGGTGCATTATTTACATGTGTTGCCCTGGGCCTTCAATGACCATGGACTTGGAGCCACTGTGGGTTTCCTACACCGTATCCCCTTGACCGTCTCAAAAGTCAAGCTCCAATGCTGACCCAAGGCCTCGACCTATATTGTCAAAGTCTGGATGCTCCGGTACCTAGAAAGGTGCTAGATTCGAGATATCGACCATTGTGTCCACATCGTCATCCACTTGTAGAGGTAGAGGCTCCATACTCACACCACCATCAAAATTTTCATTCGTTTCATGGTGTGGGTTGTAAGAATACCTTGAAGCTTCTGCTTGTATTTGCTGTTCTGATACCGGGGTAAGGCCAAACTAAGAGATCATTGTCAATATCGCCCGATAACAAAGCGTCAAAGGTCGAAAACTTACTGCTGGAACACATGAGCCTGCCATGGGTTCGTTCCAGGGCATTCGATTCTTCGTGGATGAAATCCGGCCGTGAGACTGGGAATCTGTCACTGCCCTCTTCCAAGCTTTCCACGCGGACCGCCCCCGTTCCCCAGAAACACCATTTTCCGTGTTTCGGAGGGTGCTACTGTTGGTATTGCCGGCACTTAGGTTCCTAGGACAGCTCGCAAGGGCCTGTGTGATCCGCCTCAAGCTTAATCCTGCTGCTTCACTTCCCTTAGCGAGTTCTAGGAGGATGCGAATGCCCTGCACGATGGAATTCTGAGGGACAGAGACAGAACCCGCCAGCTTACGACTTGCAAAAATCAGAACGTACAGAGCTGAACTGCAGTATAATGAATCATGAAAGTAGAAGCGACATAACAAGGACAAATCTTTTAGGGCACCCAGTACCCGGATAGAAGAAACTACTGCGTTCACACACTCTTGGGCTTGTTGACGTAGAAACCTTGTCGCACTGGCCTCCAGACTGTTCGCAGGACGACACGTCGCGACGGCGCAGTGCAAGCAAGAGCGAGTCAGTAGGATGATGGATTGCTCATATGTCAAAGCCAGGTGCGCCTCGTATCGGGTCGTGAAATTTTCAAACTTGATGTTTGCGGGTAAGCTTTTCTTCCAGTCTCCCAATTCATCCTTCAGCAGCTGCAGATCGTGAGGTCGGATGGTGGCGCCCTTCTCGGAGGCAGGCTTGCAATAGACTGCGTCTACAATCTTGCCTAGAATACGGCAAATTCGTGCCAGAGAGACTAGCCCGTCTACCTTTCTTGGTTGTCCGTGGACATCAGTCCAGCTTGAAACGTCCACTGGATACGGTGCGTTGATTTCGGCGTCGTTGATGGCCAGGGGCCGACCCATTTCGATGCTGTAAAGCCTGTCCGCGACGTATATACTCCACCAGAGACGGTTGCGCAGTTCGCGAATATCTGGGTGTATGGATTCAGACACGAAATGCCGATGTAGCCCCATGTTGATGGCCATCCTGAGAGCCAGCCCTAGCAAGTTGTACCCGGCATCCCGACTCGTTGTGCTTGGGAGGTATATCCCTTGAAGGAGGCAGACTTGGATACTTGCTATTGATGATGACGAGACGATGTCTGGTAACAGTCTCCGAGATACCTCGTAGAATCTCCAGCCCGGATTCTGAGCTGGGGTTGGTACTTTGATTCGAGACAGGTTGTAGGGAGAAGTCAAATCTCCTTTGAGAAACTCCTCATTTATGAAATCATCATCTGACATGGACAATTGGCCGCTGTCGATAACACCAACCTCGGCAAATTGACTTCCTATTGCAAGGACCATAAATAATACCGACAAGAACTCAATTGATTTTCTTGAACTGAGTGGATTATGAGATTCAAACTCATGCGTGCCCCCGTAGAAGGCCTTGAGTTTTCGTGAAAATATTTCTGCATGCACGCAGAAATAGTTCGTTTGCGCCAGTTGAAAAAAAGTTGTTGTCAAAAATTCGACAACATCTTGAGGGGGGAGCGCCTGAAGAGCGGCTGTTTTCCAATCAGTGCCGAAGCCAATGTTTGACATGGAATGGATGGTTGTCCCTCCACACTCCTAAATCAACGTTAGAAATAGATCATAGCGTTGTGTCTCTGACATTGATCTACGCTTACCGCCTCACCATCATCATCTTCGTGAGGTGATGTTTCATCAGCAAATGCGAGTCTTACTGAACGGAAGAAACACCACAAAGATGAGTCCCCCTCATAGTCTGATGGAAACAATGACTGATTAGTCTTTCTGACAAAGAAAGGAAGAAGGGAGGTAACATACGCGTCTTCCCTTGGCTTACCACAGTCACGGATGCTGCCATGTTGGGAGAGCTTCCGTCACAAAGGCCATCACCGCCATGCTGATGATGTTGATGATGCTCCTGAACACTATTATCCTCGGCTGTCCGCCCGGCAGACGCAGTTGGCTGTTCTCCCCCGCGCTCTGGTGTGGTAGTTTGCAAATGCATATAGAACTGGCGCAGGCTCTCTGGATTTGTTGGAACATTCGCATGTAACTTGGAGAAGATGCGTTGAAATAGCTGCAACTGTTCCTCATGTGAGGTAGTAGTAGCTACTTCAGAGCGTACTGGAGTCGTAGGTTGCCTTGCTCCGCTTGCTGGTGTGTCGAGGTCGTACTCGCCTTGCCTCCCGCTCTCGCCCACTGCAACGGAGCTTGTGCTTTCTACAGTTCCTGCATCTGTAGCGATACAACCATGTGTCAGCATGAACTCTTCGCCGGGGCAGGGTAGCGTCTCTCCGCATCTGAGATCACCCATCGCCTAGAATAGAACCAACTCACGCGATCCTCACTCGTTTCCTCTGCCCATCGGGTACCCCAGGCCGTTTGCGACGACCTGTCAGTTCTCGGGCTGGTTTGGACCCAGGACCAATCGCTTCGGATGCCTGGCGGGTATCGGTTAAGGGACCAGCAGTGGGGGACGACATGGATTCACAAGATCTGTCCTTTGGAGGCAACTTCCTGGGGAACATGGGGTTTGTCAAAGTCTTAAGCGTCCCGTGCAGGCATCCGGATCATGAGGCTTGGTGGCAAGGTGCAATTGCCGCAAGTGTCCTGCTTCAGACCGAGGTTTCGGGTACAAGCACCCGGAGCTGATAAGAGCCGCGAAGTATAGACAAACCCGCCCACTAGCAATGGGTCTAGAACATGGGGTTTGTCACATCAGGCGTCGTAGAAGAAAGCGGGGAAGAGATAAGCGAATTCGAGAATAGCACGATTCGGAAACTAGGAGTTATGTATTATATCTTGAAGATCGATTATCGGTACAATCGTCCCTCGGTATCCCTTTTCCGCAGCTCAGTGGTTTCCTTCCAAACCCACAACCGTAGTGCTTGCGTGGCTGAAAACCCGTGTGCCTGTTTTGGTAATCTTCAATTGCGATTTGCAATTAGGGTCCGGACAAGCGATCAGAGCATCGGTGCTCATCCAGTCATGAGCGTGTGTCATTCTCTGCTTTGCCGCCAGCAGTGGGAGCACAGCCGCCTCCTCCATGTTAGCACATCAGACTGTATTTCACATTGGGATGTAACAAGAATCTGTACATACCAAGACTATATATGCTTATCCCTTGCCCTGGGGGTAAATGTAACATTTCTCCTTCTAACGTGAAATGGTCACCTGCCTTTGCGCCGCAAAGGATTCTCTCGCCTTCAGGGCACACAACTTTGACTCGCAGGTCGTAGAGCGTGAAGTTGTCGTTTGTCTCGCGGGTGGAAGCCATGGTGATAGGAAATGATTACACTTGATTGCCGTATGGCATGGACTAGGTCGCTCAAGCTATCAAAGCATGCGTATCTTTATACCTAATCTACTAGTGATTGAGTATATATCAAACCAACTGGCTTATACCCCTTTTTCTAAAATATTAAATACCCGCCTATTAGCTACTATCTCTTGTTCTGTATGGTTACTCTATGGTGGACCTCATACTCGGATGATAGGCACCCGGTAAAATGCTTAATGATACCTAAGCCGTAGCCGACTAAGTCTAAAAGTTACCAAACCCTGATATATGTCAGCTTCAGACTTTAATACTATTACTTGGGCTTTCCGATACGTAAGAGGAATTGAGAGATTGAGTACAAGTTCGAACAGCAATGGTAAATGCAGGAGCGCCACATCTTAACACAATAAATAGAGCTCTTAGATATCCCATCGCTGTCTCGAAATAGCGAAGATTAGTGGCAGGAAAACTTCGAGGTTCACAGATCATACGCGTGTGATGACTAGTTGGTTTAATTTATTTCTATTCTTTCATTTCCATTGCATAAAGAATGACACGACATCCTTCTTCGCCCACAATAGCCTCTTTCTCTTATGAAATTTTATTGAACTTCAACCTACTCTCATTCAAAATCTAGTATCGTACCGTGTATTTTTCGATAATCGCTATCTATTCCTCGCCGTCGTCTGTAACCTCCAACTTGCTTCCGGGAGGAGGAAAGTGTGAAAATAGCAACACGGCGACAGCTGCCAGAGCAACAGCCTGTTCCTCGCGTTAGTCGCTTGCTCGTCCAACCCCCCCTTTTATGGATCAAGACGTACCGCGTTGCAATAAAATGTCAGGTATGCTACCGATGGCAGAGAATAATGAAAAGATGAAGCCGAATAACCCCAAAGTTGACAACATGGCCACATTCTCAACAAGGGTTATTGCTTGCAGCGCCTCTGCGCGATCAGAAGGCAGGCACATTTCTGTAACAACACCCTTAGCCGTAGGTGCTAGACCAGATGCCAAAGGGAGCAGGAAGCCGGCTAATAGCTATGATTAGCGATATATATTGAGTAAAAACTCAAAGGGACCAAGCAGCGATCGAGCGGGATTAGTAAAGGGAAAGAACTACGGCTACGGAGGTATATAGTACAACATTTGCCTTTCCATATATATATGTGGGTGGGTTAGCGGGAGGGTATTTTGGAGGCGTTACGAGTAACTATTTAAAGAGTGAATGAGTGCATTTTGGCTTATATTTATTACACTTGAACAAGTATAGCATGGGGATTAATAGTACGAACTCGAGAGTTTAGAAATATATCTAGGGGTCCAGAAAATAATATCCTATCACCCTTGCTCTTGGACTGGGGCGTACAAAGTTCGCAAATGCAGGGGTACAGCGCTTCTAAAGGGAAGTGAAGCGTGCACATCCAGTACGTATTGATCACCAAGGTCGAACTCTGCACGTCGTTCAAACGCGGCAGGTTCCCACTGCGTATCGAGTAGTGTCAGCCATTGTAAATTTTACGGTATAAAGGGGTTTAGGGTGACAGCTCATCTTATACCATTTAGCGGACCTAGCTGTCATTCTGCTGGGCCGACGCACCTTGTGATCGATTTCACGTAACAAAAGTACCGGGGAGAGTCTGGGGCGGGCCAACCCCGATTGGCGATAACACTTTGTGCGTGGCCTTTCTCCCCACTATGGAATGGATACGAGTGACGAGACTTCCGGCCTACCCCATTTTATCTCCATCATGCGCTGTGGTCCCCAGTCTCTATACAATATCTGATTGGGCTAGGCCTGAGATGGACCTAGGGTTCCTGTCGCAACGGAATATCTTTTTCTTATTGCAACGTCTGTCAGCTGTCTCGTAATGGAGGCCTCCGATCACATCGGGATTGCTCGCCAACTGATAGTAATTCACTGAAAACATGTTTCCCATGATGTTTCCATCGGGCGGCCTGTGAATAGCACTAAACCTAAATAGAGCTTTAAAGCTATCCTAACAACAGCCTCGTCTAGGTTCACCTCGGTACTTGGATCGGGTTTTGAAGGGGAGGGGGTGTCGGGTGGCCGCGTAGCGTCTGAGCCTAGAAGCCTCCAAGCACTCCAGCGATCATATCAAAATACCCTTCATTGAGCTCTACTGATTGCGTTGAGAAGTGGCCGAACAAGACGAAAATGCTTTGCTCCGCTTGTATCGCAGCACTTACCACGGACATTGAGGAGCGGATGTGTCGAGACGCAAGTCTAATTCAAAATTTGGACAAGAGAGTCCATCATCCTTCTTCTAAGAGCTTTTACAAAGCGACTGAGGACAAATGCTACATTTGCCTCAACCTTTTGCACCTATGGGAGCATAAATTCAAGCTTCGCCTTCCGTTTCCCTCACAACTGGATGGGGAGACTCTTCTAGAAAGTGGCGACAAGATATCCGGCGCTCTACACTTCTCCCACTTCTATCTGAGTCGAGGCGAGACCTCTTTCCACCCCGTGTCTTGGCCCGAGAGTAGCTTGGACGAGTCCTTCGCCATCATCATTTACCTAGAGGATAGCTACAAGAACGCAGTCCAACCGTGGAGTATCGAGACTATCCTTGTATCCTTTGTGGTAAATCCCTACAACCGTGAGATACTCCAACGTGATCCTCGAAGAGTGGCAGTGTGCTAAGTAGAGTCTAGACGTGCAACAACTACTACCGAAGAGAAACTTGTCGGGTAATACGGGGCACGACGCAAGTTTCTGGGAAGTACAAGAATGGCTCCGCGCATGCAGTGATAGTCATCAAGCCTGTAAGGCAATTTATGGATCAACGGGCACCCGCCCGACTCGCATCGTTAACCTTTCCCATGCTAAGGACTTTGGTATTGTGAGGGTGCAGGATGGAGATGTTTCCTTCTGTGCTCCATACGCAACATTGAGCCATTGCTGGGGCGCATCACCTCATACACGTCTACTCAAGGAGAATCGAGCCGCGTTTTGCCATGGGGTTCTCGTTTCTCAGCTACCTCGAGTCTACCAGGAAGCCATAGATATAGGGCTACGACTCGGAGTACAGTATCTCTGGATTGATAGCCTGTGCATCGTGCAAGACGACGAAGCCGATTGGCTGAGGGAAGCAAGCAGAATGTTCGACATATATCGAAATGCACTGATCAACATTGGAGCTACAGGGCCCTCTGATGGACATGGGACTTGTTTTATTGAACGCGACCGAAACCTTCTCGGCCCTTGCCTGTTCAACAAGCAGACCGGCCAACATGTGGACTCAGAACCAGAGCATCCTCAAACCACCTGGCATGTTGTGGAGGAACGTTTCTGGATCGACAGACTACACCGACAAGCCTTAAATCGAAGGGCATGGGTCTTGCAAGAGCGACTGATCTCACCACGCATGGTTCACTTCGGAGCGGATCAAATCTACTGGGAGTGCCACGAGCTACACGCTTGTGAAGTCTATCCCAAAGGCCCACTGGCGATGCATGAATTGCAGGCGCTCAAGGCTGTCCACACGGCTGTGATTCTACAGGTGTTCGCCGCTCGAAATCCACGGAGGGAGGTTCATTCGATATATCCGACGATTGGGAGCTCGCAAAATGAGCTAGCCCTATTCTCGTGGAGCGACATCATTTGGCAATATGGTCGGCTTGAACTAACAGTTCCAAGTGATAGGCTAATCGCCCTTTCCGGCTTGGCTAGGCATATGCAGGATCTGGTGCAAGATGAATACGTTGCTGGACTGTGGAGGTCTGCCATGATCACGGGACTACTATGGAGGGTGAATCATCGAGAGCGACAACGGGATGGCGAGGAGACCGCTGCACGTCGGCTCGTTGGCGCTCATGTACCAAGCTGGTCATGGGCGTCGATGCACGGAAACATATATACATTGCTGACACCAGATGCCAATCTGAAGAAAGGTGGACTTGATGTTCACATTGCTATCAAGGACATAGCATTGGAACATGTCGGTGATCGATATGGTAATCTTCACAGCGCTGTCCTCAAGGTGGAGTGTCGACTCTGGCCCGCCGCGTTCCTAGACGAACGCTTGAGATATCGCTACCGTCGTTGGTTCGGTACACAGCTACCGTTCATCGACATTGGGCATGAGGAGTGGAAACCGCCACAAGAGTTCGACTGTTACCCGGATGAGCCGCTTCAGCTTGGCGACATTGACATGGGAGCGAATTTGTATTTAATGCCCGTCGCTTCTGTGAGGCGTGACGAGCTTGTGGGAACCGAAGGCCTGATTCTACGAAGATATGAAGACGCTGAGGAGAAGGATGTTTGGTATGAGCGCTTCGGGTACTTTCAGAGGTATCTATCCAAAGACGACTTCGTCACAATGGCAGAAAGGGCCCAGGATGGTGCGGCTGGGGTGATCGAGATAATCTAGTAGCACCTGTTCGCTTCGGACTCACGAGCCCGTCGCCGAAGGTAGAGTAGATAGGATAACAAAGGGGGTGTTTTGACAGAAGACACGTGCCTCGTGAAGTAGAGCGGGCTCGACATCATTCACCTATCTCGTGGGACCGATCCACGACTCCCTTGATTTTTGATCAACATACTAAGCCCCACCCACCTCAAAGTCAATCCACGAGAGGTATTATCTATGATGTGATGTAATAGGACTAAACAGGATACGAAGCTCCGCACGGGAGGATTCAGCTAACCACCAACACCCAAAGACACTGCATCATAACTATGCAGAGCCCCCATCCTCGCTCCCTAACCCCGGAAGGGACATGCGATGGACAATTCCGGGATTAGCGATCTGTATCGTTGAAGGGCCCGCTGACCGACGACAGACGATCCACTCCCCTTGTTGGGTAGTAGAACCCTTTGGGGTCGATAGAAGTACCAGCGACATCCGCTGTGCTCGCACCTGGTTGGGCAGTGCTAGTAACTACCTGGTGGGTCGGGTAGGTTTCGGGGAATGGGGCTATGATCTGCATGCATGCATGAGAGTATTACGAACTAGGCTACCTACGGGCCATTCCTATTATATACTGATAAGATAGAACCTAATAAGTTCCTACCCTGACTAATACTTTACCTGGAATACTAGTAAAGTATAGTAAAGTACTTTACCTAGAATACTAATAAAGTCTAGTAAAATCTTTACTATATATATATATATTTATTTTATTAGATAGAATATTCTTTTAGATAGTTATTAATAAAGTTATAATCTTTTAGTAATATTATCTATATATCTATTATTACTAGTTCTATAATACTTATATATTAATAGTAACTTATATTATATAGTTTATAATAATTTAATTATACTATTTAGAATAATACTCTAATTAGTTTAATTCTAACTTATTTTAAATTAGATCTAATATAAATTATCTAACTATTATATATTAATAACTCTTATTTAGCTAATTACTTTATCTTAATTACTATATAATAATAAAG